TAAGTATTCCCCCATTCATCAGGTCATAAATCAGTTGGACTTCGACTGACACCTGTCATCAAAAGAACATTGCCGATTAAATGAATTAATGAATATAATTGATAAAAAATATAAGGGAGGGGGAACTTGTTATTCAATTTGAGTTTTTTTCCGCTGTTTTGATTCTGATTATCAGAATTTTTCTTATTTTTCAAAAAATTAAGATTTTTGGAGCTTCTCATCTCATCATTCTCATACATAAATGCGTACATATTTATTTCATATACATACATATTATAAATACAAAAACTGGTTATTGTATTATATTATGCATGTTACGAATCGTCGTCGTCGTTGTCATCTCATTTCAAAATGGAAAAGGAGTGAGTGAGTAAGTGAGATAGAGGAAATTTTGGGGCGATATGAAAGGAAAACGAGCGAGGAGAAAACGAGACAGAGACAATCTCAAATTTCGCGCTTTTTCTTTCTTCGGGTCAAAAAAAGTGCGAATGTTAGCCTGTTTATTTGTTTATTATTTGTATTTGTTGGAGCAAGCTATGTATATTTAAGATTGAACACATAAAGGTCAATTCAAATAAATTGCCTTTCAATTTCTTACACTTTCAAAACTTTGCGTTCAATTTATCATTATTATCAAGCTCAAAGTTTCATTTTTGTTTCTGTTACAGCATTTTCGTGGGGGCAATAAAGTAAAATAAAAAAGCGGGGTCTCTCCTCTTGAACAATAAACTTGTTTTATGACTAATGATAGATATACGCGGCACGTTTTTATGTCGAAAAAAAAGCGGGAGAGAAAGGTGTTCTAGATTTGTTCCATTTGAAAATTTGACACCCTCGAAAAAACACACCCTCACATCCACCACAAAACAAAACAAAACGAATTAAGAAATACTAATACAATTAATACGGTATGTATGTATAGATAAGCAATGCGAATATAAGTAGCAAAAAAGAATGGAAGAAAGAGTGTGCGAGATGAAGAGAATTAGAGAAAAAGGTCGAGAAAAAAGAAGAAAGAGGAGAAATGAATAATGGCCGGATGGATTGGAAGGGCATTGAAGAAAAAAGGAAGAGGCAAAAACAAAACAACGAGGGGACCATTTGACAACTATTCAAAAACAAATGGTGTCAAAAATCAAATCATTTTGTCATTTTTTTTCTTTTGAGGTGTTCTTGAAAAATTGACCAAAAAAGTTTATATGCACTTCTAACACATTACCAAAAAACATTCTTTTCAAAATGAAGTTTTTGGATAAAAATGGTAAGTCGTTTCGAACTACAACACACTTACGACCGAATCGATCGTCCGTGCAAGACATCCAGAATAAAGATCTACAGGAGCAACCTTTGAGCTATCCCCCCTAATAAACCAATTCAGAAAATAGTTATTCGAGTCTGAAATCCCAAGAGATGACTTCTAAACGAACGGCTTATGTTTTTCCACCTTTCTTTTCGTTTTTCCACATGATACACATCTAATTGAATCTGTATAAATACAGAAAAAATAAATAGATAATGATCTAGTTATCTACCCATTCTCAATTCTTTTTTCGTTCGTCCAAGTACCATTTTCAGACTTTTCGCAACATTTTCAGCAGCGAAAAAAACTCGAAATAAAAAGTCAACTTCCGTCGCCGTCACGGAAACAAATCATCAAGCAAAAAAAAGAAAAAAACCGAGAGAGCAAAACATTTGGAGCAACAAAGAAAAGGAAAATGGAAGAAGAAGAAAAAGAAAAAAGGAGGGACCACGTTAATTTTCAAAGACTAACACAAGAAATGAGAAATAAGTACATTAGGTTTCGAATACAAGTCATTTATTTATTTATTTGTCAAGTTTTGATTTGACCTTGAACATCTTTTCATTGAAAAAAAAATAATTTATGGAAATGAATGTTTGACAAAAAATGCGGGGCTATTGGATTCTCAAATCACGTCATTTTTTATTTTCAAACGATAATATTTCAAAAATCACCAAAACTCTAATTATAGCCCTTGATAATTCTCTATTTTGTCCTTCTTATCCTCTTCCAAAATCTCATCTCATCTTATTTTTTTCGTCTCTCCTTCACAGGCAGAAAAAAAGTTGAAATCCAATAAAAATTCGGTCGGCAAAAGACAAAAAAGCGAGAAATTGAACAACATGAAAAATTAGAGAGAAAGATGGAGTGAATAAAAAATACGTGTGTTAGTCTTGTTTCACACGGATATTTATTTTTGTTTTTTTTTCTTGATGAATAAAAAATGTTGGGTTCAAAAGTTTCTCATTAACAAATTATTCAAGAAAAAAAGCGAACCTTGAACTTTCATTTCGATGTTCCTCTCGGTAGACGAAAAATATGACTCTCAAAAAGTTGCAAAATATCCTCCTCCTTCTTCTTCTTCCTCAAAAACTGCTCTCAAATAAAAAATCGTTGAGCAAACATATGTTTTTCCAATTTCTCTCACCCTCTCTCTTTATTCACTCCTCTTTTTCTCTTCAGTTCTTTTTTTTTGCAATTTTGTGTGAACGAGCACTGACAAAATATATGTATATCAAAAGGGTCAAAACATAATAAAGTATTATGTACCAACAATCAGGGCTAGAAAGTATAGTAAACTGTTTTTGTTGGAAAACACCGCGAGGGAAAAAATATTTGACTTTCGAAATTTGAATATTAGAAGCACCTGGGTGAGATAGTGCATAAGAAATACCTAACTTGATTAGATTCGGAAGCCAAAACATGCAATGAAGAATCTGCCACTTCAAACATGATTTAATATTCGAAAATCAACTCTTGCATACTGTTCATCATAACATTGTTCAAACAAAAACGGAACGAGAAAAGAAGAGGCAAAAAAGCTTCTTCTCCTATTCCTTCTTATTTACAACAGAAATAAACAAACAAACAAACAGACACAATATGAAATTGTCTTTCGTCTTTGTTTTTATTTTGTTTTTCCATCATTCATCGCCCCGCTTTTTTATTCGAAGGGATTTGTGTACTTACTTACTAACTCTGTACTTGTAAGTACTTATAGAAATCTAGAAAAAGGCTATATACGGATATTACTTACTTATAATCATTGACAACAACAAAAAACACGAAAAATTGCGAGATGTGAGAAAATAGAACATGAACACAAATTGTTGTTATTATGTGTGAAGAAAGAGGGAAAAAACAAGGTGGACGAGAACTACTTTTTTTGGGTTTTGATAAATTTAACTGTTGAACAAAACGAGATGAATTCATTTCATAAAAGAACAAAAAGTGACTAACCTAATTTCGTTCAGACAGATTTATTCAGCGATTAACCTAACGGTATGACAGAAAATCAACTCACTTCAAACTAGAACATGATTAGTTTCAACCAAACACCGGAAAGTTCAAGAAACAGCTGAAGAAAAAAGGAAAAAAAGAAAAGAAAAACTTGAAATGAATTTTTGCCTCCTAATGAGTACGGTATCGCGTGTTTGCACACAGTGCACAGCCAGCATTTAACCTGACGCGCAAACCGAATTCATTTTTTTATTTTGCAGCAAACTCAAAACCCAGAAAATAACCGAAAGAAACCCTGGAAAACTCACTAAAAATTGAAGATCCAACATGAAAACAAGCGTTTGAACATGAGATGAAATTAAATCCGAAATGACTAATTTAAATGAGAAAAATTCACGTCCAAAATTGTTTTTTCATTTTATTTTTTTCTCAACCTTTTTTCCAATTAGTTCAGTTTATACACATTTTATGGTCAATTTAATGTTTGAGTGCTGTGATGAAAAGTTCAATTCTTATGAAAATTGTATGTTTGAAAATTCATGAAAATTATATACTTATTTGTATATATAAAAACTACAAAAAATTACAGAAATTGCATACAAATTGAATGAGGAAAAAAGGAATGAATTGGGGGCTTTCTGAGGATGGGATTTTTCAGAATTTTAAAAATTGATCGAAGAAAGAAATTAAATTTCAAGAAACATTTTTTAAAAATATATTCATTTGAAAGCGTTTTGAATGAAAATACTTTCTTACAGATATTTTTTCCGATTACTGTAAAGAACCTGAGCCTGGGAAAACTCTAATGCCTTTTTGAAATTTTCTTTTGAAACAAACGGAAATTAAAAGTTTCGAGAAAAAATCCCCTGGACAAACTATTTTTGAAAATTTTAATATTGAATAACTATTTTCTGTTTAAAAAAATTCATAAATGATAATCCAGCGGAGATCACAGATCCCGAAAACATTATACACAAAATTCAAAACGTATTTTTGTTGTGATTTTTTTTACAAAAACAATTTGTAATTTCATCAGATCTGTAACTTTGTAAAAGCAACATTTGAAAATTTCACAATTTTTTTGAAGACTACATTATGATGATAGTTTTCCTATAAATAAACAGCTTGTGTCTGAAAACAATACCTTGATGAGTCATTTCCAAAATTCAACTACACATTTTCTACTTTGTATTTTTCATATCAAAATGTTTTTGGTCACATGATTTCACTATAATAATATTCAAATATTTTTCTATTTATGTTTTTTTGTTCATTTCAAATTTCGAAACATCCCAATCCATATTTGCACACATTTTTGATTGTTTTCAAATCTGCGTCTCTTCAATCTCTTATCAATCTTTTTTTCCAAATATTTAAGTTCAATATTTGTTTGCATTTTGCACTTTTTTATTATAGTGGATTATTATCGATTTTTATAACATGACATGATTCATGCTTTCGAGAATATTTTCTTATCTTTTTTCTAATAGTGTATGCTCCACAAAATATCAATTTATTTATCATTTCATAATTTTTGCTGTTTTTGAACATGTATAACTTATATGCTTTTTATGTTTTTCTGCCAAATTTTTTTTCTAGAAAAAAGAACAATTGTAGTTATTTTTAATTAGTTGACTAAGATTTCAACAAAAGAAAAAATTAGTCATCGAAAAACTTTGCCACATTTTTTGTTCATTTTTGGAGAAATCATTTTTCAGCCATGTTTTTTCCAGATACAAAAATGAGTTTCGATAAAATGAAAAGTATGCCTGATGCTCTTAAGCCACTTATTCTTCTTCTAACTTTTCTCCAAATTATTTTTATGGCTTCACCTGGACTTCGAGGATTTGGCTGGTTTATTTGTCTCACTTCGATTCTTGAATTTCTTGCCGCAATTGGTATTTTTCTTGGATTCTTTTTTGGTGTCTCGTTTTTCGCAACAACCACTTATAGTTTATTGGTGAGTTGGAATTACTGTAGTTGAGAAAATAAAAACAAACTGATTGTGAGATTTAGGATTACTGTATCCATCAAAATCACTTTTTTCAAAAAAATTTGAATTTGTATTTTTTTCAGTTGAAATTTCATTATTTTCAAATTTCAAAAATTATTCTGAAAATTCAATTCAAGGTAAATAGAAAACACTGATTGACAGAACATGACTCAGATTGAGGTATAGGCATCAAAATCTACCAAATCCCGAAATATTCAGAATTTTTGAAGTTTTCCCAATAAGAGATCCAGATTCTAAACTCCACAAAAATTCCACCATATTTCTTATTTTCCAGGAACTTGGTGTAAGTGCAGCATTTTGTGTGTGCAGTGCTCTCAATACAGTTTATTATTTCGTCAACATTTTCTATCTCTTCAATTTCTGGTTTCTTCTCGCTACAGCTGCTTCAGTCCTTCTTGTTCTTGCTTACGGACTTCAAACTCTTGTTAATTGGTCGGCTCGCGGAATTCAAACTCGTTCGACAAATCAGGCAACAGCTCAACCACCACCGCCACCACCAGGAGGTGCTTTTCCAGCTGGAGTGAATCCGGCATAAATTTGACGGGTTTTTTGAGTTTTTGATTTTTTGAAATTGTGATGATATTGATTTTTCCAAGCTGTTTATTTTATATAAAAATTTATATTAGTACTGACATCACCCCATAAATGAACAAAAAGAACAGAAAAATAATTTCGATATACCACGAAAAAAAATTTAGCGCTTCTCGTTCATTTTTTTTTCTTCAGCAAAAAAAAACAACAAATCAGAGAAAAAATAATAATATTTTTGCGTGGACGTGAAATTTTCGTGGCAAATGCTATTTCCAAGATAATTTTTTAGTTAAAATTTTCGGGAAGCAACAAAACAGCAGCCAATAAAGATGAGTTTTTTCTCCGGGTGCCGAATTTCTGATTTACTTCCCTCTGCGAACGATTCCACGTGTCTCTCCTGGAGTAAAGTACAGCTCAACTTAGCCTAACTTAGCTAGTGAAGCTTAAGTTGAGCATTAGCCATTGCAATTGTCAGGAACCTCGACATGAGTTACCTTAACTTTTTGGTTGGAAAAACTGTGAAGTTTCGATTTTCTGATTTTTTTTCTGAAAAGAAAACGTGGAATTCTTGAAGGGGGACGGATATTTCATTTATTATGAAGGAAATTACGATTTTTCCAAGAAAAAGCATATTTTTTCAGAAAAAAAACTCAAAAACTATGGAAACTTGCACAAAATACACAAAAATTAAGGAATTCGAAATTTTCGGTGAGTTTTTTCTTCAATCAAACAAGCAGAGTAGGAATTCTGGAATTTTGACCAAAAATCGATGGATTTTATCAATTTTCAATTGGAATTTCAGATGGAATGCGGAAGCTATTCCCAAAATCTTTTTAAAACCAAAAATTTGGAATTTTCTGAAATTCTAATTAGATAGAAGTAGACATTTTTCTCACAAATTTTCAATTGAATTCTTGAAGCTATGGATTTTCTAACATTTTTCGAAGAAAAATTTGTTTTTTTCAGAGCGAAGTTGGAAGCCGTCATCGGAAACCACAAAAATACCGAGGAATTCTAATTTTTCAATTTTTTTTGTTGCGAGCTTTTTGCAGAAAAGCCAAGAAGCAGGAATACTGTAGTTTTGTTTTTAATTCCACGTGGGATTTTATCTGGGTGTGAGATCAAACATCCACGTGGAAATCGTTTCTTTTTGGCTGGTTGAAAACACGTGATTCAGTAATTTTTCTGTAGAAGATTTTCGGTGAAAATCCACGTGGCAATTCCGTGTTTCAGAAAATTCAACTGAAAATCTGTTGAATGCTTTACTGAAGTTACATATTTTAATCAAAATCGAATTAAAAACTTAGATAAAGGTGAGTGGAATCAAATTCTGGAATGTATTTCGATTTGTTCGGAAATCCGTTCGGTTCACAATTTTCTGATCAAAACAGCGGTGGCTTCTCCTCCACCATTACAAATTGCTGCAATTCCAAGTTGACCAGGTGCCAATGAATAAATCAATGAGTTGACGATTCTTAATCCAGACATTCTGAAAAATGAACAAAATAGCTTGAAAAAGGCAAAAATTAGATAATTTTTCTTACCCAAGTGGATGTCCAATAGCAACAGCACCTCCTTTAACATTAACAAGATTCGAATCGATTCCTAAATCTTGAATAAACGCCAAAGCAGTCACCGAAAATGCCTCATTGAGTTCCCAAAGTGCAATATCAGTAACTTGAAGACCAGTTGAAGCAAGAAGTGTTTGAACAGCATTAACTGGAGCAACAGTAAAATCAACTGGTTCTCTTCCAGCTTCAGCAAACGCAACAAGTTCAGCCAATGGTTGAACTCCAGCTGGAATACTATCTTCTCCAACAACAACTGAAGCAACAGCTCCATCATTTAATGAAGAAGCATTTGCAGCTGTGATAGTTCCAGTTGAATCACGAATAAAAACTGGGCGAAGACTTGATACTTTTGATTCAACAAGTTTTTTATATTCTTCATCTTCAGTTACAACAACTTCACTTCTTGCTCCTTTCACAGTAACTGGAATAACTTCTTGTGCAAATTGTCCACTTTTCCAAGCATTTGCTGCTTTCTTATAACTTTCAATCGCATAAGCATCTTGTTGTTCTCTCGTAATCCCATATTCTCTAACAGTTTTCTCCGCACACAATCCCATTGGTTGTTTTTCATTCGCATCTTCTAATCCATCTTTAGCGATTCCATCAACCATTTTCAATCCACCGTATGGAATTTCACCTCTTTGTACATAAAATGGAACTTGGCTCATATTTTCAGCTCCAACGACCAAAACACGTTTTCGATAACCGGCCTTGATTTCGACAGCAGCCAGAACCAATGCTTTCATTGAGGAAGAGCAAACTTTGTTGATTGTAACTGCTTGAGTTTCAACAGGAAGTCCTGGAATACAAAAAAAATTTGATTTTTGGGTTGAAAATGATTTTCTAAGGTTTTTCAAGTTTCGAGAAAAATGTGCAGTGGAATATTATTTTACTGAGAAAGTATTTGAGCCCAATCTTGCAGTTTTTTAGAAAAAAGATTATGAATCATGTTCCTGGTCTAATTTTTCCTATAAATCATCACGATTTTAGATACCAGGGTTCAAAAATCGCTTCAAATTTATTTATGGAAGAAAATAGTTTTTTCCTATCAGAATTCTCGAGTCTAGCTCATTTTTCTTTTCAAAAATTCCCCCCAAAAAGACCAACCTGCTCCCAATGTGATTTGTCTTGTCACATTTTGCCCAAGTCCACCAGCCAAAACACATCCACCAATAACTTCCTCAATTTCCGCGGGAGCAACTCCTGATCTCTTCACAGCCTCTCTTGCGGCAACAGCTCCCAATTCAGCAGCTCCAAAGTTGGCAAAACTTCCACGGAATGAGGCAATTGGTGTGCGAACTCCGGATAAAATGAAGATTTTCTGCAAAAAAAATTTTCAGAGAAAAATAACTCAATTAACAAAAACTAACCTTATCGGACATGTTTTCAAGAATTTTTTATCTGAAAAATAGAAAATAAATTTGATGAAAATCGATTCAGAGAAGTAAAAAAAAAAAGAAAAAGCGGATCAAAACCTATTCTACTTTCAAAAAATAACCAAAAATATCCTAAAAAGAAAATTCATTATCATTCGAGCTATAAAAATACAAGTAAAATCCCGTGAATCACAATTTTTGAATAACCATTCCACTGGCACCGCCACCTCCATTACAAATAGCAGCAACTCCGATTTGACCTGATTTGAGTGTGTGAACAAGATGAATGATTAGGCGAGCACCCGACATTCTGAACAATATAAATAAATATGGGGAAAAAATGAAATGTAAGGAAAAAATATATAAATAGGTGATAAGAACTCAAAAAGCGCTTACCCGATCGGGTGACCAATTGAAACAGCACCACCATGTGGGTTGACAAGTTCTGGATTGACACCGAGCTGAGATACAACAATTTTTCGAATTTTTTTGAAATTGTTAGGATTGAAGATATATATTTTGAAAATTTATTTCAAAATATTGAACACGTGTTGAAATTTTGAACTTTTATGTAGTTATTTGAAAACTTATATGAAATTAACTTTGTAAGTTTTCTATAAGCTTCCGTTTATTTTCAATTCATTAGAATTGAGAAAAAAAGAGTTTTTGAACCCTCTGACAACAATTTAAAGAACGTTCAATAATCACAGCTGAGAACATGATATTTCCTTTTTCCTACAGTTAAATTTTTTTTCAAAAATTTCAAAGTACAGGTTTTTGACATCAGAAACTTCACTCTGATCGTGAGAATCAACATTTTCAAAATTTCCCATAATTATCCTACAAATTCTTCATAATTTGTTGGTAGGACTTTTGGTTTTCTTGTATTTCAGTTCTAAACTAGAATGGATTACTTGAACAGTAAAAGTTCCTGTTCGCCATCAAACTCATGGAAAATTCTAAATCTCATCTTCCAACTCTGCTACATTTTCCCATTTATTTTGATCTACACCAGATTTTTTATCATAAATTCCAAAAAATCAAAAACTTTCTCCGAACCATTTTTCATTATCTATTTGGTGGAAGGGATTTCTGTAGGTTACAATATAACTCTGGATTTTTATATAGACAAGAAAATTTCAGTCATTTTGTTACGTCTTGATTGATTTTGCAATCATGCGATTGATGACGTTTATTACTCCATTTTGCAAATTTATGTTAGAAAAATTTCAAAGAGCCCACATGGTTTCTAACTCCCTATTTCTTTTTATTCATGTTTTTTCAATTCATGAAAATTTTATCAATGTTTTTGCTATGCGCTAATCGGTTAACCAGTGTTATGATGCCTATAATACATTCTCATGTAAGTTCAGCAGTTTTCAGAACATCTCAAAAAATGTTTGAAGTTTTGGAAACGGCATATTCACCATTTCATCATCGCTCAAATAATAATTTCAATCATTTCTTCTACTCCAACTTTAACTGGGCCCTCATATGCTTATACATATTTCAATCAAGGCCAGGTTACTTATATGCACACTGTTACATATTTCCGTACGTCATATTTTCGACTACTTTTCATAATCTCTGGAGTTCCTTTTGTAATCATTTCGAATATTCTTATAATCCGAAAACTATCAAAACTTTCTGGGAATATGGAGAAAATGCAAAAAATAATGACAATCTCCACAATTGTTATGTCAATTAGCTCGACTTTAGCAATTTTCTTATCGTTTTTTGTAATTCTGGTGAGCCCAGAATATCTCGAAAATATGAATTCAGTTCAGGCGGAAATTGGATTGTTTTTGAATCAACTTTGTAAAGATTTTGAAATCATTTGGTGAGTAAAATTCAAAAGAAATATATTTGTGAATTTTTTGACAGTGGTCCAATTATTTTATTGATAATGGATGGGAAAAATCGGAAGTCTTCGCTGTTCAAAAAACGAATTTTAAATAACGCTAAAACTAGTCGTAGTGTTTAAAATGAGCAATCCTTTTGAGATAAAAGAACGAATACTTCTCTTGATAAATGAAAACAATTTGATAATTTAATTTTTTGAAATATGTGATTTTCTAGTAATTTTTGCTAGAGCATTTTCATTTTTTAATTGAAAATAATATTCTTTGAATCCGATCAGAGAATGTTCAAAAATCAAATGATAAAAAACCAACCTTTTTGATAAAAGCGAGTGGAACACACGAGAATGCTTCATTAACTTCCCATTGAGCAACATCTCCAGCTTTAACTCCAGCTCTTTCCAAAATTTTTGGGAACATCAAAGTTGGTGCAACAGCAAAATCGAGTGGATTTGTTGCCGCATCTCCGTATGCAAGAATTTTGGCCAATGGTTTGAGATTTTGTTCACTAACAGCTTCTTGTGATGCGACAACAACGGCTCCAGCTCCGTCATTGAGAGTTGAAGCATTGGCAGCGGTGATAGTTCCGTCTGGAAAAAAAATGATTTAGATTTGCTACTTTGGGAGCAAAAAAAATCAATAATAAACAAAATATTATCTAATTTCGGTAAATGTTTTCATAAACATTTAGGACTTAGGTTTCCGAGGGTTTTTGAATCACGTATGAAATTTAAAATTTAAAACTGATTTTATTTATCATCCCGTTCCTTCTCCTAATTTTTAAAATTACCTTTTTGGAAGACTGTTTTGAGCGAGGTGAATTTCTCGAAATTTACTTTGGTAAACTCTTCATCTTTGTCAACAACAGTAACACCTTTTCTTGATTTTACATTGACTGGAGTAACTTCAGCGCCAATATTTCCATCCTGAAACATTCTTAATTCATCGATCAAAACCTCTTTAAAAATATCAAACCTTCCATGCTTGAGCAGTTTTCTTGTAACTCGAAATCGCATAATTATCTTGATCCTGTCTCGAAATTCCTAATTCTTTCGATGTTTTCTCTCCACAATTTCCCATATGAATTTTATCATAAGCATCAGTCAAACCATCCTTCACAATTCCATCAATGATTTGTTGTCCACCATATGGAATATCGCCACGTGGAACATAAAATGGTACTTGGGACATGCTTTCCATTCCACCACCAATCGCGACATTTTGATGGCCAGTTTGAATTTGTTGCGCAGCCAACATGATTGCTTTCAAACCAGATGAACATACTTTATTGACTGTGGTTACAGCAACTCCAAGATCGAGACCTGAAAAATGTATGGAGAATGAAAAATAACAATGGAGGAGATGGAAGAGATGGAACTGGAATAATTGGCTGCAATTTTATATAAACAAAAATATAGCCAATATTCACTAGACTTGACATTTTATGAAAACACCATTTTTGAAATTAGCAAATAGACCTTTTATGAAATGAACTGAAAATTTTTAAGCAGCATTATATCGATCCTAATATGACTTATGACGTGGCAAAATTAGGAAATATCAGGTTTTCCTGATAGTAAGTTAATTATCATTGTAAAAACCCGATTTTTCACAATTTTCCAATTTTGCCACGTCATAACTCTTTTTTCAGAGTTGAATTCTTCATTTTTGACAACGAAATCATGAAAAAGCACTCACCAGCTCCAAGTGATGCCTGTCTTGCTGGAGCTTGTCCAGCATTTGCTTGACAAACTTGTCCGATGAAAACTTCTTGCACTGAACTTGGCTTAATCGAACCACGCTCAAGAGCCGCTTTGATCGCAATACTTCCTAATTCGGTTGCTGGAACACTTGCGAGAGATGATCGGAATGAACCGATTGGTGTTCGGGCAGCTCCGACGATGAAAACATCCTAGAATAATTTATATTTTATTGGAAATTGACTTCAAAGCGTTAATCAAAGAAAAACCGACCTTGTTATAAAATTTAGAAGTTGTGGAAAAACTCCGACTCGCAACACATCTGAACATTCTGAAATTTGAAATAAAAATGACAAAAACGTGTTGAAGAGAGAAAAAGAAAGAAAGATAACAGATCAGACAAATGGAACAGTGATGTATGAAGTATTGAAGAAAAAAAAGAGAAATGAAATTGTCTTTTTTTTCTCAAAAAGATGCACGTGGTGGACAAATGTTTGCAGATTGGAAAAGATCAAATAACGAACATTATAGGTCACCTGTAGTTTTGAAAATGGAATTTTTGTGAAAAAATAATTTTCAGAATAGGGTTAGAAAGGGTTAGAAACATGAGAAATACAAGTTCCGAAAATGCGCAAAGTTTTTATTTTATTTTCTCAATAGAGCACACTTTCATGTGTTTTTTTTTCAACAGCAAAAATGTGAAATAAATACGAATCCCAAACCTAAAGAAATCCCAAACCTAAAGAAAGAACGGAAAAAATAAGAGTGTATGTCAACACCGACAGCCCGCAAACAACAAATCCTACGCGCAACCTTGACGCGAAATACGCGCTCTGTGTTTTCGCTCAGACAAGTTGAGCGATTAATCGGTAAGCAAAGTGAGCTGACGATTAATCGTCTGAACAAAATTAATACAGGCGATTAATCGGCCAGCCAGCAGCTAATTCAAGTTGCTTAGCGATTAATCGCCCAATTTGTCTGAGCGTGAAGAAATTTCTGGGGATTTTTAAAAATTGGGAACCCCCCCCCCAGATTTTAGAAATGGACACGTTTAAAGTATAACATATGGGAACCCTGAGAATCTCTCCAATGTCGCTTTTCCCTTGGAGAATACTAGTAAATACGAAAAAGTAGAGAAATACTTGATTTTCAACAAGTTTCTAATGAAATTTACGAGAGAAAAATTTATGATAAAATTGTTCATTAACTTACATTGAATAAAAAAAACAAAAATAAGAAATCATTTAATTATTCTTATCCGCATAAACCAACGAATTGCCACCATCACGATATCTCTGGAAAACATTCAAAATGGTCGCAAGCTTGAATCCTCTCCAATCACAAACCGAATCACTGAAAAATTCTGAGTTATTTAGGGAACAAAATATCTGATTGTTTCACTTACGTCATAAATTTCTTGAACTGGTGGCGATGATCTATCGGTTTTGATATTTGGAATATCAAAACGCCACACTTTCTTTGTGGCAACTTTTTCTCGGAGTTTACCTCTCTTTGTAATTCATCAATTTTAATCTCCTCTTTTATGTATTTTCGATAAATCTCTCATTTTTTCAATTTTCCTTGCTCAACTTCAATTATATTCGATATGGTTCGAAGTGTCCAAATTGAGTTTTTTGAGAACGAGGCGGGCAACAGAATCGCAAAATCGTTTGGAGTTGATGGGTGTTTTTCTGTCAATTCCAAAATTGCATCATTCAAAAATTTTGTCACTCCAATTAGCCATATTTTGAAGTGAACCATCTGAAAATTATCAATGTAGTCAGGCTCTGTTTTTTAATTATTTCGCTTACATTTATGGATGGTCTAATGTCTTGGTTATATCCACTTTCGGTCATCTCTAGAGCTGATTCGAGTTGGATCACATTCTCATCAATTAACATTTTACTCAGTTGTATTTGAGCATTCAAACTTGCAGCCGATGCAGCAGATCTCAACTGAACAAATTCCGCTCGTTTGTTTTCGGGCAAATTCGCTGGATATTTCTCGTCACTTTCACCCCCTTGTTTCGCCAATCGAGCTTTTGCTACCTCAGTCAACAATAATCCCGACTGTTTTTGTCTTTCTCTCTCTTTTTCTTCATTCTTTGTCTTGTTTCTTCTTTGATCATTCAATACAACACTTCTTTGTCCTCTTCCAATACTTGTTCCTTCATTCTCTTTTTCAGCATCTCTACCGCCACCTTCTTCTTCTTTGAGGCGAATCAAATTGAATTTCATCCGGGTTTTCGCTTTTTCTGTGAGAATTTCATTGTCGCCTTCTGCTTTCACAACAATCTGAAAATCATATAGTTTCGATAAGTACTCTACTTTTATTTTAGTTACCGTATGAATAGGGTTAGAAACATGAACAATACAAGTTCCGAAAATGCGCAGCAAGAAAACTGCTGCACCAGTTTTCTTTTTCAAATTTCTCAATAGAGCACACTTTCATGTATTTAGTTTTTTCAACAGAAAAATATTTTTTATGTGAAACTAGGGGGCCCTGAGCAGAAAGTGTTAACATGTTATTAAGCGTGTTTCTTCGAATCTGATGAATTTACTGTAATGGAGAGAAATTTTAATGGTTCCCGAGCTAAAATCCGAGAAAAAACGAATCTTCCTCAAATGTATGCGATTCTTTAACAAATTAATAACTGTTTAGGTTAGAAAAACTCAATCCGGGTCCCCAAAATCCCGATTCCCGGGTTCCCAAGGAAAAAAAAAGAAAATTGAAATGAGTGTACAGCAGAGCGAATTTGCTGCACTTGGCAAGTCGCCAGTGCGCACGGTTGCGTCATGGTGTCATTGCCACGTCGTGCCAGGCAAATGGGAAAAGATAATTTCGTGGAGACGCAGAGAAAAAACGAGGCAGAGAGAGAGCGCGGCGAGACCCTGCAGCAGAAAAATGTGTGCCTTTATTTTCATTTCTAAAAAAAAAATAAAAAATTTTTCTTTCAAAAACAGTGTTTGTTTTTCTCCATTTATTGAGCAATTTATTAGTCAAATGAAAGATGGAAGGCAAAAAGCTGGTAAGTTTGGAATAACAAAATAGTTTAGCATAATTAAAAATTGTTTTTACAGATAATAAATTCGAATAATTTGTACAATGGACCGCCGAACTTTCTGAAAAGAATTAAGCAACAACCTCCAATTTTTTTGAAAAACATTACTCTGAGATACCCAAACAAAGTAGATTCGACCGAAGGACCGTCAGCAAAGTTACGCCGTCGTGACTTTGATGATGATTTTATAGAAAAGCCATCAACATCGGCTATTTTTGGAATTCATGATGACTCACGCCTTTTCTTAGGCCCGTCAACGGAGCTGGGCTCTGATGATGTTTGCCTTCAAAAAGGCCCGTCAATGGAGCTAGGCTCTGATGATGTTTGCCTTGAAAAAGGCCCGTCAGCGGGGTGTAGCCCTGATGATGTTCCTTCGGTTGAACAAAATTCCCAGTTTTCAACTTCATCGCAAATTGTTTTTCAACATTTTCCTGGAGCGTTTGATGAATTTGGCAATTTCTGGAAAAATCATGGAGAAATTTTACAAAAGTGCAATAATATGAAAAACAAAATTGACGATCTGGAAATAGAGAAGTCAGACCTGGAATCTAGACTGAGATCTAAAATTGATTATGCTCAACTTTTAGAGCAGCACATACAATTTTTAGAGACTGAAGTTCGAAAGTTGAAATCTTCCGTTTCCTTGAACGGTAACTTTTTGAAGGTTCCATACCACCTTTGTTCAAAGAATGACAGAACAAAAAGATTGATGAAAGTTTCGGAAAAAATTTTGATGATAAAGGGGTCTGTGTAAATCTGATGACGAAATAGAAGAAGCAAATCATAAAATTCTCGAAGAACTTTCCATGTTTTTTGATGTGCCGTTGATTTTGACCCTTCCCAAACTGTCTCCAGAAGAAGATTTCTCAATTTTTATAAAGAACGGTTTGACGTGGCATCAGCGAGAAATTATTAAAACTGGGTTAATTCCAAAAAAATTAGATATATTGGCTCCAACTGGATCCGTTAGAACGTGGCAAAAACATTTTGCAAATGGTTTCCATCCTTTTTACAAAAAAAGTGTTAATTGACAATTCTGTTCCTCTGGTATATCTGGAAGATGCTGAAGGTCTTATAGTGAAACGACTTACCATGTTGGATGATGAAGATATGTTGAATTTCGATGGGCCTTTTGGGGGTGATTTCTGGTGGTGTATTGTCTCCGATCAAGGTGCACACTACACAAAAGCAATTCTGCTCTTTCCAAACTCAAAAAAACCAAACTCTATGAAAAGTGGTATAGTTTTGGCAATTTATTATGGAAAAGAAACGTATGATCTCCTCGAAAAATGTTTCCAAAAGGTTTTCAAAGCAGTTGTATCAATGAAAAAAGTGACAATAAACGGGAAAACAAGAAATGTCGTTCATCATTGTACCGGTGATATGAAAAATATGGTGGCTTTGGCAGGAATTGAATCCTCAAATTCGATGTTTTGTTGTATATTCTGCTTTTACAAAGCAACGCTTTGCAAAGATTGGGATCATTCCGAGAATTTTCGTATGCGAACCAATTCAGATCTCGTTGAATGTGCAATGAAATACCAATCGAAAATCTTAACATTCACTTCTGAAGCAAAACGCCACGCATGGGCACAGGAATGTTTTTCTTCTATTCTTCTTCCACTCATCTTGGTTTTATTGTGTAATTTTGTGCCCAGCGCTCTTCATATTTTTCTTGGAATCGGAAATCTTTTGTTGCAATTTCTAGAGTTCGAGACAATTCTTATCGATTTGAAAAATGCTGGATTTGATGTTTCAAGCTTACAAAAAAGTAATGATATTTCAAAATTGAAACTGGAAATTGAAAAAGATGAGAAGTTGTACAAAAAATTAGAAAAAGAAACCAAAGTAGAGCAACGAACCTTAGAATTTTTGAAACAAATAAACAATAATTTGGCAAATCCGAGAAAATCCAAAAAACAATCCAAAGATGTTCAACGTTGTTGCGCCTCTAGATGTTTTCATATCGATGCAATTCCATTCAAGATCAATCTTCCAGCCTCAAAAACCCTGATCTGCTCGACTTGTCGCAACTGGTATCACAGTAATTGTGAATTTATTATCTCTGAATATCACATTGATCAGGTTTCGAGTGATTATTGTTGTTTCGGTTGTCAAAGATCAAGTATGAAATCTGGAGAACGAATTGAGAAATTACTCATCGAAAACACTCAAGAACTCTCTAAAATTTCTTCGAAACTTACCGAGCTTGAAAAGAAAAAAGAAGCCTATGAAAATATTGTCTCAAATAGAAATGGAGACAAAACACGAGCTCTTGAAACAATGTACAAGAGAGTAGGAGCATACAAAAGTGCATTTTTCACAAAATTCAATGGGAATCATCTAAGAAAATGTTTCAAAGATACATCAATCGTTCTTCTCTTTGAGCATTTCGAAAGCCCACTTTCTCCAAAGCTCGACAATCTCCGGAAATCAATGATTATTTTGAATAGAATACAAGATTTCAGTTGTGCTTCTTTTTTGGAGGATTCCCAAGTTCTAGAGTTACAACAATCAATTCGAGACTTTGTCGATACTTTCAAGTTGTATGCTCCTGATCAAAAAGTTACGCCAAAAATGCATTGGCTAATTCACTTGATCGAATTTGTTGAAAGAAAACGGACATGGGGGTTGATGTCCGAACAGCCAATTGAAAGCTTTCATGCTGAATGGAATAAAGTCGAGAAACGATTTCTTCATATCACAGACATCACAGAAAGAATTTTCGCAATGATTTCTTATTTTTGCTGCAAGCATTTTTCATGATTTAAGTAAGATGTTTGAAATATGTATTCTTCGAAAACCTGCCATCTTCGTCATTCGTATAATTTGGTGAGTTTGCAGAGCTACTTCAATACATATCACCAAACAATCAAACCAAAATTATACGAATAATCAAAAATTTCAGGTATTCGACACAAATCAAATCCATTTGCATGAAACATTTTCTGTGATGCCTGCTTCTCCTCCAATCTCCTTCTTCATCTTTTTATTGTTTGCTTCTCCTTGTTGAAAATAATTATTTATTGAAAATAATTATAAATAGAATAGTCATTTTTCTTTTGTATTTCTTTCTTTTTTTATAAATCGTTCTCCGGAAGCTTATGCATACTCAGCGATGTCCTGAAATTTATGACAATTATATATGAAACAGTTAATTGGAACTCACCGAATATACAATTCCATTAATTCCACCGATTCGGAAGGAGAAATCGGCGGTTGCCTAACGATAAGCCGCTAAATTTTCTCCAAATAGTATGTATTTTCTAGAGACACAAATGAAGAAGAATCCCGCGACTAATTTGCGACAAAATGGACGTTTTTCGCCGATTTGTCGCGGGGTTCTTTTTTGTCTGCGTATTCATAGAATTCACATTATTACAGCGACTAACTTCCGACTGAACTCAGGCAACCGCCGCTTTCTCATTTTAAATCGCTAAGTTCTTTGATATTTTCCTGTGAAATTTCGATTTCCAATCATCTCTTTCGAAGAAATTTTCAGGAGCTTAAACCTGTAAAAACATTAGTTTATTTTCGTTTTTTCTGAATGGAAAACTGACCTGTTCATTCATAGAGTATACCTTTGTATACTTTTCAATTAGATTCAACAGAGAATCACTGACACACCTGATTTTCTCGAAAATGTTCTTTGAGAACAAAAAAAAATGAAAATGAAAAAAAGCCGCACGCACACACGCAACGCGTTGGGTCTCGTCGCGACTGTCTAACCTTTTTTTTTCTCTGCGTCTCCTCGAATTTGTGTGGTGGCACGACGTGTTGCGGACATTGAAGAGTCATTTTTTGAGCGTGTTTTTTATAGAGAAGATTTAGAATTGGGATAAATACAAAAAAAGTAGATATACTTGATATATAAAGCTCTTCTACTCGATTCATTTTAGTGAAACGCAAAAAATAAGATTTTTTCAAAAAAAGTGAAATTTTCCCGCGAAAAATTCATTTAAAAAATACATCACAAAAAATACAGAAAACTCATTTATTTACTTCCTTCTTCTTTTCTTGCCTCTTCTTTCTTCCGAGCTCCATTATTCCATTGCCATCGTCAAACTTTTTCTTGTTAATCAAGATTTGGTCAAACGAAATTGGCTTTTTTGAAGCCTTGAAGCTACTGAAAACATTATACATCTTTCAGAGGATTACGCTGAAAATCACTCACACCAGGAACTTGTTGTAATCCAATTTTGGATACATTTTTTTGAAATCATCTTCATCCGTCTCCGAGATTCCTCTGGAACGGAATGTCACCATTCGTTCCACTCTCTGAAAAATATAACTAAAACACTTACAAGGAAACCTTACTTACTCAAAACTTCAAATCACGGTGAAATTTTCACAGTATCATGCGATTTTTATGAAGCTCTAAAATTATTAGGCTCCCAATGGACATGTGAGAAAAATCACGCGTCCATTGGGAGACTAAAAATTTGAGAGACTTATTTTTATCCGTATATCAACGTACTGTGAAAATTGCATTATGATTTGAAGTGTTGAGTTAAAATAGTCCCTTGTTAAATGGAGCCCAAAAAATAACAAAGGTTGAAATTAAAGCTTTTCCTAACTCCGGAGCGAAAAATATCAAATACTTAAAATCACTTACTACAAGAAATTCAGCTGGCTTCTCGGTCGATTGTTCATATTCCTCGATCAATTCGAGAGCTTCACGAATCCCAAATGTTGTTCGAGTAGCTATTTTCTCGAGAAAGTTCTTATTCAATTTCTTCTGGTTTTGAATTTGAATAAGTTTTTCTACTGATTCTGGATACTCTTCAATAGTGATTGAACATTTCCAAAGCGCCTTAAAAATTAATTTTCAAAATTAAAAAAATATATTTTTTATTTACCTGAACAGTTTTCATTCCAAGAACCTTTTCCATTTGCGGTCCAGAACAGTTCTTGTAATCTGGTGCAAGTTGACCAATGATTTGGCTATTCGCACTAGTTCGAACTGAAATTCAAAATGTCAGAGAGTGGAACGCTAAATACAGTCGAGCATAATTTTTTCTAAGTAATATTTTCAACCTAAGGTTTTTCAAAAAGTAAGATAATCCAAAAACAAGTTTTCCACTATCCCCTAAGCCAGCTATGAAAAACATTTCCAAATTTTCAATTCAACTCACTCTTTTAAGACCCGATATTTTATTCGAGTAGTTTTTCACGAATTCTTGCAACTCCTTCTTTCCATCATCATTCTGTAAAACAATTTACTCTGATGACTTCATTTTGTTTAGAAGCAGGTGTCCAAAAAATAAAATTTTGTTTGTTGATTTGGGGGCTATGGAGGCCAAAAATTCAAATGTCAAAAATACCAAAATCCTCATGGAAAATTCAGTTCTTAGATGCAAAAGTCTTTGCTCGATTTTTTCCTAACAATTTTTCCCTAAGACGGAGACACGCTCAACTGGAGCCCCTAGTCACAGTTCGAAATTTTGCCACGTGCATTTTTTGGTCCAAAATTGCTCAAAAATCCCATTTCATCTGAATTTTCTACTGTTTTTTGAGCTAAAAAGCTGAAATTTTCTCACAAAATCCGATTTTTTCAAATTTTAAAGCCTCACCTCAACCGGAACAATATCCTTTCCGCGATTTTCAGCCGGAATTCCTTGCTTCATTTTTGAATACTGATAGTTTCGAGAAATAATCGATTTCTTCTGATATTTATACACGTCATCGAATACGTCATATATACACGTCATCGAATACGTCATATAAAATTTGGGTCACGTGAAAAACATTTTTTTTTTGAATTTTGTCATAAATTTTTGACATGGAAAAAGAACCAAGAAAAATTTCAATTTTCCATTCCCTTCCTCGAAATCTTTCTTGTTTATCAAGAGTTGCTTGAACGAAATTAGGCGTTTTGAAGCTTTGAAACTTTTGAAAACATGATACATTATTCGAAATGTTATTCGTAAGAGACTTTATTCGTAAGAAGTGAGATTTGACCGCATGGAAAAATTCATAAAAAATACAATAAAATTTTACGTTTCATTATTCTTCTTTCTTTTTTCTTCTTTTTTTCTTGTCGCTTTGTTGTAATCCAATTTGGGGAAACATTTGTTTGAATGAATTTTCATCTGTCACCGAGACTCCTCGGGATTTAAATGAAATCATACGTTCGACCTTCTGAAAAATAAAACTAAAACACTTACAAGGAAATCTTTCTTACTCAACACTTCGAACCATGTTGAAAACACAACATCTGAACAACTACCAAATGGCACAACACTTCATCGGACCAACTGTGGAATTTTGATTACTGGAAGAGAGGATCCTACTGCAGAAAGAGATCTCACTTGATACATTTTCATTTTCAGCTGAAGAATATCAATTTAGAACATTTGTGTAACAATTTAAAATTTCTCGCCGAGATCTTGAGCCAGATACTGAACATGACGCTCTTCGCAAATGTTTGGAAAATTGTTTTTTTGAAAAATAATTTTTTTTTGGCGGCCATTTCAGATTTTTTTTCAAAAAATCGGATCTGATTCGATTCCTATAGTCCGATTCAAAATGCGCCAATTTTAGACGACGTCAAACTTTTCTCACAGGTCCAGGGGAGCCTAATAATTTCAGGGCCTAATTTTTATCCGTTTATCAAGATACTGTTAAAATTTCATGGTGATTTGAAGTGTTGAGTAAAAAAGGTTTCCTTGTCAATGTTTTAGTTATATTTTTCGTATGGTTGAGTAACATTCAGATCAAGAGGAATAGCGACAAGAAAAAAAGAAGAAAAAAGAAAGAAGAATAATGAAACGTAATATTTTATTGTATTTTTCATGAATTTTTTCATGCGTTCAAATCTCACTTTTTTTGTAAAAATCTTATTTTTTTGCGTTTCTCTAAAATTTATTTTTTGAAATTTTGTTTCAGCAAAGTTACAATTTTAATAATTTATGACTCACGGAAGATGGAAGACGGAAAACTTTTTGTCGTCATGAGTTTCAGCACAAAATTTTGTAATCGGCCCGAGTTTTTTCAAAAAATAATCGGCCTGGGTTTTTTCAAAAAAAAAATCGGCTCGAGTTTAAAAAAAAATCGGCCCGAGTTTTTTCAAAAAAATAATCGGCCCGAGTTTTTTCAAAAAAATAATCGGCCCGAGTTTTTTCAAAAAAATAATCGGCCCGAGTTTCTCCAAAAAAATCATCGGCCCGAGTTTTTTCAAAAAAATAATCGGCCCGAGTTTTTTCAAAAAAATAATCGGCCCGAGTTTCTCCAAAAAAATCATCGGCCCGAGTTTTTTCAAAAAAAAAATGTAGCAAATGAAAAGAGCTATTGTCATCTAGAACTTCAGTTTTTCCCCCAAAATTGTATTTTCATTGACTAGCAAAAAATTTGTGCCAGAAATTCGAAGAAAACTAGATTTTTTCGAGATGAAAACTATGAATTTTCTATCCAGAAGGTCTGGGGATCAAAACATTTATTTTGTTTCAATTGATATATCAAGCTCTTCTACTCGATTCATTAAAGTGAAACGCAAAAAATAAGATTTTTTCAAAAAAAGTGAAATTTTCCCGCGAAAAATTCATTAAAAAAATACATCACAAAAAATACAGAAAAAAAATACAAAAAAATACAGAAAACTCATTTATTTACTTCCTTTTTCTTTTCTTGCCTCTTCTTTCTTCCGAGCTCCATTATTCCATTGCCATCGTCAAACTTTTTCTTGTTAATCAAGACTTGGTCAAACGAAATTGGCTTTTTTGAAGCCTTGAAGCTACTGAAAACATTATACATCTTTCAGAGGATTACGCTGAAAATCACTCACACCAGGAACTTGTTGTAATCCAATTTTGGATACATTTTTTTGAAATCATCTTCATCCGTCTCCGAGATTCCTCTGGAACGGAATGTTACCATTCGTTCCACTCTCTGAAAAATATAACTAAAACACTTACAAGGAAACCTTACCTACTCAAAACTTCAAATCACGGTGAAATTTTCACAGTATCATGCGATTTTTATGAAGCTCTAAAATTATTAGGCTCCCAATGGACATGTGAGAAAAATCACGCGTCCATTGGGAGACTAAAAATTTGAGAGACTTATTTTTATCCGTATATCAACGTACTGTGAAAATTGCATTATGATTTGAAGTGTTGAGTTAAAATAGTCCCTTGTTAAATGGAGCCCAAAAAATAACAAGGGTTGAAATTAAAGCTTTTCCTAACTCCGGAGCGAAAAATATCAAATACTTAAAATCACTTACTACAAGAAATTCAGCTGGCTTCTCGGTCGATTGTTCATATTCCTCGATCAATTCGAGAGCTTCACGAATCCCAAATGTTGTTCGAGTAGCTATTTTCTCGAGAAAGTTCTTATTCAACTTCTTCTGGTTTTGAATTTGAATAAGTTTTTTTACTGATTCTGGATACTCTTCAAGAGTGATTGAACATTTCCAAAGCGCCTTAAAAATTAATTTTCAAAATTAAAAAAAAAATTTTTTTATTTACCTCAACAGTTTTCTTTCCAAGAACTTTTTCCATTTGCGGTCCAGAACAGTTCTTGTAATCTGGTGCAAGTTGACCAATGATTTGGCTATTCGCACTAGTTCGAACTGAAATTCAAAATGTCAGAGAGTGGAACGCTGAATACAGTCGAGCATAATTTTTTCTAAGTAATATTTTCAACCTAAGGTTTTCCAAAAAGTCAGATAATCCTAAAACAAGTTTTCCACTATCCCCTAAGCCAGCTATAAAAAACATTTCCAAATTTTCAATTCAACTCACTCTTTTAAGACCCGATATTTTATTCGAGTAGTGTTTCACGAATTCTTGCAACTCCTTCTTTCCATCATCATTCTGTAAAACAATTTACTCTGATGACTTCATTTTGTTTAGAAGCAGGTGTACAAAAATACAATTTTGTTTGTTGATTCGGGGGCTATGGGGCCAAAACTTCAAATGTCAAAAAATGCCAAAATCCTCATGGAAAATCTAGTTCTTAGATGCAAAAGTCTTTGCTCGATTTTTTCCTAACAATTTTTCCCTAAGACGGAGACACGCTCAACTGGAGCCCCTAGTCACAGTTCGAAATTTTGCCACGTGCATTTTTTGGTCCAAAATTGCTCAAAAATCCCATTTCATCTGAATTTTCTACTGTTTTTTGAGCTAAAAAGCTGAAATTTTCTCACAAAATCCGATTTTTTCAAATTTTAAAGCCTCACCTCAACCGGAACAATATCCTTTCCGCGATTTTCAGCCGGAATTCCCTGATTCATTTTTGAATACTGATTGCTTTGAGAAATAAACGATTTCTTCTGATATTAATACACGTCATCGAATACGTCATATATACACGTCATCGAATACGTCATATAAAATTTGGGTCACGTGAAAAACATTTTTTTTTCGAATTTTGTCATAAATTTTTGACATGGAAAAAGAACCAAGAAAAATCGAAAAGAAACGAGAATCTGGTATTTTTGGGTGGAATGTGGGGTAATTCAGGTGGATCAGTCAAAATGGGAGATTAAGTTGAGCAAAAATTGGAAGTGAGTGAGCTGTGATGAAGTTTGAGATTTTGAGCCAAAACGTTTCATTTTAGTGAAATTTCTGCTTCTTTTTTCGTCTCTTCTTTCTTTTCAAGTTCAATTTTCCATTCCCTTCCTCGAAATCTTTCTTGTTTATCAAGAGTTGCTTGAACGAAATTAGGCGTTTTGAAGCTTTGAAACTTTTGAAAACATGATACATTATTCGAAATGTTATTCGTAAGAGACTTTATTCGAAAGAAGTGAGATTTGACCGCATGGAAAAATTCATAAAAAATACAATAAAATTTTACGTTTCATTATTCTTCTTTCTTTTTTCTTCTTTTTTTCTTGTCGCTTTGTAATCCAATTGTGGCTACATTTGTTTGAATGAATTTTCATCTGTCACCGAGACTCCTCGGGATTTAAATGAAATCATACGTTCGACCTTCTGAAAAATAAAACTAAAACACTTACAAGGAAATCTTTCTTACTCAAAACTTCGAATCATGTTGAAAACACAACATCTGAACAACTACCAAATGGCACAACACTTCATCGGACCAACTGTGGAATTTTGATTACTGGAAGAGAGGATCCTACTGCAGAAGAGATCTCACTTGATACATTTTCATTTTCAGCTGAAGAATATCAATTTGGAACATTTGTGTAACAATTTAAAATTTCTCGCCAAGATCTTGAGCCAGATACTGAACATGACGCTCTTCGCAAATGTTTGGAAAATTGTTTTTTTGAAAAATAATTTTTTTTGGCGGCCATTTCAGATTTTTTTTCAAAAAATCGGATCTGATTCGATTCCTATAGTCCGATTCAAAATGCGCCAATTTTAGACGACGTCAAACTTTTCTCACAGGTCCAGGGGAGCCTAATAATTTCAGGGCCTAATTTTTATCCGTTTATCAAGATACTGTTAAAATTTCATGGTGATTTGAAGTGTTGAGTAAAAAAGGTTTCCTTGTCAATGTTTTAGTTATATTTTTCGTATGGTTGAGTAACATTCAGATCAAGAGGAATAGCGACAAGAAAAAAAGAAGAAAAAAGAAAGAAGAATAATGAAACGTAATATTTTATTGTATTTTTCATGAATTTTTTCATGCGTTCAAATCTCACTTTTTTTGTAAAAATCTTATTTTTTTGCGTTTCTCTAAAATTTATTTTTTTGAAATTTTGTTTCAGCGGTCATAAGTACAACCCTCGGCAACCAACCCTCGAATGTTTAACCCTCGTCATTTTGTACAACCCTCGTGTGTTCAACCCTCGGCATTTCCAGATTTACCCTCGTCATTTCAAAAATTATTTTTTTCATTTTCGAAATGATTTTTTTCCGGGAAAAAAACTTCATTTCTCTTTATAAAGCTTAGGCTTAGTGAACGCCCAAGAAAAAATTTTTTTCAAGAAAATTCGATGTTTCAGATGAAAAAACAAGTATTTCTGACACTGTGTGAAAATTTATAGTTTTTCCTAACAACTAGATCCAAGGATTGATCGCCTCAAAAAATGACAACTGAAATTGAAAAAAAAAAATTTTGAAATGACGAGGGTAAATCTGAAAACGCCGAGGGTTAAACACACGAGGGTTGTACAAAATGACGAGGGTTAAACATTCGAGGGTTGGTTGCCGAGGGTTGTACTTTTGACCTGTTTCAGCAAAGTTACAATTTTAATAATTTATGACGTCACGGAAGATGGAAGACGGAAAACTTTTTGTCGTCATGAGTTTCAGCACAAAATTTTGTAATCGGCCCGAGTTTTTTCAAAAAATAATCGGCCCGAGTTTTTTCAAAAAAAAATCGGCTCGAGTTTAAAAAAATCGGCCCGAGTTTTTTCAAAAAATAATCGGCCCGAGTTTTTTCAAAAAAAAATCGGCTCGAGTTTAAAAAAAAATCGGCCCGAGTTTTTTCAAAAAAATAATCGGCCCGAGTTTTTTCAAAAAAAAAATGCAGCAAATGAAAAGAGCTATTGTCATCTAGAACTTCAGTTTTTCCCCCAAAATTGTATTTTCATTGACTAGCAAAAAATTTGTGCCAGAAATTCGAAGAAAACTAGATTTTTTCGAGATGAAAACTATGAATTTTCTATCCAGAAGGTCTGGGGATCAAAACATTTATTTTGTTTCAATTGATATATAAAGCTCTTCTACTCGATTCATTTTAGTGAAACGCAAAAAATAAGATTTTTTCAAAAAAAGTGAAATTTTCCCGCGAAAAATTCATTAAAAAAATACATCACAAAAAATACAGAAAAAAATACAAAAAAATACAGAAAACTCATTTATTTACTTCCTTTTTCTTTTCTTGCCTCTTCTTTCTTTCGAGCTCCATTATTCCATTGCCATCGTCAAACTTTTTCTTGTTAATCAAGATTTGGTCAAACGAAATTGGCTTTTTTGAAGCCTTGAAGCTACTGAAAACATTATACATTTTTCAGAGGATTACGCTGAAAATCACTCACACCAGGAACTTGTTGTAATCCAATTGTGGATACATTTTTTTGAAATCATCTTCATCCGTCTCCGAGATTCCTCTGGAACGGAATGTTACCATTCGTTCCACTCTCTGAAAAATATAACTAAAACACTTACAAAGGAAACCTTACTTACTCAAAACTTCAAATCACGGTGAAATTTTCACAGTATCATGCGATTTTTATGAAGCTCTAAAATTATTAGGCTCCCAATGGACATGTGAGAAAAATCACGTGTCCATTGGTAGACTAAAAATTTGAGAGACTTATTTTTATTAGCCTTTTACCAATCGGTGCACCTCGCTCTATCGCACTCGCCATGGAAGAGAAAAGTTTTTTTCGCGTCCTAGGATCCGACACACTCGGCCATCTTTTTGTTTTTGTTTTTCTTTTTTTCGAAACGGTTTTCGTTTGCATTTGAACTCGTGCGCTTTTTTTGGCGCGTCGCGTGCGATGCGGAGCGTGTTTGTTCGATGGAGCGAGGTGCACCGACGTATGAAAGGCTAATATCCGTATATCAACGTACTGTGAAAATTGCATTATGATTTGAAGTGTTGAGTTAAAATAGTCCCTTGTTAAATGGAGCCCAAAAAATAACAAGGGTTGAAATTAAAGCTTTTCCTAACTCCGGAGCGAAAAATATCAAATACTTAAAATCACTTACTACAAGAAATTCAGCTGGCTTCTCGGTCGATTGTTCATATTCCTCGATCAATTCGAGAGCTTCACGAATCCCAAATGATGTTCGAGTAGCTATTTTCTCGAGAAAGTTCTTATTCAATTTCTTCTGGTTTTGAATTTGAATAAGTTTTTCAACCAATTCTGGATACTCTTCAATAGTGATTGAACATTTCCAAAGCGCCTTAAAAATTAATTTTCAAAATTAAAAAAAAAATTTTTTTATTTACCTCAACAGTTTTCTTTCCAAGAACTTTTTCCATTTGCGGTCCAGTACAGTTCTTGTAATCTGGTGCAAGTTGACCAATGATTTGGCTATTCGCACTAGTTCGAACTGAAATTCAAAATGTCAGAGAGTGGAACGCTGAATACAGTCGAGCATAATTTTTTCTAAGTAATATTTTCAACCTAAGGTTTTCCAAAAAGTCAGATAATCCAAAAACAAGTTTTCCACCTAAGCCAGCTATAAAAAACATTTTTCAATTCAACTCACTCTTTTAAGACCCGATATTTTATTCGAGTAGTTTTTCACGAATTCTTGCAACTCCTTCTTTCCATCATCATTCTGTAAAACAATTTACTCTGATGACTTCATTTTGTTTAGAAGCAGGTGTACAAAAAATACAATTTTGTTTGTTGATTCGGGGGCTAGGAAGGCCAAAAATTCAAATGTCAAAAAATGCCAAAATCCACAGGGGTTTTATCACTACCGAAAATTAATCACGTACAAAACATTTTATCTGACGACAAAAAACCTCCGCAAACAGCGCGCTACGTGGCCGACAAAAAAAAACAATGGCGTGTGGCCGGCCTCGCGAGATGTCGGTCGCTGCAAACACATATATAGCCCGACTTTTTTCTTTTTATTTGTGTGTCTTTTGAGCCAAAGGGTTTTCAATTTTCTTTTTGAAAATCTGAAAACCTAAGCTCCGCCCACATGTCTGTGCGGAAAAAGATGGGCGGAGCCTATTTGCTCGATTACAATTTTGCATTGACTCGGTAGTGAAAAAACCCCTGTGAAAATCCTCATGGAAAATCTAGTTCTTAGATGCAAAAGTCTTTGCTCAATTTTTTCCTAACAATTTTTCCCTAAGACATGGAGACGCTCAACAGGAGCCTCTAGTCACAGTTCGAAATTTTGCCACGTGCATTTTTTGGGCCAAAATTGCTCAAAAATCCCATTTCATCTGGATTTTCTACTGTTTTTTGAGCTAAAAAGCTGAAATTTTCTCACAAAATCCGATTTTTTCAAATTTTAAAGCCTCACCTCAACCGGAACAATATCCTTTCCGCGATTTTCAGCCGGAATTCCTTGCTTCATTTTTGAATACTGATTGCTTTGAGAAATAATCGATTTCTTCTGATATTTATACACGTCATCGAATACGTCATATATACACGTCATCGAATACGTCATATAAAATTTGGGTCACGTGAAAAACATTTTTTTTTGAATTTTGTCATAAATTTTTGACATGGAAAAAGAACCAAGAACAATCGAAAAGAAACGAAAATCTGGTTTTTTTTGGGTGGAATGTGGGGTAATTCAGGTGGATCAGTCAAAATGGGAGATTGAGTTGAGCAAAATTGGAAGTGATTGAGCTGGGATGAAGTTTGAGATTTTGAGCCAAAACGTTTCATTTTAGTGAAAATTCTGCTTCTTTTCTCATCTCTTCTTTCTTTCCAAGTTCAATTTTCCATTCCCTTCCTCGAAATCTTTCTTGTTTATCAAGAGTTGCTTGAACGAAATTAGGCGTTTTGAAGCTTTGAAACTTCTGTAAACATGATACATTATTCGTAAGAGACTTTATTCGTAAGAAGTGAGATTTGACCGCATGGAAAAATTCATAAAAAATACAATAAAATTTTACGTTTCATTATTCTTCTTTCTTTTTTTCTTCTTTTTTTCTTGTCGCTTTGTAATCTAATTTTGGCTACATTTGTTTGAATGAATTTTTATCTGTCACCGAGACTCCTCGGGATTTAAATGAAATCATACGTTCGACCTTCTGAAAAATATAACTAAAAGACTTACAATGAAATCTTTCTTACTCAACACTTCGAATCATGTTGAAAACACAACATCTGAACAACTACCAAATGGCACAACACTTCATCGGACCAACTCTGGAATTTTGATTACTGGAAGAGAGGATCCTACTGCAGAAGAGATCTCACTTGATACATTTTCATTTTCAGCTGAAGAATATCAATTTGGAACATTTTTGTAACAATTTAAGAGACGTTTTTTGTAAGAAGAAAAATCCTGTGGTACAAAAAATTTTCAAATTTGCTAATTTTTGGCTGGTTGGTAGCCCCTTGGCTATAGAACATATTCCCGGAGTAAAATAACAAAAAAATGTTTTTGGTGGATGGTGGACACCAATGTATGTCAAAACTTCAATAAATCATTACTTCACTCTCCGTGAATAATTTTTCAAAGTATAAACGTCATTCTGCTCAGAATTTGAAGGGCTTCAATTTAGGAATACAAAAGAAAAAAATTCGACTTACCCTAACTTTTGAAAATTGAACAAAATTTTCAAAGTCAAAAATCGATATTAGGGGGACTTTGTTGCTCGCTAAATTTGGATTTATCGGATTCCTCGTCCCTTTTTACGTACCCTTCAATCATAAAATCAAAATTAACCCTCCCGCCTCATGGGTGCCCAGATCACTTTTTGCTCCCCACTCGCGTTTTTTCCCGATTTTTTTGGGTGGATTACTATCTGGCAGACTTTTTGCGCCCGTCACGACGGTCGGTGAACACAACATTTTTTTATTTTTGCTAATTTGAGTTTCTAAACATTTTTTCATCATTTAAAATGTATCTTATCACCATTTATTCTTCACCCACTCATATTGTTGCCAATGGTGACACCAAATATTCAACCATCACCATTTTGTTCGAAACTTGGTGTATTTATGTAATCACACATTTTGAACAACATCCTATATTTCATTTTTGATAAAAGTGGCGCCCAGACCAAATATTTCTCGAAAAACTTCGAATGAGTGATGAACTTCTCGAATTGCGTGAAACAACGTAGCAGAATATGGAATAGTCAGAAATTCGATTGTAACAAAACGTTTATCAAAAATGAAATATAGGATGTTGTTCAAAATGTTCGATTACATAAATACACCAAGTTTCGAACAAAATGGTGATGGTTGAATATTTGGTGTCACCATTGGCAACAATATGAGTGGGTGAAGAATAAATGGTGATAAGATACATTTTAAATGATGAAAAAATGTTTAGAAACTCAAATTAGCAAAAATAAAAAAATGTTGTGTTCACCGACCGTCGTGACGGGCGCAAAAAGTCTGCCAGATAGTAATCCACCCAAAAAAATCGGGAAAAAACGCGAGTGGGGAGCAAAAAGTGATCTGGGCACCCATGAGGCGGGAGGGTTAATTTTGATTTTATGATTGAAGGGTACGTAAAAAGGGACGAGGAATCCGATAAATCCAAATTTAGCGAGCAACAAAGTCCCCCTAATATCGATTTTTGACTTTGAAAATTTTGTTCAATTTTCAAAAGTTAGGGTAAGTCGAATTTTTTTCTTTTGTATTCCTAAATTGAAGCCCTTCAAATTCTGAGCAGAATGACGTTTATACTTTGAAAAATTATTCACGGAGAGTGAAGTAATGATTTATTGAAGTTTTGACATACATTGGTGTCCACCATCCACCAAAAACATTTTTTTGTTATTTTACTCCGGGAATATGTTCTATAGCCAAGGGGCTACCAACTAGCGAAAAATTAGCAAATTTGAAAATTTTTTGTACCACGCATACTATAGGAATTCGCATTTTTATAAATAATGTCTCTTAATATTTTTCGCCAAGATCTTGAGCCAGATACTGAACATGACGCTCTTCGCAAATTTTTGGAAAATTGTTTTTTTTGAAAAATAATTCTTTGTTTGGCGGCCATTTCAGATTTTTTTTTTCAAAAACTCGGATCTGGTTCGATTGCTATAGTCCGATTCAAAATTCGCCAATTTTAGACTACGTCAAACTTTTCTCACAGGTCCAGGGGAGCCTAATAATTTCAGAGCCTAATTTTTATCCGTTTATCAAGATACTGTTAAAATTTCATGGTGATTTGAAGTGTTGAGTAAAAAAGGTTTCCTTGTTAGTGTTTTAGTTATATTTTTCAGATGGTTGAATTACATTCCGATCAAGAGGAATAGCGACAAGAAAAAAAGAAGAATAATGAAACGTAAAATTTTATTGTATTTTTCATGAATTTTTTCATGCGGTCAAATCTCACTTTTTTTGTAAAAATCTTATTTTTTTTGAAATTTTGTTTCAGCAAAGTTACAATTTTAATAATTGATGACGTCACGGAAGATGGAAGACGGAAGACTTTTTGTCGTCATGAGTTTCACCACAAAATTTTGATCTAGAAAGTTGGATTTTCTATCCAGAAGGTCGGGGGATCAAAACATTTATTTTGGAACTTTCAATATTTCTGCATCAAAATTTTTGTGCTGAAAACGTTGGAATAGCTGAAAACTGGTATAAATTTGTGCCAGGAATTTGAAGAAAACTAGAGGAACACGAATAAATTCACCACACAATACGAAATCCACTAGGCAACACCAAAACACCAAAAGTGTTCTTCAATAATCCTTCACGAACCTCGAAATTTTTTGAAGTTTGTTTTCACATCCTTTTGTCCCAATTATCCAAAACTTTCCAATATCATTTTTTTGCTGTAATCGCTGGAACCAATAGTTTTTGCGTATTTTCAGCATTGTCATGAGTTTCACCACAAAATTTTAATCTAGAAAGTTGAATTTTCTATTCAGAAGGTCGGGGGATCAAAACATTTATTTTGGAATTTTCAATATTTCTGTATCAAAATTTTTGTGCTGAAAACGTTGGAATAGCTGAATACTGATATTTTCAAACCCCAGGTGGATTTTGCAAGAAAAATTTTGTTCTTGAGTTTTTGAGATGAAAACACCGTTTTTGGGTCAAAAAAATTGTGACTTTGCTCAAACTTAACGAAAAAACTCAATCAAAAAAGCATTCTGACGGGAAAAACGTGAATTTTGAACATGAGTGGAAAGTCGTTTAAAAATTTTTAGAGAAACGCAGAAAATAGGAATTTTACAAAAAAAAAAAGAAATTTGTCCGCGAAAAAATCATGAAAAAATACAATGGAACGATACGTTTCATGTTTCTTCTTTATTCTTTTCTCATCTCTTCTTTCGTTTCATATTTTTTTTTATTTAGCATTAGCTGGTTCTCTATGAAATCGGTATTTTTTGATGCATAGCAATGATTTTTCATCCATCTCAGAAATTCCTCTTAATATGAAAGTGATCATACGTTCAACCTTCTAAAAAATATAACTAAAACACTTACGAGGAAACCTTTCTTACTCAACACTTCAAATTTTAACATACGGATAAAAATGAGGCTTTAAATTTATTAGGCTCTCAATGGACCTGTGAGATAATTTTGAAGAAGTCTAAAAATTTAGCCACTTCGATGTTCTTCAGTTTTGCAATGATGTTGATGTGGCAGATACCGAATCAATATATTCAGCTTCATATGATGCATAATTTTCGTTTTTATCCAAAATTCAAGTTTTTTGGCACCAAATTCGATTCACAGTGATCTGCTGAAAATTCCACGTTTTTTTTGACTCCCAACTAGCCTAGTTTTCCACTGGGTTACTGTAGATTTCGTCGCCAAAACACTAGCACTTCAGTTTTTCCCCCAAAATTGTATTTTCATTGACTAGCGAAAAATTTGTGCCAGGAATTCGAAGAAAACTAGAAGAACACGAATAAATTCACCACACAATACGAAATCCACCAGGCAACACTAAAACCAACCAATTATTGTTTTCTTCGATAATTCTTCACGAACCTTGTCCTGTACCTTTCTAATAAATTTTTTGAAGTTTGTTTTCACATCCTTTTGTCCCAATTTTCCAAAACTTTCCAATATCAATTTTTTGCTGAAACCAATAGTTTTTGCGTATTTTCAGCATTGTCATGAGTTTCACCACACAATTTTGATCTAGAAAGTTGAATTTTCTATCCAAAAGGTCGGGGGATCAAAACATTTATTTTGGAATTTTCAATATTTCTGCATCAAAATTTTTGTGCTGAAGTGTTGAGTAAAAAAGGTTTCCTTGTCAGTGTTTTAGTTATATTTTTCGTATGGTTGAGTATCATTCCGATCTCGTGGAGCGACAAGAAAAAAAGAAGAAAAAAGAAAGCAGAATAATGAAACGTAAAATTTTATTGTATTTTTCATGAATTTTTTCATGCGGTCAAATCTCACTTTTTTTGTAAAAATCTTATTTTTGCGTTTCGCCCGATTTTTTTCGAAATAATCGGCCCGAGTTTTTTTTCGAAATAATCGGCCCGAGTTTTTTTCGAAATAATCGGCCCGAGTTTTTTCAAAAAAAAAATCGGCCCGAGTTTTTTCAAAAAAAAATCGGCCCGAGTTTTTTCAAAAAATAATCGGCCCGAGTTTTTCAAAAAATAATCGGCCCGAGTTTTTTCAAAAAATAATCGGCCCGAGTTTTTTCAAAAAATAATCGGCCTGGGTTTTTTCAAAAAAAAATCGGCTCGAGTTTAAAAAAAAATCGGCTCGAGTTAAAAAAAAAATCGGCTCGAGTTTAAAAAAAAATTGGCCCGAGTTTTTTCAAAAAAATAATCGGCCCGAGTTTTTTGAGAAACGCAAAAAATGAGAATTTTACAAAAAAAAAAGTGAAATTTGACTGCGAAAAAAATCATGAAAAAATACAATGGAACGATACGTTTCATGTTTCTTCTTTATTCTTTTCTCATCTCTTCTTTCGTTTCATACTTTTTTTTATTTAGCATTAGCTGGTTCTCTATGAAATCGGTATTTTTGATGCATAGCAACTTTTAAAAACATGATACATTTTTCAGAGGATAATGCTGAAAATCACTCAGCCAAGAACACGGTTGTAGTCCAATTCAGGGAAACCTGTAAAAAACTTATTTGAAAATGATATTTTTAGTTGAAGTTTGATGTTTCTCAGCGTCTAACTATTGATAGACTTATTCACAAGATCACTTCATTTTCAGAATTAATTCGAATATTTCATATTTTTAACGTCAACAATAAGACAATCACAAGACAAAATACTGTTTTTCGCAAGGTTCGGAAGAAAATTGGGGAGGGGGATGTGGAAGAAAAAATGAGTAAATAATCAATAAATAATACATGAGCAATCGTACATAGTACATACTTGGTAAATCTATACTAACTGTATAGAAAAACAACCATACGAACACAAACATCTCATGTTAGAGACGAACTGAAATTCAGAGAAAAAGACAAAGAAAAAGGTATCAAATTAGACTTGATTTAAAAGATGACGTTGTGCAAGAAGTCTAGTACAACCAGCTTTTTGTCGATAATTTGGCAAAACTCGGAATGGTTGACCGTGTCCTGGTACAATCCAATCAGCCATACACACAATCAAATTTGCATTTTGACGTTTGATCGCTGAATCCCAAACACCTTCTTCGTGCATAACATCACGCTGCAAACATTTTTAAATTGACTTTGAATCTGAAAATTTCAGAAAATTCAGTACCTTTTCACTCAATAAATGTTCGCTTGGAATCAAATCTCCAACAACAGCCATTGTTCCGTATCCAGCTACATTATGAACAAGAACTGATAGATCGTGTTGTGTGTGTCCTGGAGTTTTCCAAACTTCGATATTTGATGAGAGTTTGCGGTATGGTCTCTGAAAATGACACGTGTCACTTGAAAATGTCAAAAAATGTGGAATATTTAATTAATTGAAATGTGAACTCCGTGAGAAATTGAAACCTTTTTTGGAAAAATGAATTGTAGAAAATTGAAACATTGGGCACCGTCCGAAATTTTTGTAGAATTTAGCGCGAAATTTGAAATTTTAAAAAGTTATCAATTTTTCTTCCACAATTTTTTCAAAAGTGTTAGAGACCCGAACCTTTAATTGAATGTTTTCCCTGAAAACACCGAAAAACAAAAATATTCCCTGGAGAACTCACTTCTTTCAATTCAGTTGGAGTAACATGTCTACCAATATATTCCAATGAATGATACAAAATCGGTTTTTGTGCAAAGAAATTCATATTACCCATATGACCCGGTGAAGCATGAGTGATAACAACACTGTCGACTTGATCCAAAGTTACTGATTCTTTGGCCAAAGCTGGAAGATGGATATAAATAATTCAGCAAACAATATTAGAAATCTTGTCTACCATATCACATCAAAGTGCTGAATGGTATTTGTTGTTTTGGTTGAATTTTCTTCAACGCTTTTTCACACAATCTTTCAAGCTCTTGAGCTCGAATTTGTCGATAAATATTGATTAGTAAAACAAGAAGCCATGCTTGTGCCATCGAAAGAATTGCTGATATTCCAACAATAACCAAACACGCCATATCAATAACCGCGCGATGATCATAATATTCAGCATTGAAGCCTTCGGCAATAAAGTTTCCAATTTTCGGTGAATTTGAGGAGACAAAAAATGCGAGAATTAAAGTGAGAACCATGCAAATGACAACAGTTGTGGCTTTTAGAACAATTTTCGGGACAAGCCATGATGATTTTTGTCGAATTAATCCATACCAGGAAGCGAGGATACATAAAACATGTACAGAATATAAAACTCCGATTGAAGAAACAGCAGCTGTTGCAATGAAATTAAATCCATTGTGTTGCAAAAATTGCACTGATTTCAGAAATGTTAGTGTCAAAAATAGAAAATCAAAAAGTGAAATACAAATTCCAACTGTTCTCGTTCGAACAGGCGTACAAATAATAAGAGGATCCATCTCCAACTCTTTCGGCTCAAGCTTCATAAATTCTTCTGCTTCTTTTTCTCGCTGAAAACACCCCCAAGGGACATATAAAGTGTCATGAAGAATTAGTGTGACAAAAACGAGGCGAAGAGTTCTCGTAACCTATGACAAAAAAAAAAAGGAAAATAAGAAAAAAGAAGCGAACCGACGGATGAGTTGATGTGAGAGGGTAAAATGAAGAAGAAGTAGAAGAAGTAGAAGAAAAAAAAAGGATGGGGGCACGGATGGGTGAATGGGCGGAATTGAATTACTCGAATAAAATGGAAGAAAAAAAAAGGAAATGTGTTTTTGCAAGAAAAAACAGAAATGATGTTGCAAAACTATGTAGTAAGTAGCCACTTTGAAAAATGAAATACTTACTGTGAAGAAGACGTTCAGTATCGCTAGATGATCCAGTATCAACCAAAAGAATATATCCATTATCATTGACAAGTGTGATTGCTCCAACTGTTTCAGCTTGTCCATCCTGGAAATCGGGAATAATTAATGAGTTTTAATTTGAGGTCGTGGTTCCCAAAATTAAAAATTGTTACATAAACTTTTAAGATCATCAGAGCCGGTTTTTTAGAGGTTCTTGCCAAGTAGTGGAGCCTAGAAATCTTCGCTCTCAAGCAAGTGCAAGTGCAAAAAATAATTGTCTAGGACCCGTAACGAGAAATGAACTCTGACAAGTAGCCAAGCCTAGAAACCCTAGCTGTAAAGGATCAGCACCTAAAAATTTAAATTGTTAAGGATTGGTGCCTAGTTCTCAAGTAGCCGCGCCTTAGGAACATGATTGTCCAGGAACCACATCTAGAGATCCACCCTGACAAGAAGCCCAGCCTAGAATTTTCAACTATAAAAAATCAGCGCCTAGAGTTTAGTTCCCAAGTAATTGCGCCTAGAAGCAATTTGCATTTTTTTCAAAAAATTCTGGATCAAAAAAAGTTCAACGAGGTACATTTTTTGAATTTTGAAAGCCCCCTGCCTTCCCTCTAACAAAAAACTAACTCTTAATGGTCGAACAGATCCAGCTTGTAGAACAGTTACATTAACTGTATTTTTTGGTGAAGCAGTCGAAGTCCATAATCTAGCCCAAGCATTCACTTTAGTTGTGGTTGTTGGTGTTTCAGTAGTTGTCGTTGGTTCTTCAGTGGTCGTTGTTGGAACTTCAGTAGTCGTTGTGGTCGTTGTTGGTTCTTCTGTAGTCGTTGTAGCTTCTGTCGTGGTGGTCGATGGTTGAGTTGATGTGGTTGGTTCTTCAGTGGTTGTTGTGGTGGTTGTAGTTGTTGAAGTGGAACTGGTCTTCTGAAGTGCTTTTTCAGCAGCGACACGATTATAAACTGTTGGCCACGATGTGCGATCTTTGATATACCATGGAGCTTTTCGTGATGTGGCAGTGACGATTGGTTGAGATGGTGCTGATGTTGGAGTGACTGTTGACCAGCTGAGTGGAAGGCGGGAAGATGGCCGAGCTAGAATATATAATTGTTGTGAGAAAGTACTAATTCCTGAAAAATATCGAAACCAACAGTTTTTCGGTTAGAATTTTGTTCCTGAAGGTTTGATCTACTTCAAAACCTTCGGAAAATCTTAATAATTTTTCAACTGGGTTGATTTAGAAACGTAAAATGATTTTTCACTCAAAAAATTAGATTCATCCAGTTAGATTAGAAGTGAACACAATAATTTTAACCCACCTGGTCTGCCATTTGGAACTAATCCTTGTCTCGTATCTTTACAACAAATCGATCTACCCAATTTGAAACTCTGATCACACAAATATCCAACCGGGCAATCGCCCAAAGAAGCTGGCCGACAATATGCAAAATCATTGGCCAAAATCAATGGATCAGCCGCAAATGGACAAACTGAAAAAGTGCGGGTTAGTGAAAAAGAGAGAAGTGAAATGAAGAAAAATCAATCAGATCAACTTTCGCAAATCTGTCAGTCACGAAAAAAAGAAGAAGGAGAAGAACGGAAGGAAAAGGTAACTCGATATTAACAGTTTTTGATTGTTCGTTATTTGTGTGCGCGCATATGAAATCTGACACTTTCAACACGATATGCATACAGGAGAAGAAAAACGAACAGAGAAAATGAGAAATAATAAAAAAAAATCATAATTTTTTGAAAATAAGTAAAGTTGAGCCTAAAAATTAATAAGATAATTACAGTAAATCTAAAAAACTGAAAACGTTTTTCTGGAATTTAATTATGAAAAAAGAAGAGCGTTCAGAATTATTGAAGATTGAAGTTAGGATAATTTTGCAGTTATTTAATATTATCAAATTTCAAATTAAAAGCAAACAAATTATTATGTTAGGAAAATCCTTAAAAACAATTTTTTGAAAAGTTCAAAGTTCTAGAATTATTGGAAATCAAATCTATTCTAGGAAAAAAATCGAAAATTTCAAATTTCAAAATAAAAACTAACCATCTCTGTTTGCTGATTTCGGAGTTGGTTGAGGTGTTGTTGTGGTTGTAGTTGTTGTAACTGGATCGGTGGTTAATAGTTTTTGCACTTCGGATTGTCGATCGGTTCCCCAGCCGAAAAGCCTCAAAATACTTCCAGCCAAATCGCTTTGTCCACTCAAACTTTCTCGATTATTCAAAATCCATTGTCGAAGTTGTTCAGTCGTTGCAGCGTTGCTTTCTGAAGAAAATTAATTATTTAATTTTTTATCGGAAGACTTTGGAAAAAAAGTTCCAAAATTTTAGAATGATTAACCAAAAATTTGGATATTTTTTCTGAATTTCAGAATTTTTTGTGAACTCTCAAAGGACCTTTTCAATTTAAATTGAACTAATTCAATCCCTTACCCACCCTATAATAATTTAATAAAAACTCAAACCTGAAATTGCAACAGCTGAAAAAATCGCAAAAATAAATAGATGTTTCATTTCGAACGAGGCCGAACCGATTAATGAAATGAATGAGAATAGATGGATGGAACGGTCAGGTCGAAACTCTTTTTGGTCACTCCTCACTGTGCCTCCTCCCTTCTCCTTCCAAAAATCTCGACTCCGCCCCAACTCACTGTGTTTTTGTATACATTTAGTGAGCTCACCACACTTTTCGCGCATTTGTTTGTTGAAGAGACGAAAAAGGAGAAAAAAGAAGAAGAAGAAGAAAATGAAGATATAAACTATATTATTAGTTATATTATTATTATAAATAATCGAAGTGTGAAAGTGTCAAGTGATGGTCAAGATCAGCTCCCGACATCGATTGTGTATTTTGCGTTGCAAAAAAAGAGTTTCACACGTTTGAAGTGCATATGTTGCGGAATTTTCACACTTGACCAAAACTAAGTTAGATGTGACCTTTGATTGAAATTTATGCACATAACACCACAGCACAAATTCCTTTTAGGTTACTGTATTTTTAGATTTAAATTTGGAAGTTAATGATTATTGTTGAGATTCTTCTTTTACAAGATGAAGCTTCAGTATCGAATTTTCAGTAGCGCATTTTTATTAGTGGATTTTGTGTATTTTGTTGGCTGCTGATCCAAACGCAACTGTGAGAGATTTAAGAAAGAATATTTTTCATCTAACCGAAAAATTTTTGAAAAGCTCGAGTTTTAGAGATATCAAGCAGGGCTGGTCGGAATCGGACAATCGGGACTCCGAAAATAAAAACAGAAGTGAAAATGGGGCTTTAGAAATTCCGCACAATCAATGCTGACCAGTCCTGATTTGGAGAAGCAAACTACACACTATGTTTTGAGCCTACAAATCGAGAATCCGCTGAAAAAAAGATAGAGGAAGTGAAGGAACATCGCTTCAGGACCAACATTGACTGTCTGTCAGCTAAGGGTATACTATAGCAATATTTCAAAGCTTCTCTTTTAAATCATAAGTTTTTACGCTTAATTTAAAACGTGCAAGGTTGTTTCTCTATTAATTTCTCGAAGTTCCCATTTTTGAACTTCCAACAAGTTGATATTTTCAAAATCTAGGATTTCTGCTCAACTTCAGAAATTTTTCCGTTTCATCTAGTTCAAGCACATCCAATAACACAATGTCTATTTTCATTGCCTCTCCAAAAAAAAAACATTCAATTCAATTCCCACCCGAACACCTCTATTCTCAATATTCTTCATCTTTTTCCTCTTCTTTTCTATCTATGTATGTATATGTTTTTTTTTCTGTCCACATCGCGATTTTGACCCGCATTTCACGATGATGCGACCGATTGTTTACTTGTGGATAGACCAATTTCCATTGTGTTGTGTGCGGTAGCAGCCAACAGTCAATTTTGAGGAAAGAAGAAGAATGAAAATAAAAAAACAACTAAATACTTCTCGCTGAGCGCCGCGCGGCGTGTGTCTCAATTCGCTCGAACTCGCGCAAATCATCTTTATATGGATGAAGTTATTGGTTTTGACTTTTGAAGAAAAAACAATGAAGAAGGAAAGATGAAACGAGCGAAATGAGCAGCATAGATCACAAGAAAAAGGCAAGCCTTTTGTTCTAAAAATTTGTGTGAATTGCTTTGAACTTGAGGGCAAAAACCTTAAAGATTCCAAATTTCATTACAACTTTCAACGGAATGTTTGAAATTTTAATCAGAAGGCAGAAGGTACTAAACTTCATCTAAAAATGTGTTTCAAACTCATTCCAGAGGTGGAATTAGACCAAATTGGAAGATTGGAACAGGAGAAAAATGAGAAGATGCTGAATGAAACGAAAAACAACCTGAACCATAAGTACATACAGGAGAACCTGGAGCTGGTGCTGAAAACGGTCATGATCGATTTCAGGAACAAGGTGACTAGCAACTTATGTTAATCTCAAAACTATCTCGAACAAAATGTTTTCAGAAAATATGAATCAGCGTGACCAACATGTTTTTCTTCAATTCAAGTTCTGAAGTGTGAATATTCTCGGGTCAATGAACAAATAACATCGACCAAAGCACAAGTTTCAAAAACAAATTCAAATAACTCGGAAAGCCAGAAATTTTGCACCAAGACCAATTCTTTTCATCTCATTTTCTCGCCCCACGCAGAGACTCAACACACATTTATTTTTATTTATTTACAGTTTTGTTTATTTATTCATTGACACATCATACATGCACACACGCATACAGGTAATCTTCATTCGTTTTTCAATCGACTTCACTCACGATCACAATTCAATAGTCAGTCAGTGTCAATTGGGGTTGAGTTTGACCAAAAATAGCAAAACAACAACAAAAATAGAAGGCCAGTCAAAAAAATATTGGAGGGAGCATTGAAATGAAACGTTTCAAGTGGTTCGAAGAAAAAAGTTGGTTCGTGCTGTGAAGATCGGATTACGATATAAGCGTTCAGATGTTTTTTTTGTTGAGATTATTCAAATTTAGACTATTTGAGGAGGCTTCAGGGGGGAAAATTCAGGGGACTGAAATTTTGAAAAAAAAAACTTCAAAGTGAAATCTCAGAAAAAATCTCAAAATCGGGTTCGAGGTGACCTGATTCCTCGAGCCCAAATCTTCCTTTTTTATCACTTCTCAAAGTATTTCTCTAAAATAATGCGATATATCGAAATTTTGCACCCAGCACAACAAGCCACTGAAGACGAGTAAATAAACAAATCCCATCGATATGTTTCCTTCCTCCTTCTTCTCCTTATTTCACACCTTTTGTTTTGTTTTATATTTTGTCAGTAAATAATAAACATAATTAATATTGACATAAATACACATTTTGACCTTTGATCTACATCAAAGATGTTCATATTTGATGTCCTCAGGGGGTGGTTCAATTTCAACATTTTGTTCTTCTTGCGTTTTCAATGAAGAAAAAAAAGAAGAAGCCGCAAGTTTTGAGTAGTCGTGTGCGAAAGCGCAGCTTAGAAGAGAGAAGATGTCTACACAAATAGAACAGAGAGTTTTGCAACAAAACAAATCTATTGTGTTATGCCGATGTTGGTGTATTTGTTTGATTGTTGTGAATAAAATAAGGTGAACAATGAATGCACATATTTTTGCAATTCTTTGGGTTCGACTTGCGCCGAGTCAATCCGATCATGCATCAAAAAGACAAAAGTCTGGCAATTATTGTTGTTCTTCAAAAATTATTTAAGGAGGGAAGTGTTTGAATTGGAACAAGGAGATGGAATGATTTTTGCGGACCTCCTTCAAAATGAGTTTTTCCTATCAATATCCATTGCGAGGATTTCAAAAAACACAGTAATTCTTGAAATACTAGTCTTACCCCACCCTTAAAAAGATTTTCCTTGTTCAAAACAAAAAATCGTTATTAGATATCGCACTTCTCTTTTTTTTTTGGCTGAAAACCCCAAAAGAAATGAAGAAAGAGAAAAAGCAGGAAGAAAACTGGATAAGTTTTTTTGGAGTTTATATGGATGTATAAAATGGGGACTTGATTTGATTCAATAACAAAATGGGTGTTGTTCATCAAGAAGATCCAAATACCAAGGTAAACCTTTTTTTCTCTTATCATAAAATATATAATCATTTTAGGCGTATCGACTTATCGGATATGCCGCGGTTACTTTTTCAGCTGTTGCTGTTTTGAGTTTCTGTGTTACTATGCCAGTTGTTTATACTTATGTTCAATCAGTTAAACGACAAATGAATCATGAGATGGTTCAATGTAACATCAATGCTCGACAGATTTTCAACGATGTTAATGTTTTGAGAGCAACTGGATTCAACAGAACATCTCGTCAAGCTGGTTATGATAGTGAAGTTGAGGCAACTACACTTGCTTATAATCCAGAACCTTCTACATTACCACCTACTGTTAATCAACCAGGATATGATACAGGAGTTGATAGAGAACAACCTGGAGTTGAGCAGCCAACTGTTGTTACTTCGAAAGAACATGAAGCTACAACTCGACCAACAAAAACTACTACTGAAAGAATCCAGGAAGAAGAATTTACCACAACTACATCTGCTCCAGAAGAACATGGAACATGTGATAATTGTTGTCTTCCGGGACCACCAGGACCACCAGGAACACAAGGTCGACCAGGACAAAACGGAAAGGCTGGAGCTAACGGACTTAATGGAAATCCAGGAAAACCGCCACAAGAACCGTGTGAACCAGTTACTCCTCCACCCTGTCCACCTTGTCCACAAGGAGAAGCTGGACCACCTGGACCACCGGGATATCCAGGATCTGATGGACAACCAGGAACACCAGGAGAACCTGGAGAGAAAGGACCAGATGGACCACCAGGAAATAAGGGAAGAGTTGGACCAAGTGGAAAGATTGGAACTGCTGGACCACCAGGAGAAAAAGGAGAAGATGCTGAATCAAATGAGAAACAACCTGGACCAAAGGGACCACCTGGACCACAAGGGCCACAAGGATCGAGAGGACCACCAGGACATCCAGGAGAAGATGGAGAAAATGGAGCTGTCGGAGAACCAGGAGAACCAGGAGCTGATGCTGAAAATGGTGACGATGGAGTTCCAGGAAACCCAGGACACGATGGAAAACCAGGAAAGGCTGGAGAAAGAGGAATTTGTCCAAAATATTGTGCAAAGGATGGAGGAATCTTCTTCGAGGATGGTACAAGACGATAATTTACTCGTGTTTTTCAATAAATTATTTATTTACTACTTACCTACCTAAAAAACTAAACAATTTCTTTGCAAAACATAGAACAAGAATTAAAACAAGAAAATTAAATAATTATCAACATACGCGTGGAACGCGATGTAAGATTTTTCCATGATACGCTTTGCCAGTTACAACAAAAAGGATAGATGTTGGATTAAAACGAAGAATTGCTTCCATATCATTTGCTCGATTTCTGACTACAGTAAAAATTCCATCTCCATACGTTTCGATGAAGTCTTCGCAAAATAGGTACCTTTGAAAACATTCTTGAAAAATTGAAGGAAAGAGATGAGGTATGTGTGGTAAATAAAATTCGTTTTCCGATTTTCCGACTATTTGGAAAATTTTTTTAAAAAATTACGCGTCAGAAACCGTTTCCGACCAACAATTATATTTAAAGGTGGACTTCGCTCAAAAATGAAGTTTCCCTCTATTTCTAGCAGAAACTATCCTCAAAAAATTAGAAAAAATAGCATCGCAGTGAGAAAACATACAGAAACCGCCATGAGGATAAGAGGAAGTGGTGAGGAAAACGCGCTCTAGCGAACAAGCGGCACGTTTGAATTTTCTGTGTCTTTCTCGTTTTTCTGCGTTCAACCTTTTCAAGCAAAATATGAGCGAAAAAATGAATTTTGAGCATAATTACTTCACACAAAAATAAAAAGGAGACGATGCTCTACCTAATCAGCGATTAGAAATCGTGAAATAAGCAATTTTCAGCTTTTTTCTCCCCGTCCAAAATTAATGTGAGCAATTTTTTGAAAACACTACATAAAATATATCAATTTGTTCCTTTTTCACTTAGGAATATCAATAATCATGAAAAAATTCTTGAAAATTAAAAATTTCACGGTTTTTGGTTGAAAACCGTGAAACAATGAAAATTCACACACTTTCGACAAACACACAAATTTATGCACAATTGTAGACGTTTTTGTGTGCTTTGTCACTGTCCACCTTTAAAAAAAAAAACAACTCACTCTCTTTGGAAAAATTCACCAAGCCAACTTTCGAACCACGAAATTCCATTCAAGATATCTGTTACAACTCCCGCGCTTGTTATATCCATATACACTCCTAATTCTACAAAATTTGCTGGCAATTCTCCACGAACCCATTTTTTCAAAAACTTATTAATCGAACTCGTCGTCAAAATTGATCTCGAATCTATATGAAAGAATAAACTTTCTCGGTTCAAATTCAAAAATTGTTCCTCGGTAAACATTGGCACAGCATTGATCATATCAATATAATCACAGTTGTATAATTGTTTTGAAATATATTCGATAAAATCAGCAGATAACTTGACTTTGTAATCTTCTAGTTCGATCAATACTTTGGAAGATTCTATTTTCAAATGCTTCAGGACACCTGGCTGCATTTTTTCAATCCACCATGCGATATATTGCAAATCAACTGACTCGATATGAAATCTCTCAACACGCTTCAAACTGTTTACAAATATTGATTGTAGAGCAAAACTCGTCTGAATTAAGTAGTTCAAAGGTTTTTGAAATAACACTTTGGTTTCAACTTACCATAAGAACATTAAGCTCTTTTATTTTGCTCTTACTCTGGTTCAGAAGCTGATGAATATCTAATAAAGCAGTAGACCGATAATCTTCTTTGCGATAAACTGACTTCATTTCTTTATTATTGATCCATTCTCCACTCTCTAAATAGTGTCTGAAATTTCATAATATTAAAGATTTAATCAATAATGACTAACACAAACCTCAACAAATAACATTTAGTTGCATCTCCTTTTTCTTGAATATAATCTAATACAAGTAAATCTTCACCAACTGTGTCGAAATGGATAGACAAATGTATAACTTGGACGTGCTCATTTTCATTAAATTCCTCGATTATTCGGACAGTATCTTCAATACAAATATAAAAGATTGGAAATCCAACAGTTTTCACGTGCAGATTGTCCGATTTTGAGCAACGCGAAAGTCTGATTCTGCAAAAATAGAGACTTTTCATGATGTCATAGCTCGTATTAAGAAAACAGGAAAATACCTTGTTCTGAAAGACATCAGGGAAATTATGAACTGTTTCAATTCGTTTGGGAGCAATTGCCAGCCATGAAACAGCTTACATCTTCTCTGAAAAAATAAACACTGAGAAGAAAGTATTTTTTATTTCAAACTCACCAGTTTTGACCGTTGTTCGAATTCATAATCAGCAAATTGACTGAAAAACTCCAAAACATCCATTCTATTTGAATTTCCCAAGTTGTTGAGCTGATTCAACTTCGAATTCTCTCGAAAAAACACTTTGTTTGAACGTTCGTTTTTTTTTTTTTGAAAAAAAAAACAAAATGTTTGCGCGCCCAGTAAAATGTATTCTGTGCAAACACACGATGCTACCGTACTCCATGGAAAATTAATTTTTTGAAATATTTACATTTTCCATCGAAAATAAAAATTAGAAATGAAGTGTTCATATTTGAAAAAAACGTGGAACGACGTTTGAAAAATAAAGAGCACGCATTTAATAAATCTGAATATTTCAGAATTTTTTTCCACCGTAGTTTTGTCTTGTTTTGCAATAATAATCATTTTTTTTTCATTTTTCAAGTTCATTACATCATTTTGATAGTCGATCCCATTCTCGTGTTTTTCAATTTCTGAATCCAATTACAAGTTATATGCATGTTCTTTCTGTTCTTTCATACAATCTAGTATTCTCCTTTATTTTTTTTATTTTCTTCTGCAAACGTTCTACTTTCATTTATTTTTTTATACAGTGTAACTGATTGGTTTCTGAACTAAGAACGAAGAACTAGACTAAATAAGTTGAAAATGAAATGTCTTTCTTTGTGCGTGTTTGACCTTTGATTGAATATGCAAATCAATTGAAACTTGTTCCAAAAATGTGAATTTTATCCTGAAACCTATATATCTTCTGCCCAATTGACCTTTGAATGAATATGGTAATTTCGAGAAGAAGGAGAATGATCATTGTAACACGGATATCCAGAACAAGGTCGTAAAATGAATGATCGGATCAAAGTTTGGAAAGTTCAGAATGTGCGAAAAGTGGAACAAGCCTATTATCGAAAGCTTGATAATGACTTTGGAAATTTTTTTGGGATTTTTTCAATCGGATCTGGTATTCATGATGTCTGAATCCGATTATTCTGCCAATTTTTTGAAAATCACTCGACTTTAGATGCTGTATACTGTAAATCAGCATTTCTAGATTAATATTTTTTAGACGTCAGCTTTTAGAAATTGCATCCAGAATACTGTAGCACAAATATTCAAAGTTCAAATAATATATTTGAATTTTTCAAAGTTTTTACCTGACTTCAGATTCTTCGAACCCTTTTCAAAAATTCTCCAATTTTTCATTTTTCAATCTTATGCTTCCTTCTTTTTTTAAACAAAAACCAGAAATCCTTCCTCGAATTGCAATTTGTCCTAACATTACAGATTATCGTTATCAAATTTCGTATCCATATTACATAAACAGGATCCAGAAATGAGAAGAAGATGGAGAAGAAGAAGAAGCCGTTATCATTATTCACTTCGCTTGTTTTTTCTTTCCCCATTTTTTGACCATTCTCTCGTTTTTTTATGTCAGCGACCAAAATGCTTCTTCTTCTTCTTCTTCTTCATCGTTTTTGTGGCTGCCTTCAAATACCCTAATTATGTACCTAAGCCTACAAGTGTCAAATCCGGTTCTTTGGATATTTTTTAGCCGCCAACCAAGATGACGTGATTTGGGTTTTCTCGTCGTCGTCGCAAGTTTTTTTGTAGGAAATTGAAATAAAAAACTGGATACGTAATGTACTTAGGAACACTTTTTTATTGTTTCGCGCGGATTGCGTATGAAAATCATAATTATTATTGTTGGTTGAAATTTATGGCAATTTTTGTACAAAACTTTTTTTTCAAAAGGGTTTTTGTTTACGGCGCTTCGTGAAAGAAAAATGTGAATTAGGTTCAGAAAAAATTCCACATCTGCCCTCCAGAAAAAAATCTGTTGACTTTTCCCAGCCTTTTTTCTTTCAGGTGCCACAAAATTATTTTAACAACACAAAAAAACAAGTTTCGTCGGATGGTGGCTACTAGAAAAAGAGTAAATATTTATTATTATTTTTTTTTGCTGCGGCTATTTTATTTGAAAGCAAAAGTTGTTCTGTTTTGAAGAACTTCAGATTTTTTTCGTTTCTAGCGAAATTTCAGATTTTCTGAAATACACTAGATTGTAGTATTTGTATTTGAAAAAACTGTGTAAAAAATTGTTGAAAAAACCTGACACCATAAAATGACTAACAATGAGAAGATGAATAAAAAGGTGAGTAATTGATAGAAGATAGAAGCTTCACAGTTTTTTTTCATCTTAATATTTTTGGATTGATAGTTTAGACGTTGTGTACTGTAGATCAGAATTTCTAGTTCTCTAAAGTTTCAGCTTTTTGTATACTGTAGCTGAGAGATGAAACAGGTCTCAAATTCAATATAACTTCTTGGATTACTGTAGAGCTAGAGCTCAAAACATGTTCAGCAACATTTTTTTTCAAAAAGGTACTTTCCAAAATTTGAAAAATTCTGTTTTTTTTACATATTTAATTCTGATTTCTGACGATTCATAACAACTTTTGAACAATCAACAACAAACTGACATTAAATACTGTAGTTTTCTCTCACCAACTTTTTCGGTTACACCCATTTTATTTTTCTGAAGATTTTGTGATTTGAGATCTGACGTCACTTTTCCCCCGATGTTTCTTGTTAATTGTCAAATATCAGTCATTCAAACATTTATCCAAAATCCATTTGAATTGAATTCAATTCGATTCGCCTTCTTCTTTTATTTTTTGGCTGTCTTCTCCTTCTCCTTCTTCTTCTTCTTCTTCTACAAATCCAGTTTGACCTCTTCTTCGTTTTGCCTTTTTCTCTCTTCAAAACATACAGGTTTCCTTTCGATTCTCGTCTCGATTCTCTTCATTTTCCATACTATTTCTTTCATAATCATACAGAATCGAATAGCCCTTTCCGATATTCTTCATCTTTTTTCTCCTCCTTATATTCCATTTTTTTGGTTCGCCTCTGTTTTTGGTGTGTTTTTATCATTGTTGTGGTTGTAGCCTATCCTGATGACGTTGAAACATCCTTTTTGACATATTTTCCAAAAAAAATAATTCAAAAGGTCATTTAATCACTTCAAAACTTTTCTTTTTTCGCTGATGTGAAGATTTTTTCAAATCGAGTTCTCAAAAATAAATAAAAAATTCCAGTTTTCCTTCCCTCTCTAATCAAATTCTGAAATAACCCCATAACCTGAAATTTACAACCTTTTTTTTCTTCTCCGTTATTTTTTACGATATGACCTATTTTGTAACTTCAGATTAATACAAAACACAATTGTTTGTTTTTCTCTGTGAAAAATCAAGACCGTAATTTTGCGTCATCTTTTTTTGAAGGGCTGAAATTGTGCTATGTATTAACCTTTTCTATTTTATTCAGAGAATCAGTGAGATTTTGATTCAGATTTTTTAAAAACTTTCCAGGAGCACGTGATTCCTGTAGATTTAGCACAAGTTTCCTAAACACAATTTTTTTCACGGTTAGGGTAGAAAATCGAAATATTGTTCTATTTAGGTTACCGAGAATAAATAGCTTGACAGGATTTGTTTTCGATTTTTTTCTTTCGATTTTCCAAGGTCGATTTTTGTTTCGGTGGATTAGTTGAATAAATTCGAAGGGTTATCAAGAAAAAAATCATTAATCTTTTTCTAAAAATGATTTTTTTTTTCAAATCAAAAAATCATATTGCTTTACATTAGGTCACGCGATTATTCATCTCAATTTCCGATTCTCAAAAAAAATCAATTTTTTTCTCAATCCTTCCCACAAATCTTCTCATTTCACACTAAAATAGTTCTGTGTTTTTCTAATTCTTCAGATACAGATCTTCTACACTTCTTCTTCTTTTTTCCGCAAAAAATGTCCGATATTTATCTCTTGTGTTATTGGAAAAACTTTTGATTTCCAACAACTTTTTTTTGAAAACCGGTTACTTCTCAATTTGAAAATGAAAATGAAAAATTAATAATTTTAAACTGAAGCAATTTGTCGAATGAACACCTTTTCTGGCTTTTATGCCACAATGACACTTATGTATGTGAAAACGGGTCTCGAAACGACTTTCTTGTTTTTTTTTGGGCGCGCGCGAAAAAGAGGCGCAACAGATCTTTGAATGAATATATTTCAAGTTTTGAATGTGAAATGTAAAATGAAATGTTTTTATCATTTTATTTATTATCTTGGATTTTTTTTGGAAAAGAGAATACTGTAGGGCCACAAATTTCAGTCCTAAAATTCGTAGCCAAAAAAGTTTTTATTTGAATTTTTGTTAATTTACATGGTTTTGACGTTTATACAACTATTTTTTCGGAATGAAGCTTCAAGGAAAACTTCACAGGCTTCAACAAAAATTGTGATCCAAATTTTGTTTCAATATTTCTACCTAAATCCGCACTCCCTCTATTTTTATTATTATTACATTATTATTTATTTGTTTCGATTTTCATCTACTTTTTTTGTCATAATCGCTGCCCATCACACAAGTTTTCTACTACTTTTACTACAGGCTTGCCTTTTTTTTCGTTCATACATTCATTCATAAATATATCCTCCACTTTTCTCTGTTCTCTCTTGTTCCAACCAATTATTTTATTACGATTTGAATTGAATTGATTTGAACTTCGATTGATCATTTCATTTTTGAAATGAAATGACGTGATTTTTGTTGTTTATCTTCTTTGTGATATACTTTAAGAGAACTTTTTTGAAAAATAATCATTTTCTGTTTTTTTTTTCAGAAGTTTTTTCTCGAATGAAGGTGCATTCGGAAGGAGCGCCTGGTGGTGGTGGAGAACCGGGATTTCTTAGACGGGTAAGTCAGAATGGGAAACTTGGGGTCATTAGAAAATGCCTGACAAGAGGGAACTACATTCCGAATGGGAGCACATCGCTTAAAAATTCGGACTTGAGGAACCCCAAAAGGGCCTAGACCAAACATGAGGTCATCATGAGGCCAGTCAATTTCCCCCTACGTTTGATATCAATCGAAAGTTTCGAGAAAATTAAAATTCCAATTCCGATCAAGATAAAATAAAAAAGATATTCTTCCCCGAATTATTTGATTTCCAAATTTTTTCTCATCATTTTCCTATTATTTTCCTTAAAACAATTTACTTATGATAACTCAAGAAGACGAAAAACGAGAAAATGAAAGTCTTCTTGGAACTGCTAAACATTGTATTAGAAAGTTTCGAAAAAATGTGGGATTTTTCAAATACTGTACTCCTCCGGATTTCTAAAAAAAAATGTTTTTTTTTCAGTTCGTGGAATCACGTCTGATCGGAAATTTCGATTCCGAACATTTTTCCGAGCCATGGAAGAAGAAGTTTTCACACGCACCAACTTGGTGTGATGCAGATATGTCACTTCAACAAATTAACCGGGTAAGCTCTTTTGAATCTTTTTTTTCGGAAACATGGAAACAAAAAATAAAAAATTTTTGTAGGGAAAAGCTCATGGAAATCGGATTGCTTTGTATGCTCGCGCGTTTTTTCAACTCTGGTTATATCGAATTGGATGTTTTGTGCAAAGATGGGCCTGGTCCACTATTTTATTGAGGTAAGACATTGAAGCAGGGATTTTCGAAATGGGCCAGGGCTCACAGGGTATAATTTAGTTCCGAAAATTTCCACGATTTTTGGAGTGGGATCAACAAAGTCTCAAAAAAACTTGAGAGATTTAGAATAGTACTGTGTTTTTTCACATTCTTATCCGAGATGTGAGAATTTTTTTAAACAGACAAGCAACAAAAAATTCTAATAAAAAACTGACATACCAATTTTTCAGTATGATTCTGTACACTCTTTGCTTGGGCGGTCTTCAACATGTTGTTATCGAAACAGATCTTGTCAAACTCTGGGTTTCTGAAGGAGGAAGACTCAACGAGGAAATGAATTATTTGAGCAGTGTTCAGAATATGGCACATCGAACTAAACGAGAAGCTGCAAACGCGGCTGGAAAACCAGTAAAGGCAGAATCTAGAAGAGGTCCTGAATTACCCAAAGAAAATGGTTTAGGTGGAGGATTTCAAGTATGTTTGATTTATTGAAAAAAAAACAAAATGAATGTTTTCTATTTAGGTCGTTATTCAAACACCGTCATTTGAAGGTGAAAATGTTTTGACAAAAGAGGCACTTCAGAGACATACAAAATTGATGCAAGAAATTGCAAGTTATCAAGTAGAAATGTTTGATGAGTGAGTTGGATTCCAAAATAATTAATCAATAAATCAATAATTTCAGAAAATGGACTCTTTCTGATATTTGTTTCAAACCTCCCGGCCCATCATTTAATAGTGGTCCACTTGCTGCAATTATGTCAAAACTTTTGGATAAAATTATTCCATGTATTTGGATTACACCAGTTGATTGTTATTGGGATGGAGCAAAAGCTTTGGGTCCAGATCCACCATTGAATCTTGGACCAGAGGTTTCTAGTTTTATTTCGTCACTTCCACAAGGAAATGTGACGTGGAAGAACTTGAATCCAACTTCGGTTATCAAGGAAGTCGGACAACTTTTTGATCTTGGACCGATTGGAAACTTCTTTGAGAGAGTAAGCATTTTTGGGAATTATAAACTAAACGGGTAGAAATGAACCAAGTTAAAATAATTGTTAAAAGAGCTTAATTTTTTGGAAAACCCAAACTTCTAATTTTCAGGCTGGAATTGATGGCGCTTATCTTGATCGTCCTTGCATTGATCCATTAGATGACGAATGTCCAAAATCAAGTCCAAATTATTTCGATCGTTGTACTGCGCTTAAAAAGTTCAACGAATGGAACTTGGCAAAGCCAATGAGTGATCAGGTTAGTTTTATTGAACTTGGAAAGACCAATTAATCTTGGGGAAGATGAAACAAACCTGTCTATTTCAATTTCTTATCTGATCAAAAATTTTATAACCACCGGGGAAAAAGATATGTGTTAATTTTTTTAGATTCGATTGGAAAGAAAAGCAATTGTAAAAGAGGAAGCAAAAACTGATATTGCTGAAAATATTTTGAATGATATTTTCGGAAAAAAAAGAAGAAAGCGACAAGCTTCTGAAAATGCTACAAAAGCACCAAATGGAAAGAAAGATGAAGATTATTATGCTTATGAAGATGATGCTGATTACCTTGATGGAATTGGAAATTCAACATCCACTTCAAAGAAAGAACCAATAGATACATCTTGTTTAGAATATGGAACATCTTTGTTAAAATGGATGAGAGAAAATCCATCGAGACATGGGGAATTCTTAACAAAAGAAGAAATGCCAAAAGATCCAAATTATGGAGATATTATGACTGGAGGATGTAAAGGTTTTGGAAAGAAAATTATGGAATGGCCAGAAGATTTGATTATTGGAGGAATTGAAAGAGAAGATGGAAAATTGAAATCAGCCGAGGCTCTTCAATCAGTTTTTCTAGTTTCATCACCGTATGATGTTTTCGCTAGAGTTCAACAAGATAAATCGGATACTCATCCAAATTTGAATAAAAAACAATGGTCGCCTTATATGGCTGAACAAATTATTGTTGCTTGGCAAAGAAATTTCACCAGAAAATTGTATGGACATGAAGCGAATAAAGCAGTTGAGGGAACTCGAGTATTCCATCCATTGGCTTCGACATCAATTGCTGATATGTTAGAAGAGTTTTCACAATTCAATTATATGATTATTGTTATCGGTTATGTTCTTATGGTTATTTATGCTGCATTTACCCAAGGAAGATTCCAAGGTTTGAGTTGATTTTATTTATTGGAGAAATTTTTCCCAAAAATTTTGACCTATTTGAAAAGTTATTGAAAATATTCTGGACTAGAGAATACTGTACCAAATTCATAATTTTCTAGGATGGTGGCTCGCTATTCAATCAAATGTTGCACTCGCTGTCAGCGGTGTTATTCTTGTCACATTTTCATCAATCTGTGGTCTTGGATTTGCAACTCATCTTGGTATTAATTTCAATGCTGCCACAACTCAAGTTGTTCCATTTTTATCACTTGGATTGGGTATCGATGATATGTTTTTGCTTCTCCATAATTATGATGAAATTATCAATATTTGTAAGAAAAACGAAATTGGAATTTTGTTGAAAGAAACTGGAATGTCTGTGATGCTCACTTCTATCAATAATATTCTTGCCTTCATTTCTGGATATGTTTTACCAATTCCGGCTCTTCGATCATTCTGCTCACAAACTGCTATTCTCTTATTATTCAATCTCATTTTCCTGATGTTTATTTTCCCAGCAATGATTGGAATTGATTTACGTCGTCAAAGAAGAGGACAACGAGATATGGCTTACTGTAGCAAAGGAGCAAAAACTATTCCAAAAGCTGAAAGTGCTATTAATTCAAAAGCTGCTCTCGCTGAAACTGTTACTGAAGAATTTGAGCGACATGCTCCGTGGTATACAGTTAATGGATTCTTGAAAAATATTTATATCCCAGCATTGAAGAAGCCAATAGTAAAAACAATTATTCTTGGAGGAACTGCGGCTGCTGTTTGTTTCGGATTATATGGAATGTATACATCAACACTTGGATTAGAACTTGCTGATGTTTTACCAGAACATACACCACCAGCGGCATTTTTGAGAGCTAGAGAAAAATATTTCTCATTCTACCCAATGTTTGCAGTTTTGAAAGGAAAAGATATCGATATTCCAAATCAACAACAAATTATTGAAGAATATCGAGCACAATTAGGAGCTTCTAAATTTATGATCAAAGCTGATGGAAATCTTCAACCATATTGGATGTCAATGTTAAGAGTTTGGCTGAAAAGTTTGGATGTTGCACTTGAAAAGGATTTAGCTGCTGGAAAATTCGATTTAACAAATGGTAACCCAGTTAAAGTGAATGGCGAAAAACCAACACCGGAAGCAATGATTGCTGCAAGACTTGTCTGCTCATTTGGAGATACTTATAATTGTGATGGTAGACTTGGAAAAATCAAGATGGTTGAAAATGAGATTATTCGACCAGAAGCATTTTATAATTATTTGACAGCTTGGTATAATATTGACAATATGATGTATTATGTATCACAAGCTTCATTCTTCCCACTTCCACCAGGATGGGAATATAATGAAAAAGTGGCAAAAGTTGTTCCAGCTTCTTCCAAATTATTATACAGTCAAATGCCATTCTATCAAAATGATTTAGTTGATACTCCAGCTATTGTTAAAATGATTGAGGAAATTCGTGCAACTTGTGAAGAATATACTGACAGAGGATTGCCAAATTATCCAAATGGAATTGCTTTCACATTCTGGGAACAATATTTGAGCTTGAGACTTAATTTGTTTATGGCAATTGTTATTATTGCTGCTGCTGTATTCACAGTTATCTCTATTTTAATGTTCAATCCATGGGCAGCCAGTTTAGTAAGTTTATTGATTGATTAATTTATTTTTACAAAATTGAGTAATTGAACATTTTCTAGATCATGTGCATTGTTATTATTACAACAATCGAACTTGGAGGATTCATGGGACTTATGGGAATTAAAATGAACCCGATTTCTGCTGTCACTTTGATTTGTGCTGTTGGAATTGGAGTCGAATTTACTGCTCACGTTGAACTTGCGTTCTTGACTGCTTTAGGAACTGTTAATGAGAGATTGGAAAGTTGTTTGCAACATATGTTTGTGCCAGTTTATCATGGAGCAATTTCAACATTTTTGGGTAAGTGAAAAGGGTGAATCGTAGAAAAGTCTCTCTAATTCTCACCCCTTTTTCAGGTGTCGTAATGTTGGTATTCTCCGAATTCGACTTTGTCGTCAAATATTTCTTCTCAACAATGACAGTTCTTGTTGGTTTGGGAGTCTTCAATGGTCTCTGTGTTCTTCCAGTTATTCTAACTCTTATCGGACCAGATCCAGAACTTGTACCATCTGATGGAACATCACGTCTTTCACCACCACCTCCACTTCGAGAACAACAATCGGGTAAAGATATATTTGGTGAGAGTGGAGTCAAAAGACGGAACAATAAGAATAAGAATTCATCTGACGTAAGTTTTCTGAGTAGCCAAAGGGGCGCTTCTTGAGCTAATAACATCCACGAATCCGAAACTTTCAACCTAACCTGAGTCCAGAACTTGTACCACCAAATCACAAAATTTTAGAAGAAATCTCGAAAAAATACGTTTCAAAATTGTCATAAAATGTTTCTTGTTGAATTTAATACATTTTCAAACACTATACTGTAGTTGCATTTAGACCACGCCCTCAGACTTTAATTTTCAGATTAAATTCTGATATTTTGCAGGTCGAAATGTCGTCTCGTTCTCGCTCCGACGACAATTCCAATAATACGGATAATCAATAAAAGAAGTACTGTATTTCAAAAATATTTTCATTTCATTTCAATATCTTTTTTTTCTGTGTGTTTCTAGAGAATAACGGGTCGTCATAATTCTTCTTGTTTTCTGTGTTTGTATCAATAAAAATATGTACTTTGTGAATATTTAATTGGCATAGTTTGAGGAAAACAAATGATTCACTTAAAAGCAAAAAATAAATAGAGGATTTCCGCGTGATCTAAATGAGTTGGCAATTTTTTCAACCAAAAAAACGTGTTCAGAAATGTGTCATTTCCTACGCTTTTAAAATACGAAAAAGGAGTAAAATACATAATGGACAAATCACCAAAAAATAAGATATCGCCGTTTTTGAATGTGAGAAAAAAATCGCCAACATTGAGGAAAAAGATTTCTGCCAAAAGTAAAAGCATTGATGAAAAGTGAGTTTTGTTCACGAGGAATTCAGGGGGAAAAAACATAATTTTTCTACAGTGAAAAGGAGAGAAATTCGAAAAAGACTGTGACAAAACAACAACAACAACAACAACAACCTCGAATGATTGTCAAAAAATCGAAAGAGACAGGATCGGCAATGCTAAAACCAACTACACCATTAGCAGATTCGAAAACAAAACCTGGAAATATTCAAACTGGAGCACCAACATTGACAGCAACAGCTCAAGCTGCAATATTTCCAGTCACCAAACCTTTGTCTACAACTCCCATCAAACACAAATCGCCACCGGAGCAGTTTCCAGCCGTGGTGAAAATGCCAACAACTCCTCCAGCGGTGAGGATTTGGGGTCCAACTAGGGTGCTTTTTTTCAAAAAATGAATGTTGATTAAACTAGGTCACGTTCACGTATATTCTTGATTTTTAATTTTTAATTTAAAAAATTATAACGTAACCTAGTTCTGTTCATTTTATTTCCAAAAATCCAGAAATTTTTTCAGAAAGAATGTCAGTCAAAAATGGGTCAAGCTCCTCTTCAAAACACGGAAACACAAACACTAAAAACACTTTCTGAATATCATGAAATCAAGGATTTGGAACCACAAACTGTAGGAGATATGTTTCGAGATATTGACAATGCGACGAGTCAAATGAATATTCTCAAAACTGATATCAAAAAAATGAAATGGATTGGAGATGATGTTGCAAGACAATTTGTTGACAAACTACCAAATGAGGAAAATCTCACAAGAGAATACAATTTTTTGGATTCTTTTGAGATCAAAAAACCATGCACTGCATTTCAAAATAATATGGAAAGAAATCGATGTGCCAAACATATTGTTTTGGATGAAAATCGTGTTGTTCTTGATCGACCAGGAGCTGAGAACTTGAACTATATTAATGCGAGTCGAATAAAAGTTCCGGATTTTGCCAATAAATTATTTGTTGCGCAATTACCGAAAATGGAAAATGAAAGTTTTGTGGAAGATTTCTGGTATATGGTTCATCAAGAACAAATCAATATTATTTATTTGCTTTGTTCCGAAGAATTGACGGGACCAAAAACACCGACAAAACTGTTTCGAGAAAATGCGGAAGAGTTTCAATATGTTGGAAAAATGTTTATCAACACTCGAAAAGCTGAAGTTGTGCATGACTTGAAAATTTATACAATCGAAGTTTTGCCCGATGGAATGTCAGATGCTGTGATTTGTCAAGTTCATCAATTAACATCTTGGAAATCAGGAAAAGAACCACACAAACTTCGACTTGTTATCAAAATGATTCATGAATTTTTGACTGAAAAAGAAGTTCAGAATTCGACTGTTTGTGTTGTGAGTTTTCTCGGATCCGGAAGAGCTTGCTGTTTTCTAGCGGCTCTGATTTCAATCGCTCAACTCAATAAAGGAATTCTCCCACAAATTCCCGAAATTTTCAAAAGTATCAAACTACAAAGACCCGGAGCAACTGAGAATTTGATCACTTATTCAACAACTTATTTGATTATTTTGGATTACATAAAGGTGAGTTGGCCAAAAAACCGGTTCAAACAATTATTGGATTATTATTTCAGCGCAAACTTGGCGACAAAGATTTCAATCCAAAAGTGAATGAGAGTTTGAAAATGATTCGAAATTTTATGGCGAAACTGAACCACCACGAAGTACAGTAAACTTTGAGATTGATGAGAGAAAAATAAAGTTGTATGAGTCGAATTTGTTTATTTTTAATTTTTCGAAGTTGGTTTTTGAGGCGGAATAGGTGTCCAATTTCCATTTTTAAACAATTTTGGATAGAGGTGGGTCAGAAAATGTTGAAATTGGAATGATCTTTGAAATATTGTATTCATGAAAGTTTTCTGAAATTTCATAACTAGCCTGAAGCTTTGTGAAAGTTATAAACTTTCAATGTCAAGTAGCCAACCCTAGGGAACATAGTTGTCAAGTATCCGTAACTAAAGATTCTGATTGTCGAGCCTTGAAAATCAATTCCTACTCAAAAACTACTGATGTGTTGTTCTTCAAACAAACACCCACATCTTCTTTTCTTGGAATTTAATTTCCGGAAGTTTCTTTTTCTTTTGTACCGGAAGAGCACTCATTATAATTGCATTCTCTTTTTTTTCATATTCTCATTTCATTTCAAAAATTCTGAACATCATTCGAGCACATCTCATCTGGAAGCAGATGAAAAAAAATGAAGAAAATCGATCTAGAATGCGTTAAGAATGAGAGAGTATATGAAATGGTGGAGAGCGGGGCAGACGACGAGAAAAAACTCACATGAGCTCCACTTCTTCCTCTTCTTTGATGATTGAAAAAAAACTAACTACCTCCCCTCGCAAGCCGATTTTTTATGGAAAAAAAGAGAAAGAGATGACTTTTCTCATGACTCAATTAGTTCGAATTTCCGCTAATTTAGATTTCAGATTTCTAAGAATTCTCATGCAAAAAACACTTGACTTTTTGCTAGATTTTGAAAAAAAATAGGCCGAGGGTGGGGTCGAACCCTGGTTTTGCAAATAAAAAGCAGCCATGCATACCACTCGACCACGCGCGCTGTTATCATGATTTCCAAGAATTTCGGATATAAAATGCGAATTTTTCATTCTAAAATGATTTTTTGATTCTTGTTCCTTTTTTGTTCCTTGTTCTGATTTGTTTGAGAACAAAAACCGCTTGTAAAAATCCAATTTAGAAGTCGAAAAAACAACATTTTATTTCTGAAGGAAGAAATCGAATTTGTTTTTTTTTTCAGCCAGCAAAATATTTTTGATTCTTCTTCCTTTTTCTCGAAAACCAAATGTATTTTGGCGAAAAAATTTGAGGCAATTTGCCAAAAATGCACGTGTTGGTCGCCCCGCAGTCTACAGTAATCTATCTATTTGTCCTTATATAATCTGTTGGTTGGTTGGAACAACTAAACGACTATTATTATTTCATATTCTCGGTTTTTTTGTTCGTCCGCTCACTCGTTTCAATTGCATACGTTTTGATCTTTTTGAATTTTATTTTTCTCTTCTTTTTTTATTTTGCTATTTTGAGAGAGACCCATTTTAATCGGAGAATTCTTTGAAACTAGTTTGTTTCAAAGTTTTCATCGAAGATAGATTGGTTCCAGAGATAAATTTGGGAATTATTTTTGTCTTTATTTTTCGTGGAACTATTTTTTTCGAATTTTCATCATCTTTCATTCAATCACGTAACTCGACAGGTGCTTTGTGAGAAAAAAACAATTCCAAATCCTGCTTTTCAGGCGCGCATTTTCTTACTGTAGTCATCTAGAATCGTAATCTTAAAGGCAGTCAGGCTGATATTTAATTCTACCCGGACCACCCACGAAGTCTCTGACTCAACCTTAAACCAAGAGATAGAAATTAAATATTCGAATTCGAATGCTACTGTACGCAAAAGTGCGTCGTAGTGTTTGCACACATCAAAGAGCGAATTTAAAAATTTTAGAACTTAGAATCATCGCATATTGAACTATTTTTCATGAAAAGCTTTGGGGAAACTGAAGTTGTTGTCAATTTCCTAAGTGATTCCGATTCCGAAAAAATGTCCCCTTGGTGACTTTCCGCATTTCTCTCTTTTTTCATCTTCATAGAATATAGAAATATGAGAAAAAGAAATGTTTCAAAATCTTCTAGTGTTATGCCATTTGGTAACGATCCACCAGACTATGTTCATTTACGAAGCAACGAGAGTCAAATGCAATTGATAGCCATCAATGAGAACGGTGATCCGCAAACCCCCAGGTAACTAACTACATTCTTTTGCAAAGAAAAGTTCTGGCCACTTCAGACTGTTTACATAACTAAATACAAAAATAAAATATTCACATGTTTTCAGTGGTTCACCTTGTTTCAATTCATCATCGGCACGCGATGACCCTCCAGCAGTTCTTTTCATTCCCGGGAAGGTCAGTTTGAGAAAAAAAGAGGAGGAGGGAATGGGAATCAGAAACAAGTTTCATTTTTCATTTTTTGAATTGCAAAAAGAGCGTAATCTCTGTTTTTTTGAACATTCTATTGATTGACAAACTGTTGAGTGTCAAAAGACAAAAAATGGTAAGATAATTTTATGAGTTAGTCTAAATTGGACCACCTAGCCATAGGGATTCTTTGGTCAAGGACTTGTCATAGCGGTCCAAATTTTCGAGAAAAATTTTGACTATCGGACTTCGAAAGTTCAATATTTTAGGTGTCTAATTCAGACATTATTCAGAAAGTTGTCTGAATTTTTGGGTCGGATTAAGCAATCCGGATTCCCCCAGGTTTAAAAAACCAGTAAATTTCAGGGAACAGCAAGATGGTGGAAATCTCGAACAACACTTGAGCGATTCCTTCTCCCCGCTTTTCTTCTACTCTTCCTTTTGTCAATTGTTCTTCTCGCAGTTATTATTAATTCTGATAGACGTAGAGAAGTCAAAGAACAAGGAACTCAAGTTGATTTTCTGCCATTAATGGATCAATCAACATCTACTGAACCAGCTACAACTTCGACATCAACATCAACTACAACTACATCAACGACTACAGAAAAACCGAAAGATGAAATTTGCACAACGCCTGGATGTGTTATGGCAGCTAATCATTTCGTGAGTTTCAAGTTACAATACATTTTGAAGATGAAAATTTCCAGTTGAACGCTATGAATACAACTGTTGATCCTTGTACTGATTTCTTTGAATTCGCTTGTGGACAATGGAATGAACAACATCCAATTCCAGATGATATGTTCAGTTATGGAACATTTGCATATGCTCGAGAACAAGTTCGACAACAACTTCGAGTTCTTCTTGAACAAGCAATTGTTAGTGAATCGAGATCCATTAATATGGCAAGAGATACTTATAAATCATGTATGAATAAAACGGAACTCGATGAACTCAAAACTGAACCACTTTTTGAATCATTAAAGGATTTGGGAAATTGGCCACTTCTTGATGAATCTTGGGACAAGAAAAACTTTAATTTAACAGGTACGGTAGATAATTAGGCAAATTTGGTATGAATTAATAATTCCAGATCTATTGATAAAAGCAAGACGAGATTATGCAGTTGATGTATTCTTCCAACATTATGTTTATGCTGATTCGAAAAATACATCAAGAAACACTTTATTCGTCGATCAAGGATCATTGGCATTAGGAAGGGGTTCAAAAGATTATTACCTTAATGGAACATTGTTTGCTAGTCACATGGCTGCATACAGAAAATATTTGAGAGGGGTAAGGAACACACAAAGAATTATATTTGATTATAATACAAAAACAATATTTTCAGATAGCAAATGTTCTGAAAAGTGATCATAATTTGACACGAAATGATCAATCAATTAATGAAGATATTACAAAAATAATTGAATTCGAGACTGAATTTGCAAAACTTGTTGTCGCTGAAGATGAAAGAAGAAATAGTACTCGACAGTATAATAAAAGAACATTATCTTCACTTTACGAATTGATGCCTCATGTTGATTGGGTTGATTTCTTCCGAAAAATTGCACCATCTGATATGATTTATTTTTTTAATAATGATACTGAAGTTATCATTGGAGAAATCGAATTCATGCAGAAAATGTCACAATTAATTGAGAAAACTGATTCGAGAGTTTTGGCAAACTATGTGATTTGGAGAGTTGTTCAATCAAATGTGAGATATTTGGATGAACGATTTGATGATTTGAAACAAGATTTTTTGAAAGTAATGACTGGACAACAACAAACACCTCCAAGATGGAAAGATTGTGCACAAGTTCCGAGCACAATTCTACCATTGGCAGCTGGAGCAATTTATGTTCAAGCTCATTTTGAGGAAAATGATCGACACGAAGCTCTTCAAATGATTACACATCTTCGAAATTCGTTCACAGAATTGGTTAAACAAAATGATTGGATGGATGAAAAAACAAAAGAAGTTGCGATTGAAAAAGCAAATTCAATGATAAATAATATCGGATATCCGGATGTGACAAAGAATTTGAAAGAATTAGATGAACAATATGAAGAATTGGATATTAGTGTGAAAGATACGTATTATGAGATTATGAAGAAGAGTGTTATTTGGATTCAGAGTAAAGATTTCAGAAAGTTAACAAAACCTTTTGATAAACATGAATTTGATGTTAGTTCAGCAGTTGTAAATGCATTTTACTCGCCAGAGAAAAACTCAATCAGTAAGTCATCTTATCTAAATTTCAATTTTTCAAAAACGAATCAATATTTCTAGCATTCCCCGCTGGAATTCTACAACCCCCATTCTTTAGTGGAAAATTCCCAAAAGCTGTAAACTACGGAGCTATGGGAGCTGTGATTGGACACGAAATAACTCATGGTTTTGATGATCAAGGAAGTCAATATGATAAAGATGGAAACTTACATAATTGGTGGAGTGACAGCTCGCTTCAAGCATTTGATAAACGGCGAAGATGTATTGTTGAGCAGTATGGGAATTATACAGTGCCAAAGACAAGTTTCAAGGTAACTGAAAAAAATATACTTGCAATTAAAACGTGGAAACTATAATGAAAAAGACTGAATTTAAGTAGAAAAAAACTTGAAGAAGTGAAATGAAATATAAAGCGGAAAGTGCGCCAGTATTGATTTGTTTGCGCGTTTTTCGTGCAAAAATCGTGTTGGGGTGATTCAGAATTTTAATTTTTTTAGTTAAAATAATTTATCGATTCACATGATCCCTTTTGTGAGAATCGACAAAAAAGTGAAAATAAAAAGGAAAAACAATAAAATAAATTTTTCGCGCACTGATTTTTAGGTAGATCAAATTTGAATTTGGAAACTCCGCAATGAAAAAATGTTTGCATGTAAATTTTCAGGTGAACGGAAAACTTACACAAGGAGAAAATATCGCTGATAACGGAGGAGTGAAAGAGGCCTTTGAGGCATACAAAAAATATGTGGCTGAAAATGGAGAGGAGCCTAGATTGCCTGGATTACAACAATATTCGAATGAACAAATATTCTTTGTCAGTTATGCACATGTAAGTTCAAATTTGCCGAGCAGAGCGAATGTAGACAAAAAATCTAGAATATTAGGCTTTGTCTCTGCCTCTCATCATGGCTCCATAAGGAAAAAAACAAATTTCAGTTCTGGTGTGGCAAGAAAAAAGACGCGGCTGCAATGCAACAAGTTCTAACCGACGAACATTCTCCCGAAGTTTTTCGTGTAATTGGAGTTCTCTCAAACATGCCAGAATTTGCCAAAATCTACAATTGCCCCAAAAATGCGCCAGTCAATCCAGATCACAAATGTATTGTTTGGTAGATGTTTCTTCCGATGTTTTATCATTCACGGGTACTTTCATAATCTGTCCTTTTACTTACCAATTCTTGTACAAAATCCACATCTTCTTCTTCTTTTCTTTTCTGAAACTTTTGATTTTCTCTGATAAAATCTTTTTCCTAAAAAATATATTTATTCGCACAAAAATATACAGAAAAGAGACATGGTTAGTCACCGAAGAAATATTAAACCAGTAAATGAGGTTAGTTTACTTATTTTCTAGAATTTTTAATTTTTCTATAATTATTTTCAGCCAGAATTATCAGCTGAAAATGACTAGAATTGTTGTATATTATCTCTAGGACCTGAGAGTTTTGGTATGGGAAACGAAAAAAAGGGAATTGAGCCAGAGAGGTAGGAAAAAAGAGAAATTATAAAGAAGAAAATGAAAAAAGGTCCTAGACTTTGAGCTCTTCTTTCCAAGCGCTATAATCGATATCAGCAATTTCATCGCATCTGAAAAATTTCATTGAATTTTGAAGGTCAATTTGTTATATTCTACAAAATTTATGGAAAAATACTAATTTTTTCCAACATACCTTTGTAATTTTGCATTTGCAGCCTTGAAAACACTGAAAGCTTTGCTGGGAACAAGTGCAAAGTGATCTCCAGCATCACATAATATCCGTGCCATTGTCACTTTTTTGATTTGTCGAAGTTGTTCCGGTGTGAACACTTTGTCATTTTCATACCATAATCTATCACCATTTCGAGTTCTCTTAAATTGTTCTCCAATAATACATGAGAGAGTTGGTCCAACTAATCCATCTTTAACTGGATCTTCCAAAAAGTGATCCAACATACATATCGATTGCATCTAGAAATAAATAATATTAAATTTTTGAAAATTGAAAACATTTTTAGATAACTCACCAACATGTTTGTAAACAACTTTCAAATTATCAACAACAACTTTGTTCGAAATAAAAGCTCTCAAATCCTCAAAATCTTTCACTTCTGGTAATCCACAGAATGTTCTCCAAACTGTATATGGCGGAACTCCGTGATCTCTTCCTCGCTGAATATTAATACTTCCCAAATCAGAATTTCCGAATATTCTTTCAGTCACAGCCGGTGTCAATCTTTGGGGCATTTTTGCTGGAAGTGTAATCAAACCGCGAAGAAGTGGATCAATTCCATTATTCAAAATATGTTGTGATTTGAACATTCCATCATTAAATGGAATACCTCCGACATGATTGAATTTTTCATCTAAGAATGGATAGAATTCTTGAATCATTCCGTGTCCAAAACGGAATGCACAACTTGTGAACTCGTTGGCGACTGATGGATCAATATCTTTATCATATCCTGGATATGCTCCAATTCTTTCATCAAATACAACTCCAAGAACTTTTGGAAGGTATTCAGTAAATGTGATTTTTTGAATCATAGCTCCCATAAGTTTACGTGATTCGTGGAATACACGTTCTTGATCCCAATGCGAATTGACACGTTGAAGAGTTGCAGCAATTCTGGGAACAGATTTTTTTTTATTTTTCAGATTTGGAAAATAAGTGTTGGTTTTTTTTTCCAAAATTCAGAGTCTGCTCGAATTGAAAATTCCGAAAAAGTACCTGTTATGTTCTCTGAGGAATAAAACATGAAGAGCAGCCAATCCAACAAAAATATTAGCTCGATCATCTCCAGCTACAACATTATTGTTCTTATCAACTGGTGGAAAGACTCGATTATTAATCAATTTGGTTTTCAAAAATGCTCCTTGTCTGAACAAAAATTGATCGCGATCACTGCTTCCATAAATCATTGAACCATCAATAAATGCGGTATTCTCATTGAATTGTTCACGGAAATTGGTTGTTCCAGTTCCACAAACTGGTGTTGATCTAGCGACTGGCAAACACATAAAACGACCAAAAGTTGGATCAGATCGAGAGAGGAATACTGATGTGCAACGACCTTTGTTTGATGTGCAAGCAGCGCATTCCTAAATATGAGTTTGCAAAATTTCAAAACAAACTTCTGAACTCTCGAAAAACCTAGATTACTTGGTTCCACAGCTTATGCAATATTTTCAAAAATAAAAACTAACCTGATTGTTGAGCATAGTAGTTTTCGATAAATCATGAGCAATAAATTGTCCCCATTGCATCAACAAAGCATTCGAATGATGTTGAATTTGTGTGGAAGAACTTAGAAGAAGTCGAGAAGCATCACGAGCTGATGGACGACTTCTCAAAAATGAAGCTGAAAATTTCAGATATCTCATAGTTCCACAAAAAACTTCAAAAAAATCAATACTTACAAGTTGGTGCATTCAAACCATTATCATAAAGTGGTTTTTTGAGTCTCATAAGAGCTTGGAAAGCTGAACCTTTCATTGGTTTATCCAAGTTATTACAAGTTCCATCGAAAGTACGGTAGCGTAAGTGATAGCACAGATTTTTGTTGCAGTTTGGAATTTCTTGAGTTGGAGCGCAGTTGAAATTGGCGTTGGAATCGCGAACATCTCGGGTGGATAAAGTCTGGAAATTTGGAATTTTTAATTATTTTTGAGGAGGAATACATCAGATTACAGTAACTAAAAGAATATTTTGAAGTTGTTTATCACTAACCTTTCTAGTTGAAGTATCTTCATTTGTAGTAATAAAAGTACAATCCTCCGGCACAAAAGTTCCATCAGGTCCAGTTCCACCAATATTCAAAATTCTTCCCTTACACGCTTTACATGCTTTTGGACAATTTGATAACATCCAAACTGCATTCGTTTCGCATTCTCGAATTGTTGCCCAAAATCCGCAAAGTCGATGTCGATCAATACAAGTTGTCAAACCTTTGCAAACATCGCAAGAAACTGGACAATGATCTTCCATCCAATTTTTGTTTGTTGCACATTCACCGATTGATGACCAGAATTTGCAAAGATCGTGGCGGTCTCGGCAAGATTTACTGTAGAAAAAGTGTTATTAAGGGCGGAGAAAAGTAATTTTTGTTGTTGAAGCTTTTCTGAAACTTCACCGAACATAATTCTTATACTCAAAAGTAGAATTTCAATTGAAAAAATTCCAAGGCCTTCGAAAATGTGTAATTCTACTTGTAGTTCTTTAAACTCCCAAAATTATATTTGTAGATACTTATTTTCTATCAAAAACTCACTCATTCGGATCAACTTTATCCTCTTCGGTCAATTTTCCAACATCTCCAATTGTTCCAGGTGCGTGTCCACTTTCACCAGATCCATCAACATCGTTATCATCATCGGCTAGTGATACTAAAAACCATATCTTCAGGTATTTTTGCTTGGAAGGCAAAAAAAAACTGATAATTGGCAGGACAAAACTTCAAGGTTGAAGAGCGAAGTATTCCGGATTTTATTTGTGTGGTTAGCGATTTTTTTTGGATGATCAAGGATTGCGAAAGGTGTGGTCTTGATAAAAATTCGAATTCAAATTCAAATTTCTCTTTTAGTATGTAAATTCAAAAATCCCTGGCGAAAAAAGAAAAGGTATGCAGCAGCATCATCTCATTAATTGTTATGGATTATCAAGAATCCTGATTTTCTCTGGCCTGGCTAACATAGAAAAAACCGGTGGTCATTTCACGTTTCAATAAGCATGTCTTCTCGTTTTCTTCAATGATATCGTTTCGACCTGGATTTAGGCTAAGTCTAAGATTGTTGCTAGCTGTTTTTTTCTCTTGCGCAGGTTTTTTTTCTCGAGAAAATGAGATGAGATGAGAGAAGAGAAAGGTGATATAAATTATTGGCAACAATTTGTGATTTATTGCGATCCGGAACTTTAGTCAAATTAAATTGAACTTTGGAAATTGTAGCCAAAAAATTCATGGAAATTAAAAAAAACACTATGTATTTTTGGTTCAAAACAATTTTAAAAAAATATATAATTTTTTTAATTTTATTCTGAACTCAACACTGAAAATTATCGTCCAAAAATGAAATTAAATTTTTGAAACAGTAAATTTTTTCAACTAAAAAAATTCGCCGCACATTATATTTTAATACTGTTACATTCGAAACTCAAAATAAGCTTCAGATCTCAAAAATCTTAAAATTCTACAACCCTTTTTCTAAGTTAGAGAAAAAGTGAAGCTTACCTTGTATAGAAGAAATAAAAACTATGAAAAACAGAAATAAAAGTCTATTTTTCATAATTGGAGAAATATGGTTAATTCTAGAATGGAATTAGTAAAAGTGTCCTCAGCGCCACACTTTTTCACTTTACTGATATAAAGCTCGAAATGAGGGGCGGGCTACTTTCTTTCGTTGTGTGTCCTTTTCTCCTTCCATCATTGAATCAAAAGCTTGTTCATCGAAACTCCGCCCACTTTCGACAGTCAGTCAATCTATCTTTGTTGCTTGCGTGCCTTGCTTGTATTGTGTAAATGACAATAATAACAAGACGAAATGGAATGGAATAATGATGAAGTGATTATGAATATGTATATTCACATATGTGAAACAAAGTATTTATTATTCATTTCAAATAAACATTGTTTTTTTTTTCTTTTCGAGAAAAAGAAGAAGAAAGTGTTTTTGTTTTTTCGAGTGAGTGAGAAGATTTGGGAAAAGAAGACAGATTGATTATAATGATCTGATCATTTGAGGATTATTGTCGCGCAAATGATAAAAGAATGGGCTAATATTTGGGAGAGAAGAAGGATTGAATAAGATTGTGTTTATTCATAAAAGTTTGGGTACACAGTGTAATTTCGAAACATTTATATTAAATTTTGTTGGAACTTTTAGTAGTAGTTAGTCGAACTTCCAGAAACGTTTCCGAGCATTGACGATTTTTTTTTTGGATTTCTAATACTAACTTTCCGAAACGTATTTCAATTGGTGTTTTTTCCAGGAGCCGAACTCATAAAAGTGGACATCAAAAATTAATGAAGAAAAAATTTGGCGTACCAAAAATTTTCTTCAGTAAAATTTGGTATTTAAAGTTTAAAAATTTGAAGCAATGAATGTCCTCACCTATACTGTTAAATTTGAATCTACTTCCAAGATGACGTTCAACTTCGAATTATACATTTTCTGGATTTGTTGCAGTTTCGAGATTTGCAATAACTTTTTCCTTTCCAATTTTTTGATAAATTGCAGATGAGCCAATTTTGTTCTTGAGATCTCAGAACTTGCCCCAGAGGCTGAGCCCCTTAAATTCCAAAAAATGAAACAATTTTTGAATATCCGCGTGACCTTCCTTTTTCTCATTCAATTTCCATTTCCATTTTTATTCGAATTAAAAAAAAACCACTCATAATTATATTTTCTCGATCACTGACCAATTATTACTATTCTCGTTTCAGCTTTGATTATTTATTTATTCACTTTTTTTTGGAAAAAAAAAGTGTAATGAGGTTTTTGAAAACAATAGTACTATTCTATTGTTTTTGCCTTGTTAACCAACCAAATTAACGTCCAAAACCAAAAAAAGTAAAGAAGAATGTATATGTTTAGATGTCTAATAATAAAAAAATCATAGTGGTATTTAGAACTAACTGAATAAATAACTAAACCAGTTGTGATGCAATCCGACCTTATCCCTTCTTCCTTTTAGTTTCGAACGAATGAAATGTTGTGTTTTTCATTATGCTATGTTTATGCTTATGTTCATGTTCAAAGTTCCAGTTAATTGTTGCCTTGTTTGATTTATCGACAACACCTTCTTATTTACTATTTATCTACAAAAAAAGAATTAGAATTAGAATATATTTAAAATGAGAAGGAAGATCTGGTTTTTTCTCTGCCTTTTTCCTTTTTTGATAGAAGTGTCAAGGGATTACAACAAAATATGTCGAGAAAAATTTAAAAAAAAAAAGAAGATGAATATTTACATGTCAGAGATTTTGTGACGTAATAATTATCACATTCTTCTGGTAATTAAGAATCAAAAACTTTCACTTTGCTAACCAAAAATGGTTCTAATGATAATAATAACCATAATGAATTACTGAAATGTCCGGGGGTCGAAATGAACTCAATTTCTATACGTGAAATTTAAACGTGACCTTTTCATTGAAGTAGTTCATCCAAGTTGGAAGATCTTATCAGTTTTCTATTTAAACTCGCTGATAGTTCAAATATACTCAACAGATTTTCTACCATGCTCTACTATTCTTTCTGTACTTAGCTATTCATTCGAAATCTAACAATGTGTATGGATGGTTCTGAAGACAATAGAAGCCCAATATTATTTTTCGTATTTTTTTACTTGTGATTTTTCGTTTATGTTGTGAATATTTTTCTCAAACTTGCAACAATAAAGATTTCGACAAACCTTTTGGATCCTTATTCAATTTCCAACCAGAAAATAGTATAATCCTCAGAACTTCCTCATTACATCATTTGACCTCGAAAAGGAAGAAACATTCATATATCAGTAAAAAACAGATACCCGTAAACACAAAACAATTCTTCTCCTCATATTTTCATTCATCATCCGAATCAACAGGTTGTTCATCTTTTTCTCCTGGCGGTCTTCCAATTCCTCCTTCGGCTTGCCATTTATCATTTCGACGTTTGTCCAAAATAAGCAAAAAGTTTGACAGATCTCCAGCGCGATTCTGAAAAAATGAATTTCGTAATTAGGTTTGTAATTAGCCAATTTGATACTTTAGGAAATGCGCGGTTGATTTTTTTTCATAAAGTTTGATCGTTTCTAACTTCCTGATAAATGTGGTGAAATGAAAAGTCAACAAAAATTTTCTTTGAAAAAAGTTATGACGTGGCAAATTTTTGAGAAAATGTTTCTGAACAAGATAATAATCCAGAAGCATATTAGGAGCCATCAAAAATCTCTCATGAATTTGCCACGTCATAACTCTCATAATATTTTATTATACCTGTAAATTCGAAACTGCGTCATCGGACAATTTGTTAGTTCCACCTTCCACAGTATTTTCAATCATTTCGAGTTTCACGAGTAATTTTTCGACATGCGTATTCGCATCCGGAACAACTCCGCCTCCCCAAGCATCTTCTTCGACGCCAAGCAATTTATTGAGAAAATCACGCAATACATCATTTGATTTTCCTGGAACGAAAATGACAATGGAAATATTGAAGGTAGAAAAAGGAAGGGAAAAGAAAGGAAAGGAGAGGAAAAACAAAACATGTTTCGGTGAGGAAGAAATTGATAGTGGAAAACTGATTTATTCTTTGAACTATTCTGGGAAAAAGAAAAAACATACCCTGAGATTTGAGGCCAAATTTGACAGCAGCCAATGCGATTTGTGAAGGTGGATACATTAAAAGAGCATCAGTTTGTAGAGCCAATTGGAAAAATCGTTGCGAATCATTTCGAATTGATTCCAAATCAAAATTCAAAAGCAACATTCGTGTTTTCATTTCCATTAAATGCCCTTCAAATGGTCTGAAACCCAGAAATTCATATTTTTTGTTAAACTTCAAACACTTACCGATAGGGGCAATGAACAGTTAGATTATAATCCAATTCTCGCATTATTTCAGGCTCAAGTGCTAAAATTCGTTCAGCGTTTTGAGAAGGGTTTCCAGTTCTGCAACAAAAACAAATTATTAAAAATAAAATAAAAAAGAAAAGAGAAATTACGTTAAATTCCCAACAAATTCATCAATGGTCACGAAAAATTCATCGATTTTCATTGCCAAATAAAAACATGCCATAATAACCAATTTGGGGCTATTATCACACGCGGACCATTTGAGAAAAAGACGTTTGAAATACGCATAAGCGGTCCATTTTACAGATGGCCAAATTGAGGGGCGAAATTTGTCGGCGAATTTCAATGCGGCTTCTTCGACAATTCGTTGCATTGAAAGTTCTTCTTGACACGTTAGAAATATTTCATGTTCGCCTTCTTCAACAAAATCTTTGTATTTCTCACGAAACTTTTGGTTGACCTAAAGAAAAATTATTGATACAAGGAGAAAATAAATAACCGATTTAATGCCTTAAGTTTAACAAAAACTTGAAATTTTGATTGTGTTATTTTGGCTAAATAGGACAATCGTTAACGATTAATTGATTTTTTAATGAAAATTATTAAGTTGTCTGTTTCAATTTGAAAATTTCCAAAAAGCGGTCTGATTTTATAGACCTGGTCTAATCAATAAGCGGATTCAGAATCGATTTTCTTACCTCTTGTCTTTGATCATCGATTTGTTCAGCCGTGAAAGTCCATTCTTTTTTCTGTGTGCTTGTTGAATACATCTGAAACTGCTGAATTTGCGAGAATAAAAATTTTTAATCAAATAAAATGGGATTATCACAAAACCAACTATTTTTTCCACAAATTAACGCCTTGAACAAAACAATTCATAACAATGTGAAAATCAACAATAACATTTAAATCCTGAAAACTACTTCTTTTTTCCTTCCCTTTGTTGTTTGTGCGATTTTTTGTAGCCGAATTTTTGAAAAGCTCCACGCCGTTTCTTTTGTTCGGCTTGCTTGATTTCGGTGTACCTGAAAATTTGTACACAATATTTCCAAAACAAATATCTAAATTATCTTACTTCTTCTTTGTTTTTACCAATGATTCTTCATTATACAATAATTCATCAACCATAGTCTTCTTTCGTTCTTTTTTCAACATTCGACTAGAATAATAATCTTCCGGAGCATCAACAACTTTTCCAACTTGGAAATATTTTGGAAGAACACCTCTATCATTTCGTTTATAATGTGCCAATGGATCTAAAACATTTCGCATTTGCAACATTTCCAAATCTCGTTTGTTTTCTTCGGTTAATTCAGTTGCTGGCATATTGAACCATTGATCTCCTTTTGTTTTTTCTCTTTCTGTTTTTCGAAGTCGAGCTTGAGCATTTGTACCCATTAAACGAACTTGTGGTTGATGATTTGCTTCAAATTTAGGACCAGTAATAGCTTTCTCCAATAATTTCTTCAAATCTTTATCCATCTCATAAGGCTGTAAATGCGAATTTCCCAAGAGATCTTGAGGAAGAATTTCGGAAGTTCCTTTTGCACCTTCATCAGCATCTCGATCAATCACAAATAAGTCATCAGCACCAACAGAAACATCTTCTACTCTCGGCTGAAAGTTGCCTTTTTCAAGTTTTCTGTTCAACGAAACACTCGCTTACCTGTGTGACTTTAATTTTCTTTGTCGGTACTTCAACATCTGAATCTGAATCTTCGCTACTGCTTGATTCATTGTTTTGTTGTTTCCGCAGCTTTTTATAGTAAAGAGACGACATTTTGGGTTTTCTTCGACGAAAAAGAAAAAATAAAATAATTGTTCGATAGAGCGCGTTCGCAACAATGACCGAGCATTTTCTCGTCCCCGTTGTTTTATTTTTTCTTCGAAAAAAACGTCAATTCTTTTTTCACCTAAAAACTTCGAAATTTTCAGTTCTGCGGAGTTCTATATAACGGAAAAGGATGTCGAATGATCGAATCACGGTTAAACAACTCTCTTCAGGAGTTATGGACATGAAGGTATGCGTTTTTCTTATAGAAACTGTTTTTCAAAACAAAGTTGTTTTTCAGTTCATGCTTCGCAAGAAAAAGCAACTGGAAGCGAAGGAAAAAAAGAAGAAAGACGTCGAGATTCAGAGAAAGTTTGAGGAGCCGGTTCAGCAATCTTCTTCGAATTCAACAGAAAGAAATTATGAGATTTGCACAGATTTGACAAAATTGGAAGATTTATCATTTGGTCGAATGTCATTCAAAGGCTATAATAAGGAAGTTGAAGAATTAATGGTATATTATGAGCGACTGAAAAACGGCGAATTATTTGATGATGAAGATAATGGTGGAAAAGACGTTGATGATAAAGAAATGGCACAAACGTGAGTTTTTGAAAAAAAACAGTTTTTAATTGAAAATTTGATATTTTCAGCCTCGGTTTGAAGAAGAAGTTTATGTCTAAAAGAGAGAGAAATCAAGCAGATATGAAATCAAATGTTGAAACTTCTTCGAAAAATGGGAAATTCAACTTTTCCGATGTCCGAAAAAGACATGCTCAACCGGAAGATGAACCAGAAAGAAAATTCATGAAACCATCGGATTAATAGGTTAGTTTTCTTTAAAAGATCTAGAATGAAATAAAAAGAATGAGGTGTATGATAATATATTTTTTGTTTTAAAATAATATTTTTAGGAACATTTCGATGTTCATTTTTTTTCATAATTCAAAATAATTTCTGAAAATTTAAATTATTGATGAATTTCTAAATTTTAGATTATTCTTTTGATCTCAAAGCTACCATATGCGAAAGGTTCCATTTTTTCCAGTCAAAATTAATAAATAAAATAATTTTTCGAAGAATGCTCACGCGAAATCGCGTGATCCAAAATTTTAATTAATTCCTCTCTCACAAATTAAATTTTTGTCAAATTGAATTTTCGAAATCATTTTTCTGACACGAAAGGTTTTTTTACACACGATTTTTCTGCAAAAAGAATATGAGTCACCAAAACATATCAAATCCCTTCGAGCACATTTCATCTGAGAGAAACGAAAAAAATTTCTCAAACAGAAAAAAAATTATACACCTCAATGATTTATTTCGAAATGAAATGAAATGATAAATGTTTTTTAATTATTCGTTTTCAGATTTATCTTTCGTCATTTTGGTTTTGTTGTTTTTTTGTCGAGGAAAACGTTTTGCTCATTCAACCATCAATTGTTATATTTGTTATTGTTTTATTTTTTTACCACATTCTATTTTTCTTGCAAAAAAAGAAAATAAATGTATCGATTTGCACACACAGTGCCTCCTTTCCTATGTATTTCCTATTCAAAATAATCGAATTATAGCACCTTGCCTCCTCCCTCATATCTATTTTATTTTAGCACATCTCCTCTCCCTCCCCCTTTTTTTTCTGCTTTTTTTCCGCCTCGAAGGGAAAAGTCGTCGGACTCCTTGTCTAACTCTCAGCCGTCTCTTTCGTTTTTCACTGCATTTTGCGAGTTTTTCTACATTTCCTATTGGAGCCGCTACTGCTTCTGCCATTTTTTGCTCTCTCATTTCTCGAAACATTTTTGTTTTTCTATTTTTTTCGGTTTTGGTTTTCAAAGTTCATTCACATTCAAATGGCCAAATATGCATTCAATGTGGAATTATCAATCAAGTTAGTTTTTTTTTCTGATGTTAAACTTGTTTCTAGAACTTTATCAGCTCATATTGAGAAAACTATTGAACTGCTCAATAACAAATGTTTCTAAAATGAATCATAGGAAAAAGAAAAATCCGAGGTTACTGTGGTAACTACAGTGTAGTTGTAAGGACTACAAAGATTACTGTATAAGTGCAAAACTAAATAGTTTACGGAAAAATTATTACCTGTTTTATTTTTTAAGATAAAAATAACCGTTTATATTTTCTGTAACTACATTTTTCTAGAAAAATCCCAAGCTACAGTATCAGTAGTTTCACAACGCGGATTACTGTAGCTCATTAGAAATTCTAGGAATTCAAAAAAAAGTTTCTGAAATTTAATTGCTTTGCTAGCTTAAAACTCTAGTTCATTAAAAAGCTAATTCATTTGAAAAGCGGAAAAAAGCAACTAAAAAATAGTTCATTAAAAGTTCTATCTCTCATAATTAGAGTCTCGAGAAAAACCGGAAGCATCTCTTTTTTTTCCAGAGAATTCGATGGGGGAGATCCTCTGGCTTTCAAAATGGATGGACATCGATTCGATGGAGCACTTCGAACTCTAAAATGGTCCTCCGATCAAACATATACAGTGAAAGTTGTGACAAAACCAGCGACTGAAGTGAAATCAGTTAATGTGAATGGGCAGGATATTGAGTTGTCGAAGGAGAAGTTAGGCGAATTCAAAGGGCAATGGAAAACGGGAGGAGCAGAAACATCGAAAAGGGGAACAAGAACACCACTTGTTTTTGTGATTACTGTAAGTTTCAAATATTTTATGGGGGGTGAAAAAGGCCACTTCAGAAAAATAATGAAAAATTTCAGTTTTCACCAGAAGGTCAACTTCGAGCCGAATTCCAATCGAAAATCTACTCCAAAAATGATTCTCATGCAGTTTGGGGCCATAAAATGAATGCAGTCGAATTCAAATGCAGTGCAGCCGATGATGGAGTTGTTCACATAGTCGATGAAAACTTCAAATAGGAAACTTCCAAAATTGTCCAATTCATCCCACATTCCACAGATTTTTTTCAGGGTCACCTATTGTGTTTCTTTCTTTTTCCTTTCTCTCAATTACTTACATATTCAATTTTTCATGTTTTGATTGCGCTTGCTTATATTGCACGAAGTAGAAAATATCTAATTAGCAATAATTTTTTCTTGATACAAAAAAAACGAAAATAGTCAACGAATATACGAAACGATGATAATATAGACAATAATTTAATAAATAAAAGCTTTTATGATTATTTTATTTTAGTGTTGTTGTTCCATCGACTGAAACTGTCATTCGAGATGAAGCTGAAGATGTTTTGCCTGAAAATTTTTGGGGGAATTTTCAAGAAATTAAAGATTTTATGTGCTCAAATTTGATATTAGTGTTAATGCTATTATTTCATGTAAATTGTCATTTTCCAAATAAAAAGCAAACGGAAAGAAATTTGTGAAAAATAAAAAGAAAACAACGAGACTCCGTGATGACGACAGGCTGTGTGCGCTGTCGTTTTTCATTTCCCAGTTTTTTTTCCTTTCTTCAAAAACAACTAACCATTTCTTTCTTGTGACTTATCCAAAAATCCCGAATTTCTAAAAGCCAACAATTGTCGTTTATCAGATGTCGATCTTCTTCTCAACAATCTTCGTCTTCCATTTTTCACCTGTAACTTCTCAATTCTCTCGTTGGCTCGATTGTCGACGACGACATGATCTGGCGACTCGCTGCTGTTTCGATGATTTTGAACGTCGACGCAAGGCGTCCACCAATCGTCTCCACATACTTCGTCGTGTGGGGCGAGAACTTTGGTTGTTGTGCAAAGGAGTGTCTGGATTGGCAGAGTTGCTGCGTCGGAGATTAGCCGAACTGCCGTTCCGCTGCCACGTCTCACCAACACTGCTCGATCGCCTGAAATTGAGGTTTGTGTTTATTTATCAGCTTAAAAAAGGTGGGATTTCAAATAAATATTTTCATAGGGGAAAATTAAATTTTGGGTGTCGAAAGTCTCGTTCAACATAGTTATAACGGGCAAAATTGAACTCGAACTCGTCTTTGAACATGATTTTTTAAAATTAAAAATCTGAGAATTTGTTCAAGTAGACTTTGAGGTATCTAAGAAAAAGTTTCAAGTTTCATGAAAAACTGACCTAAAAAAGAATTCGAAATAACATAGGGTGAATTTTCGAATGTAACCTTCTTCATTCTTGGTTCATTATTCGTCAAACTCAATTTTGCCATCATACTCGTACTTGCTCCTTCACAAGATGATGCTGGACTATCTTCTCTTCTCGCAATCGGTGTCATACTATCATGACTTGATCTTCTCGATTCATCCGTCGCACTTGATTCGTGATGATTCAAAGCTCTTTCAACATGAACTCGACAAGGTTTCAGTTTCACAGTTGTCGCCTGCGTCGGTCTTCTCACAGGTAATCTACTCGGTTTTTGTTTTCCTTTCTTTGGTGATTCACTCGATGTTCCACCATTTGCTGGAAATGCCATTCTTTTGCTTCGACTGATTTTTGGACTTTCGTGTAGATCTCCTTGTGATCTAGAACTACTTGGACCATTTTGGGCTCCGCGACGCTGATGATTCTCCTGAACCCATTTTGAAGCGCGTGCACTTCCACGTGATCTACGAGTTGAAGAAGGGGGAGGAGCTTCTGGCTCTTCTAATGCTACAGGATTCGGAATCACAACATCTTCATTGTCAAGTAATTTTGGTCTGAAAAATTGATGCTTATAAAAGCCCAGAACCTGATCAAAAACCTTGGTAACAATCGATAATCTAATAATGGCGATTCAACAGATGCAATTGAATGTCTCCGATGATGTCTTCGATGTTGATTATTATTTCCAGAACTTCTGTCATCTTTTTTCGAAACATTTAACAACGCAAAATAGAACGCCATCTTCGAAAAGAAAAAGAAAAAGAAGTAGTCAGTAAAAAGAATGTAAAGTTATGAAATTTTGGAGTGAGAAAGTGAGCTTTTTGGCTAGCTGGCTCAAAATCAGATTGTTCCCCAAGGACCGTTTGCCCGCTTTTTCATTTCACTTATTTTTTGTCTGACGCACATTTGCACGCGGAACAAAAAAGTTTGTCGGATTAACATATATGTGCAAAAAAGAATACTTCATGACCTTTTTACAAATATCTATTACGATTTTTGTTAACAGCGTTCCGATTAACAGCTCCTCTTGACGGACATTTACAGTATCCCGAATCAGTTCCAGGTTGTCCATCTGGTCCAGGATTTCCAGCAAAACCAGGGAACCCATTTGTTCCTGGTGCTCCAGGTTCTCCCCGTTGTCCAGGAATTCCCTGTGTTCCAACATTTCCATCTCTTCCAGCCCATCCTGGCGGCCCATTTTGTCCCGGTGGCCCATTTGGCCCTTTATCTCCAGCTGATCCCTTTGATCCACGAACTCCATCTCTTCCCGGTCCTCCAGGTCCTCCAGCTTTTCCAGGTTGTCCCTCTCTTCCAGGCTCTCCAGGTTGCCCCATAGCTCCATTATTTCCAGGTCGACCCGAATTTCCATCAGTTCCCGGTTGTCCCGGAGGCCCTGGTGGTCCAGGAGGTCCACCGTATCCTGGCTGACCTTTTGGACCAGGTGGACATTGTCTACAATCTTTTTGCTTCGCATATTGATCTGGTGGTGTGATTCCACTTAGTCCTGGTTCTCCTGGTTGTCCAGGTTGTCCTGGAATTCCATCTTCTCCATTGATTCCAGGCATTCCTTTGACACCAGCTGGACAACGATTGTCACCTCCACATTCTGAAAAAAAACGAAATTATGCTGAATTCTTTGTTTTTCCCCCGAAAACTTACGACATTGTCCATTTTGTCGTTTCGTCGCTCTTTTCTGTCTCGGATAATCCATTCTCAATCCACTCAATTCACTTCTCGCTTCTTGTTCCAAAACCAAAAACTCATCATTATGAACTTTCAAACTCTCCGTGATTTTTTCCATTCGATTTAACATGTATGGAATATATCCCAATGATGTTGTTATAACAATTATCGAAGTGAAAATCGAAGCATATCCGACAAAATCAGTTAACCAACGCATTTTCAGAGATAAACGCCAAAAAGATGCGAAAGTATATTGTTTTTAACATTTTATATACTAATACTAAAAGGGATCAGAACTAGTTTAGCTACTTTTTGGTAATGACAGTGTGACTGACCTTTTTCTATGACTGAGAGAAAAAGATATTCTTACAATTAGAAGAATAGATGTATCTAATGAACAAATACTTTATTTTGATATGCAAATCCAAAATAAATTGAAATTTAGAAGGTGAAGATTGAAAATCATCTTTCCAATTGTCTTCATTACATTAAACTTGAGCGTTGACGACTAGAATATTCAGTAGAAGAATTTGAAGTATTGTTACAAATGAGATCGCTTTCGATTCAAACATTTTTAAAAACTGACGTGTCCAATATTTTGGATTTTATTTTGTTTTTTTTGGGTTGGAAAAAAATTAGGTCACGTTTCATAATTCAATGCATTTCATTTTTTTCATGAAAAAAATTTATTTCGATATGCAAATTCATTGTCAGAACAAATTAATATTTAGAAGAACACGGCGATGATTCAAAATCGCTTTGACTTTGTAAAACTACAGCATCTTTTAATTCCCTTTCAATATCTCGAATTGTTATCCAACCATCTTCATCTTGATCGAGTTCCTGGAAAATTATTTTAGTTTTGATTTTTTGGTGGCAGTTCAGAAGGGTTTTTTGTAAATTAGGCGCAGGCTTTGAGACTGCGCCTATTTGGGCTTGGGATAGTTTTTCGAAATTTTTGTTCGGGTCTTTAATTTTGGGTCTTGAAAAACAAAATCATGCGGTTCCCCAAAATTCACCTTAAACCTCTTTGCATACAATCTCGAAATCAACGGTGAAAGTGGTTTCAAATCATCATCACAACTTTTTGTTCGATAAATACTTCCAGCCGGTAAACCAATCGCGGCAGCATCACAAATTGTTGAATGTGAAGCAGTCAAAGCAAATACTGATCTTGTATATTTACAAAACGCTTCCTCATTCACTTTTCCCTTTCCTTCAATATCCATCAGATGAAATGCGAATTGTGCACGAGCTGAAGAATTGATATGTGAGTTGGCGAATTCCGAACTTCTTCCATTTTCAGTCAATTCCCAAAGACAAAGAATCAAATCCTGCAAAAACACAAATGTTTAATTAGAACAGAAAAAGGGTCCAGAGTAAACAAGATTTTACAGAAAAAAAATTTTCCAAAACAAACCTCAAAAGTGATCTGTTGATGTGGTTTATTCTTAACAATTGCCATATACAATCGATCAACAAATGCGGAATCATTTGCTTGTGGAAACAAACTTCGAAATACAATTCTCCATTGTGTTTCAGACATTCTACCGTTCGAACATTTTTGTTTGAAATTTCGATACATAAACATGATCCATTTTCGATTGAATCCAGTAAGTTGAACAAGTTGATCAAGTCCTGGAGGTTGAGTATTGAATGGATTTGACAACAGGTCTTCAACATCGATTTCGATTTCTGTGGAAAAAAAAATGAATTTTGGAAATTAGAATGGGGGGGGGGGACATTTTAGGAATTAATTTTATCTGCCACGTGGGTTGACTAGAAAAGGTCACGCTAAAATTAAAGATGTTGATTAAAAAAAATATTTTAATGTTTTCCTACAGTAATCCTAAGCTCTCATCATAGTTGTTTACAGATTCCAAAAGTTATGTAGATCAAATATCAGCTTCAGCGAAGCTAGTCTTATTTGTTATAATTTTGTTTTTTCTGAATTTTGGAGTTTTCTCACTAGGGTTCTCAGTTAGTTCTAAAATTTCTGTAAAAATCCCAATCAATCGGATTTCGTTCAAAAAAATCCCCAAAATAACTCACCATCATCATAAAAGCACAGCCAATACTGACATCTTCTCATCGCCCAATAAATCGCCGTCAAAATTCGATTTTTGCATGGCGGACGTGTTCCAAAATGTCTGAAATCGTGTTTGATTTCAAATTGCTCATCATCTTCAGTTGCATCTCCCGTCGAATCAATAAACCACATTTGTTGATAAAATATATTTGGAAAAGGAAAAAATATACACCTTTTTGTATTCCCCAGAGATTAAAAATGGATACGTTTTATAATTATAATGTGCTTCTGCTGCTATTCAGATGTATTATTTTTTCGGATGAACTAAAGTGAAAATGAAAAGAGCAAAACGAAATGTTTTGGGGTTGGAAGAATAGAAGAGGGCATAAATTTTCAATCAAGCTAAATTGAGTGGGTTGAGTCCGATTGGAACAACGAAATTTTGAGATTTATGAAAGGTGACATGTTTTCAGATTTTTTCTCAAATTTAATTTTGAGAAAAGGTCCAAAAATTTGAAATTCTGAAACAGCGACACATTTTTAATCGATTTTTTGAATTTCTCAAAAACGTGAGTAAGTTCGTGCCATGTGGCAAAGTTTGGGGCCAACAAGTTTCCGAAAATTTGACTTAAAAACAATTTTGCACGTGGCAAATCTACTATTCAAAGGAGAACCAAATTTTTTAAAAATGATAAATATTTGAAATTAAAAAAGTGGCACAATTTTGGAATCTTGTTTTTCTCTCCTTCGAAATCTTGAAAAACCTACCCGATATAATTCAAACCTCGAGACCGAGATCTAGTCATTTTTTCAAAAGAAATATTTTTCAACATATGTTTTTTTGCTACTATCATCAAATATCCTTTTTTCTTCATTAGCCATCTATTCAATTATCCAAAGTATCCTCTTTTTTTGTCACAAATCCTTGACACTTTTTCTAATTATTTTTATTTCTCACTCGCAAAGAAAAACACGAGACAAATAAGAGGATTTGTATGTGAATAATGAATGATGAGTGTACTTTTTTTGAGAATAGATGAATAAATATTTAAATTAGAGGGATGCCTCTACTACAGGTTTGTGAAGTTTCAGAAAAAAGTTTGAAACAACGAAAAAAAATTAGAGCCCAAAAACAAACCTCTCCAAATTTCTCTGTTTTTCCGATGCTCTTGTTTTCGGTCGTTTCATTTTTGGTGCCGAGCTGCAAAAATTCCTCAAAAATATAATGAAAAAAAATAGGAGAGATAAAAATGAGGGTATTTTTATTTTCGTGCTAGGGATTATCTGCGGATATTGCACTAGACTACTTAAAATATCTAAAAAGTGACAAACCTTCTTGTTGATCTGCGAAAAGTTCTCATTCGCATAATACTCCACATTTTGTTGTGTCCTTTTTTCGCCACGCCCACTTGTCTTGAAAATAAATGAAAGAAGAAGGAAGAGAAAAATTGGAATGAAAAATGAAAATTTATTTTTTGTTTTTTGATAAATAAAAGGAGCCAAAACGGACTAGGGGCGCTGCCCCTAGGCGAAACAGTTATACAAATCCTCAAAAAAATTCAAAATTTCAAAGAAAAATAAATTTTTTTAGCATTTTTAAAATGATCATTTCCTAACGTACAAAATTTCCTAACGTCTAGTTCAGGAATTTTCAATTTTCATGCACTGGGAGGAAAATGCGGGCTCTGGACAGACATTTTATTTTTTTGTCAATTAGTATATAGTAAGACAAGAAATGATTAGGATGACTCAGAAATGTTGTTTTACGCCGAAAAATCGTTATTTTTCGCACAAAAAATCCACCACCTGTATACAGGCCCAAAAATTTATACAAAATTTGTCAAAAAATTTGGAACGGATTTGCGTGTCCTCCTCTCGGTAAATCGAGCGTGCTACGCCGCGTTTAGGGGCTTTTGGCGTTCACGTGGCGCTCAGATATCGCTTATTTCGCGAGTTCTGTGCGCCGCGTAAACGCGGCACGCTTTCGATTTCCTGAGCGCTTTCGATTTCCTGGGCAGTGCCACTTGTGCTATCCTCTTTTTTGTATTGTTCCAATTTTGGTATATGTTCTCGGGAGAACGAAATCTCTAGACAACCAGACACTTATATATGTATAGCAAACAGTGTGGCAGACGCTTGACGGGCAGAGTCAACGCGCTATGTTTTGTGTGTGAAGGGGGCGGGACTAAGAGAAAAGGGAAGGGTGTTTGTGTGTGCGTTGCTGGTTTTTCGCCGGTTTTTGAATGCCACGTGGATTTTTGGCGGCAATTATAATTTTAAAAATTTGGGAGAAATAATTTCCCACGTGGCATAGGAAACCTATAATAAAAGATCTCAAAATTCTTCAAAAAATTCTGGAAAACAAAAGTTTAAAAATACTACAGTACTCGAAATTTTACTGAAAAAAATCATTATGTGAAATTTTTTTGAATACTGTTTTTCATACTGTTGAACTCCAAAAAATTCAATTTTCCTGAAATTCCAAAAATTTTATTGGATCGGGATTTTCTGCTTTTTCAGGAGGGAAAATTGAATTTTTCTCTAAAAAAATTAACGAACTTCATAATTTTTTTGGATCAAAATTCATAAGTCACGTCATAACTAACTAGTTTTATCTTCAAAAAAAATTGTTACCACTTTTTTCAGAATTTCTGTATTTTCTACAAAAATCTGGATGATCAAAGTTCTTCTCGAACTTTTCTAAATGAACAAGAAAAAATCGGGAAAAAAACGAGAGAAGTATAAAGGCAATAAAAATTGAATTATTCCAAAAAAAGAATGAAGAGAGAAGAGGATCCGTCATTTTCATGCATATAATTAAATCTGAAAAAAAAACTAATATAATATTGCACACACACAAAAAAATCCTTCTATAATATTTTTTCCGGAGGACGACACAAATTATGACCAAAAAAAAGGATTAGACAGAAATGGATTAAAAAAGTGGCCAAACGAAATGGTTTCGGATTTCAATTTTTCTTCTTCTCACGGTTCAGGTTCCAATACACTCAAGTTTTCTTAAATAAATTAAATTTTATTTCATTTTTGTTTTGACAAAGAAACCAATTAACCGGTAAAAAATATTGGGATGAAAATGAAAAAAGAGTGCACAACAACTTGATAGAAAAATCACAATTTCAGGGAAAAATGACTAAAATATAAAAATTGGATAAGTAGATAAATATAATAAGTTAGTAAGTATATAGGGAGCACCAAAAATAAGAAGATTATATTCTAGCACAAATTTCAGACAAATCCTGGACAATTGATTGAATTAGTTGATCTTCGCCAGCTTTTCCATCAATTTGAAGACCATCAGACTGAAAAATGGGAAGATGAATTTTATAGGGTAAAAATGAAGGTTTTGAATTGAATCAGGCTAGGTCGGATAAAATAGATCAGATATCGGATCTCGTTTTTTTTCTGATTTTTCTCATTTTTTGAGTTTGTTAAAAAATTTGTTCTTATTATTAGGCGAGCCAATTCAGAGCCAATAGTCCATAAGATTTTGAAACGTACCGTTTTCTTGACCAATAAACAAATGGCTTGTCCAGATATTGTTCTCGCAAAAAGTGAAGCAGCTTTTGCAGTTTCTTCAACAATCGAAAAATTCGCCCGTTGTTCTAATCCTCTCAAAATAGCCTTCAAATTAACTTCTCCAGTTACAGATTTGACTTGACTCGAAGCAGAATAATCAACATCATCTGATGCTAAAAGAACCGAATATTCATCTTTTTTGATTTTCGATTTGACAATAAAAGTTGTAGTTGGAAGAGATAATCGAATATCTAGTTTATCTTCTGATGTTCCTTCATCTTCAACCACAAAATATGTCATTGTTCCTCGCATAATTCGTGCAACATCAATTGATTGCGCTTGAATTTCGAAAGAACTTTCACAATTTTCATTTAGATCGAGTTCGTCGGAGAGGAGAATTGTATCCTCATTTCGGATAACTTTTGCATTCAACGTGTCAACAACACTGAGCTCGATTTTTTGCAATTTTGATTTTCCCAAATTTCGAACTTTTATAAATATTCGAACTCTTCCATGATCCATTGCATCCAATGATGGTTTCGTCAAATAATCCTGAAATATAAAAAAATTAAATAAATCTTTCTTGCTATTCAAAAATCCCTTTTCAAAGGAACATACCAATGCAACAATCTTATTTGCAGCCAAACTTATATAATTATTTTCTTGCCCATTGTTCAAATTAGACCCAGATGGTGTTTGTGCTTGTGGAATTGATGGTGTACAAACTCCAGAAGTCTCCTCATATGCCTCTCTCGTCTTTTTACTTGTTTTTTTCTTACTCTTCTTTTCAGCAACCAAAGTGTCCCTCGCTTTTTCAATTGTCATTTTACTTTTCGTTGTTGTCGAATCTAACCAATCATCCATATTGAATAAATTCGATTTTGAATCCGATGCTTCGTTTGATGTTATCAATTGATTCTTTTTCGTTGTCTTTTTCACTTTTTTAGTTTTCTTCGGAATTTTTGGTGGAGTTGATACTTCCGGAATACTTTGACGTGGTTCGAAAGTTGTTGGTGGTCGAGGAACTAATGGAACATGTTTGTTGTGAGAAGGATATGTTCGAGTATAAGCTTGAGGTGCTTTGACAACTTCGTCAGGTCGAAGAGGAGCATCAAGATCGATATCTAGAGCGCGGAATTCGTCAGTTGTTTGTTTCTGGAAAAAAGGCAGATGACTATTTGGCAATTTCAGATTGTGTAGATTGTGTTCAAATAAAAAAATTCAGAAATCTATAATTTTTAGAAAATCTTTTAGTTACAAGTTTTGAAAAAAAATTCGTCTTCCCCCTAATAATTTTTGTGTGAAGCAATTTTTTAATAAAAGAATAATCTAAAAATTCAGATCTATCAACTTTTTTTGAAATTATTCCTGAAGCCAAACACTTTTTCAAATATTCGAAATTTTCGCTCAAAATCCCAGCCCCCCCTTTCCCCAGCAATAAACCCTACAGTAAATTCATCTTCATCATCAGTAGATCGTGCTCCTTCAGGCATTTCGCCATCATTTCGATTCACCATATGCACCACATTATTCTCTTCTTCACTACTCGTCGATTCTCCTCTCTGCTTCTTTTTTCCTTTCTTCCCACCTTTTTTCGTTTTCTTCTTACTTTCTTTTGCTTTTTTCCAACTCAATGTCGAATCCTGTTGTTCCATATATCGATGCAATCCAACAACTCCCGGAATTTCCAAAGGACTTTGAATATCATTCGATTTCTCGATGATTTCTTGTCTCTCAACATTTGTTGTGAATTTTGTGGGTCTTTTTGGAACAGTCGCATTTCCTTTAACATAATATGGATTATTTTCAATTTCAGCTTCTCTTTGTTTTCTTTTTCTTTCCATTTCTTCAGGTGTCATTTGTTGTTCCTTCTTTTTCGTTTTCTTATGATTTGTATTATTTGTTTCTTCATTCGCTTCTTCTCCTAATTCATATCTTGGTTGATGTATCGGTTGCCCAAAAGTCGCTTCAATATCACTTTCATTCTCAGATTCTTCCGCACTGCTAACCCATTCTTCCCCAATCCAAACATCTAAATCAAGTCCTTCCGGAATCGGCACTTTTCTTTGAGCTTTCATAGCAACTGGATTCAATTCTCCATCATAAAGCAGAGCAAATTCATGAGCCATTTTCTCTTTTTTCTGATGCAATCCTTCAACAATTCGAATAATCGTCATTAATGTACAAGCTCTTTCTTGAGCCTCCAAATGTTCGGATAACTCAAATTGTGGCAATTTGGAGAGCATCAAATTATCAAGTGATTCAATTGCATCCCAATCGTCTTCTTTTTCTGCTTGACTTAAAAGTGATGAATAAAGTTTTCCTATATTTTGTACATAAACTGATAAAATATGACCAGGCATTACTGATGTTTTTGCACGAAGCATTGATTCCAAAACACTTTGAACATTTCGAACATGTCTGAAAAAATGAAAATTGTGAATTCGATATGAATTGAATTAAAGATTTCAAAACATTCCAAAGTCTGTGATTTAATTTAGATTTTGGTTTTTGGTCTAATTCTCCGAGTACTAATAATTCTACAAATTATAAAATCTCAACTCACTGGCTATATTCTCCACAAATCCACGCAGCAGCCAACAAAACTTCACACAAATTACTTCTTTGTTGAGCACTTCCAGCCAATAAAACATGAGCATTTTCAACAAGTAATGCCATTTGAGAAACCGAAAAATGTCGAATCGACTCAACACGAACAGTTACATCTTGAATTTGTTCAGCAATTTTAGCGCCATGTTTAGTTCCTTCAACTTTTGTTAATTCAACTAATACCGAAATATACCATTCAAAATTGGTAATATATTGATAATTATTATAACTACATATTCCAATAATTCTTGATAATAATTCATCTCGATAATGTGATCCTTCAGCTGCTTCAACATGTTCCATTAATTTCTTCACAATTTCAACAATATTTTTCTTCGAAACCATTCCATATAATAAATCAAGTGATCGAATTCGAATACTTTCATCTTTATCATCCAAACATCTCAAAACAATATCTTTATGTGCTTGAACTGCTTTTGGATGGGTTTTTAGAATTTTTCCCATTGCAAGAAGTCCAAGATATTTCAAATTTTGGTCTGAATCTTCGATAAGAACTCCAAGTTTTTGAACACAAAGTTGAATACTTGCAGTATGATCTCCTCCGGCTGATATACTTATCAACACCGCAATTACAGTATTTATACATTCATATAAGAGCGACATTGCAGATGTGCTATTTATCAAATTTGTCAAAGGTTCCAGTAACTTTTTACCAAGTCTTGGCTCCAAAGGAACAAGTGCTCCAAACTAAACAATTCATAATTATAATACTCAAGTTTCTAATGAAAATGAATACTCACCAATTTAATAATTTTAATAAGCATCCAATTATTGCTACTCGTTGTCATTAATTTGAAAAATACGGGAGCAAGAGTCAAATAATTTTTCGGATTTTTTCGAGCCAATTCACAAATCACATTCACAGCCGCGCTTTGAACTCCCGGATCTGGATCTTCTAATTTTTCTTTGAGTCGTGGAAATGTTGGTCGAAGTGCGTCGGGATATTTGAGGAACACTTTGTATAATAGAAGAACTGCACGTTTTCGGGTATAACAACGAGATGAGGCGAGCTGAATGAAGATATTTTATGGAAGATCTTTGACATTCCCTTGAGGGATTTAACTAAGAGTTTTAATACGGACATTTTTTGATTTTTGAAATAAATTTGAATGGGGTTTTGTATTATTGGATTTCTGAACAGGCCGAATAAAAATGTAATTCAAGTATTTTCGAAATCAAACTCGAGTACTCACCAAATTGACAATATCAGCCGCAAGATCTCTTGCCAAATCAGGAGTAATAAAACAAGACAATCCACCAAGTGCAATCCCACTTTCATACATATTCGAACTATTCACATCTTTCCTAATCAAATTCGTGGTCAACATCAAAACTTCAGTCTCGTCATGAAAACTTTGAGCAGCTGCTAGATAACCAATTCGTTTTTCAGTGTATTTTGTAGATGCCATAACTTCGATCACATTAAATGATGCCCAAGAAATGTCATATCCCAGCATTTGAAGCTGGAAAATCGAGATATTGTTTCCCAGATCAGAAAAACTCTGATTTTTTCAGCGCAAAATCACCCAAAAAACTTACATATGCCAATTTTTCGATAGCATTCGCTTTCACATAAATCGAATCCTGCCTCAATTCCATTTTTATTTCCTCCATACATTGTGCAATATATCGACTTTCGTTATCCTTATTATTCCGAATTCCACGTATCAAATCGGTCAAACTTTTGTCGAAAATTCGATCGATATTGCTACGCACTTTGCGCAGCGCCATCTCTTCGAATCTAAAAAATAATTAGATTTTTGTGAGAAGTAGATAAGCAAAAACAGGTAAATCGAGAAAATGCGCTCTATTGGTGTCGATGAGAATTTCAAATTATTTGTTTGTGCTGGAAAACTTGGAAGCCTGAAAGTTGTTTGTTTGTTTTTCAATAGGGAAAAAGAAACACGACTTGAGCTAAAACATTTTTCCTAGGAAAAAAAATCGAAAATTGAATGTTGAAATAGATTGAAATCTATACATCTTCACACTTCAAAACAGAAAAAATCAAAATGAGTCCGGCCACTTCTTCAATTGTAGTGCGAGGCGAAAAGAAGAGGGAAAAGGACGTAGAAGGAAGGATATCGACGTTTTTTGGAAATAGTGTGAGTAAGAGTGAGAGAAGAAGAGAGCGCAGACATTGGACAGATGGATGGCACGCTTTTGCATGCAACTAATCTTGGAATGAACACTAAAAAGAACTCACAATTTGAATGTGGATTGAGCTATTTGAAAACTTTGGTCAAATTTCGGTCGTCCGACTTCTTCAAATGCACTTCGCATTACTCAACAACAAAAATTGAGTTGAGTGGAAAAACTACTAGTATCTTATCAGTTGTTTTTTCGGTGACAATCGAATGCTCGCTCGGTTTATTGATGTTTTTGAGTTGTAGTTTGTGTGAACTGGGAAAAGATTTGAGAATAAAATAGTGGTATAGAAAAATATAGGCAATTCATTTTCTGAAACAAAATCGAGTGAAAATGACGAAAAATAAATTGGAAAATTTGTTTTTTCGGAACGTGAAAAAATTTGCGTGAAATATCCAACAAAAATTGACCATTTCAAATTTTTGTCATTCAGAAAAATGGTTGGCTTCTGGTGAAGTGAGTTTAATTGAGAAAAAACTGTTTGTTACTGTAGAATACTGTAGATGACTAGTGTAACTTACTATAGATGACCCCCGGGTATTGTGAATTGAACACCCAGGTTTCGATCTACAGTAGAAATACTGGACCTGGACTCCTGATCTACAGTACCTGAGTAGCTGATATACAGTACCTGAGTGGCTGATTTACAGAATCCGGGATGTTTTTCTACAGTATCTAGGTATGAACTTTTCAGAATTAAATTTAAAAAAAATTTTTTTGACCTACCCGCGAAAAAGAAAATTGCAAGTAGCAAATTATTGTTTCAGAAAAATCAATTTGGCAATCCTCATCATTTCTTCATTTTGTCTCTACACAAACAATTTTTTGAAAAGATAAGTTTGATTTGGGGAATTTAAAAAATTTTGTATTGAAATTTTCGGAGCAAAGATTTCCAAAAATCCAACCCAAAAAAATGAAGTGGAAAATGTGGGTTACTTTCTGAGCAAGTACGTTTACCAGTTGTTGAAACCCGCAACTATTCAAATTTGATGATTTGAGTAGGGATTTGTCAAAGAATCCTTTTGGAGAACCGAAAGCTGTAGGAAAGTAACAGTTATCACGGGTTTTGCACATTTCCATGGATTTTTTCTGGGCGTTTTGGAAGAGAAATTGATTGAGATTTGGGGTGGGTGGGAGTTTCGGAATTATCTTATCTATTCAAATCCAAATTCTTCAAAAAATTTCAGTACTCGTATTCAAATCGACTGCAACAATTCGTCTGGCTGGCTCATATATTAAGAATATTTTTTGAGAAATGTAACTGAAATAACACGATCACAATGGAATTGAATCTTTTCGTTTTTCAGACTCAACTCCACAATTTGCTTCGAAAACTAGTGGAATATCAATTTTTGGCGACAAAGCAAATTGGCTACCATTTCAAAGCTATAAATTGTAAGGCGTCAGCATCATTTGAAAACATTGTTGATTCGATTCAAGCTGCCTCAAATCAAAAGATGTTTGCCGTTGAATTTTGAAAGATTTTTGCACACCAATTGGAATGTGAAAAGTAAGTATTTTCCCAGAAAAATTTCAGATTTCCTTGTCTTGAAAAAATTTCCGAATCAAATCTTCGATCAGAAATAGAAAACCTAAACAAATTTTTTTGATACACCAAAATTTTTATTCATTAGGTTTTGGTGTACCACTTTTATGAACTCGGCTCCGAAAAATCTCAGAGGCTAAATCGCAGCTGAACGGCAGTGCTGCTCCAAAATTTCAGGCAGCGCTGCCGATTTGAACAGCAGCAGTGGGCAACAGTTGCCTTGTGTATGGTAGCTGAAGCCGATTGCTGCCAATGAGGCCAGCTGCGAAATGGCAGCGCTGCTCGGTCAGGGAATTTTCCGAAAATCAGCAGCGCTGCCGATTAGTTGCTAAATTAAGCTGCGTTGCCTTTCAGCAGCGGAATTACTCCTGAGAACACGCAAATGTTCTTGAGAAAGAACTACAGTAACCAAATATTTCAGTTCACATTCATCGTGATCAATTCAAACTTGCTACGTGACAATCACTCGTCGAATATTTTCGATTTTCAAGTTCTGACTGTATCATTTGATGTGCTTTATTTTCAAGTCTCGCAAAAAAGCCGAGATTCGAAGTTTGTTGTTTTTTCTCTAAGTCTTGCGTAAAAGCCAAGAGTAGTAATTTTATTTTTCGGTCACAATATTTGTTCTTGTAGTCTACAGTAATCTGATACAATTCACTGCAGGATTTTATGTCAGAGTACTATAGATTTATTCAAAAAAAAAAGTTATTTCCAAATTTGGAAGTTGTACGCTTCTTTCAGCCGAAAAATTGTAAATTTTCCGTTTTTTTGATCATTGAAAAAAAGGAAATTCAAATATTTTTCAAAATTGTACTCTGGCCAAGGTGTGGTCTTCAGATATTCAGATATTCGTAAATTCTCATTTTCGGTTTTTTAGAGTACGCGGGATTACTGTAGTTGTCTTCAAAAAAAGTTCTATACGGGTAATTCCGAGAAAAAATTACAAGTAAAACCAAGGGTTCTGAAAAATTACGCTGAAAACAACTAGAGATACTGTAATTGGTGTGTAATTCTGACGAATTCGGGAATTTTACAGAAAATGAAAGGTTTTTTCCCAGAAAATCAAGGTTTTTACAGAAAATTAAAGGATTTCCAAAAATCAAATTCAAAGGGTAGGGTACAATGATATAAAGGAAAGAAAATTCGCCGGAACTAAAAAATTATTTAAAAAATACAATTAGGCCGAAAAAAAGCTCCCGGTCAAAATTGTTTGACAGTCTCCTATTTTTCTGCCCAAAAATAAACATTGAGAATTTTTTGATAAACATTTTCAGACGTTTTTTTTTTACTAAAAAATCATATTAAAAACATAAGTTTTTTTCTTGCTCGTGTCCTTTCCAAGTTTTCCTCGACACATTTATTATTAATTATAAAAAACTGATAAGAACACTATACAAAATCAATACAATATGCGTTTATTATTTCTAGTTTTCATATTTTCTATCAATTCATGCTTAACTCAGCATGTAGATTTTGTCTATAAATTTTCGACAGAAGAGAATAAAATTCTATCTGAAAAAATTGAAATATTCTCAAAATTTGTCTCAAATGATAATCGATTTTTGACAACCGAATTCAAATTAGAACAAGGAAATGATGAAAAATTGATTATCAGCGGGTAAAGTTTATTTGAATTTTCAAGTTTACTATTTTTAATTACAGAGAGAATATTAAACTAGAGTTCGCTATCCAAGAATTAGGAGATGTTCAAAATTTTCTACTGGACTCTTTTCAAAAATACAGTAACGAATATTATAATCAAATTGCTCTGAAAAGTTGGAGTAATGAATTAAAATTCCCACGGAGATTTGAAGAATTCGAAATAACATCGGAATATGAATTGAACAAAAAATTGTCAAACAATTTTTACGTTTTATATTATTTGAATGAAAATTTTGAATCATGGAAAGCTATTCTACATTTCGTAAATGCGTTGAAAAAAAGCAAAAAAGAAGGTGGAATAATCAACTGTTTTGAAAATAGTGATCTTTGCAAAGCTCATGAGAATTTGAATTCTCCAATTCTGGAATCATTCCATCAACAAGAACAATATCTTCAATTCAAAGGAACATTTGAAAATGACAATGTTTTTGATTGGATTCAAACGTAGGTTGTTCATTATATTTAGAACAATTCTTATTTGAACAAATATTTTATAGGTTGGAACAACCTGATATTACAAGTTTGAGTGAGAATGCAGTTCCATATTATAGAGAAGGAATGATACCTGGTTTTGAAGATACACGGGATACTGTAACTATGTTATTCATACCATCGAAAAAATCAGTTGTTTATCAGAATTATGCGAAATTTGCGAGAGAAAATCACGGGCGTTTTCATCTTTGTGCAATGGTTTCGGAAGAAGTTAAGAAATGGTGAACTCGAAAAAAATTCCGCAAGAATTGAAATTGTATTTTTACAGGGCTCATCAACCTGCTTTTATTACAATGAAACCAAGAGACGAATTTATAAAAGCATTCACACTTTTCTCAAATATCACGTGGAATTCAATGACCACATTTTTAGAAGAAGGACAACATCCAAGTGTGGTTTGTCTATTATTTCTGAACCTAGGAGATCTTCTGAATTACAGCACGAAATAACAAATGCTCAACAACTATCCTACGCTCTTGTGAAAACATCAAAACCACTTGTGATTTTTTATGATCCACTGAAATTGAAAGATTCAACAAGTTTCCGAAAATACGCGTCTAATCATCAAAGTTTGAAGCGAGATGCTTTTTTTGGATTAATTCAGAAGTTAGTTGATATAATTTTGATCAACTGAATTTTCTAATGTTCTCATTGCAGACTTGATGTATTTGGGCTTTATCTTGGTCAAATTTTCGAAGTTACTGAACCATCATATTTGGTTATTCGTGAAACAGTGAGTATTCTAGAAAAATCAAGTTATAAGACAAATGTAAATATTGCAGGATACTGGTTACTGTATTATTACAAAGAAAATATCATCGGAGAATGAGAATCAATTAGTGTCTTTTGTTCACAAATTAGTATCAAAGGAATGTGAAAAAACATTGGATTCAACAAGACTTCCGCTAAATCGATTGAACAAATATGAAATGTTGGAAGAAGTCAAAGAATTGGAGATTCAAATATTATCTTCAAGCTCACATGAAGAATTATAATAACAATTCTCAATATTTATTGAAATTCCAAGTATGAATTTTATTTTAACAAAGTTACACTTCAATCATATCATTTTGCGACACCTTCAATTGCCAGATTTCTATCGGGGTCTACTGAAAAATCATGAAAATTGTATACAAAACCGGTCTATATTTTAGTAACATACACAATTGCAAATATAAATCATCGACATAATCCAAAATCTCTTCAATTTTTAGCTCACAATCTGACGAACTTTGTTTTATATTATTATTGTCTTCTTTCGAAATCCTGAATACTTTTTCAGGATCTTCCAGAAGTTTGACAGTTCCCTTCGATTGTGGCTTCAAATTTTGATCAATAATTGTTGGATTTTCAGAATGTTTCTGATTTATAAGAGCCAAATCATGAACACTGAATCCGTCGGCATCAAAAATAACTTTGTACAATTTTCCCGTTCGTTGTTTGATTTTTCTGTTTTTGCTAATTTTTATGGTTTTTGCTCTACTCGAAACAATTGATGTATGTGATCTTTTACGTGCACCTGAAACTCAGAAAGTTCTCTTCAATTTGCAATTTTACTTTGTTAACTTACAAGAGGATGAAATTCCCATTTCCTGTTTGTTAGAAAAATATAAATAGATGGTAACTCATTTTATTTTGACCTTCACTTCACGTCAATTATCTATTTATTTATTTATTCATTTACAAGAAACGTGTTGTTCTTTCTTTTTGTCGAAAAAGAAAAACTAGTTTTTTCTTGAAATTTCGAAAAATATTCGTGTCGAAGTACTTGAAACATTCTTTGACTTTTGATATCCGTATTTACAAATTGAGAAAAAAAAAACTTTTTTTGTTATCATAAATGATCCAGCAATATATCAAAGTGTACGTAGATTTTCGTCTTTTTTCATCAATTTTATCATCAGTCATTATTTTTTTTGCAGTTTTAAACTTATTACTGTATTTTTTCGTTTCTTTTGATGTTTTTCGGAATGCCAAAGGATTTCTGGAAATCTGAGAATTCTATAAATTCCAACAAATTCCTGCCTTTGCGCAAATAAAAAATCGATATCATATTTATTCGTTTTTTTGTTATCAAATAACAGCTAATTCGATCAAACCATTGCAGTCTCTGTTAATTGCCCTTGTAAAATTAATCAACTATTAATTTTTCAGATGCCACCCAATGTCTAATAATTTATCTAGATTATTACTTTTATTATTTCTAGTTCTGATTTTTCTAGTCGATGGAACTCCGCGTCGAAGTCGAGTTAGTCAAGCGAGTAAAGCTTTTGAGGAAAAAGACAATAAATTCGAATATTCACATTCACCGGGAACAATTGATGAGGAAGAAAATGAAGAGGACAGTGAGTAAGTTTGATCTTAAACATTTTAGCACAAAAAATTAAAGTTTGAAACAATTCAAGATCTGAAACTACTATTTCTTCGACAGTAGAAGCATCAACTTCAACAACAAAAATTAAAACAACGACGACGACAACAGAAAAATCTGTGTCTGAAGAAAAACCAGAAGAACTTGACAGTAAGTTGGAATAAAAATATATTCCAAACATACTTCAACTGATTCCAGACGTATTCACTTTTCTCCAAGAAATCGGAGAAACTATACAAGACGGTTTCGATCAAAATGATACTTCTTCAACTCTTATAATCGATACTCATTATAAAGCTTTGGATTGGAATTTGACTGTTGATGAAATGGATGAATGTGTGAAATGGCAAAAATATTGGAATATTACGGCAAAAATGAAAAATGGAACTGATTTGAATAATACTGTAGCTGAAAATAGTGAGGAAGAAGAAGAAACAATTGAATTAGTAGATTTGAAAGTAAAGGAAGAAATTGATAGTTCGAAAAGGCTGAAAGCGATTGGATTTGATCCGGAAATTCTGGACGAATATGAATTAAAGGTAAGGTTTTCTTGAAAATAAGATCAATTCTTTGTACTAAAATCTCAAGTTGTTTTTTTCCTAAATTTTAGTGTCATAAAGAATTTTCCTACTTACAAATAATTACAGAAAGTTGTAATATACTACGAAGAAGTTTGTGGAAATCATGGCAGAACTTTTTGGTTTCGAACTCGAGATGAAGCTAAACAAATTGGAGTTGATGAATCTTCACCAATCTGTGCACCATTCAAAGAAAAAATTGAATCCTGATGAAGGAACATTACAAGAATTGGCTTATAAATTGAATGAACTTATTCAAATGGTTGAAGAAGGAATGGAATCTCCACTTGGAAATGGAACACAATCAGGAGAATTTGAATTCGAGACAAAAGTCAAGGATCCTGAAGTTATGCCATCTAGGAAAACAAAAACAAAGACAACAAAAAAGCCGATAGAAACAACAACAACTCAAAGTTCGACAACAGAAATACCAGAAGAAAATACTATTGAAGAAAGTACTGTAGCAGACGATAATTCGACTGAAAATGCCACATCCGAGGAAATTGATAGTTTGCTATTGGAAGAATCAGAAAATGTGGTGAGTTCTGATGTTAGAAATAAAATTTCGCTTGAGGAAAACTTTACCTTGAAAAAGTTGGTATAATTTTTCTAGGAAACTGAAAAAGAAACTTCTATTGAAGTTTATGATGATGATATTTGGGATTATAATGATATGAATAAACGGTTCAAAAATAAGCCTGTGAAGTATCAAAACCTCCACGGAATTACGAATGAACAACTTCGAAGTGTAGTTATGGTTACAAAAAGAAGGAAAAGAGAAGTTTCATCAAGTGAAGACAGTAATCAATCAGATATTGGAGAAGATGAAGATGGAGATGCATGGAAAACTGTGAGATTTTTAAAAATATTATTCAGATAATTCTGATTGTGAAAATATTTTCAGCTGAAAACAATAACAACTGCAAATGGTGATACAACAATTACTGTAGTTGAAGAAATAAATCATATTCATGGGGCAAATGGAAGTAGTGCAAAATCGTGGATAAAAATCGATGCGACAGATATTATTCGACCAACTCTTTTATTATATTCCCCTGAAGCAATACATGCACTTGGTTTAAAAATTAGTCCAAAATTTTTCAAAAGATATGAAAATGTTGGATTATATCTCTCAACAATTTGTTCAGAGTTCGTTCCAAAAGCAGTTGCTGCTTTTGATGGAAAAGATTTTAAAAGTTCTGGAAATGAATATAATATTGGGTTGAATGTGACAGAATTGGAATTGGATGGAGTGAATATGACCGAATTAGCTGAGAAATTGAGAAATGATACTGAAGTTGATGAAATATTATTGAGAATTAATGGATCTACAAAGTTAGTTAAAAAAAGAGAAGATTCATTTGAAATGTCTCTTTTAGGAACGTTGGTGGAAGTTATGTAATACCAGTTTTGGATAAATTCAAATATGATCCATCAACAGCTCCAATTGTATTTCAAGGAAGTGCTGTAGATGTTAGATTTGGGATTTATATCGAGAGTATGAGTAATTTTCAAACATCTACTATGGTAATATAGAACTTCATCTTCAAAATTTATAAACAAAACAAAATATTTCAGGATTACGATATGGATATTTATTTGATGATGGCTTGGAGAGATGTTAGGCTAAGACATACTTATGGTGGAACAATTCTATTGAAAGAAGAAGAATTATTAGAGAAAATATGGAGACCTGATCCATTTTTTGCGAATGCTAAAGAAGCAGAATTTCATGAGGTCACTTTTTTGAATTTTTTGATGCGAATTTTCAACGATGGATTGATACTTTATGAAACAAGAGTAAAAATCAAACCATCTTGCAATTTGATTCTTTGCAAATATCCGCACGATAAACAAACTTGTGATTTACTCATCAAATCTTGTAAGTTCTTCAAACTTAATTTCGCTCCTAATTCCTTTATTTCAGTTGCATATCCAATTGAAACAGTTCGTTTCGAATGGTTCAGTCGAAGAGATTATGCAATTGATAAGAATCCAGATGTTAAATTGCCTGAATTATATATCGATCGATATGAAACACAGAATTGTCCAAATAATCGGAAATCTGGAGCGTTTTCGTGTCTTCGAGCAGTTTTCAGATTGAAAAGAGATGTTGGATTTCATATTGCTCAAACTTATATTCCAACATCATTGGCTCTTATGTTCTCATGGGTAAGTCAGCAAAGCTAGATATAAACATTATTTCAAAAATTAGGGGAACTTTAATTTCGAAAATCCCCCTTTTTTTGAAGTTCAGAAGTTTTGAGATAAATCCTGATCTCAGCTTCTATCTAAAATATTCTCAAATTCTAGGTTGGTGTTTGGTTGCCAGAAGAATTTATGGAAGGTCGAATTGGTGTCGCAATTACAGTACTCCTAACTCTTTCAACAGAATCAGCGGGTGCTCGAGAACATCTTCCAAGTGTTTCATATCTCAAAGCAATTGATCTCTGGTTTGGTTTTATAACCGGTTTTGTGTTTTTCACACTTCTTCAAACATTATTTGTAATTGGTTTCGATAAGCGATCAGCTCAACTTCGAAAATGGGCAGGGAAAAAAGGAGTTGAAATGAATGAAGAGACAAGAGAGGCACTTTTACAGAAAGCAACTAAATATCATAAAACCGGAAGGTATTTGGATAATTTTTGTCGAGTTTTTTATCCGCTTAGTTTCATTCTATTTTTGTTCATGTATTATTTTGTATTCACAGAAGGTTCTCAAGAAGATTGCATGAAAAGATAAATACATTTTAAATACAAAAAATCGACTTTTCAGAAAAAACTTCAAATAAATAAAAACGATCGATTCAACACGATCATTTTTCAAAAAAAAAAATCAAATTTCATACCATTTATAATTAATTTTCCGAACAAATAAAACCATATCACATGCAGTTAATTATAGAATATTTGATAGTTAGACTATACACACACACTTATATATCCATTTTGAATAAAAATAAATTCACAACCTGTTTTTGTCTTATGCGCACTTTTTTGCAATAAAGCTACTATACATTTGTGGAATTTGTCGAGGGTTCTGTGGAACTTGAGGAAACTGGAGCTGGAGATGGAGATGAATAAACTGGAGATGACGATGTTTCTGTTGGTTTTAGCTCCTTTGATTCTCCTGCTTTTGTAGTTGTTGCTTCGTTGTTTTCTGATGTTGTTGTTGATGTTTTTTGAGCTGTTGTTGCCGTTGAAGCTGACGAGGAAACTGGTGAAATTGTTGAAACTGCAGGCTCTTCTTTTTTCGTGATTGTATGATTGGCAGGAAGAGTTAGAAGGTGAGAAACCTGGAAATTATACTTTTTTGAAGGGGAAACTCAAAACATTGAATTTTTTAAGTACAGAAAATTAACCAAATGGTTCGATCGGAAATATCAAATTTTCAACTTTAATTAGAAAACTTTGAAACGTATAAAATCAATTTTTAAATTCACAGCTACTAACCTGTGATGGTGCTTCTGGAACACTTCCATTTCCAGCAATACTTGGAGGCAAAGTAGTTTCAATTTTCGGCAATTCATTCGATGATTTTTGTGGATGCATTGAATCAAAATAGAATTCCTAAACAAATATTATTTTTTGAAGATTTTGAACAGGCCAATTTCACTCTCAAAAATTTCTCTTTGAAACCACTATCTTGGCAAAGGTGAATTTTGCCATAAATCTTTTTGTTTTAAAAGCCCCTTTAGAATTTCTATGACTAAAATAAGTAACATAATTTATTAGACATTTTCTTTTTTCAAGCAGAAATCATTTTGTCGAAATACCAAACCTTGAATGAAAAGGCGAGCAAGAAGTGGAGAATCAATACACCGGCAATTGTTCCAAAAGCAATCTAAAATTGTTTTTATTATTTTATTTCCAAAATCTTTTTATAAAGAAATAAATACACTCACGATTTTATTTTCATCATTTTTCACAGCTGGCCAAATTGCTCTTGCGAGAACAGTTCCAGACAATCCAACAGATGCGAAGATAAGTGCCCATCGGAACCAACTAATATCAATGATCCACAAAAACTGGAAAAAACATAAATTATTGCCCTTTTAATTCCCGGAAGAAAATCAAACTTACGGTGATTGGAACAAAAATAGTCAACGAATATCCATAAAGACAAACCAAATCAACATAAGGATGCAACATTTCACTTCGTCGATTCCATAAAAGACCATAAATCAAAAGTGGAACAACAACAACATAAAGGAAGATCAAAGTTGAAGCAGATGTGACCATTCGAAAATCAGATCCATAATAACCTTTAACTCCATCGCTTTCAATAAATTGTGCAAGATTTCCGAAGATTCCAATTGAAAATATTAAAGTGACCGATACCCAGAATGGACCCCAAAGATCAGGAATTGGTTGTAAGAAATCTTGAATATAATTACGATGAGTTGGAACAACACTATTCATAAGACGTTTGATAACTTGATCGGTTTCCACATCAAAAAATTGCTGATAAAATTCCAAAGAGAACAAATTACTCTTTCTTGTTGAAGTTGTTGATTGAGTATCAGAGAATTCTGGAGCTCCGCCAGTTGGACCACCGCCACCAACTAACTAAAATAATTTCAATTGAATTTCGGTAGATCTTTAATAATAATAATAAACTTACCACATTTCTATCACCAATATTTCCACCAAAAACTCCACTTTGATCATTCGTCGTATTGACGGATTCAAAATCTGAAAAACAAAATAAATCAATTCGAAACAGTTCAACTAACTCTGTCCCAAATCCACATCATTCCAATTATCGCTCATTTTTTCGTAAAAATCAAAAACCCGAAAATGGCTAAAGACTCACTTTGAAAATTTAAATCCATCTCACCAGTTCACGTGTTGAATTGCTGAAAAAAATGAAAAACGTGAATATTTTTTGAAAAGATTCATTTTGAAATAAATATTACATTTGGTGGAAAACCATTGTTTGGAAACGAAAACGAAATGAAAATAATTAAATTTAACAAATTTATGGTTTAAAAATTTAAAGAAAAAACCGTATAAAAAGCAATTTTTGAGTATCTGAGTTTCAAATAATAAGAAGAAGTAGCTAATGACACAAAATAACTACCACCGTCTTCGATCCTTCTCTCGTCTTCGTTCATCGTCTCGACGTCTATCTCGAGAACGAGAACGACTTCGGCGATTCTGTCGATCACGTGAACGAGATCGTCTTTTTCTCTCATCTCTCCCATATCCGCGATCTCTACTTCGACTTCGTCTTTTTTCTCGTTTTCGTTCTCTTGAATTACTACGTCTTCTTTCATTTCGTTCTCTATCTCGTTCTTTTGCTGACTTGTGAACTTTTTGACGTTCCTTTTCTCTTTCTTTTTCATCTTCGCTTTCCGGACATGAACATTCTCCTCCAGAACATGAACAAGAACAACTGAAAAAGTTCAAAAAAATATTCCGAAACATTGAATTCAATAACTTACTCGCTCTCATCGCAAGCACCAGATCCTGAGCCATTCATTGAACTTGCGACTAGTTTATTTTTCAGATTTTCGACTTTTTGAACAAGTTCTGGATCTGAATCAAAATCGAAGTTATATTTATTGAGGTCTTCATCATCATCTTCATCCTCTTCGTCTTCCATTTCTCCATCTTCATCTTCTTTTCCTTTATCTGATTCTTTGTCATTTTCATCTGTTCCATTGTTGTCCTGAAATTGAAAATTAATATTTCCAGATTTTACGCATAAGTTTTTATAATTGAAAAATAGGCGTTCCTTACTGACCTCCTCACCCTTTCTCTTTTTCTTTCTTCCAAATTCGTCAAACTCTTCGCCATAATCTCTTTTCACGTATTCCACATTTTGTCGATCATTATAACCGCCTCCATATCCAGTTCTTCTTTCTAAATCTTGAACTTTCGGAGCATTGCAAACATTACAAGTTTTCCGACGAGCCCAATTCACATTTCCGCACTTCGTACACATCCAATCTTCAGCAGCAAAAAGTCCTTTTGATTTTTCAGCCATTTCTTTTCCTAATTCCTTGCCAACACTTTTTGCGCTTTTTTGTTTGGCTGAAAATATTCAATTATTTATTCTTTCTAAAATTGAAAATGCGTGTATAAATCTAACCTTTTCCACATTCATAGCAATTGTTTGAAGATTCTTCATTGATATTTGCACATTTCGGATCTACACAAGCCCATTCGCCTTCTTTCAAAGCTCTTCGCTTGGAATCATCCTCAGTCACCCGTGTCGCCATTCTAAAAATTTCAATTTTGAAAATCATCTTCTAGAAGAACTTTTAGAAGTTTGTTTCGAAATATAACTATCAAATACGAGATACAACTTCAAAATTAACATTAATGACTCAAAAATCGCAATGGTATTGACAATATTTCAATCCAATTTCGATTTCGAAACAACGACAAACAAAAAAGGAAAAAAAAAAGAAAAATCCAACAATTTTCGTGGCATTGAGCCAAATTCAAAATAACAAGGGTCTCGCAACGAACAGCCTGTGAGAGAGTAGCGCACTACGATACTCCGCCAACCACGTATTCATTTTGAAAGATTTTTATCGTTTTTTTCCTCGTTTTTGAACTTTTTGCATGAAATTGTCCGTAATTTATGGATTTGGAAAACAATTTCAGAATGTAGAGTGTCTTTTGAATTATACCAGAAGGGCTCCGCCGGCTAACGCCGGCTCCTCCTTCTGGATTGTCCCGGCTTCGCGCGTAGTTTTCTTTAGGTGTAAACAGAAACATGTTTCGTCTTAAAATACGACAGAGTTGTAATTTTTGAAAAGTTGGAAAAGATTCTTTCAACAAAAACCGAAATTTTGATTTTCGTTGAATTCTTTCTCCGCTAGGTATGATTTTTAAAATTTCTGAAGAAAATTTACAAAAATGGTTTAAAAAAAATGTGCGAAAAAATTTCTTGATTTTATAAAAGAGGTTAATCCAAATTTTCTACCTCTCAAAAACTAAAGCACAACATTTGGCGAAACTGTTCCGAAAATCTAAAATCTATATCCAAAAAATCTATATCCTGAGAGAAAAGAAATGCTGCCTTATTTTCTGAGTATAAGCTTCTATGTTCCATCTGAAATTTTCAGAGCCGTGGAAGATAAAACCAAAGTACAGTAAACTCCGCCGCCCTCTGATTATTTTCATTGATTCATTCGGGCCAATTTTTTTTTTTGAAAAAACTCGGCCCGATTTTTTTTTTGAATAAACTCGGGCCGATTTTTTTTTTTGAATAAACTCGAGCCGATTTTTTTTTGAATAAACTCGGGCCGATTTTTTTTTTGAATAAACTCGAGCCGATTTTTTTTTGAATAAACTCGAGCCGATTTTTTTGAATAAACTCGAGCCGATTTTTTTGAATAAACTCGGCCCGATTTTTTTTTGAATAAACTCGAGCCGATTTTTTTTTGAATAAACTCGGCCCGATTTTTTTGAATAAACTCGGCCCGATTTTTTTTGAATAAACTCGAGCCGATTTTTTTTGAATAAACTCGGGCCGATTTTTTTTGAATAAACTCGAGCCGATTTTTTTTTTGAATAAACTCGGGCCGATTTTTTTGAATAAACTCGAGCCGATTTTTTTTTGAATAAACTCGGGCCGATTTTTTTGAATAAACTCGAGCCGATTTTTTTGAATAAACTCGGGCCGATTTTTTTTTGAATAAACTCGAGCCGATTTTTTTTTGAATAAACTCGGCCCGATTTTTTTTTGAATAAACTCGAGCCGATTTTTTTTGAATAAACTCGGGCCGATTTTTTTTGAAAAAACTCGGGCCGATTTTTTTGAAAAAACTCGGGCCGATTTTTTGAAAAAACTCGGGCCGATTTTTTTTTGAAAAAACTCGAGCCGATTTTTTGAATAAACTCGAGCCGATTTTTTTTTGAATAAACTCGAGCCGATTTTTTTTGAATAAACTCGGCCCGATTTTTTTTGAATAAACTCGAGCCGATTTTTTTTTGAATAAACTCGGGCCGATTTTTTTTTGAAAAAACTCGGGCCGATTTTTTTGAAAAAACTCGGGCCGATTTTTTTTTGAAAAACTCGGCCCGATTTTTTTTTGAAAAAACTCGAGCCGATTTTTTTGAATAAACTCGAGCCGATTTTTTTTTGAATAAACTCGGGCCGATTTTTTTGAAAAAACTCGAGCCGATTTTTTTTTTTGAATAAACTCGGCCCGATATTTTTTGAAAAAACTCGGGCCGATTTTTTTTTGAATAAACTCGGCCCGATTTTTTTTGAATAAACTCGGCCCGATTTTTTGAAAAAACTCGGGCCGATTTTTTTGAATAAACTCGGCCCGATTTTTTTGAAAAAACTCGGGCCGATTTTTTGAATAAACTCGGCCCGATTTTTTTTTGAAAAAACTCGGGCCGATTTTTTTGAATAAACTCGGCCCGATTTTTTTGAAAAAACTCGGGCCGATTTTTTGAATAAACTCGGCCCGATTTTTTTTTGAAAAAACTCGGGCCGATTTTTTTTTGAATAAACTCGGCCCGATTTTTTTGAAAAAACTCGGGCCGATTTTTTTTTTGAATAAACTCGGCCCGATTTTTTTTTGAATAAACTCGGCCCGATTTTTTTGAAAAAACTCGGGCCGATTTTTTTGAATAAACTCGGCCCGATTTTTTTGAAAAAACTCGAGCCGATTTTTTTTTGAATAAACTCGAGCCGATTTTTTTTGAATAAACTCGGGCCGATTTTTTTGAAAAAACTCGAGCCGATTTTTTTGAAAAACTCGGCCCGATTTTTTTTTGAAAAAACTCGGCCCGATTTTTTGAATAAACTCGGCCCGATTTTTTTTGAAAAAACTCGAGCCGATTTTTTTTTGAATAAACTCGGCCCGATTTTTTTTTGAATAAACTCGGCCCGATTTTTTTTTGAAAAAACTCGGGCCGATTTTTTGAATAAACTCGGCCCGATTTTTTTTTGAAAAAACTCGAGCCGATTTTTTTTTGAATAAACTCGAGCCGATTTTTTTGAATAAACTCGGGCCGATTTTTTTGAAAAAACTCGAGCCGATTTTTTTGAAAAAACTCGGCCCGATTTTTTTTTGAAAAAACTCGGGCCGATTTTTTTGAATAAACTCGGCCCGATTTTTTTTTGAAAAAACTCGAGCCGATTTTTTTGAATAAACTCGAGCCGATTTTTTTTTGAATAAACTCGGGCCGATTTTTTTTTTTGAAAAAACTCGAGCCGATTTTTTTTGAAAAAACTCGGCCCGATTTTTTTTTTGAAAAAACTCGGCCCGATTTTTTGAAAAAACTCGAGCCGATTTTTTTGAATAAACTCGAGCCGATTTTTTTGAATAAACTCGGGCCGATTTTTTTGAAAAAACTCGAGCCGATTTTTTTTGAATAAACTCGGCCCGATATTTTTTGAAAAAACTCGGGCCGATTTTTTTTTGAATAAACTCGGCCCGATTTTTTTTGAATAAACTCGGCCCGATTTTTTTTGAAAAAACTCGGGCCGATTTTTTTGAATAAACTCGGCCCGATTTTTTTGAAAAAACTCGGGCCGATTTTTTGAATAAACTCGGCCCGATTTTTTTTTGAAAAAACTCGGGCCGATTTTTTTTTGAATAAACTCGGCCCGATTTTTTTTTGAAAAAACTCGGGCCGATTTTTTTTTTTGAATAAACTCGGCCCGATTTTTTTTGAATAAACTCGGCCCGATTTTTTTTTGAAAAAACTCGGGCCGATTTTTTTGAATAAACTCGGCCCGATTTTTTGAAAAACTCGAGCCGATTTTTTTTTGAGTAAACTCGAGCCGATTTTTTTTTGAATAAACTCGGCCCGATTTTTTTTGAATAAACTCGGCCCGATTTTTTTTTGAAAAAACTCGGGCCGATTTTTTTTTGAATAAACTCGGCCCGATTTTTTTTTGAAAAAACTCGAGCCGATTTTTTTTTGAGTAAACTCGGCCCGATTTTTTTTTGAAAAAACTCGAGCCGATTTTTTTTTTGAATAAACTCGAGCCGATTTTTTTTTGAATAAACTCGGGCCGATTTTTTTTTTGAAAAAACTCGAGCCGATTTTTTTTTTTAAACTCGGGCCGATTTTTTTTTTTTTTAAACTCGGGCCGATTTTTTTTTTGAAAAAACTCGGGCCGATTTTTTTTTCGGTTTTCTTCCAAGGCTCACAAAATTTTGGATTGATAATAATTGTTTGGGCTTAACTATATTGGGATTCCCAAACACATCAAAACTCACTATCAAACATTCACATTAAAGTATTTGTTTTTCTTCTTGTAAAAGAAATTATCCAATATCTGAAAGTTCGAACAAATTATAAATTTTTCCACAGTAATCTAACTCACTTTTTTTCTATTTATTTTTCAAACCGATTAGGAGTAGAGTAATAGCGAGAAATGATTAAAAATGTCCGGCTATGACTGAGCAATAAAAAGATCAGATAAGAGACGTGACCTAGCCATTTTTTCTGATTAAAAACGTGCTCATTCTTTTTAGCATGAAAAAAGTTTTTATTTTTCACGTGAAAACTCGCGCACTTTTTGAAAAATCGAATATTAGCGCCTCGATGGGAAAGAATTTGGGATCGAATGGTGAAGGTCCCATCAAAAATTGTCTTCTGGGAATTGAGAAAAGTCGAGCGACACATTTTAAATCCGAAAAATACATTGAGATTTTCAAACTTTTCATTCTCCGCGCACTCACAGACATTTTGAGAAAGAATGAATAGGAAGCGCATCGAGCTGCCAACATTTAGAAACTTTTTCTTTTTTTGATCATCAATTTTTATGCGCACAGTTTTGAGAACGGGACCCGGACACACTATTGCCAAAAAAATTTTCCCAATTAGTATATAGTAGATTCCGTAATTTTCCTCTTATTTTTAAGGCTGTTTAACATGACTTAAATCAGTTATATCAAAAGTTGTCAAATTTCTTCGAATCTTCTTATTTTTCGTGTTGGTTAGACCATTTTCAAGTTTAGCTTTTCAGGTTCATAGATAAAATGTCCTCGGGAGAATTGCCCTGTTACACTCTCATCCATGTTCCGAGCGATTTGGAATTACCATCGGAGAGTCAATTGAAAGAGAAATTCGAAAAAGGTAAGACTAACAAATAAAAAATCTTCAAATTCATTTTTCTTTAGGAGGAGATAAGGAACGTATCGATGCTCTCAAAAAGTTGATTTATATGATTTTGAATGGCGACAAAGTCAGCCAAGGAATGTTGATGTATGTCATCAGATTCTGTTTGCCTTCAAATGAGCACACATTGAAGAAACTTTTGCTCATTTTCTGGGAAATTGTTCCAAAAACTGATTCAAATGGAAAGCTTCTTCATGAAATGATATTAGTTTGTGACGCTTATCGAAAAGATTTGCAACATCCAAATGAGTTCGTCAGAGGATCAACTTTGAGATTTTTATGTAAACTGCGAGAACCTGAACTGTTGGAACCATTGATGCCAGCAATTAGAGCTTGTCTCGATCATAGACATTCATATGTCAGAAGAAATGCAGTTTGCGCAATTTTCACAATTTACAGTGAGTTTTAAAAAATTTGAAACCAATTAAAAATTTGTTAATCTCAGGAAACTTCGAATTTTTGATTCCTGATGCACCAGAACTTGTTACAAATTATCTCGAAACTGAACAAGATGCTTCGTGCAAAAGAAATGCTTTTATGATGCTTCTTCATGTTGATCAAGCAAGAGCTCTCGATTATTTGTCTGGATGTATCGATCAAGTTGGACAATTCGGAGACATATTGCAATTAGTTATTGTCGAACTTATCTATAAAGTTTGTCACTCAAATCCAAATGAATGTGCCAGATTCATCAGATGTGTCTATAATTTGTTGCAATCTCAATCACCAGCTGTTCGATATGAAGCTGCCGGCGCGTTGGTCACATTAACTTCAGCTCCAGCTGCTGTTAAAGCCGCTGCTTCTGCTTATATCGAATTGATAGTCAAAGAGAGTGATAACAATGTGAAATTGATTGTTTTGGATAGACTTGTCACTTTGAGAAACACTTCGAGCAATGAAAAAGTTTTGCAAGGATTGGTTATGGATATTTTGAGAGTTCTCACTTCTCCTGGACTCGAAGTTCGTCAAAAAACATTGAACTTGGCTCTTGATTTGGTTTCAAGCCGAAATGTTGAAGATATGGTTATGTTTTTGAAGAAAGAAATCAACAAAACTGCTACTGAAGCAAATGATGAAAATGGAAAATATCGTCAAGCTTTGGTCAAAACTCTTCATGCTGCAACTATAAAATTCCCAGATGTTGCTTCAGCAATTGTTCCAGTTTTGATGGAATTCTTGTCCGATTCGAATGAAACCGCTGCAAGTTATGTTCTTCATTTTGTTCGTGAAGCAGTTCACAAATTACCAAACCTCAAGGAAGCAATTTTGAAATCTTTGAAAGATGGAATTCTTTCTATTCGTGCTCCAGCTATTTTCATGTCCGCTCTTTGGATTCTTGCGACATATTGTGAACCAGAAGGATGTCTCGAAGTTTTGAAGTGAGTAATTTTTTAAGGTTTTTTAAACTAGATTCTGATTTTTCAGACTCATCAAAAATTCAATTGGAGATTTGCCAATTGTTGATTCTGAAATCGCTGAACAAGAAGGAGGAGAAGAACATGTTCACAAGGAAGAAGAAACTGCACCGAAAAAATCGGCTGCTCCAAGAGTCACTGCTGATGGAACATATGCCACTCAAACCGCTTTGTCTTCAACAGTCACCAAGAAGCAAAACGAAAAGCCACCACTCCGTCGTTTCCTTCTCGATGGAGAATATTTCTTGGGAGCATCTCTTGCTACAGTTCTCACTAAATTATCTCAACAATTCACTGCTTTGAATGGAGTTGGAAGTGAAAGATCAAACAGATTCCGTGGAGAATGTATGCTTATTCTTGCTTCGATTATTCATTTGGCAAAGAGCGGATTCACCTCGAATCCAGTTAATGAAGATGATTTGGATAGAATGGGAGCAACTATCAAAGTTTTGGCTCAAGGAATTCCAGAATTAGATGGACAATATGGAGATGCTTGCAAACAATCGCTGGAACTTATGCTAAATGCTAAATCAACTAGTCGTTTGGATGATCCAACAGCAAAAACTGGAAGATCGAAAGATTTCGTTGAAGTTGATAAAACAATCAAATTCACACAATTGTCAGCCAGAAATAATCAACAAGGAGAAAATCTTTTCGATCTTTCTTTGTCGCAAGCTCTTGGAACTGCTCCGAAATCCCAAAAATTCGATTTTTCAAGCTCAAAACTTGGAAAAGTTATTCAACTCGCTGGATTCTCTGATCCAATTTACGCTGAAGCTTATGTCAATGTCAATCAATATGATATCGGTAAGCTCTTTTATTTGATGATTTTTAATTTTTCGGGTTTTTTTAGTTCTCGATGTTTTGATTGTCAATCAAACATCCGACACTCTTCAAAATGTTTCTCTTGAACTTGCCACTGTTGGAGATTTGAAACTTGTTGATAAACCAACCCCAGTTACACTTGGACCAGCTGATTTCTCAAACATCAAGGTAAATAAATACTTTTTAATTTTTTAATTTGTAGAAATGATCAGAAATTTACCATCAGTTCACGTTTCTAAAATTTATTCTGAGTTTTCCAATAAAAATTTTTCAATTTTTTCAGGCAACCGTAAAAGTTGCATCAACTGAAAATGGTGTGATTTTCTCAACAATTTCTTATGATGTTCGAGGATCAACTTCCGATAGAAATTGTGTTTATCTTCAAGATATCAAAATTGATATTATGGATTATATTGTACCTGGAAATGTAAATGATATTGAATTCCGTCAAATGTGGAGTGATTTTGAATGGGAGAATAAAGTAAATGTTATGACACCAATTCGAGATCTTCGTGAATTTTTGGCGCATTTATCGGCTTCTACAAATATGAAGGTTTTGACTGGAGATGCTGCTATTGGTAAGTTCACTTTGATTATTGACCAAAAAAATTCTGATTTTTGCAGAAGGAGATTGTGGATTTTTGGCTGCTAATTTATGTGCTCATTCTATTTTTGGTGAAGATGCTTTGGCTAATGTTTCTGTTGAAAAAGCACTTCCAATGGATGATTCTTCTCCAATTGTTGGACATATTCGTATTCGTGCAAAGAGTCAAGGAATGTGTTTAACATTAGGTGATAAGGTAAGAAGAAGACAAATTATTGATTGAACTAAAATTGTGGTGTTTCAGATTAGTACGGCAATGAGATCTCGACGTGATGGTCAACCAATAGCAGCCCCAAGTGCCTAAATGATATTTTATGTATAGAAAAAGAAACACCACCAGATTTTACAGCATCATATTTTCTGTTTGCAAAGTCCGTTTAACTTATTAATCAATTTATTTATTTATTCATTGATCATTTTTCGTGTGAATATTCCATAAATGATGGGTAAATATTTGGACAAAAATGATTATTCGAAAAGAAACAGCTTTATTGTTTCAAAGAAAAGTAATCAATCGCTTGATTATCCTCTTGCTCTCGAACTTGGTGGACGTTTCTTGGCTGGACTTGCTGCATTTGCCGCAGCAGCTGCAGCTGTTGCTGGTGGAGCATCTGGCTTCATGTAATATGCTTGGTTTTTGAGCCATTCCGATTCACAAATTGCTTTGTATGTTGGCCGATTTGGTGCATGTGGCTGCAAGATTTCGAGAATCAGCGTTTTCGAGGAGGTCGACGATGTGCAACTTCGAGGGAATTTGATTTTGTGCGCCAGTTGACGTTCAATCATTTTTGTTGGATGTCGATCATCAAATGGCATTGAACCGGTTAACATTATGTACAAAATGATTCCGGTGCTCCAGACATCGACCTGAAAACGAGCAACTTGTTGAATTTTTTTTAGTAACTTTTCAAAATTTAGAAAATTCAGAGAGCTACGGTAACCCTTCAAAATTTAGATTTTTCACTAACCGCATTGGTTGAATATTCGCGTCCTCTCAAAATCTCCGGTGCAACATATGCTCTCGAACCACAAAATGTAGAAGATTTGTCGCCGGGATTCAAAACTCTGGCAAATCCAAAATCGCCCAATTTCACATTTTCATGTTTGTCCAAAAATATATTTTCGCATTTGAGATCACGATGAACAATATTATGATTTTGTAAGTGAATAAGTGAGGGTCAATTTTTTTCCCAAGCTATTTTTCCCAAATTTTTTTCCCAAGTTGATTTTTCATTTTCCCAAGTTTTATTTTTCCCAAATTTTTTTTCCCAAGTTATTTTTTCATTTTCCCAAGTTTTTTCCCAATTTTTAGTTTTTTTCCCAAATTTTCGGATCGCATGAAATTGGTTCGTTTTTTAAGAACATCAGGGATTTTGATTCTCTATATGAGGATCTCGAAATTTTATAAAATAGAAGGGTCCGTCAAAAATAGCTACTAGAAAAATGAGAGTTTTTCTTGTGTAAAGTGTGGTGTGTTTTTTTCAATTTTCGGCGAGTCTGTATGTTTCCAGGAGGGTTCACTAAGCCTAAGCCTAGAAAGAATAATAGAAAAATTAAAAAATCTTACTTTTGGCTTCTCAACTTCAGAATTAGGCTTAGGCTTAGTTAAACGCCCAGAAAACTGAATGTTGGTTTATTTTTTACAGTCGGCCTCTCAAAATATCAGTCTGAATCTGCTGTTTTCGTTCCGACAAACTTGTGAAAAATCACAATGTTCATTCCAAAAACAAAATTTTTTTTTCGACTAATTTTAGCATTTTCGCATTTTAGGAATTGCATAACTTCAGGTTATGACCGGGAGAAGCTGATATGTGGGATCAGTACTCAATTGGCTTTGAAAAATAGGGAATACCGGAAAAAAAACTTGAAGAATTGGGTAAAAAACGACAATTTGGGAAAAAAAAGAAAAATTGGGAAAAAAACTTGGGAAAAACAAAAACTTACTTGTGAAAAAAATTTGGGAAAAATAAAACTTGGGAAAATGAAAAATCAACTTGGGAAAAAATTTGGGAAAAATAGCTTGGGAAAAAAAAATTGACCTAAGTGAGGCGATAAATTGACGAAATATAAATCTCGCATCATCTTCAGCCATCACTTTAACATCTTTCATTTTCTTCAACAAATCCCCGCCAGCACAAAATTCGGTGACAAAAACAATGTGATCCGGAAATGTGATCATATCATACAAACGGCAGATATTGTCGTGTTTCAACATCCGAACAATTTCCTTTTCGCGCGGCAAAAATTTCTTTATATAATCATCTTTTTCTTTTGTTGGTGTGATATTGATGATTTTCGCAGCCACCTCCATCTTTTTGTCACCCCATGTTGCACGAGCCACTCGAGAATATGAGCCCGAACCCAAGACTTTTTGAATGATCAATTTATGTTCTGTTTCAAGTTTTTGTATATATGGCTTAGTTGATACACTGACTTCTTCTGGTTCTTCTTCCGCGTTTGAAACTTCTACAAAAATTATATTAGAGAACTCCTTGTTTTGGTGATTTCTATCTAAATTTACCTGTTCCTTCTTCACGAGCCATTCTTATGCTTTGATAAAAACACCCTTTTAATTGGGGATACAAATATGAGAACTGACAAGTCTCGCGAAGCTTTTCACATTTTTTTTATTTTTCTACGTACCCAAAAAAATAAGGTTATCACGTTCACAAAAAATTAATTTTCAATTCATTTTTTTTTAAATTTCTTTTGAAAAATTCAAAAAAATTCTTTTCGTGTAAACCAAAATTTGATTTCTACAACCATATTTTTCAAAAACAATCATTTTCTGAAAATTTCAATTTTTTCAAAATTTTTGTGGAGCAAGTTTGAATTTATTTTATATAATTTTTTGTGAAAAATTGGCAATCAGCAATGAGATCGAAAAAGCACCGGGTTCTAACAAAAATTGGGAGAAATTATATTAATTAGTAGCCGCAGAAACGCGATTCTTCATTGGAAATGTTGAACTTGATCGAACTTCGCCAATTGAAACTATTCTTTTCGCTTCTTTTGAGCTATGAATTCCATATGTGAAATAGATAAAAAGACCAATTGCCATCCAACCAAAAAGTCGAATCCACGTGGAATATGCAAGATATGTCATCATAAAAACATTGACAAAAAGTGATAAACAAGGGGTGAACGGTAAGAATGGAACCTGGAACAAAAATGTTTGTGAAATTTTTCCGCGTGGAAACAATCTACATACCTTTGATCGCAATTCGAGACTATTTTGTTTGTGCCCAAGGATGAATAGGAAAATAACAAGAATAATAAAAACATTGATACCAATTGATATTTGACCAGCAGTTGTCAGATGATACTCTAAAAATTCGAAAAAAATAAGATAAATCACTTCTTTATCCAAAGAACTAGGTAAGATCTTAAGGGATCACAAATCAACTAATAACTTGGGACCATACAGTATCGGACCAACTTTTTCCACTTACCTAATCTAAATGTGAAAGCCAACCAAAAATAAGCGACGATCAGCAAAGTAACAGCAATCGAAACCGATCTTCCATTCGGCAAACTTTCCCAAAAATTTCTAAAAGGAATCCATCCATTCAATGTTCCACCCTCATCTTGCCTTTTTTCATCATTATCGATTGGAGCTGATTGATATCTTAAAACAAGAACTGAAGCAGATACAAATGAATAAGCAAAAAGTGTTCCAATTGATAAAAATTCGACAAGTGATTGAATATCAAAAACGAGTGCCATAATTGCATTAATTATTGTAAAAACTATAATTGCATTTAGAGGAACTGCTGATTTTTCGTTGATTTTTGCCAAAAAACTGAAAATTAATCCATCATCAGCCATTGCATAAATTGTTCGAGGAAGTACAAATATTCCAGTTACCTAAACTTTTATTTTGTAAATTAAAACGTTTTTTTTTAAGTTTTTTTTTTTAACTTACAAGATTATTAGTCAGTCCAACTAATGCACCAATCGCAATAATATATTTTATAACATGGGCTCCTTTCATATTAAAAGCTTCTGTAAATGGAGCAGTCACATGAACTTCGTAATATGGAATCATAAGAGTTAATGTAGAAGAAACTAGAATATATAAAATCATAATAATTCCAATCGAAAGAAATGTTGCCAATGGAATTGTTCTTTGAGGATCTGAAAAATTGAACTTCTGAGTACTGCAATTAGAGGTCAAACAGAGGGGGTATTTTTTTGTCAAAAAAACTAACTCTGAACTTCTTCTCCAGCTGATGCCAAAACTTCAAATCCAACATAGGCAAAGAAACAAGTAGCAGCTCCAGTAAGTGTTCCAGTCCATCCAAACGGCAAAAAATTCGAGATTCCATCTTCTGATGTTCCAGTCCAATTATCAAAATCAGCATAAGTTAGACCAAAAACAATTACGATTAAAACAACGGCAATATTTATAATTGCAAAAAGTGTGTTGAAATTAGCCGAAGCTTTGCTGCCAACAGCAATTATACATGAGCAAATGATAACAAGGAAAAATGATAAAATATCCGGGTAGATTGAGAAAAATGAACCAGGCTTTAAAAAACATTACTGTACTTATGTATTCAGAAAAAATAAAATTTTATTTGAAAAATAAACTACCTGCCAATAATCTCCGACCAATTCCAAAGTTTTATTTTCAAACCAATTTCCAAGAAGATTATCAAAATATGCAGACCATGATCTAGCAACCGCTGCATTTCCAATCATATATTCCAAAGGAATTGTCCATCCAACAATAAATGCCCATAATTCTCCAAAACTAATATATGTGTAAGTATAAGCACTTCCAGCTCGTGGAAACCTTGCACCAAATTCAGCATAACTGAAGGCAGATAAAAGAGCCGCAAAACCAGCTAACATAAATGATAAAACTATACTTGGACCAGCTTGATTGTGAATTACTGAACCGGTTAGAATATAGATTCCTGCTCCGAGCATTTGACCGAGGGCTAGGAATGTGACATCAGAAAGGGTTAGACATCTTTTTAGATTTGATGTGAGATGTGAACCACCTTCGAAAGTTTTTCTTCGCGTTATTGCAGACCAAAATGGAACTCGAGCCATTTCTAAAAAAATTGTATGAATCGTGGAACCTTGAGTGAAGATTTAAAATTATTTTGAAAGACCCTCTTTGTCCTGAAAATCTAAAGTTCAGGCCCAATCTCCATATGGGGTTTTTTAAATCGGGGTTTCGGCGGAAAAATCCACGTGGCTTTTTTTTTCAAACTTGAAATTTGGACTCGTGGAGAATGTATGCTTATTCTTGCATCGATCATTCATTTGGCAAAGAGCGGATTCACCTCGAATCCAGTTAATGAAGATGATTTGGATAGAATGGGAGCAACTATCAAAGTTTTGGCTCAAGGAATTCCAGAATTAGATGGACAGTATGGAGATGCTTGCAAACAATCATTGGAACTTATGCTAAATGCTAAATCAACTAGTCGTTTGGATGATCCAACAGCAAAAACTGGAAGATCGAAAGATTTCGTTGAAGTTGATAAAACAATCAAATTCACACAATTGTCAGCCAGAAATAATCAACAAGGCGAAAATCTTTTCGATCTTTCTTTGTCGCAAGCTCTTGGAACTGCTCCGAAATCCCAAAAATTCGATTTTTCAAGCTCAAAACTTGGAAAAGTTATTCAACTCGCTGGATTCTCTGATCCAATTTACGCTGAAGCTTATGTCAATGTCAATCAATATGATATCGGTAAGCTCTTTTATTTGATGATTTTTAATTTTTCGTGTTTTTTTAGTTCTCGATGTTTTGATTGTCAATCAAACATCCGATACTCTTCAAAATGTTTCTCTTGAACTTGCCACTGTTGGAGATTTGAAACTTGTTGATAAACCAACCCCAGTTACACTTGGACCAGCTGATTTCTCAAACATCAAGGTAAATACTTCTTAATTTTTTCATTTGTAGAAATGATCAGAAATTTTCCATCAGTTCACGTTTCCAAAATTTATTCTGAGTTTTCCAATAAAAAATTTTCAATTTTTTCAGGCAACCGTAAAAGTTGCATCAACTGAAAATGGTGTGATTTTCTCAACAATTTCCTATGATGTTCGAGGATCAACTTCCGATAGAAATTGTGTTTATCTTCAAGATATCAAAATTGATATTATGGATTATATTGTACCTGGAAATGTAAATGATATTGAATTCCGTCAAATGTGGAGTGATTTTGAATGGGAGAATAAAGTAAATGTTATGACACCAATTCGAGATCTTCGTGAATTTTTGGCGCATTTATCGGCTTCAACAAATATGAAGGTTTTAACTGGAGATGCTGCTATTGGTAAGTTTGCTTTGATTATTGACCAAAAAAATTCTGAATTTTTGCAGAAGGAGATTGTGGATTTTTGGCTGCTAATTTATGTGCTCATTCTATTTTTGGTGAAGATGCTTTGGCTAATGTTTCTGTTGAAAAAGCACTTCCAATGGATGATTCTTCTCCAATTGTTGGACATATTCGTATTCGTGCAAAGAGTCAAGGAATGTGTTTAACATTAGGTGATAAGGTAAGAAGAAGACAAATTATTGATTGAACTAAAGTGTTGTTGTTTCAGATTAGTACGGCAATGAGATCTCGACGTGATGGTCAACCAATAGCAGCCCCAAGTGCCTAAATGATATTTTATGTATAGAAAAAGAAACACCACCAGATTTTACAGCATCATATTTTCTGTTTGCAAAGTCCGTTTAACTTATTAATCAATTTATTTATTTATTCATTGATCATTTTTCGTGTGAATATTCCATAAATGATGGGTAAATATTTGGACAAAAATGATTTTTTGAAAAGAAACAGCTTTATTGTTTCAAAGAAAAGTAATCAATCGCTTGATTATCCTCTTGCTCTCGAACTTGGTGGACGTTTCTTGACTGGACTTGCTGCATTTGCCGCAGCAGCTGCAGCTGTTGCTGGTGGAACATCTGGCTTCATGTAATATGCTTGGTTTTTGAGCCATTCCGATTCACAAATTGCTTTGTATGTTGGCCGATTTGGTGCATGTGGTTGCAAGATTTCGAGAATCAGCGTTTTCGAGGAGGTCGATGATGTGCAACTTCGAGGGAATTTGATTTTGTGCGCCAGTTGACGTTCAATCATTTTTGTTGGATGTCGATCATCAAATGGCATTGAACCGGTCAACATTATGTACAAAATGATTCCAGTGCTCCAGACATCGACCTGAAAACGAGCAACTTGTTGGTAGAACATTTTTAGTAACCTTTCAAAATTTGGAGAGCTACAGTAACCCTTCAAAATATAGATTTTTCACAAACCGCATTGGTTGAATATTCGCGTCCTCTCAAAATCTCCGGTGCAACATATGCTCTCGAACCACAAAATGTGGAAGATTTGTCGCCGGGATTCAAAACTCTGGCAAATCCAAAATCGCCCAATTTCACATTTTCATGTTTGTCCAAAAAGATATTTTCGCATTTGAGATCACGATGGACAATATTATGATTTTGTAAGTGAATAAGTGAGGCGATAAATTGGCGAAATATAAATCTCGCATCATCTTCAGCCATCACTTTAACATCTTTCATTTTCTTCAACAAATCCCCGCCAGCACAAAATTCGGTGACAAAAACAATGTGATCCGGAAATGTGATCATATCATACAAACGGCAGATATTGTCGTGTTTCAACATCCGAACAATTTCCTTTTCGCGCGGCAAAAATTTCTTAATATAATCATCTTTTTCTTTTGTTGGTGTGATATTGATGATTTTCGCAGCCACTTCCTGTTTCTTGTCACCCCAAATTGCACGAGCCACTCGAGAATATGATCCCGAACCCAAGACTTTTTGAATGATCAATTTATGTTCTGTTTCAAGTTTTTGTATATATGGCTTAGTTGATACACTGACTTCTTCTGGTTCTTCTTCCGCGTTTGAAACTTCTACAAAAATTATATTAGAGAACTCCTTGTTTTGGTGATTTCTATCTAAATTTACCTGTTCCTTCTTCACGAGCCATTCTTATGCTTTGATAAAAACACCCTTTTAATTGGGGATACAAATATGAGAACTGACAACTCGGGATGCTGCCGGCGGCGATTCGGCGGCGTTGCCACGTTTGGCAACATCAAGGCGACGTTGCCAAAAAAGCAGCAACACCTGGCGACGTTGCCACAAGAAGCAGCAACGTTGCTTTTTGTCGCCAGATGTTTAACTTCAATTCTTGCTCCCGGCGACAGAAGGCAACGTTGCCAAAATGTAAAACACTGCGACGCAATTCTGCACAATCAAGAAGTTTCGAAATTTTTGTTTTTTTTTTCTTTTTGGCCTAAATTGTGTTTTTCTGCTATTTTCAGTGAGTTAATCATGAATATTACTATATTTCAGCATGTATCAAGCAAGGGATTGATGGTTTCGTTGGATTTCATCGTAGAAAATTGAATACTTCGAAAACAAATAGGAAAACTGATTGAAAAGGTTAGTTGACTATACAATTTCTTATTTACTATTTTTGAAAGTATTAACTTTAAACATTTCAGTTTGTGCCATTCAACGAGTGATTTGAAAATCATCGATGACTACTCAATTGCTCAAGACTATTGGAGGAGACTAGGATTAAGAAACTTTGTTGAAAAGTGAGTTGTTTTCGTTAATTTAAAGGTCCCGTAACGTCGCAAGATTCAGTGATCTTAAACACTTCTCTATGCTTTTTTATGTTGATTGAAGTCGAAAAAAAAATTTTTCTGATTCACCATGAAAAAAAAGGACCAAAAGTAACACATTAAAAAATCAGTCTAAAAATGTTGGGTCCACGGCCGAGAAAACCAAATGAGATCGAACAAACGCGCGCTACTGATAACCGAAAAAATATTTTCTTTTCGCGAAATTTTTTCTATTGGTTTTTGGCGTTTTTTGCAGTTATTTCGATAGGAATGAATGGAATGAACCTGGAAATAGAATGGACAAGGAAATTTAATCGAAAAACAAAAAAAAAGTCTTGAAAATTGAGCAAAAATGACAGAAAACAGAGCAAACAACGTTTTTTCAGATTTGCAACGCAGTTTTTCAAGTTTTTCTTCCTCAAACCTTGATATTATCCAGATGTACAGTGCTCATTTTGAAGAGGAGAAAATTCTCAACAAGAGGTTTTGAGTTTTTGGTTGGAAATTGTCGATTTCACAAGGCACAGCTGGTTGAAGAAATGTTCGATATCAAACACACATTCTCAAAATGTGACGCGAAATTCTTGTTCTGGCTCGGATTTGATGAATTCTTGGTTTTATTCAATGGTTGATACATCATTAGAACCAGAATTTTATGGCGATTCTTCTGACATATGACAATCATAGTGAAAGAATAGATTTTGATGATTTCCACTCGCTTGCGAAAAATACGAAAATTTCGATAAATTTTTCATTGATTTTCAAACCTCACCCAAGAACCTGGAGAAGTAGGAAAAAAATTGCCCACCTGGGTTTATTTTCAAAAATTGCCCACCTAGTAAAAAAATTTTTGCCCACCGGAGGCTCGCCTTAAAGACGCTAAAAATTTTGCCCACCTGAGGCTCGCCTTAAAGACCCTAAAAATTTTTGCCCACCTGAGGCTCGCCTTAAAGACCCTAAAAATTTTGCCCACCTAGGTTTTTCGAAAAAAAAATTGCCCACCTAGGTTTTTCGAAAAAAAATTGCCCACCTAGGTTTTTCGAAAAAAAATTGCCCACCTGGAATTCCAGGTGTTGGGTGAGGTTTGATTGATTTTAGCGATTTGAGCTTGACTTTTTTCAAAATTTGAGAAAATAAACATCACAAATGCTCAATTTCATTCAGTTTTCTTCTTTTCCGAAAACATGAAATGAGTTCAACGTATGAACGGATCAGAAAACGAGCTAATTTGAGAAAATTCAAAATTTTGTAAAGAATTATCGGAATAATTCTACTGAATCGAGTGATATCTCATGGTAAAATATCGAAATGACTTTTGAGTATACTGCTCTGAGAAATCGAGAGAAAAAATTGAGAAACTCACGCTCAAATCGCTAAAATCAATGAAAAATTTATCGAAATTTTCGTATTTTTCGCAAGCGAGTGGAAATCATCAAAATCTATTCTTTCACTATGATTGTCATATGTCAGAAGAATCGCCATAAAATTCTGGTTCTAATGATGTATCAACCATTGAATAAAACCAAGAATTCATCAAATCCGAGCCAGAACAAGAATTTCGCGTCACATTTTGAGAATGTGTGTTTGATATCGAACATTTCTTCAACCAGCTGTGCCTTGTGAAATCGACAATTTCCAACCAAAAACTCAAAACCTCTTGTTGAGAATTTTCTCCTCTTCAAAATGAGCACTGTACATCTGGATAATATCAAGGTTTGAGGAAGAAAAACTTGAAAAACTGCGTTGCAAATCTGAAAAAACGTTGTTTGCTCTGTTTTCTGTAATTTTTGCTCAATTTTCAAGACTTTTTTTTTGTTTTTCGATTAAATTTCCTTGTCCATTCTATTTCCAGGTTCATTCCATTCATTCCTATCGAAATAACTGCAAAAAACGCCAAAAACCAATAGAAAAAATTTCGCGAAAAGAAAATATTTTTTCGGTTATCAGTAGCGCGCGTTTGTTCGATCTCATTTGGTTTTCTCGGCCGTGGACCCAACATTTTTAGACTGATTTTTTAATGTGTTACTTTTGGTCCTTTTTTTCATGGTGAATCAGAAAAATTTTTTTTCGACTTCAATCAACATAAAAAAGCATAGAGAAGTGTTTAAGATCACTGAATCTTGCGACGTTACGGGACCTTTAAAATAAATATAACTTTGAAACTAAATCCACTTTTCCTTGGATACTTTTCCAAGAATAAATCTTGAACAAAAAGTTTTGAGAAATTTCCTGTATTTGACCGAATACACTTTCAAAAAGAAAATGCACACAAAACTAGTGTATTCAGGAGCCCGACCACTTAATTCTTAACCTTAATTCTCAAGTTTCTACATTTCCCAAGTTCCAAATTTTAGTTTGTCAAAAAAGAACCGTTTTCCAATAAGTTTGTCAGCAATTTAGTTCGAAAATAACATTTGGGAAAAATTCAAAATTCAATTCAAAAATGAAAAATCAGGCTAAAGTATTTTATAATGATGTTGTTCTTTTTCAGGTGAACAAAGTCATGTCAATCGCCCATGCATCAATCTTATCGTCAATTATGTTTCAAAAACAACAACTCCAAAAATATCAAGCCAATCAGATTCTACCTTTTTGAAGCTCAATTAATTTAAAATTTATTTCATGTATTCAATTATTATGTTATGTGATTTGATTTGATAATCATTTTCCGAATAAATATGTTGTAATTATAAAAACATGTTACTATCGAAGAACATATATATAAAATTGAGTCAAATCGGGAGAAATACACTGACGCCGCCTCTCGCTGCCGCGAGCTGCTCGCTTGTTGCCGAGGCTGTCGCCGATCCCCGCCTGCCCAATTTTCCCACTTTTTCATGCACTGCCACACCTTGCCTATTCTTGCCGCTCTTGGAGGCAACGTTGCAGAGCGCCGCCGAGGCCATTTCCCAAATGGCGGAGCTCTCGCCTCATTGTTGCCGTTTATCGCCGTAGCAAAAACGTCAGAAAATTATCGAATGGCGACGTTGCCGCGGGGCTGCCGGCGACGTTGCCGAAAAAAGGGTCGGCAACGTCGCCGAATCGCCGCCGACAGCACCCCGAGAAGTCTCGCGAAGCCTTTCACATTTTTTTTTGTTTTTCTACGTACCCAAAAAAAAGGGTCATCACGTTCACAAAGAATTAATTTTCAATTCAATTTTTTTAAAATTTCTTTTGAAAAAATCAAAAATTTTTTTTGTGTAATCCTAAATTTGATTTCTAGAACCATTTTCTGAAAATTTAAATTTTTTCGATTTTTGAAAATTTTTGTGGAGCAAGTTTGAATTTATTTTATACAATTTTGTTTTGTGAAAAATTGGCAATCAGCAATGAGATCGAAAAAGCACCGGGTTCTAGCAAAAACTGGGAGAAATTATATTAATTAGTAGCCGAAGAAACGCGATTCTTCATTGGAAATGTTGAACTTGATCGAACTTCGCCAATTGGAACTATTCTTTTTGCTTCTTTTGAGCTATGAATTCCATATGTGAAATAGATAAAAAGACCAATTGCCATCCAACCAAAAAGTCGAATCCACGTGGAATATGCAAGATATGTCATCATAAAAACATTGACAAAAAGTGATAAACAAGGGGTGAAAGGTAAGAATGGAACCTGGAACAAAAATGTTTGTGAAATTTATTCCCATGGGGAACAATCTACCTTTGATCGCAATTCGAGACTATTTTGTTTGTGCCCAAGGATGAATAGGAAAATAACAAGAATAATAAAAACATTGATTCCAATTGATATTTGACCAGCAGTTGTCAGATGATACTCTGAAAGTTCGAAAAAAAAATCACTTTTGTATCCAAAGAATTAGGGAAGATCTTAAGGGATCAAAAATCGACTAATAACTTGGTGCCATATAGTATCGAACCGATTTTTTTCTCTTACCTAATCTAAATGTGAAAGCCAACCAAAAATAAGCCGCGATCAACAAAGTAACAGCAATTGAAACCGTTGTTCCATTCGGCAAACTTTCCCAAAAATTTCTAAATGGAATCCATCCATTCAATGTTCCACCATCATCTTGTCTTTTTTCATCATTATCAATTGGAGCTGATTGATATCTTAAAACAAGAACTGAAGCAGATACAAATGAATAAGCAAAAAGTGTTCCAATTGATAAAAATTCGACAAGTGATTGAATATCAAAAACGAGTGCCATAATTGCATTAATTATTGTAAAAACTATAATTGCATTTAGAGGAACTGCTGATTTTTCGTTGATTTTTGCCAAAAAACTGAAAATTAATCCATCATCAGCCATTGCATAAATTGTTCGAGGAAGTACAAATATTCCAGTTACCTAAACTTTTATTTTGTAAATTAAAACGTTTTTTTTAAAGTTTTTTTTTTTAACTTACAAGATTATTAGTCAATCCAACTAATGCACCAATCGCAATAATATATTTTATAACATGTGCTCCTTTCATATTAAAAGCTTCTGTAAATGGAGCAGTCACATGAACTTCGTAATATGGAATCATAAGAGTTAATGTGGAAGAAACTAGAATATATAAAATCATAATAATTCCAATCGAAAGAAATGTTGCCAATGGAATTGTTCTTTGAGGATCTGAAAAATTGAACTTCTGAGTACTTCAATTAGTTTCAGAGGTCAAACAGAAGGGTAGTTTTTTTTTTGTCAAAAAAACTAACTCTGAACTTCTTCTCCAGCCGATGCTAAAACTTCAAATCCAACATAGGCAAAAAAACAAGTAGCAGCTCCTGTAAGTGTTCCGGTCCACCCAAACGGCAAGAAATTTGAGATTCCATCTTCTGATGTTCCAGTCCAATTATCAAAATCAGCATAAGTTAGACCAAAAACAATTACGATTAAAACAACGGCAATATTTATAATTGCAAAAAGTGTGTTGAAATTAGCCGAAGCTTTGCTGCCAACAGCAATTATACATGAGCAAATGATAACAAGGAAAAATGATAAAATATCCGGGTAGATTGAGAAAAATGAACCAGGCTTAAAAAAACATTACTGTACTTATGTATTCAGAAAAAATAAAATTTTATTTGAAAAATAAACTACCTGCCAATAATCTCCGACCAATTCCAAAGTTTTATTTTCAAACCAATTTCCAAGAAGATTATCAAAATATGCGGACCATGATCTAGCAACCGCTGCATTTCCAATCATATATTCCAAAGGAATTGTCCATCCAACAATAAATGCCCATAATTCTCCAAAACTAATATATGTGTAAGTATAAGCACTTCCAGCTCGTGGAAACCTTGCACCAAATTCAGCATAACTGAAGGCAGATAAAAGAGCCGCAAAACCAGCTAACATAAATGATAAAACTATACTTGGACCAGCTTGATTGTGAATTACTGAACCGGTTAGAATATAGATTCCTGCTCCGAGCATTTGACCGAGGGCTAGGAATGTGACATCAGAAAGGGTTAGACATCTTTTTAGATTTGATGTGAGATGTGAACCACCTTCGAAAATTTTTCTTCGCGTTATTGCAGACCAAAATGGAACTCGCGCCATTTCTAAAAAAAATTATATGAATCGTGGAACCTTGAGTGAAGATTTAAAATTATTTTTAAAGACCCTCATGGCATTTTGTCCTGAAAATCTACATAAAGTTCAGGGCCAATGGGGTTTTTTGAATCGGGGTTTTGGCGGAAAAATCCACGTGGCTTTTTTTTCAAACTTGAAATTTGGACTCCAAAACTTTTTTGTGGCACTTTTTTTCAACCTGAGTTTTGGTGACAAAGATACATGGGGAATTTTTAGATCTAAATTTCGACTAGAAAAAAAAAAGTTGTGTAATTTTGAAGAAAAATTATTGCAACACTCTGAGAAAACAGGAAACTAATTTTTATCAAAAAATAGGCGAATGATTTGATCATGAAATGTGTACTGCCTACCATAATAATACAAAAGTTGAAAAAGAACCAGTCAACAAATAAATAAATACTACCATAAAATAAAATGCCCAACAACAAATTCTTCAATCAATCACTCAATGAGAATTGAATCGAGAAAAAAAAAGAAGAAGATGTGAATTAGGACAAATAATAAATAATAAACATCATCATAATCTCATCGAATCAGGAGAGAAAAAAAGAAGAAAGTTTGCAAAATTTATCTAATTTGTATCTTTTTGTGGTGGGATAAGAAATAAAAAAATGAAAAATTGAGAAAAACAATAGGACAATCTTTATTTTATACTGGTCACACTAAATGATAGAAAAAAGTGGAAGAAAAATAGAAATGAATTGATACGGAAGTTGTGACAAATTAAATAGTTGTTGTTTGTGTGAAGGTTATTTCAAATAAGATACAAATTATACAGGCATGTGATGTTGGTTTTGGTGGAAGATAAAAAAAACAAGCAAAACTTTTTTGTTGAAATTTTTCTGCGATGAATTATTTTTTTGAAATGACATGCAAACCTTGATTCACATATTTCCATTGTTGCAATCATTTTTCATTAAAAGAAATTTTTTTTCAATAAAAAAAATTGAATCTGGGAAGTCATAGGTCCTTGCTTTTTTCATTATGAAAAATCCCTCAGTTCCAAACTACTGTACATATTTTTACACAGTGTTTCACTGTTTCTTTCGAACTTTGAAATTTTTAAACTAATGTTTGAAAAGCTTCGAGAAAAAATCTTGCGCAGGCTTCATCTTCAAAATAATTTATTTCTCAATCACAAAATACCAAACAATTAGACAAATAATGAGAGAAGAAAATACTCCAGCACACAAAATTAACCCGAATGCAATATTAAAAACATAAAAATCACAAAGACTCTTTTTTGGAAAAGCATTGAAAACCCAAAAACATCCGATGGTGAACCACAAAATTATAAAAATTCCCAAAACGAAATGAGTTAATGCGAGTCCAAATGGAAATGTTTTGATTTTCGGAACTTCTTCATTCTCATCTGTCGGAAGTTTTGAGATGGTTTTCTGAAAAAAATTATATTTCTAGAAAATGATCCCTTGATTTTCAATGGTTTTTTCAGTGATCACAAACATCAAGAACTTATCATTTCTCTACCGTTCAGCGAATTGAATCGCGATAAAAACAACAAATTTGGGTGGGAGAGAAAATATATCACTTGCAATTTGAAGATTAAAAAAAAAGTTTTGTAAAGTTATCTGAACTCACATGTCTTCTCCTTAGAAATTCAATTACGTTTTGAATCAACAAACAACTTCCAAGAACAATAATCCAAATTGGAATCATTGGTTCAGCGTCGCAATCATCGATTTTTGTGAATGTAAATCCAACCATAATAAATGTTAGGACAAAAAATACCAAAGCACATCCTTCACGGAAATCATCATCATTTGTGACACCATAAGCAGCTAAAATTCAAAAAAATAAATTTATAGGATTTAACGCTCATCCGAATCCAGTTTTCAATCAAAATACACTTCAACTTCAAAAAAAATTCAATAAAAAACTAACCAAGTTCGATACTTTTATCCACAAACGATCTAATCGCTGCCATTTTTTTCAAATGACCAAAGTGAATGAGAGTACTTATCAATTTATCACTTTTTCATATACTTTTTGAAGGTCATTTTTTTCTGCTTTCTGCTAGCGGAACTTTCCAGTTCCAGAAAAATATAATATATGTATTTTGTGAAGTTTAGCACATGATTTTCGATCATCAAGAACATCTAATCCAAGTTCAGGAGCCGAAATATATTTTTCTAACAAAAATTTGAAAACACATTCCTATTTTCCACGTGTCATTGCTCACCTTAAAATTGAGGTCAAGTTTAGATAAAAACGTGAACCTTTTTATCTTTTTTCAAAATCAGTAGCATTTTTTTGTCTAGTTATTTTTCACTTGATAGATCTCGCCTACTTGCGTTCTCATTCCGAATTCTGAAAATGGTACGAATCAAACATGTTTCTTTTTGGTTTGAGTTAGCCTAAATGTCTTTAATTGTTTTCAGGGAAGAAAACGTTGCGCTGTATTCACTTCTTCAAAAAATAGCACAAAATCAATTGTTCATAAACGTCGAAAAATTATCGCTTTGGAAAAATCTCCGAAACTTTCTGTAAGTTCGTCATGGTTTTGAGCTTCAGGATCTCTTTCGATTTCTACAACATTTGTTGTTTTCAGGAGCTGCCACCAATTGTTATCAATCAAATAATATCAAATCTTCCACTCGATGATCACACAAGTTTTCGGAGTGTTTGCAAATATTTTCATGAAGAAGTTGAAGTTTATTGGAGAACTCAAAAAAGTTTTTCCATCCCAAAAATGTGTCATTGGTTTCCGAATTTGGATGAAAATCGGAAATGGAAACTTGAAAATTTGAATGGGTTTTCCGAAGAGATTTCAGCGATTTTCAATTTGATGAGAGTTGGAAGTTTGGAAGTTTTAGATTTTCGGGGATTGAAAGCTTTACATTGGACAACTTTTGTTAAAAGTATTCAGAAAGTAAGTTGTTTTTTTAGTTAAAATTTATGAAAGAGATAATTTTCAGTATACTTATGAATCGGCGCCAAAGATTTTGGAAAATGTCAAGAAATTGAACATTGTTGGATGTACAATTTCACCAAAATCACTTTCATTAATAGCAAAAATATTGCCGAGTCTTCAAAATATTATTATTGATCAAAATATGGTTCTCCCGAAAAATATGTGAGTTTTGTTTGTGAATATATATTTTCTCCTTGACCAGATATTCTTCCAGAAACTTGGCAGCTTTGAAAAATGAGCGTTTTGAAATGTGCCGCTTCAAAACTCTGAATTATTATGATTATTCAGTTGATCATCGTTTTGCATTACTCGGTTCAAATATTCATTGGCGAACAATTTCTTATTTTTCACAAATCTTCGCGCAAGTTCAGAATATTATGATTGATACTTCCCTATGAGTGATTTCTTCTCATTTTCTATAATTTACTTCTGTCACAATATACAATCAATGAATTTGAATTTGTTCGCTTGTTTTCATTCATGATCAATCTGAAAATCCCATTTAAAAACTCGAAATTTAGCACAGTAACCCAAAGTCTTCGTTTTTAATATTTGTCGTAAGGTAAAGTGTGTTGTGTGCAATGTGTGCAAACACATTCATATGCCAACGGATTGATTTTTTATTTTCTTTTTTTCTCGTTTTTTTTTCAGTTCACCCCAAAATAACTAAAAATTGTGATTTTCAGAATGACTGAAACTTCTGCCGGTGGTTTATATCAATGTATTACGGATATTGCTCGCGCTGATACAAGTGGGGATTATCAAAAGGCGCTGCAAGCTGCGAATAAATGTTAGTTGCTCATTCATCATTTTTCGTAAATTCATTAGAATATTTTGTGATTTCAGTGATTCGCAAATTCCCGAAAGAAACGTTTGCTTTCAAATGCAAACTTGTTGCTTTGATCCAACTTTCATCATGGGAAGAAGCTTTGACTATTATCAAGAAGACACCAACCCACCAAATGGGAAATGTTTCATTCGAAAAAGCTTATATCTTCTATCGTCAAGGAGATCTTGATCAAGCATTGAAAGAATTGGAAAATTGCGAGAAGGATGATATTCGTGCTTTGGAGTTGAAAGCTCAAATCTATTACAAGCAAGAAAACTTCACCGAGGCTTATGAAATCTTCCGTTTTTTGTTGAAAAACCATTCGGATGATTCTGATGAATTGAGACGTGCGAATTATTTGGCTGTTCAAGCTAGACTCGAAGCTCAAGGATCAAAACAACAACTTGATACTGAAGCTGAAGATTCGTATTCTCAACTTTACAATCGTGCTTGTGTTGAGATTGAAGCCGAAAAATTGCCACAAGCTCTTGCTTCTCTTGATAAAGCTCTTGTTATTTGTCGTCAAACTTTGACAGATGAAGATCGTGAAGAAGATGAAATCGAAGAAGAATTAGATTCAATTCGAGTTCAACGAGCTTATGTTCTTCAAAGAATGGGGAAACGCGACGAAGCATTGGAAATTTACAAAAAAGTTCAAGCTGCAAATCATTCTGATGAAAGTGTCAAAGCAACAATCACCAACAATATTCCAGCTGCATCTTCTGATTTCGGAATGTCTGAATCTCGCAAGAAATTCAAAGCAGCTCTTCAAATTGATCAAAGTAAATTGACAAGAAGACAACGAAGAACTTTGATGTTGAATAATGCTTTGGTTTTACTTTTGTCGAATCAAAGAGAACCTTGTAAACGAGCTCTCGAAGAATTGGTATCAAAGTTTGGAACTTCGAAAGATGTTGCTTTGATTGAAGCAGCACTTTATGTCAAATTAAATGATACCGAAAATGCGCTTCGTGTTTTAGCTGGAGATGATCAAGAACAACAATTTGCTCGACTTCACGTTCTTTTGAATGCTGGAAAACTTCCAGAAGCATCAGCTATTTTGAATAACTTCAAAAATCGTCCACTTGGAGTTTCGAGTCTTTTGACAAGTATTTTGATAGCCTCGGATAAAAAAGCGGATGCGGCCAAAGAATTGACAAATAGTTTATCAAAGGCTGGAAATTCTGAAGAGAAAAAATCGATTCTTGAAGGAGCTGTTGATTTGGAAACTGCCAATGGAAACATTGAACAAGCAACTAAACATTTGGAAAAACTCGCTGAAATGTTTAGCGATGATTTGACAATTCAATGTAGATTGGTTGGATTGTATTCAAAAGTTGATCCGAAAAAAGCCGAACAATTGAGTAACAAGGTAAGTTTTCATGTTTCATAATTTAGTTTTCAAAATTAATTTTTTTCCCCCAGATCTTCCCTGAAAACATGGAAGTTGATATTAATGTTGACGAACTTGAAGAAAGTGATTGGATATTGTATGGTGAAAAATATCGACAAAAGAAAGAAGCAAAAGGAGAAGCTGCGGCTGATGATAATGTGAGTTTCTTTTTTTTTGTTGGAAGTATCTGATCAAAAGACATATTTTCAGGAAATCATTACTCGCAAACTCAAAAATCAACGACGCAAGCGTAAAATCCGTCTTCCTAAAAACTACAATCCGGATGTTTTGCCTGATCCAGAAAGATGGTTGCCAAGACAAGAAAGATCGACATATAAGAAGAAAAGAAAGAATCGCGAAAGAGAAATCGGACGAGGAACACAAGGATCTTCATCTGCTAATCCAAATGTGTAAGTTCATTTTCTACAAAAAATATTTTTTTTGTTCATTGCTCATATTATACATTTTCAGCGAATACATGGCTGCTTCTCCAAATTCTCCACGACCACTTCCTGGTCCGGCAGCCGAAGGACCACGTCAACAAAGACCAAACTTTCAAAAGCAAAAAAAGAAGAAGTCTTCAAAATTCTAGGTGTTGTATTTTTGAGTCATGTGAAACTTGTTCTTCCTTCCTTCATTTGTTATTTCTTTTCTTTATTATTGCAGAGTTTTTTATTTATTTAATTAAGTATTATGAATTTTATGGAATGTAAAATTAGTCGAAAAATTTGGAACGAATTTGCGTGCTATCCTAGCGCAGTGCCACTAGTGGCAGTACTGCTAATCTTTTTTGTATTGTTCCAATTTTAGTATATGTTCTCGGAAGAACGAAATCTCTAGACAACCAGACACTTATATATGTATAGCAAACAGTGTGGCCGACGCTTGACGGGCAGAGTCAACGCGCTATGTTTTGTGTGTGAAGGGGGCGGGGCTTAGAGAAAAGGGAAGGGTGTTTGTGTGTGCGTTGCTGGTTTTTCGCCGGTTTTTGAATGCCACCTGGATTTTTGGCGGCAATTATAATTTTAAAAATTTGGGAGAAATAATTTCCCACGTGGCATAGGAAACCTATAATAAAAGATCTCGAAATTCTTCAAAAAATTCAAATTTTTCAGATACACGTCCTCAATCTATCTATCTACTATATACTAATTGGGAAATTTTTTTTGGCAAGAGTCTGTCCTCGGTCCGTTCTTAAAACTGTGCGCATAAAAATTGGACGATCAAAAAAAGAAAAAGTTTCTAAATAGTGGCACAATGGTGCGCTTTTCAGAAATTATTTCTCAAAATTTCCGTGGGTGCGCGGAGAGTGAAAAGTTTGAAAACTCCAATGTATTTTTCGATTTTAAAATGTGTCGCTCGAGTTTTCTCCACTTCCAGAAGGCCGTTTTTCATAGGACCTTTATCATTCTATCCCAAATTCTTTCCCATCGATGCGCTAATATTCGATTTTTCTAAAACTGCGCCAGTTTTCACGTGAAAAATCAAAACTTTTTTCATGTAAAAAAGAATGAGCACGTTTTCATTCCAAAAAACTAAAGGACACGTTCTTATCTGATCGTTCTATTTTCTCTTTCAGAGCGGGAAATTAATAGTCATTTCTCAATGTTTCCCTTCTTCTGATCATGAAATCAATGATCAGCAAAAAGTAAGTCAAACTACTGTAGATGGCGTTAGCCAGCGAAGCCCTTCTGGTGATCTCAAAAAAAAAACAAAAAGCAAATTTTGGTTTCCAGAAGCTTCAACCAATTGTAATCAACCAAATAATCACAAATCTTCCTCTCGATGATCACACAAGTTTTCGGAGTGTTTGCAAATATTTTCATGAAGAAGTTGAAGTTTATTGGAGAACTCAAAAAAGTTTTTCAATCCCAAAAATGTGTCATTGGTTTCAAAATTTGAATAAAAATCGGAAATCGAAACTGGAAAATTTGAATGGGTTTTCCGAAGAGGTTTCAGCGATTTTCAATTTGATGAGAATTGGAAGTTTGGAAGTTTTAGATTTTCGCGGATTGAAATCTTTACATTGGACAACATTTGTCAAAAGTATTCAAAAAGTTAGTTTTTCTCATAATTTTATTTGAAAAAATATGAATTTTCAGTACAAAAAAATCGGAAGAGGAACACAAGGATCTTCATCAGCGAATCCGAATGTGTAAGTTCATTTTCTACAAATAATATTTTTTTGTTCATTGCTCATATTATACATTTTCAGCGAATACATGGCTGCTTCTCCAAATTCACCACGTCCACTTCCTGGTCCGGCAGCCGAAGGACCACGTCAACAAAGACCAAACTTTCAAAAGCAAAAAAAGAAGAAGTCTTCAAAATTCTAGGCGTTGTATTTTTGAGTCATGTGAAACTTGTTCTTCCTTCCTTCATTTGTTATTTCTTTTCTTTATTATTGCAGAGTTTTTTATTTATTTAATTAAGTATTATGAATTTTATGGAATGTGATCAATAATTCGGAATGTTTCAAGTAATCGATATGTGACATGAACTAGATAATTTTTGTAGATGTGACTAAAGTTTTAAAAATGACTAGATTAGGTTAATTTACAACGTTTTGTTGGGGGATCCAGAGTTTCAATGTCCAGTTTTTTGTATTCGTCAGGATCGGATTGAACTGCAAAAACATCGAATATTCAAGAATCGGAAAAAGATGAGCTCACTGTTTTTCGCATTGTGAAAGAACTTTTTAATGAATAACTCGTAATGTGCCACTTCAATTTGATCAATCGCAATTTCTTCAGCATTCTCAAAATGATTATTCAAAATATTGTCAATCCGAAAAAAAAGAAACCCCCTGTTTAAATTGCCGCTCACGTACAGTAGACTAAAAATGACGTGACACATGCACATCAAACTGGTTGGCAAATAGCCAACGTGTAAATTTCGCATTTTATTTTTCAAATAGACTCCAAAATTTTGCGAAGTCTACTGTATCTTTGGTTTTCTAGGCCATCCCAATTCTCTTCCAAGGTTCTTATTTTTTCGGATTGACAATATGAAGTCGGACCTTGAATTTTATTTTTTTCCACACTTTATAGATGTTGTTAAAAATAGGGATTTTCTTTAAAATTATAATTGTTCGGAAATATTTTCCACGGCCCACAACATTTTAGGCTAATGATAAAACTTTTCACTCTCCGCGCACCCACGGAAATTTTGAGAAATAATTTCTGAAAAGCGCACCATTGTGCCACTATTTAGAAACTTTTTCTTTTTTTGATCGTCCAATTTTTATGCGCACAGTTTTAAGAACGGACCGCGGACAGACTCTTGCCAAAAAAATTTTCCCAATTAGTATATAGTAGATTGATAGATTGAGGACGTGTATCTGAAAAATTTGAATTTTTTGAAGAATTTTGAGATCTTTTATGGGCCTATGCAGAATAATATTTTGTAATAAAAAAACATTTTTTTCCTATGCAGAAAAACGTCGAAAAAACAAAATATACAGTTTATTATTTTGAGTAGAGACAACGTGAAGTTGAGAGAGTGCAGAGAAAAAAACCATTTTATGTCTGCGCTCTCTCAATTTCACGTTGTCTTTATTTTGTTTTTTCGACGTTTTTCTGCATAGGAAAAAATGTTTTTTTATGTTTTTTTATTTAGGCTGACAAAAATGAGGCATTCGGGTATTTCTATACACTAATTTTATTTTTACACGTTTGCAGAAATGCCCGAATACACTTACACTTTTACACTATATACATTTTTACAATAATACACGAATACACTATTTTTTCTCCGGCTTGGAAAAAAAGAAAATAAATGTCAAAATCTCAATGTCGAAACAGACCGATGGTTTCCTAAAGTGAATAAAAGAGTTCTGTTCGAAAATAAAGGATTTTAGAGTAAGAAGAAGGTTTTTTTTCGAATAATAAATAGTTTCAGAAAATTTAAAAGGAATATAAAAACCTGTTTAGAAAATGAAGAAGTCACATTTCTTGGCATTTGGGTTAGTATAACTCTGATTTTCAGACTTGAACAGAACAAAAAACATTGAATTATCAATTTATCTGTGATGTTATGCTTTGGCTCTGCTAATTCTCAAATCATGACTGTTTTTTCACTATTTTTCAGTCTATTTTGGCACTTTCAACAACTCTTTTCCAGAAAAATAGTGTAAAAGTGTAAAGGTGTAAAAGTGTAGCCTTATAAATAAAAATAGTGTAAACGGGCATCATTTCTAAAAACGTGTAGTGTAAATGGGTAAGCCATTTTTGAGCATTTCTGAAATGAGTGTATTCGGGTAATTTTTTGCCAGCCTATTTTTATTACAAAATATTATTCTGCATAGGCCCATTATTATAGGTTCCCTATGCCACGTGGGAAATTATTTCTCCCAAATTTTTAAAATTATAATTGCCGCCAAAAATCCACGTGGCATTCAAAAACCGGCGAAAAACCAGCAACGCACACACAAACACCCTTCCCTTTTCTCTAAGCCCCGCCCCCTTCACACACAAAACATAGCGCGTTGACGCTGCCCGTCAAGCGTCTGCCACACTGTTTGCTATACATATATAAGTGTCTGGTTGTCTAGAGATTTCGTTCTTCCGAGAACATATACTAAAATTGGAACAATACAAAAAAGAGTAGTTGCGTTAGGATAACGCGCAAATTATTATTATGGCCACACGCAAATTCGTTCCAAATTTTTCGACTAATTTTGTATGAATTTTTGGGCCTGTATACAGGTGGTGGATTTTTTGTGCGAAAAATAACGACTTTTCGGCGTAAAACAATATTTCTGAGTCATCCTAATCATTTCTTGTTTCAGCTAAAAAACTTGTGTAAATCTACGAAAATGGATGAAAATCCGCGCGCACAGAGACTGAACAGGTTGAGATTTGGGGGGGGGAGGGGGAACATATTCACGAGAATTTTTGTCTGAAAATTTTTTCGCTCAAATTTGCTCAAAAAACTTATCTTGAAACTTTTTCGATAGATTGGATAATAAAGAACCTTTAAAATATTCTGGAATCCTAAATTTTACCCTAACTAGGTAGGAATTCACTCTAGTTTCGGACCTTAAAATTTTCAGGCTTCAGATTTTTGCGCTAAATTCAAATTAAAAAAAAAAAAAGAAAAAAACGCAAGTGTAAAATCCGTCTTCCTAAAAACTACAATCCTGATGTGTTGACTGATCCAGAAAGATGGTTGCCAAGACAAGAAAGATCGACATATAAGAAGAAGAGAAAGAATCGCGAAAGAGAAATCGGACGAGGAACACAAGGATCTTTATCAGCGAATCCGAATATGTAAGTTTCAGCTTCTACAAAAAGTATGGCATTGCTCATATTATATTTCTTCAGTGAATACATGGCTGCTTCTCCAAATTCTCCACGTCCACTTCCTGGTCCGGCAGCCGAAGGACCACGTCAACAAAGACCAAACTTTCAAAAGCAAAAAAAGAAGAAGTCTTCAAAATTCTAGGTGTTGTATTTTTGAGTCATGTGAAACTTGTTTTCCTCCCTTCATTTGTTATTACGGTTCTTTATTATTGCAGAGTTTTTTATTTATTTAATTAAGTATTATGAATTTTATGGAATGTGATCAATAATTCTGAATGTTTTAAGTAATCGATATGTGATGTGAACTAGATAATTATGTAGATGTGACTAGAATTTTCAAAATGGCTAGATTAGGTTAATTTACAACGTTTTGTTGGGGGATCCAGAGTTTCAATGTCCAGTTTTTTGTATTCGTCAGGATCGGATTGAACTGCAAAAACATCTCATATTTCTAAAAATCGAAAAAATCAACTCACTATTTTTCGCATTGTGGAAGAACTTTTTGATGAATAACTCGTAATGTGCAACATCAACTTGATCAATCGCAATTTCTTCAGCATTTTCAATATGATTATTCAAAATATGAAGTCGGACCTTCCATTGTTCCGCATTTTTATAATCACATAAATTGCATTTCCAAGGAAAACAATTGAGTGTGTGAGATGAGCGAAGATGTTGACATAAAGGACCATCGAGATTTGGCTCTGCGCCCGAAACACATGGAATTATATGATTGCATTCGAGGCAACGATAAATTGACACGTCACGAGTGGTTACCATTGACTGCAAAAAAATTGATAAAAATTAGAGTTTTGGAAAAAAAGGTTTAAGTTTTCATTTTAATTCTGAAAAACTCCTAGGCTTTTTACTATTAAAAAAAACTCTTTCAAGATCAATTTTTTTGTGGTCTAGGAAAAGTTCCAGAAAATTTTTTTCAAACCAAAAATTGATTTGAAAAAAAACCAACCTTTACAAGTGATTCAGTATCTTCAACTTCATCGGAATGACTCCTGTTATTCTGCTGATGTCCATGATTCTGCTGTAGATTCTGTTGTTGTTGTCCATTAATTGTTGCATTTACAGATTGTGCTAATCTTTTTGCTTGACATGCTTTTGCATTTGCAATTGTTTCAGCATAATTTGGAAAACATTCACCCATTAATTTATCCCACATTTTCTGCATTTCATTTGAGATTTTGTCGATTATTGCGCCTTTTATGTCAGAATGTTGGTTTTGCATATGAAGTCGGACCTGGAATTGTAAACTGTGAACAAACTACATACAGTATCCAAATCCAAAATTCTTGTGAAATTCATCATTTCAAAAAAAAATTCCAATTTTTTGAAAAAAAATTCCAAAATTTTCTAGACACTACAGTAATCGTCTAATGTTTTCACTAGAAGAATTACAGAAATATTCAGTTTTTTTATATATGGATTTGAATTATCTAATGTTTAAAAAAATTCTAATACTTTCTTTAATCTACAGTAAGCCTGAAAAATTGAAACTAACCTTGGCTTGTTCATTATTTTGATAGCTACAATTTGGACATTGATATTGTTTCAAACTTGCATGTCGTCTCACATGATTTGTTAAATTTGAAAATCTGAAAACTTCTTTTTTTGAAAAAAAAAATATCAAAAAAATCCACTAACCTTGTTGCCATAATCATACTATCACACAATTTACATTTGACTAATTCATCTGGACCTGGTTGATTATTAATCGCAGATTTATGATTTTGAGAAGATGAAGATGATGATTGTTTTTCAGGTTCAACTGATTGTGAATTCGAGAATAAACTGGTGACTAGAAAATTTGGATCGGCGAATGAATTACTCGCAACTTGGTCGATTGTTTGATCGTATTCTGCTGAAGATATTGAACCGGTTGAAGATGCTCCAGTACTGCTTCTTTTTGGAGGTTTTGTTGAAATTTTCTCAACCATCTGAATATTTTTTTAATTTTGGAATTGTTTTTTAAGGAGGTTGGATTATCAAATGAAAGTTCCGAAGCTTTTATCTTTTTCCCACCTGTATTTGAAAAGTTGTCGGTGTTTCAGTGTCCAAAATATCACCTTTCCATTCCGGAATTTCAACATTTCCAGCTCCATTTAACAATGTTTTCAACGGACTTTCTTTACTTTTCTCAATCTTCACTTTGACTGTTGGATGTTCGCTCAAATCATCGAAAAATCGTACATTTTTATAGCCATAAGCTAGCTGAAATTTTTTGAATGTACTCAAATCAATGAAAATTGAATCTTACCAATTGTTTGAATAAGTTTACGGTATTATGTTTGGCTTCGAGTTGAATGACAGCATATTTTGGTTGACATCGGAATAGATCTTCAACTCGATATTCTCCAGAAACCGGGATTACTTGAGGTGTTCGAAGTTGGACAGTGTTTGGCTTGTTCTCGAATTCTGGCATGTATTTCTGAAATAAATTTTTTTTGGAAGTTTTACAGGGTCCGAGTTTCGAAATTCGGTTTTTTTTCAAAAGAAAGCCTTCCAAAATTTTTATAAGGGTCTCCATTTACTTTTATTTTTGGTTTTTTCAACTTTTAAATTAGGCTTAACAGTAAGATTCCAAATCAATTCTGAAATTCAAAACAAATATTCTGAATGAACATTTGGAATTCTGAAGTTTGTGAATCAGAGATGAATAGGTCCAGGGCCAATTGAACAAATTCGATCGGAACACTAAAAATCCAAAGCCGAAAATTTCGGGACTTCTGACTTGTGTCAACCTAAAATAACATCGCTGGGAACGATTCACCCCCGAAAAATCTATATCATTTGTTCTACTTGTTCATGCATGCTCATTTTCATCGTCTTCTTCTTCTTTTTTGTGTTGTGTCACTGCTACTACTACAACATGCTTTTCCTTTTTCGTCTTCTTCTTTCTGCCTTCTTCTTCTTCTTCTTTTTTTGTGTGCACGACATTCATTGCGCGCGCTCGCGAGCAACAAAAAAAGACGGCGAAAAAAAAGCCAACAGCGAGCGAAAAAATGTAGGCGTTGAACACGGGTTGGTGAAATGGAAAAGGACAAAATGACTATAGTGAATGAAACAAGAAAGTTTTAGAAGGATTGCGAATTTTGAGATTCTGGTAGTACTGTATTTGAAATTTGGCTCGAAAATGCTCAATTTTGTTGAAACTCCCAAATGAATCTGACTTACTTGAGAAAAGCCCGAAGTTCCATTCGAAATTGTGGCATTGACAGGTTTTTGAAAACTTTTCATAGAATTGCTTTCCATCGACTGAAAAATTAGATTTGAAAATATTGAAACTGATGAGGGTACTGTAGTTTGAAGTTTTTTTTGGGTGAAAATATTGGAAATTGAGAGAGAAAATTGTCCTGAGAATTCAGAACTTTTAATTTAAAATAACCTTGAAATTTCAGATTACTGTAGATGGTAAAATTTGGACTCTGACAATTGAATTCCAACAGTAGAAGTCACATATAGATCTTTCATTTTTTAAGAACTCTTACAGTAGTCAATCACACTAACCTCTTGTTTTTCTTTGGCCAGAACTTCAGCACGTATATCATATTCTTTTTTCTCGATCTCATTCAATTTGTGCCATTCTAACCCGACCAATTTGGAAATATTCCCAAAGTTGCTCGTCGGATTTTGAGCTTGAATAGTTTTCCGAATTTCGGCAGAAAATAACAGATATCCAGTCATACTTTTTCCTTTTTTGATTGGAGGTGGAACATTTAATAAATTGGTTCCTGATAGCATTCTTTGTTTGATAAAAATACAAAATACTTGAAGAATAGAGAATGCTGTCAATAATAGGAGAAGGGACGAAAAAGGCAGACGAAAGTAGAAGTACGAACCAACCGCTGCGACACCACGAACAAAACAAAAATATTCCTAGGCCCCCACGGCAGTTGTGATGATATAGTGTGCAATGAAGCGGAGACGCAGATTGTTGTGTACAGCCTGTCTGCGCCTCTTCGTCTTTCTCGCTCTCATCGAGAAAGAAAAGGAAAACGAGAAAACGAAGAAGACGAGAAAAGGGAGGAGCCGTCGGCTTCAATGCGTCTGCGTCTCCGCTTTAACTGTGCACTATTTTGACGGCGGTTGTTTTGTGTCTTCGGATGAACTCCATTTTTGGGCATTGCGCGAAATAGGGGAGAAGAAGAAGAAGAAAACGATGCAATTTTCAGCAAGGGATTTGGAAGGATGTGAACAAAATTGTACAAATACATATACCTCACCCAATATTCTAGAACTTTTTATCTTGAAAACCTCCCATAACTCGCAATGTTGACATTAATGTCTAATTATTAGCTCAAAACAATTGTGAAAATTTAATATTTTCAAAAATAAAAATACATTTTTCTCCAAAAACGTGAAATAAAAAAGTATAGAAAATGAGACTCATTTCAAAAAAATTTTCAAATATAAAATACCGCACTATTCACGAGAAATCTATAAAAATCGGTATGTTATTTTGAAGTTTGGAAAATTCAAAAAAAAATCGAAAAAAAAACATTTTTACAAAAGAAACATTTGCTAAAAAACAAAAATGGGTCTCGGTGTGCATATGTACAGTAACCCGCGGGAAAATATGAATTTATGTTTTGTTTGTTTTCAGGCAGTCCATTTTTTATTCATTTTGAGTCAAAATTTTTGACGAGGGAAGTGTTTGAGTTGTTCCGGCAAATTTTCAATGGAACATATAACATTTTGTAGGGTCTTTTCACACTGAAAAAGATCTTCCTGTGTTCAGTTTTTGCTGAAACAATCTCCGAATAACTTGAAAGTCAAACAAAAAAATTGCGCAAACTTCAACTCATTTTTTGGCCTTTAGGAGAACTCTCGGACAACCGCTGTTAAATAATTTCAGCAAAATAGTGTAGTCGACGGCTGTCCGAAAGTTCTCTGACGGGATTCTTCTCCGAGAGTTCATAGCGCTATGTTTCTCTGACATTGTGAGCCAGTAGTTTGAAAAGTTTGGTTGTTTTTTCACTGGTTGTTTCTAGAGTTTCCAGTCCGATCTAACTCTAATTTTTTCCAGCAAATTCGAGCTGAACAAGTTTCTTGTAGTAAATATTTAGTTGTTTCAATAATTCCGACTTTTATTGCGCTTTTACAGTTTTTCTAGTTCTCTTCATGATTGAAATATCAATTTTCAGTTCAAATGTTTTTTTCCACCTTCTAAATGTTAGATAGAAAGTTGAAAATATGCACGTTCTTTATTTTTGTACTTCGTTCTTTGTAGCAACAAATGTTCCTTTTCATTCAATTTATTCGTTTTCAAACAACATGTGTGTTCGAAAATGGGCGCGAAAAAACCCATATAATAGGGAAAGTGCGCTCTGTTGAGAATGAGGTGCGTGCGAAAGTGTTTGCATTTGAAAAAACGGTTGTGTGTTTTTTTCGCTTCGTAGTTGATTTCTATAATGTTTTATAAGCTCGAAATTTCTATCGAAACTTTACCTACGTTATTTTTCGCTGCTAAATTTCAGTTTTTGTTTTCAGATGCCTCCAAAACGTGCAACATCAAGAAGGGTTGACAACCCAACATCTGCACAATTCTTCGCCAAGCAAATCATTTCGGAGGTTGGTTTTGTCAAAGTTTCCAGAATAACAAAGATTTTCTTTATTTCAGAGAAGCGGATTGAGTTCTTCGATTCACACCAAACAGACGGGAGATATTTTTTCGGAGTTGGTCCGAGATATAAACAGTTTTGTCAATGAGAATTTGGAAGAAATTGATATTTCCGAAAATTTCGATATTATTCCGGATGATGTTCAAGCTCAAATTGTTTGTATGATTTCGATCAACACTGAGGTAAAACTTCATTTGTTCAGAATATTTATGTTTTATTTTTCAAAATTTCAGTCAACTTCCAAAGAATCTGAAAAGAAACCAAAACGATCGTCGCTGAAACCGGTGGTTAACATGAAACATGTTGACGAACCGATGGATTCCGATATTCCAACATCAAGTCGATCTGAAATGGTCACTGATACTGATAGTCTACCAACTGAAAGAAGCACTACTCCACCCATAACTTCTGAAACAACTGAAGAAGAAATGGAAACGGATATTATTCCTCGAACTGTAACCAGATTGCAAAATTTGAGTGTTAAAAGAACTGTTGGAAGACCTCGAAATGTCTTCTCCAGCAAACCAGCCATTCAGACACCAATTGCTTCGATTTCAACACCAGCCAAGAAAGATTTGAGAAATGTCAAGCCTCTTGTTTTTGAGCAAAGTGCCAACAAAACTCCAAGAGCTCAAAAACCAACTGCTCCTGTTGCTCGAGTTGCTCAAGACGACAAAATCAAACATGCTATAGATTTGAGGGATAAATTCTTGAAAACAAAAGTAGCGAAAGCCAAAGTGTATGATGAGAAAAGTCGAGCTGTGAAAGAACGAAAAATGGAATTGGATCGAAAGAGACAAGAGCAACTTGAGGAAAAAAGGAGAAAGGAGCAGCTCACCTCCGATTTCCAACGAAATACAGAACAACTTCTCAAATCACCTTCTCGTCTTCTACCAACAAAGTCGTCTTCTCGACTTCAAGCTTTGGTAAAATCTCCATCTCGAAATCTTCCAAATTGTTCGACTCCTCGTGCAAAAACTACTCAATCAAGTCAAGATATGACACCTGGAAGAAGACCAGCGAAATTTGGAAAAGTTGAAACTTTTAATGAAGTCAATGCTCATGCAACGGTTCCACTTTCTGTAAGTCAAAAAAGAAAATATTTTGATTTTCAATATTTTAAATTTTCAATTGTTTCAGCCATCTCGTCAACGAGCAAGAAGTGGACACAAAAGTCGACCAGTTGAAGAAGAAGCAAAACCAGAGGTGATTGCCAAGAATGATGCTCGAGCTAAAAAACAAGAGGAAAACGAACGACAACTTCGAGTCAAACAAGAAGCTTATTTGTTGAAACAACAAGAGTTGAAAGTGCAAAAAGAAAAGGAAGAACGGGAAGAAAATGAGAGAAGATTGGCTGAGCAACTCGAGAAAAAACGGATTGAAGAGGAGAAAGCGGCCGAGCAAGCTCGAATTGCTGAAAAGCAAAAACGAGAAGAGATGAAACAGAAGGAAGCGTTGAAAAACGCAAAAAAGGCGGCTGAAGCCGAAAGACTTGCGAAATTGCAAAAGGAAGAAGCTGAGCGACTCAGAATTGAAGAGGAAAAGGAGGAGAAGGCTTATGAAGCCACAATTGCCAAGCAAGCTGCATCAAGCAATGTAAGATCTTTATTTTTCAAATCGGTATCCTAAGAAAATATTCATATTTTTCTAGCTTGCTAAAAACTCGTATGAGATGACACCACCACGTGTTTATGTGTCAAACTCGAAAGATGACTATGGGTTGAATGATCTGAACAGCGATGATGAGACAGATCAAGAGGATGAGCCAAGAAAAGATGTTCCACAATGGGCGGATTGGGCTGTCGTAAGACGAAATGCCAGAGAACTTGCATCAAATATGCCGTTCGATGTCAATGAATTTTTCGGCGAAATTCAACCGGTTAGTTTTTATTTATCAAAAACCTCATTTATTCTCAATAATTATTGTTTCAGATCAAGTTGAAAACTATCTTTGGCGATAAAGTTAAGATGAAGAAGCGAGGATCATCAGCTGTTTGGAAATCTCCCATGACAAACTCGAAATCCGCCACCCCAAAATTATGCGGAATTAAAGAATAAAAAAAATGTTTTCTAGCAGTCGTTGTCAAATAATCAAATGGAATTCTTCCATATTTTATAATTGTCAAATAATAATTTTTAACAATTATGTTTATTTAACTTTTTTGTAACTGTAAATAACAATTTTACAATCACGTATTTTGAGGTTCAAGTACTTTTGTTTGTTTATGAGTGTTGTTCAAAACATTCCTCATAATTATCTTTGCATTAAAAAAGTTCATTTACAGATTTTTTTGTTTAGGAATTATGCAATCAATTGCTGACTTCGACGAGGTGCTCAAAGCTATTGCGGTTCCAGCCACTCGTGATTATTCGAGACTTTCGACATCACCCAGTCAATATGTTGATCATGATTCTTCATATTTTCATCACAAAGATTGTCGTATGTGATTTTTTTGTTGCTGAGACAGTTTTTCATCGAATTCCATTATTTCCAGCACCAGTAAAATGTGACACGCCTGTCAAAATGAAACTTCCAAAAAACAATGACGAAGAAGTGATTGCACATACCAACGAGAACTTTTTGAATGGATCAAGTTCGGGATCATCGATTTCTTCCAAATCGGTAACAGCAGAAATTCGAGAACCTCTCAAAGTTGCCCCGAAAAATGAATCTGAACAACTTACAGGTATCAAAATATATTCAATAACATATTCAGATAACTAATGATTGAAATTTTCAGTTGATTTCAATAAATTGGCATTGTTCAATCCAAAAGAACCAGAAATACGGCTTTCACAAAGACGAAGATCAGAACAGAAACAAAAAGAAGAGCGGAGATCAGCAATTAATTCAAAATCACAAACTGTTAGTTCGACAAATCGTGCAAGATCTGGAAGTGTCAAACGAGAAGGATCGATTCCACGCCTTCGTGCTCCTTCTGTTCCAAGAACTAATCCAACTACAGAATCGGCTCAAAGATCAAGATCTGGAAGTGTGCAAAGAGCCCCATCTGTTCCCAGAACAGTTTCGACTCCTGGAGTTGTAACAAGATCTATGGCAAAATTAACACAGCATGCAAGGTATTTTTTAATTCCAATTGCCTAATTGTTCTTTAATTTTCTAATTTTCAGCGTGACTGTAACAAAAAGTGATCCGCATGTTCGAAGAAGTGTTATGCCGGTTAAAATTGCGGCAAAAACTCCGGTTTCGAATAATTTGCAAACAGCCAATGATAGATCAAGAGATCGAACTCGTCGAGTTAATACAACTGCTCAAATTGACGCGAATACAAGAAGAAGTGTTATGACAAATGGAACACCAGCTACTGCACAACCAAAGCGAGCAAGTTCATTAACTCGAACAAATCCAACCAATTCAGAAGTTACCAGTATGTTTTTTCACAAATTTCAAATGAATCAAACAAATTGTTTGCAGAGACTCGACCAATTGCGACTGCAAATCGATCATCAACACTCAGACAAAGTCTTATTAAAAAGGTTACAAGCGATGCTCAAAAACCTGCTGAACCTCCAGTTATTCCGTCTCGTAATCGTGTTCCACTTCGTGTGAAACCATCAACTCCACTTTCAACATCGGAATCAAAACCGGCTTTCAATTCAGCAAGTCGACCAATCAGATCATTGGCCAAACCGGCGACTTCTTCTGCAAATTTGAAAAATGCTACTTCGGAGAATGATTTGGCTCAAAAGAAGCCAATATCATCGAATTATGCCAGTGCACTTTTCAACCGTTTATCGACTCCAAAATCTGGAGCATCTACTCGACCAGTTCCAGCCACAAGTACACCAAAACAAGTTTCGAGTGTAAGAAGAAGTGCGGTTAGACCAGTTCCAAATTATGTCAGGAAAGTCAATAGTGTTGGGTGAGTTTTTGTTTAAATTATTACAAGGGAATAGTTTTCAAGAGATAGATTCTGAATCGGACAATTTTCTAAAAGTAGATTCAGAATTTTACTCAAAAAATCGGACGTGGTTCGATTCATCTTCGGTGGTCTTTCTGCCTATTAAAAAAATAATGTTTGCAGTCTTCCAACCGGTGCTGGAACTCATGGAATTCGTGCGCCATCACGTGGTCGAACACCATCAAGAGATTCGAAAAACTCCTCGGCAACATCCTCTCAACTTCCACCTCCATCATCTGAATCTTCTGAAAAGTAGAATGATCTAATTTTTATTCTTTCTCCCTCCCGGTCACCCATTCAAAACTAATGTAAAAAAGCTAACCGGTTTTGTAGAATAGTGTTTTCATTATTATCATTTTTATTTTTCACCGATAAAATAGGTGGTTTAATTGTATAATAGTATTTTTGTTTTCTCTCGCTGGTTTTAGAAAACCCACAAAATTAAACAAGATCTTCCCCATTCCCGCATCCATTTTTTTTTTTTTGTTTTTTTTTGATTATTTATCTATTTATTTTTATTCTTGGATTGTTGTGTTGGGTGCAAAAACATGAAACATTTATTTTCTATAACCCAATTTTTTATTCTGTTTTTTTTTGAAATCGAGTTATTCTTACTCTATATATTATTTCATTTAGCGGTTAACCAGCTGGTTCTTTTTTATTTTTCAAATCAAGGTCGAACAAATACGCCCCCATGAAATGGCGCGAAATATTTCGTTAGTAGGTAGTATTCTTATTTTTGATTTAGTACAAGTTGAAGTTTGAAACCAGGGTTCCGACTCTAAGGCCTCAAGTACTAGTACCGCATAGTACATGTACTAGGAAATAGTACTAAACAGCCTACTGCACTGAAAGTTTGAGCAAGGCTTTGTTTAAAGGTACTGTTTAAACAGTACTTTCAAACAAGGCCTTGTTTAAAGACTTGTTTAAACAGTTCATTTAAACAAGGCCTTGCCTAAAAGTACTGTTTAATCAGTACATTTAAACGAGGCCTTGTTTGAATGTCTAGGCCCTAATTCATTTAGACGCTACCTGTCTAGGCATGATGCGGAATTAAACACGGAAAATATAGTACACCAGTACAGTACTGAAAATGATCTAGAGCTGTACTGTATTCTTATAAGGCATGTTCCACCAAAAAAAATTTTTTTTTGAAAATTAGGTATTCGGGCACGGGGAACATTTTGGTGAGGTATGCGATCCGGAACAGACTTTTAAAGGCGCATGCCAGGTTATCACACATTTTTCATAATAATATTTTCAAACTATCATAACTTTTTTATTTTTGAAGCTTTGTTGAAATTTCGACAACCATTTTGACGGTCTTGAGGTGGGCTACATTTTTGTGTTGACACCAACTTTCCTACTTTGCTCCTAAGGGGTGTAAAATGCATTTTTATTCGAATTTTCATCAAAAATTGACATTTTCTAGAGAAATGCGCTTTTAAAAGTCTGTTCCGGATCGCATACCTCACCAAAATGTTCCCCGTGCCCGAATACCTAATTTTCAAAAAAAAAATTTTTTGGTGGAACATGCCTTATAAGAATACAGTACAGCTCTAGATCATTTTCAGTACTGTACTAGTGTACTATATTTTCCGTGTTTAATTCCGCATCATGCCTAGACAGGTAGCGTCTAAATGAATTAGGGCCTAGACATTCAAACAAGGCCTCGTTTAAATGTACTGATTAAACAGTACTTTTAGGCAAGGCCTTGTTTAAATGAACTGTTTAAACAAGTCTTTAAACAAGGCCTTGTTTGAAAGTACTGTTTAAACAGTACCTTTAAACAAGGCCTTGCTTAAATGCCTTATGTACTAGTGCATCGCAATCAAGGTACTAGGTAGTACTGTACTAGGAATGAATTGAAATTCGGAACTCTGTTTGAAACCTATAATTAAATATTTGAGTAACCATGGGGATTATTCTAATCAAATGTTTTGTCGATTTTAATTATACTTTTAGTTTTTCAGAGTGTTTTGAACATGGCTTCTTCATCAACTGGTTTTACTTTGAAAGATGCTGGATTCTTTGTCAAAAATGTGCCACTCGATTTCGAAGATTGGGATCTTTTCAGTGCTTTTTCTGTTCATGGATTAGTTGGATATTGTAGAATTGGTGGAACTTCGCAAGACAAAGTATCACAATTTGGATTTGTCAATATGTTGACTGTTGAAGCCGCTGATAAAGTTCGCGAAAACTTGAAAAATGGACATTTGCAATGGAAAGGTCATTCAATTCAAGTGAACGACGTGAAAAGTGGAAATTTGCAAACTTCTCCATCAAGACATAATGGATATCAATATAATCCAAATCAACAACAAAAAACAACCAATTTGTATGGACCAATTCAACTTCCATTCAAATGGTTGCCAATTAGAGAACAAGTTACGGTATGTTGAAAAATATGAAGATTTTTCAAGAAAAATAAAGTACCTATTTTCTTGCAGATTGAAGTTGTCGATTATCTTCCATGTAGTTCAATTAATGAGAGTGTTTTTGCTTTGACAGTTCGAATGAATGATGATAAAGTGTTTGATGCATCTTACGAATCGATGAATGAGAAATTGGCACAATTTAATCAATTGTGCAAATTCGAAAAAGAATTGCAAATTGGTTTCGATTGTCTTTATAAAGAAAACCCAAAAGGTGGACATCGTGCGAGACGAATTTCGCCATCAGAATTGTATTTGGTCGATGAAGGAGTTACTGTACCATATGATAAATTGAAATGTTTCCAACTTCCAAAACAATTTGCCAATCTTCCAATGAGAGTAAGTTTCGATTTTTAGGTATTTTTGAAACAAGCAAACTTTACACACAAAATTCAGAAAACATACTACATTTTTATTTTTGCTCGAAAAAAATAATTGATTTTTCGAAGATTTTTTCATGAAATTCTTCGATTTTTAAACTTTACAATATTACAACTTGTCTGACAGAACTATATTTCGTTTATTCTCTAGGTTTCATTGTGCTCTGTGGATGGATTGAGATGGTCGAGAGCTGCAATCCCAACATTTTCGAGAATACGAGAAGTTATCAAAAAATGGGGAGAAGTTGAAGGAGATAATTTGAAGGCAATGAATTTGGGATTCAATGGAGCCTTAAACATGATCAATATTTACAGCGGAAATTGTAAGTTTTGTCGTTTTCGCTAGTAAGTTTCAATTATTCCATTCGAACAATATTTCTCAGCGTGCCTTGCTCAACGACTTACCCGCCCAGGAATCTGCGAATTCATTCCCCGTGCAATTCTTCCTCAATTTTTCTATAATCGCGATGATCTCATGAGCATGAAATTGGATGAATATGTGAGTTTTTCGGTTTTATATAAATAATCAAAAATTGAATGTTTTAGCCACCAAAAATTGAAAAACTTGAACAAGAAGTTCTCAAGGATCTCATCAAGGATTTTTCGAATTCATCGATTTCCAATTAAATTGAAAACGTATGTTTTGGTTTTCACATTTTTTCTTTTTCTCAAATATTTTCCCATTCCCATGTTTTTTATTTTCAAATAAAATTTGTTCTTTTTTTCCCACGAGATATTTGTTTTATTAGTTTATCTAAAACACGCACCCAAAATGACCGTATTCGACATCTGAAATAATCTGGTTTTTTTTCACATGATTTTTTTTTGTTTACGAATATTTTTTTATTTTCTGCGATGATGTGTGATGAGAAACTTTGTACTCATTTGATTTGATTCAACATTATTAAAACAAAAAATTGAGTTTATCGAAAAAACAAACTTTTTTATATGAAGAAGCAAACTTTGCAGCTTCTTCTTTTCTCTTCAATTTTTTTTTTTTCATTTTTTTTCAAAAAGCGAGAGAGTGTGTGTATTTTTAGGAGAGAAACGGATGCAGAGCACACACTTTCTCGTTTCTCTTTACTTCTTTCTTTTTTTTCCATACATTTTTTTGCTTCCGAAAAGAGAGAGAAAATTTTGTTTGGTTTTTTTTTGAAGGAAATTGATTTTTTAAAGGTGCTTATTTTGGGGGGAATTTCGGGGGAAAATTGAATTATTTTTTGTATTTGAATTTGCAAAAAAATCTCAAAATTCAAACAATCAAGAGTACCAATTTCCAGAAAAAAAATTGAAAATTGCATTTTCCCTCTGGAATTCTTGCTTTTTTCAAATTTCAAAATTTTTAATGAAAATTCCTTTCTTTTCTTTTTGATATAATTTAATCAATAATTATTAGAAATTGTTATAATTGTTTCTGTCTATTTTGATCACACGACAATATTTCAACCATCTGACTCGATTCAATCATTTTTTCATTTCACAATCAGTCAGTCAAGAAAAAAACCGAAAAATTACATTATTTAACACACCTTTCCATTTCTGTCCATTTTTCATCTCATCATTTTCACGTGAACAAACTATCGAAACAAAGTTCGATTTTTATGAGAGTGTTTTTCTTGTCAGTTTCGACGACCCAAATAAATTCTTGATTTGGTGATGTTTGAAAAGAAGTTCACATTTTGTCTGAAAACATCTGAAAATCAGATAGTTGGAAACTTTTTGATGATTGGTTTCGATGTTGATAATAAACATTTGTGTTACTATTTATAGGTTATCAAATGTTTGGCGAATTTGATACGATTTTCTTGTTTTTTTTTTAATTTTTCTTTCGATTCTTGAGCATTTGTTTGAAATTTTTAAAGTTCAGAAATAGCGTGGCAATTTTTCTATTCCAATTTTCAAATATTGCGACTTGAAACTGTAATTCTCGAGGACAAATTTTTGGTGTGGCGCAATTTTCAGCTTTTCTAAAGTTTATTGTTGTTTTTTTTTCAAAATTGGAAGATTATTGTCTCTTGCAAAAAATTGAAAATACAGTACTAACCCAGTTTTGCAGATTTATAGCCTCTCTCCCTTTTTCTCTCCAATTCTCCCACTATTTTCGTCTTTTCCCAGACAACTTCATTAACATACCGTAATCTCTTCTCTTATATAACACTTCTATCAATCATACATCAGAGAATTTCTCTGTGTCTCTCAACTCTCTCTCTCGCTTTCAAAAAAAAAAATAGTTTGGAAGAATCAAAAAATGATATTTTTATTTATTTACAGTCTGTTTTTTGAATCATTCTGAAATGTATTGTGTCGAGCAAAAAAAAAGAGTCCAAGATTTTTCCAATCTCGGAAAAAATCAAATTAGTTCCGAAACGACAGCCTGTTTGTTTTGTTCTTGAGAGAAAGGAAAAAGGTTTAGATATTTTATTTTTGGACAACAAATTACCCCAGTGATAGACATTTTTTGTAGAAAAAATAGTGACTCACATTAATTTTTCCACATTTTTTGTTTCATATTTTCTCTCTCTCACCCCCGTTTTCTCTCTTTTCTTTCTCTCTCTCTCTCTCTTCTTTTTTTCTCTTTTTTTGCTGTTTCATTATCGATTTCATCAGTTCTGATAGTTTTTTTTCTATTGCTATGTTGATTGTGCTTATTTTTTTAAATTAATTTTTTATTTTTGAGAGTTAGAGAATCTAAAAACTTTGAAAATGTGTTATTCTACAGATTTGTGAAAAAAAGTGCAAAATTTATTTTTTTTTGTAAAAAAAATTGATTTAAAAAATCACTGATAACAAATATGATCTAGATTTTTTACTTTTATCAACAGAATTCATAAACCCTTCTATTTTTTCAACAAAAAATTGAAATTGAGAATTATTTTTTTTTGAGAAATAACACGGGTTTCAACTTTTCGATTCAAATTGGGCCTGGACAGGAAAGTGAAGAAGACTTAATTTTGATCTCTGTTATTTTATTCGGCGTTGAGCAGGATTTTTACAGCCGAAATGAGAACTCGTAGCAACTTTCTAACCGAAAAATGTTATTTTTTGTCTCACCAAAAATTCAGAAGAGTTGCAATGACCAGACATATTTTTTTGGCTTGGCATTGATTGATAAAAAAAACTCGACCTAGCAAGATTTACGATATGTGCTGGAATAGGTCATAGAACATTTTATCTTATCTCCCCCCTTCTACACTCACGCTCAATTTTGTACACTCACAGAAACACTCACACTCAAACTCACACTCATTCATTCATTCATTAATAATATATATATAGAAATATATTTGTGTTATCATTATCTTCATCATTCCTTTTTTCTTTCTTCATCCAAATCATCTCGATCATTTTTTAGTATTTATTCATACTTACATAGTTTTTTTTTTAATTCCAAATTCGCAATCAGAAAAATTAAATCTTCTTTCCAGATATAGAAAATGGGTAAAATCGATTCGTCGAGTTTGGAAAATATGACATCGATTTCGAGAAAACCGTCAATTGGACATATCGCAACATCGAGTGAGACTTGTCGAGTTTGCGGTGATGGAAATGCAAAAACACATTATGGAGTTGTCACTTGTTTTGGATGTAAAGGATTTTTTCGAAGAACGTGAGTGAAATGTTTTTTTTTTGGAATCGGGGTCCATCTGTTTTTTTAAAGAATAATTCTAATTGTGTTGTGATTTTTCTACAGTATGAATTTGAATCTTTTTTTTTAAAATAATTTACGAATTTTTGAAAAAAAATTTCCGAAATCATTCGGACAAGCAACTCAATTTTCAAAATTAAGAAACATATTTTCAGCCCTTCCCTCAATCCTAACTAAAAAGCTCAAGCTTAAGTTCCAAATTTGAATTTTGACTGGTTTCTACCTAGGGGCCTTTAACATCAACCTGAAACTAATTTGAAATGCTATTTTTGGGATAGAAAACTGACTATACTGTAGTTCTAAAAATGTTCCAAATTTTGCAGATTAAAACGGCCAACAGAATATACGTGTAGACATAATGGAAATTGTGTGGTCGATCGACATGAACGGAATTCCTGTCGATTTTGTAGATTCAAAAAATGTATTGAAGTTGGGATGGATCCAAAAGGTAACAGAATGCTTGGCCTTTTTTCATTTTCAATCAAAAATCCCTTTTCAGCTGTGCGACCTGATCGTGATGCTACTGGTCGACATTACCAAGGCCGACAACGTAGATCAAAATTATCTGCCGACGATGAAGGTGAAGTTGATGCTGAATGGATGAGAAAACTTCCAGTTGATATGCGAACTACTTTGATGCAACTTCTAAATATTGATCTAATTGTTGGAGGTGGTGATGGACATACAGAACCATTGAAGATTTATCCATTGAGTTTTGATTCGATTCGAAAGCTTTTAGATGATCCAAGTTTATTGGATGGAAAACGAACGGAGGTGATTGATTGGAGAGAGTTCAATCTGAAAATAATTTTTTTGTAGATGCGATATGAAGCTTTCCGAGAAATCACACCTGAAGAAATGCCAATAATTGCACATCGTCGATTAATTGCAATGATCGATTGGGCTGATCATCTTTTTGATATGATGGAAATTCACAATATGGATGATAAAGTGACAATTGTCAAAAATAGTTATGCACCTTTAATGGTATTTTCATTATGCGCGAATACTGCAAGACATAAACAACCAGATATTGTTTGTTTGAGTACTTTTGGATATCTGCCAAGATATGCGGCTAATTCCTGGGCTGAACCATAGTGAGTTTATTTTAAATCAGGCTTTCTGAAACACAAAGTCTGGAAATTGTTTATAAAATTTTATAAATCGTTTTTTTCTAGTCACTTTGGAAATAATATGGCTGAAAGATGTCTTGATGAACTTATTGATCCACTTCGTCGAATGGCTCTCAAAGAAGAAGAAATAACATTACTTAAAGCGATCATTGTTCTTAACCCATGTAAGCTATTTTTTCGAACAAAACAAACAAAATTGAATAAACAAACCAAAAGTTCAGACCTCAAAAATCTGTCGGCGGAAACATCAGAAGCTATTATGGATCTTCGCGATCGAATTCAAGAGACACTTTATCATGTTGTTCGAGAGACACATCCAAAAGAAGTTGCATCAAGTCGTTTTGGAAACCTTTTACTCTTCGTACCATCTGTTATGGTGAGTTTGATCCTGTTCATGAAAAACTCATAAAAAAGTTTTTCTTTGTAGATGTTGGGAAAGATCGTGATCGAAAATCTATCATTTGTTGATAGTTTTGGACAAATGACTGATCGTTTAATGCATGATTTATTATCAGAAGAACCAATCAGAGAAGTGAAAAACTCACCAAATGGAATGGATTCGATATCAACAACATCTACATTACCATCAACATCTCAAGATGAGCAAAGTATTCCAGCTTTATCAAGAAGGCACAGCGAACCAAGAATGGTTCATTCTTCAAGTAGTTCAAGTATTGAAAGTATGGCATCTTATGGATGTGCATCATCAAATGGTGCAACAAATGGAGGCTCGTTTCCAAATCAGGGTTTACCTTATAAGTGAGTTCCTTTTTTTTGAATTCAAAATCCTGATGAGAAATTTTCCAGCTTATCTTGTAACTCATTACCTGCCCAAGTAAATGATTTCGATGTTTCTTTGAATGCTGCCAGTTCTATGCCAAATCTTGAGATGGCTGAATGCGATCCAGATTATAATTTAACAATAACTCCTGATATGTATACTGATATGAGACAAGCAATGACAGCTGCAAATGGTGGAAGTATGGATACAGAAGATCCACCAACAACTCCACCACAACAAGGTCAACCAATGTTTTATATTTCGACAGTGGAATCGACGAAACATAAGTTTACTGTAACAAATTATGCACAGCAACAACAGCAGCAACAATATGAAAATGGATATCATCATATTCCACAAAACGCTTCATATGCTGGACAAATGTCGACACAAGCCCAAATCCAACAACAACCAGGTCAACAGTCGCAGCAAACTCTATGCAAGACAAATTCATTACCTCCCCAATATATTCAAAATTATGAGATGAGTTCGAATTATTCTCAACAACAACAACAACAACAAATGGAATGCGATGATTCGCCAAATTATATCACTTTCAATCCACCTTCATAATAAATATGAAGGAGATCTGTAGACTATTAAAACTACTCAATCTTTCCTCGAAGTTTCTCGATGTTACGTGTTACAACAAAATAGTTTTTCCCTTTCCCTTGGTTTGTGTCTTTTTATGCATTTATTTACTACTGATTACATATTTTGGTGCTGAATAAAATTGAATTTTGCTGATTGTGAATGGTTGCTTGGATATTGGGGTGAGTTCTGAAAAACAGGAAGATCGAAAATGTAGGTCAGAGTTGGTTACTGTAGTTTTGGATTCAAAAATTTTCTGGAAGGAATATTTTTTAGTTATGTTTCCGAAAGTGGAAAGATTTAATTTTAATTTTTAAAAATTAAATATGCTCTGAAACTTGATAAGGGTACTGTAGATTACTGTATTTCAAAAGGAAGTGTTTGAATCGTTTTATTTTCTTGAGAACTTTTATAGGAAAAATTGCCAGATTCAATTTTTAATCCAAAATTATCTTTACACCCAGAGAATTTAGTTTTTACAGATTCACAAAACCAGAAAATTTGGTTCTCAAGGTAATTTAAAAAACAATTATCAACGTGACTTTTTTTACGTAATGAATTATTTTCATTTCCCATTTTCATTCGAATTTTCACAAACCCTAAAAAATCTTCGTTGAGGTAAAAAAAATCAAACTGCAATCCATTTCATTTGAAAAAAATTAAAAAATTCTATTTTTCTAATTTCAATGCATCAACAGAACTTAAATGATCTTCCAAAGTGAATCGAATCGGATTTCTCAAGACAAATGGATCTTTTTTCTCCTCTTTTATTCCTTTCATTTTTGCTGAATTGATTTTCGAACCTGTATTTCGATGAGAATGATTAGCAAGTTTTGAACTATTCGAAAATCCTTGATCACATTGTTTACAATGAAAATGAGTCTTTTTCTTGAGTTTGCAAAATGGTCGAGAGCAAAACTGGAATAGGAAAAAATGAGCCTTTTTTGAAAAAAACTTGAAAAAACTTACATCAACATTTGGAATTTTCTCAATTCTTTGAGAAGTGCAAAAATGTGACGCTATATTTTCGAATTGTTTTTCACAGGTCAAACAATGCCAATGTGATTTTTGATTGGAAAATTGACATTTTTTACAAGCCGAGTCAATGTGATAAAAATGAAGATTTTCGGGAATTTCAGATTTTTTTGAGTGAAAAATTGTGAGGTGATTAGATATGATTAAAGCATCATCGCTTGCAAAATGACATCTGAAACTTCAGATAATTTTACCTTCTTAAATCTTCAGTCTCACCGTGATTTTATACAATGAACATGTGGTTTACTGTAGAATTTACACGAATTATTGGAGCAGGTGAAAATAAGAGAATCCATAGGTATTTATTTTTCTTCTTCTTGGAGAAATGGCGCAACTAAAAAAATCCAAAGAGTCAAAATGTTGGTTGTCAGGGTGGGGCCCTTGGTAACCACGTCATTTGAGAGAGGAAACAAAAAACTCTCTGAATTGAAAATTGCGCCGCTTTTTTTGCTTTCAACTGACTTAAGAAATGTTTTTATTTTGGTTCCGGCACGTAAATAAAAGGAAAATGAGACAAAGAACCAAAAGATTGTATATGTGTTGGAAAAATTGGAAAAAGGTCCTTCGGAAAATCCAGGGCCGAAACTTAGATAATGAATTTCTAGGAATTTTTCAGAACATTTTATTCACCGAACTGGATGGCTTTTTTGGAACATTTTATTTATTTCCTAAATTTATTTCAAATTCTTTTGAAACGTATAATTTTCGGGTGCAATTCAAGAAAAATTTATTCACACATTTCAAAATTATCATCCTTTTTTATTTCTTCATTTTTCTTGAACTTCTTCCAAATCCAGAAACTTGCTCCAGAAATAAGGAATACAGTTGTAAAACTTCCGAGAAAAATTATAATTCCATTGAATTTTTGCCGACTTTCCATAGTTTTTGAGGAATCTGCAATAATTAAGTTTCCAAAATTAATTCTCTCTTCTAAACTCACAAATCATCAGTTTTTCACAGTATTTGTTCGTCTCTTTTCCACATTTTTCCGAACTTTTCTCCGCCAAATCCAAAATACAGTGACAAAGTTCAATGGCACAAATCTCAAGCTCATCGATTTTTTCACAAGTGTCAAATTGAACTGAACAAGAATACAAGGAATGTGAATTTTGTGGACAAGTCTGATATAAAAACATATAATCTTCGGAGAATTCAGGAATCGATATCGGATAAATTTCAGGATGTTTTGACCATGTTGGAGCATCGTTATAAGCCCAAAATCCAAGAAGAGCACGAGCCACGCACGTTTCCTTGAATTCTGATACACAATTCAAACTGTCTTTGGTCGGAATTCTGTATGCGTGTGTCTGGAGAAAAAGGGAATAGTTATGATGTGGAAAAAAGTCATCTGATTTTTTTGTTTTTCAACAAATTTCAAAAAAGTTATGGATTTTTAATGACAGCTACCTAGCTGGAAATGAGTTTTAAGGTGTTTCAACAATTAACTAGCTCTTCTCTTGAGCTTTTGTTACCTGTTTTTCCCGAAGTTCAATTCGAAAAATTCGCAGAAAAAAATAAATAAATTAAAACGCTTTGAACGAGGAATCATTTCTGGTACACACATACACGCCGACGCACAAAAACACACAAAACATATTTTCTGTTTACAGTACTCCAATATAAAATATATTTGCATTATCCTTGTATGTGTTTTTGGTCAAAACTATCTTGGGCTAAAAATAAAATTTTGGAATTTTTGGGAAAACCGTTCCAACTGGGTAGATGTCTTTAATCGTTATTACGTGGCAGAATATCCAAAAGTTGGAATTCTCTGAAGCTTACCCTAAGACATCCACAATATACTGAATCACAAAAACTTTGCTCATGTTGTTGTCTATAACAATCAAAGAGAGCAGCACAACATTGATTGTAGGCAACTAAAAAAATCATTCTAAATTTTCATAAAATTAAATTCAAAGTCTCAACTCACACAACAAACTCGGACACTTTCGCAAAATTTGTCCATATGTGTATTTTTTAGCATCGTTGTGGGAAAATCCACATTGCCAATTTTCGAATGGAACAATTTTTGAAGTTGAACTAACTTCTAAAGAGAACAAGAACAATAGACAGAGAAATATTGGAAGCATTTTGAAATGAAAAATGATAAAAGCGGATTTTCTTTCGATGAAAGTTTTTTTTACAAAAAAATAAATAAAATGAAATTGAAATTGAAATGGTGAATCATCATTTTTTCGAGAAAAGAGATTTTTGTGAAAAAAATTTGAAGATAAATGTGGGCACTAGATTTTGAATTTTGAAAATTTTGATTTTTGAAAATTTTGATTTTTGGAAATCTAGTCCCTCTGGTTTCAAATGTATTTTTTTGAAATAATATTGGGGTTTTCGTATCTTTCAAAGTCTTAAGAAAGTTGGTATTGCTCATGTTAAAACACAAAAAAAACACACACACACACACAAAAATTGCAAGTTTTCCCAAAATCCTACAAAACTTCCCAAAACGCGGTGATTGTTTTATTATTATCGTAGTAGTAGTTTATATCTCTGCGTTCTTCGTTCTTCAAAAACAAAACAAAACAAAGCAGTAAACTGCGAAATAGTATAGGATTTTGGAGAGACGCAGACATACAAAAAGGACAGTTGGTCTATCGTGGATCTATTGGACATTCGTCATTTTGTCGCCGCTCAAAAATGATCGAAAAATCGACGACAAGTTGTGCTCCTATACTTTTAGCTATTGTTGCCTTTATTTTTTTGATTGAACCTGGTGAGTTGGAAATTTTAAGTGAAGCTTAATTTTCTGCAATTTTTTTTATTTGAAAACAAATTCAGAATCTGAAAATTCAGATCGTGTTTTAAATAGTCTACAAATTTCAGAGTTTTTCAAAAAAAAAAAAATGTAAGCTCGAGTTCAAAAAATATTTTTTTTCCAGTCAATTGCTTGGGATGTATGGTTAAAGTTTGTGGAAATAATGCGCAGAATGAATTGAGAAGATGTCCCGATATCGATGGATCTTGTGGAAATTATCATACTGAAAGGTACGTCTCTTCGTCAAAAAATTCAAAATTTATTCATACACAAATCAAAAATAAAAAATAGCTCTCTGAACTTCGTCTAAACACTTATCTCGATTTCTAACCATTCGAATTTCAGTAAAATGTAAAATAACCCGAAGTACAACAAAAAACAAAAATAAAATCATTGAAGTTGTTGTCAAATATCCAATTTCCTCGAAACTCCTCAATTTCTCTTTTGAATCATTATAAAAAGCAGTGAAGAACAAATAAAAAACTGGATAGAGAATTGAAAATATTAAAGTGTGAATAAAAGTTATTATATTCAAAGTTCGAATTGAATAAAGTTCTAGTAGAATTGATAAAATTATTAGGAATGGTAGTTTGATATTTGGAACATTTTGAAAGAAATTTGAAGGTTGAAGAAAAACATAATAAAGTAGAAGTTGAGCAATTGTTGATAGTATTGAATAATGAAAAATATATAGAAATAATCGATCAATTGCAGAACATCGATAAATTATTGGAGTGTCTGGAAATTGAAAAATTGAAGTGATGTATTTTACTACCCAAAATTATTCCGAATTTTTTTTGCGACCCATTCTTGAAAACAATTCGTGATCTACGTTAAAAATTAGGCTTAGGAAAAGTTGTGTTCAAAAGTTTGAAGCCTATATTTTGGGATACAAATGACAAACTGTTTTTTTTTTTGGAATAAAAAAAAATAATTTAAAAATTCTGCAAACCTTGAAAAGCCTTATCCAATTGTCCATGAAAAATGAAAACAATTTGTTGAAATTCGGAAACTTTCAACGAAGAATATACAGAAAAATGAGGTCGTTTATTACCACTCATTTTTCATCACTTTTTTCTTTTTTCCAGCAAAAAGAACAAATAATTTTTTTTTGCTTTTGTTGTTTTCTTTTCTGACATTTGCCAACAACAAATAACTGGAAGAAGGAAAAAAAAAGAACACATGTGATAGATATTTAGAAGAAATGAAAATGAAAATGAGAAAAAATATATACGAAAAATAAAAAGTTGAACGAAACAAAAACACAACACAACAAAAATAAACAAATAAATAAGTGAGATCAAATATTTTTTGAAGATCATCTGGTGAAATTATCGATGCTGTTGATGTCAAATGTCAATCTGGCGAACCAATTTATGCTCCAATCGAAGGAGAAATGTATTTTTGGCGGCCATTTGGTGGCAAAAAAGAGAAATCATGCGCAGATCAAGGTGTTCGAATTGAAGGAACTGGACAATGGCAAGGTTATGCTGTGCATATAAGTTCGATTAAATTGTCATTTTTTGGAGGACAAGTTAAACCAGGAATGGAGATTGGAGAAGCGATTGATCGAAATTGTTATTCGGATGCTGGACAAAGAGATGTTGAACCGCATGTTGAAGTTAGATTGTATAAAGAGGGAAGGCTTATTGATCCAACACATCATTTACAAAGTTGTATGTGTACTGGACAGATTTGTGAATCGAATTCCAGAAATATTTTGTTGGGAGAACCTTTCAAAACTGACAAGTAGGTTTGAGAAAAAAATTAAGAAACTTCTATTTTAAAAAATGTTATTGCAGACGCTTCAATGGTGTTCGAGGTTGGGATATTGAATGTCAAAAAATCGATGACGATGAAATTGATTCGCCACGTGTTCCTTTGATCTTTTCACCGATTGATGGAGAAATTGTTGGAAGGTTTGATCTCGATAACATCAGAAGATAACAATTCAAAAAAATATTTTTTTTCAGAATTCGTTTGTATTCCGATAACAATAATGCTTATAATGGTTGTGATAATGATGGAATCTTCATTGTTGGAGCCGAGAAATGGATCGGATTCGAAGCTCGAATCTACAATGTGAAAGCTCGAAGTGATATTGGATTTGGGCGAACTCGAATTGTTCAAGGTGAACCAATCGCAAATCGGCTTGATTGCGAAAACAGTCCAGATAGTGTTTTTGTTGAGATTCGACACGAAGGTCGAGTTGTTAATTTAACCGATATTATTACTGCTTCCAAGTGTAAACTTCCAGATTTACCAGCTGTTTAATTGTGAGAGAAAAACATGAATAAATAAATAAAATCCTTTCATACATAAGTAGTACATAGCGGGAAAATGAACATTATTAATGGGCGAGTCCAATTTGTCCGACAAAGATTCCTTGTGAAGCAACATCGTTTGATTCAGCGATTGCATCAGACATTGACATTGAACTGGTGGCATAAACATCTCTGCAAAAACACGTACTTGATTTTATGTTCGATCATTTTTCATTGAAAGTTTTTTATCAGTAAGAGAATTTAAGCGGATTTTGTCAGAATTAACCTATGAAGATAAGAAAGAAAAGTTCAAAAAACGCGACTACACTAAAAAAGTGAATTTTCCAGGGCTATTTTTTTTTTCAGTTGTTAAACTCCCTCTTGAAAACTTCTTGAAAACTTCTTGAGGGACTTCTAAAAACACTATTCTTTCCAAAAAAACCAACCTGTTAACAGTCAATCCACAAACAGTTTCAACTTGAGCGAATTGTTTAACAGTTGGTGCAGTCCAGCATCCGAAAGCACGGAAATCTTGGAAGTTGGCTGGAGATTCACCAGCAACTCCACCACCCAAAACATTCCAATACCACAAAAGAACATCGCTTCCAACATTGGTCCATCCGTTGGTGATTTGATTCCAGTCATAGTAGCTGGTGTAGACTCCGACGGTAAGACCGTATTGCTGGAAAACAGAGATTAGAGATGTGAGAAGATCCACGGTTCTTATTTCTGAACTACACTCACTCTGGCTCTGGCGATGATTGAGTTGATGAAGTTAACATTAGCAGTTGCTCCATTCTTCCAGTTAGCTGGAGATGTGACTTGAATCCAGATTGATCTGATAGTAATTCCCTTAGCTGTCAATCCTTGATAAACTTCATCCAATTGTTGATAACCTTGCTTGGTAGATGATGGTTGTGGTGTAAGATAAACTTCGATTCCCAAACCAGCTGAATAAGCATTTTGAATTGTATTGCATGAATTGGTATCGAAAGATCCTTGTCCAGATGGATTATAAGCGCGAACAAAGATTGCTTGATAACCAGCTTTCTTAACACATTGAAGAGCTGAAAGAGTTGCTGGAACTGAGAAGTCAAGAGCATACGCATATGAAGCCAAGTTGGATGGGACAACTGGAGCTGGGCGAGCAATAATGTTTTGGAATTTGATGGCGATGGTGGAATCAACCACTGGCAACACTTTGAATTGTGTTGGTTGAGCTGAAGCTCCGATTGCGAGAGCAAAAGGATTGCGATCATCCTAGAAACAATTGATTTATATGACCGGAATATAAATTAAAATGATGATAAAAAAGTTCGAAGTGTGTGGGAGTATTGAAAGTAAACAATTGTTATCTTGAAAAAAAATGATGATTTGGAAACGAAACCAAAAACAGAAAAGAATTCATGTTTTTTTTGAGGAAAAAGCCTCATCAAAAAAACTACCGTAGTCATTCAAGGGCTTCCAGAAAAATCTAAAAATCAAATCGAAAGAAGGATTGTAATTTTAGAGTTCAAAAGTGGCTTTCTAGGAACGCTTCCTTGACAATCAGGCTCTCTAGGAGTGGCTACTTGAGAACTACTCTCTCTAGGCGCTGATCCTTGCCAGAGAAGAATTGTAGATGCGGTTCCTAGAAGATTAGGTTCTTTAGGCGCGGCTACTTGAGAACTAGAGTTTATAGGCTCGGCTACTTGACAGCTGGGGTTTCTAGGCTAGGATACTTGGAAAGAGGTTTTGAAGGCCAGGGAAGTCTTATATCAAAGTTACTGTAATTGAATTTCCTGATTTTTTATGGAAAAGAGCTTGAGTCATTCCTTCAACCGAATCAAAAAATCAAAGAAAACGCTGTTGATAACTTTCGAATTCGCTAATTTATACGCGTTTTTATCACAATTTTCATCAGTTTTATCAGCAGCCAGCAGCAGTAAAATAGAAAAACCAAGTCGAACAAAATTAATGGACACCAAAAGATAGCTTATGACATCATTTGGTTGGTTGAAGAAAAAAGGAATCGAATGAAGTCTCGTATGTTTTCTCATCAATGGCTTCATCGTTTTATAGCATGTTCACATAGGCAACTGTTCAAATAAATGTATGAATTATGATGTGATTTTTTGAAATTTTGTATGTATGTGTGTTTTTCATACATATTATTTTAATGCTTCACTGTACTATTTAATTTGTTCAAATAATGAAATGGTTTCTCGAAATAGAAATAGAATTAGCCCAAGGGTTTCAGAGATTTAGAGAGATTTTGTATTTGAACAACTTGATGATCTTCGAAAAAACTCATTTTTGAACGTTTGAACTTGTATGATGTCATGGTTCTGAAGCTCCTATCTCTGAAACTACTAGAAATGCGCTAGAGAATTTTGAGCTCCTAGAAATGTGTCAGTAAACATTTAACAATTTACAGAATTACAGAGATTTGAATAGAGTAAATTGAAAAATCCAAAAGCAAAAAAAACTACAAAATGAAAATTAAAAATGTGAAGAAAAATGTGAAAATAGTTGGGTTCCGTGATATTTATATCATAAAAACACTGCGAACTGGTTTCGAAACATCAATAAGCTAATTTCAACATTTCATGTAACTTTAAAAATTGAGAAACACATTATTTCGAAATTGTGCGTAGATCTGCTATTTGGATTTTTGACAGTTTTTTTCAAAAGTTTCTTCAAGTTAATTCACACCAAACATTCAAAAAAATACATTTCAGAAAATTCAGAATTGATTTGTGTACTGATCTGAAATTATTTTTCGTTTTCTTATGGTTCCCCTCTGAGCAAACAGAAGTATGACGTTTCCGAAAAACATCCGCAAAATTATCATAGTCAAACATTATTTAAAAAAATATTCTATATTTGCTATTTCCCTGGAATATTTTTTTCGGATTACGTCATAGAATCCAAATCTTTTCAAAAAATCAAATCATTCATTTCTTATCGAATTGTGCAAAATCAAACACTTCTGGACAAAAATTGGCGGTACACATTTTTCTTTCTGCAATATTATACCAATTCTTTTCCGTGGCTCGATGATACAACATAATTTCAGTGAGTGCACATTGTATTTCAGCAGCATGTGTGTGTTTTCCATCTTTATACCGTTCCTTCACAAAACTACTAATTTTCTTGAGCAAATCCTCTTTTTCATGAACACTATCCGGTCGAGTTTTATTCAATTTCAGCAAACTCATTTTGAGCTCAACATAAGTTGGATAATATTGTTCAATGAATTTTCTGATCTTCTTCATGTGCTTCGGACCTTTTTCTTGAAGATGTCTTTCCGCCGCCGCAATTTGAGCTGTATTCGATTTTACTGAATCCAAAAGTGCAGGTTGAAATTCGGTAGCAGTTGACCAGAAAACACTTGATAACATGAGTGATTTGCATAGTTTGTCAGGAGCAGTATTTCCTTTTTCGGATTTTATATTATCAAATCCAGTTGTACCGTTACCACGACGCATCAGCGAAATCAGAAGTGTATAAGTTTGTTCAAGGACGAGCTGAAAATAGTGAAGTGTCAATTTGTTTTGTTTTCATATCTGTTTTCATACCTTATATGCTTCCATATATTTACATTGCGTGCTCAAAGGTGCTTCCAATTCCAAAACTTCAATCTCAACCTCATTTTTTGGTGTTATAAGATTGTATTTTTGTCTAGCTTGTTCAATTATCGATTTATCTTCATGATGTTGTTCTCGAGTAGATGTTGTTGGTTTCTTAGATCTTTTCTTCTTCTTCTTATCCTTTTTCTTTTTTTCTCGTTCAGTCTTTCTTTCCTCCAAATCTGCTCCATCTTTGTCTTTTTTCACTTTTCTTTGTGTTGAAAGTGTTGCATGACTTCGAACTGAAGCTGCTGGTCGAATCGACAAATTCTTCTTCTTCTTTTTTCTTTGAGTGTCATCTTCCGATTTTTCGTCTTCCGATTCAATTTCAGATTTTTTCTTTGTCGGCGCCTTTATAATTACAGGCGATTCCTTGTTTTCTTTTTTCTTTTCCGAATCATCCGAATCATTCTTTTTCTCTTTTTCATCTTTCTCCTCTTTTGTTTTGTCTTGAGATTTCTCATTCTACAAAAAATTTTCCAGATTTTTCCAGATTTTCAGCAGCAGCAGTAGCAGCCAAACTCACTTTTCTCAAACTGTCCGTCATTTTTGTGTGTTGCTCAAATCAAATATCTTCTTACTCCAAATTTTGCTATTGATTTACTTGTATTTTTTAAGAACTGATTCTCTTTTAGTTGTGAACTGCTTTTATAGACAATAAATGACACGTGGAATTTTTTTTCTTGAGGTCACGTATTTTTATTTAAAAATTTCACTCAAAGCGAAATTATAACATTTCTACCTTTTTAATAAAATCCCGATTGGGTGGTGTCAAAAAAAAAACAAAATAAAATAAAATGAGTTCAAATAAATTTTAACACTGTTAAAAAATAAAGATGAGTTCAAATATATTTTTGTCTAAAAAAACGAGATATTTTTATTTCTTATCAAACTGTGAGAAATCAAATGGCTCAGAAGCAAATGGTGTTTTCGAAACTTTTCTCTCCGCAATATTATACCAATTCTTTTCCGTGGCTCGATGATACAACATAATTTCAGAAATTGCACATTGTATTTCAACAGCATGCGCGTGTTTTCCCTCTCTATATTTTTCCTTCACAAAACTGCTCATATTTTTCAACAAATGCTCTTTTTCATGCACACTATCCGGTCGAGTTTTGTTCAATTTCAGCAAACTATGTTTGAGTTCCACGTAATTTGGATATTGTCGGAAAATGAATTTCTTGATTTTCTTCATGTGTTTTGGACCTCGATCTTGAAGATATCTTTCTGCTGCTGCGATTTGAGTTGTATTCGATTTTATTGAATCCAAAAGTGCAGGTTGAAATTCTGTGGAAGATGACCAAAAAACAGAAGCCAACAACAGGGATTTACATAATTTTTCAGGAGCTGTATTTCCTTTTTCTGATTTTATATTATCAAATCCAGTTGTGCCATTTCCACGACGCATCATTCCAATTAAAAAACATGTAAAGTTGTTCGAGTATCATCTGAAAAAATTTTGATAATTTTTGACCAATCACATACAGTATTCACAAACCTTATACTCTTCCATTAATTTACACTGTGTACTCAAAGGTGGTTCCAATTCCAACAATTCCAATTCCGTCTCATTTTTCGGAGTCGCAAGTTTATGTTTCAATTTGGGCGGTTCTCTAACTGAAGTATCTTCTCGAATTGATGTTTTATTCTTACTTCCTTTCTTTTTTCCTTTCTTTTTCTTCGCATTTTTCTCTTTTTTTCTTATCTCCATCTTTTTCATCTTTTTTTCTATTCGAAGATGTTTTTTGGATTGATCCAGTATCATTTCGAACTGATTCTTGCTTTCGAATTGATGTTGTTTTCTTCTTCGGATCTGATTTTTCCTCCTCTTTTTCACTTTTCTTTTTATCTTTCTTTTCCTCTTCTTTCTCTTTCTCTTTTTCTTTTTCCTTTTCTTTTTCCTCATCCGAATCATGATCATGTGATTTATTATGTTTTTGAACACTCTTCGCCGCAATTTCCTTTTTATCTTTCTTCCCAGAATCTTCAGAATCCTCCTTTTTCTCTTTCTCCTTTTCTTTCTCGTCTTCTTTTTCCTGCTCTTTCTCTTTTTCTTTGTCATGTGTCACATCTTGAGTTTCAGCCACATTTTCTTTATCTTTATCTTGCTGCAAAAATTATCATAAACATTTCCAACAAATCTAAATAGCAAAACTCACTTTTCCAGGACTATCATCCATTTTTGTGCTCAATTTGAGTTTATTTACTAAATTGTTATTCTATAAACTGATACCTTTTTCCAATTTCTCTCTATTTTTATATTCCTTTTTGCTTGCCACGTATGTGTTTTTAAGTGGGACACGTTCATTATGAACCAAAAATATCGGATTACACCTTTCTTACGAGTACAGTTAATTCAAAAAAATAATTAAAAAAGGTTTTCTTCGAAAAATTTATCGATGACTTGATCCATGGCAAAATTAGGAAGCCTTCCAGATTTTGCCACGAGTCATTTTTTGATCAAAAAAATTGAAATTTTCTATAAATTTGATTGTAATTCGTATGATTTACCTCTTACGAGTACATTTAATTCAAAAAATTAATTAAAAAAGTCTTTTTTCGAAAAATTTATTGATGACGTCATCCATGGCAAAATTAGGAAGCCTTCCAGATTTTGCCACGAGTCATTTTTTGATCAAAAAATTTGAAATTTTCTATAAATTTGATTGTAAGTCAATGTTCTGTGGACAATAATCACAGAAAAAAGTGAAACTGAAATAAATGAGAAGACTGTTACGCCTGGGGGCTAACAGCCCCTATCCTTTTTAAAAAAAGGTTTTGTAGTTTTGCAAAAATCAAACCCTATTCTTCCCAAAAATACTTTAGAAATTTTTTGAAACAGTGTATTTTTCGAAATTTGAACTTCAGATAACAAATTATAATAATTCTATGTCAAGATCGAATTAACATTTTCTGGAACAGCTAAATTAATTAATTTGTTTGAAACAGTAAATTTTTTTTTTCAAAACATAAATTTTTTTTTCTGAACTTGGTGCCTCGTTTAATAGATATTTAGATATTTTCACCTGATTTTTTGAAACACACATTTTCTGAAACAGTGATTTTTTTTTTCAGACTAAATTTAATTTTGAAAATACTTCGAATGGTTCAATATTTTCTTGGAACAGCAAAACTAGACTAATCAAACTCAAATTTCACCCAAAAATAATTCACAATTTTTTGAAACAGTGAAAATATGTGAAGGAGCCACATTGTAAATTTCAACTCAAGTTTTAATTCATCACAATTTTGAAACAGTGAATTTCTAGGAGGTCGCATCAAAATATATCTCTACATAGTTTCTATTTTGAAACAGTGAAACTTTATGAATCTTTGAAAAAAATAGTGAAAATTATTAATGTTGAGAAGAAATTGATCAAAGCAATTTTCATTTCATGAAAATTCAATGCTCAAACTGTTGAAACAGTGAGTTTTTTTTTGGAAAAAAAAATGTTATCTACTTATTTTTTTTTGAATCAGAAGAATCAAATTGAAATCAGTCTGGTTTTCCTGATTTTAATTTGTTTTTGAAACAGTAAATTTTTCTCAATAAAATTTTCAAATCCAAGTTTATTTGATATTTTTTGAAAATCTATTGAAACAATTTTTGAATCACTAAATTAATTCTAATGAAATCATTTTCACAATCAAAACAGAGCCCAATGAAAAAACCTCATAAAAATTTGAAACAATAAATTCCCCCCTCAAAAACCGCTTACCCGGCCAAACATCATGATCTCCTTGTCTCAAAACATAATCCGAGAACAAAATCACGAATGCAGCCATCAACCACAAACGCGATCCTTTTGTTCCCAAAAGTCCTTCGTGAAGAGATTCGCCACGAACTTGGCTGTTTGAGATCGCATTTACCATAAACATTGCAATTGTGCTGGCAATTGTTATGATGAAATAGACATTTGTCCAATCGGCCTGAAAAATCTGGTTTTGGGAGATGAACTGCGCTAGTTATGAACCAAAAATATCGGATTACACCTTTCTTATATTGTCAGTCCGAAATTTTGTGACCGTTGGTAGAGAACCGATATGGCCTAGAAATCCAAATTTTTCCTTTTTCAATAAAAAAGATCAAAGCAGCCGCGAAGTCTACTGTATTTTGGTTTTCTCTTTTCGGTTTTGCAGTGGGGTTTTGTTAAGTTGTAAAAACATTTCAATAAAAAAATAAAACAAAATGAAAATGATTTCAAAATAAAAAAATCGTAATTTCGCGTGTACTGTTTTTTTCATTCTCACTTTTTTGAGAATTCAAAAAATCTGGTGCATACATCCGTTAGCACCCCAAATGTCATGACCATTCTTCGAAATTTTCCTTTTTCGAGACCCTCACCCCCTTACCCTCTAAAAATTTCAAAACTACAATCCATTTTCTAACCAAAATCTAATCATTTATCAAATGTTTCCCAAAAAACTCACTTAAATCAGCAATCGGTTGTTTCTTCATCACATTCCATTTCTCTTCTTCAATCTGAAAATTCGAGCACTCAAATCCGGAAGAAACTACTAAAAAAATAAACAAAAGCAGAAAAAAACAACAAAACCGATAATTATTGATTTTTCTCCAAACACATCTCAGCAATTGACTCTGTAGACTGACTGTACAAATTGAAGAAGTGTGAATACAGCGGATGAACGCTGTACCTACACTTTTTTTCCCGAAAATCGTAGGTCCATTTTATCTACAGCGTAGCTACGAAAAGAATCAAATTCGTAGCTACGCAGATGCCAAATAGTTGATACACACACCTTAAATTATGACGAGAGCTGCCTAGCGTCGCACAATCAAAGATGAAAACGTACGTACAGCGTATCTCCGCTGTAGCTACACAATTCGCGGACAGAAATGAAGTGAAGTGACCGCTCTATAAATATTATTTTTGAATCCGTAGCTACGCCGTTGCTGTTCTGTAGCTACTTTGTAGATAAACGGATGTTACTTATGTGCAATTCTCTCTTCCCCATTTTTGTACAAAGTATAAACGAAATTTGTACAGTCAGTCTACAGAGTCAAGTGCTGAGATGGCCGAGAAGACCAAAAAGGTCAGCCAAGCGGTCAAGCTCTTCCCTCTTTTTTTCTATTTCTAAATATTTTTTTCGTTTATTTTTTTTTGCTTTTTTTGTTTAAACATAAGTACGTTTTTTGTCAATTTTAAGCTTTTTCACTTTGAAAAATTGTAAAGAATTATCTTTCTTATATATTAAACGGTGATCTGTCCTTTCGCTCGACCTACTTTTGTCCCCTAGATTTGAATTTAAAAATCTGACGTGAATTGTTCACGTCGACCCAACTGCTGCAATAGTTTTTTCTATTGCATTTTTTTCCATTTTCACCCAAAGAGGGCAGAGCTTGGCCGCTTGGCTGACCTTTTTGGTCTTCTCGGCCATGTGTTTGGAGAAAATTCAATAATTATCGTTTTTGTTGTTTTTTTCTCCTTTTGTTTATTTTTTTTAGTATTTTCTTCCGGATTTGAGTGCTCGAATTTTCAGATTGAAGAAGAGAAATGGAATGTGATGAAGAAACATCAAATTGCTGATTTATGTGAGTTTTTTGGGAAATATTTGAGAAATGATTAGATTTTGGTTAGAAAATGGATTGTAGTTTTAAAATTTTAAGAGGGCAAGGGGGTGAGGGTCTCGAAAAAGGAACATTTCGGAGAAAGGTCATGACATTTGGGGTGCTAACAGATGTATGCAACAGATTTTTTGGATTCTCAAAAAAGTGAGAATGAAACACAGGCATTTGCGAACAGATTGGAAACCAGCAACACCTGCAATACCAGTTGGAATCCAATGAAACCCTACTGGTTCCAGCCAGTTCCGTACCCGAATCAGGCTGGTTTCCCGCTTCAACTGGTACCCACTCTGTTCGCAAATGCCTGTGAAAAAAAAACTGTACACGCGAAATTGCGAATTTTTTATTTTGAAATTATTTTCATTTTGTTTTATTTTTTTATTGAAATGTTTTTTCAACTTCACAAAACCCCACTGCAAAACGAAAACAAAACATCATTATATATCTTGTAATTAACATAGTTTTTGAGTAGTTATTTTTATCGCATTCAAGCGAAATTGAGTGATGTTTGTTTTTTTAATTTAATATTTTTTATCACTTTATTTCATTTTTTTTCAGAAATCTATTCCCACAGCGATCACATTGGATCACGCCAATGTACCCGAAACCGTCGAGCCTGCTCCGGTACAAGATGCTTCGAGCAATGATTCGAGCACACTCCAAATTGGTCTCTCAACCATCATCGAGCTAACCGAGGTAGATTCTGGAGCTGCTGAATCAACCGATGAATCGAGTGATCCTGTTTCAATGATCCTCGAAGAAACAATAGGCGATTTTGGAGCTGCTGAAAATGGTCAGTTTTGACACACGAATCTTTCTGACAAGGGAAGTGCATAGGGTTAGGTGTTGAACTTTTGATGAAACGTTCAAAATAAACCAAATCGACCATGCTGATCACGAATCCGAAGTCAAAAATTGCCACAAATGCCTGTGAGCACTTTTCTGGAGCTCCAAAGTTGAAATTGAGTTTTGGTTTTCGTCCATTTTCACCATGTTCCTGGGTGGAAAATCAATTTCTATAACATGAATAAGGTTGTTCTTCACATTCGAAAACCTATCCGCTTTTCAGTTCTTCGAAAAATATGAAAAACCAGCTGAAAACTGTAATTTTCGAAAATGCACGAAAAACTTTGAAAAACGTGTGTATTTACGTGTGATTGTGTGTATTTTCAGGATATTCTTAAAAGTTGCAGTTTTCAGCTGGTTTTTCATATTTTTCAAAGAACTAAAAAGCGGATATGTTTTTGAATGTGGTGAGCAACCTTATTCATGTTATAAAAATCTATTTTCCACCCAGAAACAAGGTGAAAATGGGCAAAAACCAAAACTCAATTCTAACTTTGGAGCTCCAGAAAAGTGCTCACAGGCATTTGTGGCAATTTTTGACTTCGGATTCGTGATCAGCATGGTCGATTTGGTTTATTTTGAACGTTTCATCAAAAGTTCAACACCTAACCCTATGCACTTCCCTTGTGAGAAAAATGCTGGAATTCCGCCGAATCCTGCAGAAACTCGTGAAATGTTGCGATCGGTTGTTGGAAATGCACGATATCCGCCAGATGAAGCCGAAGCTCCAGCAGAAGCTCCGAGATCTGAATTCCAAAAGGCTACTCACCTTCCAGCCAAAAATCCGCGAATATACGAGGTTTTCAAAGATGACGAGGACCGTGCGCTCGACAGCGATTCGTCAGACACGCCAATTAAGCTGACAATTCCTCGACATGGAGATCAAGATGATACGATTCGATCAAACGATTCGGAAAACGCTGAAAATGTTCTCGAAACAACAATTCTCGAAGAAGATCCAATTAGAACCAATGAAAGCTTGAATATAGACGAAAATGCTCGTACTTCTCCAAAATCGCAAATTTTGAGAACGTATTTGAAAAATGAGAGAGGATTTGTACGTGGGCATGTGCCAGTTAACATGGTTAGTTTTTTTTCAAAATGTTCTCAAAATTTGAATTTTCATGAAAGAAAAATGGAGCAAAAAACTTACTAATCCAATATTTTCAGAAATTCGCGATTGCCGAAAATCCTGTGGAAATGTCACTTGTTCCTGAAGAATCGGAAATAAGTTATGAGGATTATTCGGAACATCAGCGCATTTTGAAGCAAGTCAGAGCAGGAATTACATAGAACTCCGATTCAAGATCATTCACTCCAAGTTATGATGATACTTCGATTGTGGCGGAATCTATGTTGAGAAAAGCTTTGAAGATAATGCTGAAAATGCACAAACTCTGTCGAATCCAAGAGTATCTCAAAACGATAATCCAGTCAATGAACTGCCACCAACGGAAACGCAAGCTGAAACACATCCGGTTAGTTTTTTTTCCGAAATAGTTTTTTTTCAATAAAACAATCGTTGAAAAGTCTAGCCTCCAATTGACCGAAAGTTCGAATTTTTCAAAAATTAGATATCCAGAAATTACAAAGTTTAAATTTAAAAAAAACTTATCTTTTTTTGAATTAAGTGTACTCGTAAGAGGTAAATCACACGAATTACAATCAAATTCATTAAAAATTTCAAGTTTTTTGATTGAAAAATGACTCGTGGCTAAATCAGGTAGGCTTCCTAATTTTACCAAGGATGATCAATTTTTCAAAAAAAAACTTAATCATTTTTTTTCGTATTGAAGGGGTTGCTAAATTGCTTGGGCTAAGGTGCTTCTTGAAAGTTCTGTGTTCTTAGTGCGCGAATACGGATCTTTTGGTGGAAAACCTTAAAACTAGGAAAGAAAATGCGCTCTATCGTACACATTATTTATTTGTGTGTACTTCTCTCGGAGTTCACACCCAAACATTTATTAAGTCATTTGGGGTATTCCAAGTCAAGTTAATGCTAGTTTATATTTAGTAGAAAATAGTGACGCACAATTGCGGATTTGCTTTCTCACGTAGAAAGACAACCCCTTTGAATGTACTCGAAAAATGTTAATTCTTTACGAAACTGCAATTCTATAAACCGATACCTTTTTCCAATTTCTCTCTATTTTTATATTCCTTTTTGCCTGCCACGTATGTGTTTTTAAGTGGGACACGTTCATTATTTAATAATGAACCAAAAATATCGGATTACATATTCTTTACCTACGCATTTATTTTTGGAGAGCCTTACATCTCCTACCTCGACTGTTTTTATTCCAAATGCCAGAATTCAAAAATCTTCGCGCAGTTGGATATCAAACCGACGAACCTTATGTTAAATTATCGAGTGCTTGTTGGGATTTCAGTTGTCCGAATCCGGGAGCTGAAATTGAGTTTCTAGAAATGACTTTGGAATTGATGAATGCGACTGCAACAATAATTCAAATTGATGCTGATATTGATTTGAGTATTCAGATGGTTGCAAATGGATCAGCTGATTTGACATTAGTTTCAGCTAGGCAAACGCTAGAGAGAATGAAACTTGTAAGTACAGCCTTCCAATGTTTTTAATACATTTTGTAATAGAGAAAAAGTTCAGAATAAACAAAATGTTAACATTTCATAAGGTTTTTCACGAATACACATATTATTTCATAAGTTTGAATATTGATGAGCTTGAAAGTGCGCTCCAGTTCAGATATCCAAAAAAATAAAGTTTTCTTCTTCAAAAAAAATGCACCGTTTCAAAAATTTCATATGAATTTTGTGACAGTACTGATATTTTTTGAAAAATATCTTGTTCACAGATGAAATTTATTTTTGAGTTCAGCTTGAACTTGAGTTCTGACCGTCTATTTTCCAGGTTGATTTCACCACTCCAATTGGTTTCGTTTATTATGGCTATTTGCTTCGAGAAAATCCTGAAATTACAGTAGCTGATTATATTGCAAGTATATTTGATCTCGATGTAAGTTTCACCTTTCACGTACCACCAAAACCTCCAAATATTAATTTCAGACTCTTATATCTCTAATTCTATTTGCACTTCTTGTTGGATCTCTCATATTTCTTTACACGTGGATTTTCGATCTAAGAACTCGCTCATTGTTTGATTGGCTTATCGTAACTGCAGCTGGACTGATCCGTCAATTCTCCTTCAAAATATCAAATCCAATTTGTGCTCTTGTTATTGTTGGAGTTTGGCTTTGGTGTTGTCAAATTATTGTAACTTATTATGAAGCGAAATTGAAGAGTTTTCTACTTCTCGCACATCATCGTGGCTCATTTTTTGATACTTTGGATGGTGCTTTAGATGCTGTTGAAAATCGAGGTTGGACTATGATAATACAAGATCGCGGATATACACCATATTTGTGGTGTAATCCGGAGCAATGTAAACGACTAGACCGATTAAAATCGAGGTCGGTTTTGGTAATTATTACAGTAACCTTCTAAATGTCTTGTTACAGTATAATAAATATAAAATCGGATGAAGACTTGTTGGATTATTTATCAAAAGGAAACTATTTCAGTTTTTCTGCACTGTCTTCTGATATGGCTGATACTTCAATATCCTATTACAGTTATAAAAATAAAATCTTATTTGTCAGAGATAAATTAATGGCTCCTGAATATCTTGCATACGCAGTTTCAAAACGAATCAAAGGCCTTCGAGAACAATTCAATCGAGCTGTTGCTATAACTACAGATGGATATGGAACTATAAGATCTCGATATATGGAATCTTTTCCGAATTATTTTTCAACAACTGAACAAAATCAAAATGCTTATCAACTTGAAACATCTCATTTTCTGCAATTATATAAGTTCTGTTTGATTGCTTACGGAGTCGGTGTAATATTTTTGCTAGCCGAGATTTTATTCATTCGAATTCCAATTCCTTATCGAAGTTTCACCTATAAACTTCGTGGATGGTCTTGGCGATTTAATCGACCAAAATGGACACATTTTCCAAGAAGAAGCACTATTATTCTACCAGTTCAAAGAAATTATACACCTCAAGTTAGAAGAAGATTAACTATAACTTGATGATAATTTATATGTAACTAGATATGTATAAACAAAACAATTCATTTAAAATAGAATATCAGTTAGAGTCAAATTTTTGTCATTTGCACATTGTTTTTCATAAGGATGTCGACCAGCTATTGGCATTCCTTGATTTATTGAAGGATGCTTGCCCCTAGAAAAAACCAATACGATTACAAACAAAATAAAATTTGCTTTGAAACAAAAACTTACAATTTCAATCGTTGATCGCTTTTTAAAATATTGACATCATCGAAAAGTTTTTCAATTTCATCATCATTTTCATCTTGAATCATTGTAATTGTGACATTTGTAATTTTTTGAATATTATCAAATATTTCGATATTTTCCATTTGTTTAACTCGAATAACATAATCAATAATATAAGATCGGAATGGGGGAAGAAAGAAAATGATATTTAGCAATGGATGATTTCGCATTTCATCGAGTAGATTTGTTATTGGATTTTGCAGGAAAATATTACCAAATGAATAACAAAATGTATTTTGAAGGTTCTGAGAAGTGTATGCCAATACGCTACAAAAAAAGTTATAACGATATTTTACCGGGAAAATTGAGAGAGAGAGGGAGGCAGAGAAATCAACCCAAAATCTTCGAGAGATATCCAAAATAAAATTAATATTGAAGAGTTTCCTGTTTACTCTCTGCGTCTCTCTTGAATTACAATCTCCCCACTTTCTGAAACCGTTCATCATCCCTGTGAAAAAATCTTACTTTGCTCCAATACCGTATCCAAATCCATGAATTGTTGCAATTGTTGTAACTTGCCTAACATACATATAACAAGTTTTCGCCATATTATGATAATCTTGAAACGAATAATAATCATAAGATTCTGAAAATCAACTTTTTTTTAAAACTCATCATTCGAACTTACGAGTTGGTCTACACAGAAAATATGCTTCATAATTTGGAACAACATCACTGTCCAAAACAATAAGTGCTTGTTTCTGTTGATAGAAGTTTATTGTTTTCGTGTTGTTTTTCTGAGTAAAGTAGCTTATCTCAACTTCAGTTCCAAGTGACTTTATTCGATTTGTAAAAATTCGAGTATAAGTTTCATTTGCTTCATAGAAAGCTGAAGGTTGCCATTCTGGAAAAAATTGAACTTGGCTTGATTCGAAATCTCTCAAACTCACTTGCTTTTGGAAACAATGAAAATACAGCGTGTGGATACATATAAACAGTCACGAATGGAAATAAAACCAAGAATATAAAAAGAGCAATTAAAGTGAGCAGTATGGAAACTATTATACTGAAATCACATTTTTAGAGAAACTCTACAAGCAATTTTCTCAGAACTTCTGTTACTCACTTTAATATTCTGACAGTATTTGGACAATATTCAGGAGCAGTTGTAACATGATCAGGTGCCAAAATCGATTTTTGAATCACTTGTTTTGATGGTCCTGATTTCGTGGTAGTAGTTGTTGTTGCAGTTGTTCTTTGAGTTGTTAAATTTGAAGGATTTGTTGAATTTTGATTCGAGGTATTTATCAAATCAGATATTGTGTCCATATTTTCCACAAAAATGTTTTCTAAAAATGATTCACAAATGTTCACAAAATGTCACGTAAATACATTTATCGATTTTCTAATCTCACATCTTTTCTTTTTGATTTCTGAACATCTAGCGAATTATAATGAAGCCTTTTCGTGACAAAAAAAAACGATTTTTTGAATTTTAGTGATTAATTAAAGAGTTACGTAGCATTTTTGGGCGGTCTTGTCTGAAAAGTTCAATTCTCTCTGGATTTTTGGAATTTTGTTCATTTTTATTTTAAGGTTCAAAATTATTTTTCATTTCTTCTTTATTTTTTTTTTAATAAATTTTTTATAAAGGTTCGTTAACAAATAACCTTTTTGAATTCATAATTGAAACTCAAAAAAAAATGCAAAAAGTTCGACAAGTGGTCTGAAGATATCGAGAAGGCTGTGAATGTGTGTTAACTCGCAAGTGCTATCCGGCCACTGCACAACGCGGAAGCTTTTGCCTGCTGCCTTTCGGCCCTGAGCCATCCGCCTCTCCTTATCCGCCCAGGATAATTCGGCCTCCGCCAATTTACCCCTAGCGACGCAATGCTTGGCACGGACACTCGGTCGCCGTTAACGACAAACATCCACAGAACTCCTTCTCTCACTTCATCCACACTTATCTACCGTCAAGAAGCTGACTCACAGACGCCCGCCACGACGCCCGGTGATTAAATTGTCTATGTATACTGAAATTGTCTATGTATACTGGCTGTTTTGTTTTGTTTTGTTTGTGTGTGTTCGATATAAAACGCGACAATGGAATTTTCCCGATCTGAAAAATTCTGTAAATAATGACGAGGGAAAAACATCCAATTTAGGAAGCGTAGTACTACATAACTCTAAAGATTATTAATTATTAATTAATTAATCATCATTTGTTCAATTTGAAAATCAAGGAACACATAGAAAAAATAAAACATTTTTCTTTTTCACGTGAAATTGCGGACTCATTGTTCTGACCGCGTGAAGACACACGACTCCGCCCTCTTTTATTTTCAAAATTTGCAATTTTGCGGCGCACTCTCTAAATTTCAATGGAAAAAAGAACGAATTTTCTTTGACACGTGGAAAAACGTGAAAACGAGACGGGCTTTTTTCGAGTCTGCAAACACCGGACAGCAGCAAAAATTGTTCTATTTTTTTCTATGTGAAGGAACCAGTTTTCGGAAAATTTAGAGTTGGATCAGGTAAAATTGAGATCGAAAATCTGCTTTTAACTTAAAATTATCGAACAAAAATTTCAGTCAATATATTTTTCCTAACTTCAAAGTTTATCTTCTCATCTTCTTCATGTTCTCAACTTCATTTTAATGAGCTTATAAAAGCTGCAATATCAATTCAAAAAAATATTTTCAATATCCGCCCACAAAAGTGCAAATTGATAAGGTTTTTCGTTTTCAAAGCTTCAAAGTTTCATTTTTAGTTTTTTTTCGACGAACATTTTTTCAGCATCATTTTTTGTCGCAAAAATAATCCAATAACACATCCAGCCATTCTCTTCTCTTTAAAAAATGAAAAATCTTGAGGATTAGAAAAACAAGAAGCGGATTTTTCATCCATCTTAAATCTAGGCTGTGTTTAATCAAGTACTCTTCAAAAACTCTTTTTTTTCTGGTTAGCAACAAAGTTTTTTCCTAGAAAATTTTTTTTTGAGATAGGAGAAAAACATCGATTCCTCAGAGATAAATAAAATAAATATCCGCTGAAAATTTTCCGAATTTTTTTCTGCTTTTTTTCATAATAGGATTATTCCTCTTTATTTTTTGTTCATTAGTTATCCGAATATATTTTTTTTTTGCTTTTTTTCTTTTTTTCGAAAAACTTTCGTGCAAGCAGAAATCGAAGAGGTGGAACAATGAGGTCATTTAATATCGAATTTCAATTTGTAACCAATTTTTCTAGCTCAGTATCAGATTCTGTCTGATGTTGTTCAAAAATCTTTAGTTATTCAGTTAAAATAAAATAAGAATCTTGTAATCGAATTATTTTGTTTTGATTATTTTATTTTTGATCGGAAGTGACACATTATTACGATTATCTAAAAACTAGAGAAAATATTACTACCAAAAGACTGACTGGTTGTTTTCGATCTTCGAAAAAAATAAAATTCAATATTTTTTTGGCTACAATTTTTGTCTAGTGCATTTCATTTTGCAGATTTTTTGTTTTCCCAAATTTTCTTTTTTTCAGAATGATCATTTATTACTCATTCTAACAAAATCCGAATCCGGAAATTAAAAATATTTTTTCATTGTTCGGAAAAATCATGTGATCCCAACTTTTTCATTAATTTTATTTGTTCTGTTGAAAAAAAGTAATAGGAAAAAATTAAAAGTTTGCAAAATCTCAGAACTTTTTCTATCATCTTCTCTTTTGAATTATTTAAACTAGCAAGTAAGTAAAACATTTTTGATGTTGTAATAAACTAAATAGTTTGCAAAACAAATATTAATTATTCTTTGTGGCAAAAGCAAATGTTTTCCGGATCAATTTTTGAAAAAATCTGAATAGGAAAAGTTTCCGAAACCCGAATGCGAAGTTAATCAATCTTTTATTAAACTTTCGAGTTCGAGGAATCTGTCAGGCACTTTATTGAAACAGTGCAATGTTTTGATGTTAACTTTCTGAAGTGATTCAAGGTCTCCAAGTTGGCCTGAAACTCATCACGCTTGTTTTCCCCCAAAAAATTCGGACTACCCACGTTCAAAAAAACAGGATAAATGAAACCCAATCTGTTTTATTTTCTTCAATGTTATATGTCTTCTTTTTCCTTCTTTCTTAATATTTTCGCATGTCAACCAAACCACCAAATAGATATTATTCTCTTTTTTTGTCATAAGCTCAACAAAAACTTTTTGTGTTGACCTCGTTCATCTCATTTTCTTCTTTTCATCATAGTGGTTTTTCTTTCTTATTTTAGTCTCATGCATTTTTAGGTTTTATATGAGTGTCAGTGTGCAATGTGCATTTGTTTTATCCAGCATTTTTACGAGTTTTTGGTGTTTTTTAGAAGACAATTGTCAAGAATTGTTTTAGGTATCAAAAAACACGCCCTGTTATGTTTTATTGATAAATTGTTATCAGAAAAAGTTCATTTTGTTATTTTTATTCAAAATTTTGAAATAAAAGGCCCCCTCTTTTTTTGGATAACCTTTTCCTAATTCGAATAAATCATACTTCACTTTGATTTTTGAGCAAAACCATAAAAATTAAAAATAATCGTTCTCTGCATCAGTTCGCCCACATTTTTCCTCCAATAAAAAAAAATAAAAATCTCTCAATTTTTCTCGAAATTCGATCCTTAAATGTCATCTTTGCACTTCGTCACTCTTTCCATTTTTCCAACACAAAAAAATGTTTTGTTTTGTTTCTCTGAAATATGTTTACCTCTCTCTTTTTCACCTGAAATATGAAAACAATATCCCAACCAAATTGTTCCCAAAAAGAAAAAAAACACATTTTGTCTTGCGTTTTCCTGTGAATAATAATTACATATTTTTCTGAAAAAAATAAAATATAAAATAAGTGTTTTGTACTCATCGAATACAATTTTGTTTTGACTTTTACTGCTTTCTTGATACACATGTTCTCCATATGTTTTTTTGTTAGTTAGCGATTTTTTTTCTTCTGCTAACATGAAAATTTGCTAATTGATTTTTTGGAATAAAAATTTAATCCTCCACATTTTCGAATTGTGTTCTTGTTTTTTTCCCCCGAGTTATTCCTCAAAATCTTATCTTACACCAAATCTTGAAATATCGTTTTGTTTTTTTTATTCCAGAAAATTTGAATAAAATATTGGGTAAAGGAAATTTTTTGAATCATGAATTATTCTGGAAGTGCATGCGGAAATTGAATCTCATAATTTATTTTTTTTACAATTCACATATTTGCGAAAAAAATTCCCAAACCTAAATTATGAAATCTAGCACTTTTTTGAATTGTTATTAGTTCAAAATAATTTTTCTATCTGTGCGAAAAAATGTGTGAAATAATCCTTTTCCAACAAATCAACCAAAGAATTTGATTTTTTCTCGGAAAATCAAAATTCATGGGATTTATCAATAGTTTGACATAATTCAAATTGTCACATCTCATCCACGTCAAAATTTCAGCAATTTATAATTTTTGTTTCATATTTTCGATTTATTCTGTAAACGTATAGTTTCATTATTATAAACGTACTGCTCAATTTCAGTTTATTTCATTTTTTCAGTTTCCGTTTCTTTCACAAAAGCCAAAATATTTTGTTTGGGCCAAAAAAAGACACCGCGGGCAATTTTGCTCGCGGTCAATCCGGATCGCGGAGCATTTCCGCTTTTGATGACATTGCCCTATGAAAATGGATATGGAAATAGTAGCAATAATGATTCGGGAAAAGTTGAAGAAATCGAAGAAATTGGAGGACTAAAAGAAACTGAAGATCAAAAGAAGAAAAAGAGGTTGGTTTTGAATGCAACTTTTTTTTTTGAAAAATTTTGAGGTGAAACATTTTGACCGATTGTGAGAAATTGGGAGAAGTTGAAACAGTATTTTTAGTATTTCAGTCAAAATTCTGAGATCGACTACTTTGAAGTTGAGCTTAAACTCTTGGTTCATTTTTTGCAATAGTTTAAGATGTGCTGAAAATCAGACCTAATTTTTGAGATTGACAAACTCCCATTGATTCTAACTTTGAACATTGAATCTTCAAAAGAAATCAAAATACCAAGTTTTTCTTCAAATATGTGTAATTTCAAAATTAACACAAATACTTTGTATCTACAAACTGTGATCAAAGTTCACCTAACAACAAATACATTGCTTCTTCTTTTTTTATGATTCATAGGTTGTCTATTCTTTTTTCGCTTTGAATTGTTTCTTTTTTTGGCACCTTTATTTTTCTCTAGTCAAAGATTATTTAGGAATGATAATAATGCTCTTCATCTACAAAACACAAACAAGTTCAATATTTTGTTTTTTTTGTGTCCAAAATTCGTTTCTATTTATAAACTTTTTCAATATTTTTCTTTGAGAAAACCCTGATTTTATTCAATTCCATTCAAATTTTGATGCTAAAAATAGCGACGGAAAATACCTGTACAGTTTGAATTGAAAAAGAAATCTATAAAATAAACAAATTTTTCAACAAAAAAACATCAATGTTTTCGATATTTTTATTGATTTTGATTTGATATAAGAAAAATTATCGAAAATATTTGATTTTTTCTGCAAATAAATTCCACGAAAAAAGTCGTTTCCGTTGATGATATAAGATGTTTTATGATGTATTAAGTAATAATTCTGCAATTTTTTTTTACTTAAAATAGATTTTCTTTACATCAAAACATATCATTGCAACGCTATCAAAAAACTGATAAATTTGAACTGCGAAACCGCTTTTTTTCAACATTTCTATTATTAGTTCAACATGTTTATTTAACTTATCAAAATTGACCCGAAATTTTTTAAACCCATTGTAAGCCGGTGTTGATAAAAAATTGATAAACTCTGAATTGTTTTTTTTTTGTCTTCAAAGCTGATCAAAATACAACAAGGTCGTATGTTGTTGCAATTTCAATTCAATCAACCTAAAAAAATTTAAAACTAAAAAGTTATGACAATTGATAATCAATCTCTTTTTTTTGTCTCATTTCCTTTTTGTCTACAACATCTCTCCTTCTTCTTCTCAATTTCTTGTCATTCTCAACCCCTGGGTTATTTTTCGGCATCTCCCAGTCTATCCTTTCTGTTTCTATTTTTCATAATTTGTTTTGTGGACTGACCGATCGAAAAATGGGGGACGAGGATGGCAATGAGAATAATGTCGATGTTCTTAAAACTCTGAGAAAATCATCATCGGCTCAATCATCAAGCTTGCAATCGGATATTGTTCAATTTGAGGCTAAACATATTGAGGAGTAAGTTATCGATTTATTATCAGATGAGAAGAGTTCATTAATGCTAGTCACACAGCTATTGTGATAGACTGAGACCCACGAAGCCTCTTGAACTTGAACAAGTTCAGGAGATAGAGAAATATTGAGAGAAAATCCTACTGAACGCAAAAGTGCGTCGCAGTGTTTTCACACACCAATCCGCGGTATTTTTTCTTGAGTCCTTCCATAATTATCTATTTTTCAAGCTTCTAGTAAAACCGAAATAATTTGTTAACCACCTTCAACATAGTTCTAACATCAACTGAAATCTAGAACAATCTTTAGCCCTTCCCTTTTCATAGGTTTCACAGTTTTTGCAGCAGTGTTAATATTCTTTTTTTTTCTGAAAACCAGTTCCCCAATATTCATTGAAAAAAATCTGATTGAATTTCCGCTTCTGGAAATGAAAATTGATGAGAAACCGCATGACATGACAACAACAATCGTTGGCCAACCAAAATTCAAAGTTCGAAATATCTATTTCTATTTACAGTAAATTCTTTCTCTCTCCGATTCTCGCGCAAAATGATAAAAACATCAATGTTTGGTTATATCAAACGATGAATTATCTCTCATAGTATCAAACCAAAGAAAATAGAATATTAAAAACCGTTGCGGTTTCGAAGTTAAATGATCACACTTCTATTAATAGAGTCATCGAACGATTATCTTTTTTTTCAATCCAATGTATCAACGGAGAATAATATCGATGATATATCATTCTATTTCCGGTAACAAAAAATTCTTCCCTTGACAAAAATAAATACATTGATAAGGTGAAATTAACAAAAAAAATAATATCGAATCAGAAGACAATTCTAAATTCGTGCACTCTGGAAACATTGTAAAAATAGTAATAAAATAATAAATAAACAACCGATTATTTATGAATCATTAATACACATGTCGAATGTAGATTATATCTCGTAAGAGAGAAAGTTTTCGTATAGAAATTTTTTGTGAACTTTGCATTTAGGTCAACCTAACTTCTCGTGTATACATTTCTTTTAAATTATAAATGGTTTATCCGCCGGTTCGGATTAAAGTTCCAATATTTAAATGGTATATTTGTATTTTCCCTAGGATGTAGAACTTATTCAAGTTTTATAATTTATGAATTTTGCAGGTCTCGAGATCATGGAGAAAATAAAGATTTACTGCATCCGGGAGAAGAAAATGAAGAGGAAAAGAGTACTTTTAATTTACACGAAGACTATGGAGACGGGTTATATGATGATTCATATTTAGTTGATCAAAAGCCGATGAGAAAAGAAACTACATCCGAGTTCTTTAATCGTAAGAAACTCGTTGAATCTCATAGAAAACGAATTAAAATTAATTTTAGGTCAATATCATAATATTGTGCATTTTTTTGTTGAAGACTGGTTTATTTCTGCAATGCTTGGAACTATTACTGCTATTTTATCTATCACTATCGATATTGCTATTGAAGGACTTGTTCATTGTGAGTTTAAGATCCAATTTATAACCAGATTTATACGCGAAATATTTCAGTGAAACATGATAGATACAAAATCCTTGTAGCAAACGCCAATTATTATGGATTTATTTTTTGGGTTTCATTCACATCGATTCTTGTATGTGCTGCATCTTTTGTTTGTCATGCAATAAGTAAAGAAGCAATTGGATCCGGTATTCCACAAGTCAAAGTTATTATTCATGGTTTTACACTTAAAAACTATTTGTCTCTAAAAACATTAGTTGCAAAAATCATTGGAATAACATTGGTGCTAGGTTCTGGATTACCAGTTGGTAAAGAAGGACCGTTTGTACATATTGGTGCAATTATTGCAACACTTTTAAATCGAATTACTGCAGCATGCCAATTAACATCATTTTTCTCGAATGAAGGAAGAGCGATGGAAATGTTGAGTATTGGATGTGCTGTTGGAATTGCTTGTACATTCTCAGCTCCAATGGGTGCTGTATTATATGGTATTGAATCGACATCCAAATATTTCGCAGTCAAAAATTATTGGAGATCATTCTTTGCAACAACTTGTTCTGCTCTTATTTTCCGTTATATTCTTGCTGAAATGGATCAAACAACAGGTTAGTTGTTTCTTTCTGTTTGAATCTCTAATTCTATTTGTAGATGGAACCATTTATGCTTATTATCAAACGAATTTCCCGCATGATGTATTTGTGAGTATGGAACTTGGATTCTTCGTTCTTCTTGGAGTTTGTACTGGTCTTCTTGGAGCTCTGTTTGTTTGGTACCACAGACAAATCGCGTTGTGTTTGAATAATGAATTCTGTAAAAAACAGTAAGTTCTACCTGTTTTTTCTATCAATCCAACCTGTTTGATTTCCAGTTCTATTTTGATAACAACAATGTGCGCAGTTATATTCGCAGTGATTTCTTGTCCAGATTTTATTGGGCAACATTTTGCCGGTGGTTTAACTTTCAGAGACAGTATAATCGACTTCCTCTCAAATTGTTCAATTACTTTGGAAGGAACTAACTACAGTGGATTTATTTGTGGTGAAGAAACACAAAAAAGATGGGCTGGAAGTTCAGGAGAATCTCATTTACAAACATTAATTCTTTATTTCTTGGTTTATGTAAGTTTACCAACTATAAGTAATTCTGATTCTGTAACCTCCTGTATTCAGTTCTTGGTTGTTCCAATTTGTATCAGTCTTCATATTCCATCTGGTATGTTCGTTCCTTGTTTCGTTATTGGTGCATGTGGAGGAAGAATTGTCGGAGAAATACTTGCTGGATCAACATTTTATAAAAGAAGCATAATTTATCCTGGATTATATGCTGTGGTTGGAGCTGCTTCATTCACTGGTTCAGTTACTCATTCATTATCGATTGCTTTGATTGTTTGTGAAACAACTGGACAACTTTGCGCATTATTGCCAGTTTTGGTGAGTTGTTAACGTGTTTTTGTATGTTTGAAAAGTAACAATTTCAGATTGCATTGATGATTTCAAATGCTATTTGTTCTTTCCTTCAACCATCTATTTATGAATCAATCATCAAAATTAAAAATTATCCATATCTTGCTGATCTTCCACCCAGTCGTGTTTCTGTCCATCAAATGAAAGTTGATAGAATTATGGTTAAAGATTTGGTGTTCATCACAAGAAATACAACTTATCGAGAACTTCGAGAGATTCTACTAATGAGTGATAAACGTATTCGATCGTTCCCATTTGTTACAGATAATGGTATGAGAATGCAAAAATTATAAGTGTATGAAATTAGTTTTATTTAGAATCTATGACTCTTTTGGGAAGTGTTGCTCGGAAATATTTGAACTACTTGTTGGAAAGAAAAATTGGCCCAGAACAAGAAATGTTTTCAAAAAGAAGGTGAGTATTAAAAGCTTCAATTATTCTATCTTTTCATATTCAGAACTCCATCTTTTAAACAGAAACTTGTGTAAGTTGAAATGTATTTGAATATGAATATTTCCCCACTCCCAGCATGTTTCTGATTTTGAGTTCAACCCACCAACACTTCTAGTTCACGTAGATAGAACAGTTTTGGTTGATTTTAATTTCTGTCAATTTGTTGTCAATAATTTCAGAAGTCGCACTGCATCAGAATTGTTCAACACTATTCAAAATTTAAGGTGTGTTTGTGAATGCAACTTTTTTTCTTTTCTTTCCCTATTCACGCATAGGAAATATCTAACAATAGATATAGATATGCATGGCTTTAGATGACCTTTTAACCGTTCGCCCTTATTCAGAAAGTATTCTAGACGTGGATCTAATTTGGGCGTGAATGGATCTGCTCATAATAATACACATCAGATGTTGACAGATAGAAATATTTCTGGAAATACTCTTTTACCACAATCTCCACTTCATGAAGATCAGGTAATTCAGAAATTGAATATGGAAAAAATTAATTATAATTTAATTTGAAGGGAGATCGTAGTCCATTGGCACCATTATTATACTCTCAAAACACATATGAACCAGTTTGTTATTCATTACAAAAACGAAATGAGATTTTATCAATGAAATTGGATATGTTGGATGTTGCAATCGATCCAGCACCATTCCAACTTGTTCCAGGAACATCTCTCTACAAGGTATTTTTAGTATGATCTTACGAAATTCAAATTATTACTGATTTATAGGTCCACACCTTATTCTCTCTTTTGGCTTTGAATCATGCTTATGTTACTGAAAAAGGTCGACTTGTTGGAGTTGTTGCTGTTTCTGATCTTCGCCGCGCTTTGAATGATATTTACAGTCGAGGAGCTGTTGTGCCAAAACAACGAATTCGTACATCAACATTCAGATTGAATCCAGATAATGATGAAGGTAAAGAACACCGAAAATCATCAAAATTAAAAAACTAAAAAATTTATAGATGGAGAAGTTGATTCAACTGATACAACTACAAATGCTGATACGATTGACTTGAAAAAACCACGTGTTACAATTGAAATTCCAGATGAAGATAAATAAATTTAGAACTCCCCCCATTCACATAGTTATTTAGAATGTGTTTTTTGTTAATCTAGTCTCCCCCTATTTTTTTCTTCATATTTTTATGTTTCCTCTCATTCCCGGTTTTTATGATATTTGACTGATATTCGAAAACGAGGTTCGCTTATCATAACTGAAAGATGTTTTTTTTCTGAAACGGATTACCATTTTTTGTACATATTTTCTTATACCAGTGTGTGTTATTTACTTACTGCTTGTCTATAAAAATTCTATAATTTTTCATAATGAAATTTTTAATTTTGACGTGACCTACTTTTTTTTCGATAGATAAGCTTTTCCGAGAGACTGGTGAAAAATTTGGACCATTTTCTACTCTGGCAGTCAAAGAAATTGGAAATTTGAAAATGGATATCGAGGTAACTTTGAATCAAATTCTTCGTTTAGAGAAAATCAATTGATTTTAGAAAGATTCAAAAAATGATATAATGCAAGATGATGAAGTTGCCAATATTATTCGTCGTATTTTCTCAGCTCAAGTAGTCTACTCGATTGGAAAAGTTGTGGAAGACTCAAGCAACAAAATTCAAAAAGTTTATGAACTTCGGTGTGACATCAGTCCTCAAGAAATGTTTCGGTTGTGCAGAAAAATGAAACGCATTTTTCTGGCCTCTGAGGGATTGTTGAAAATTGATGGGTAACGAAAAAAACATCATATTTCCTTGGTTCATTTCCATCGATTTTTCAGAAATACTCCAATTATAGTTGTTGCCGATTTGCATGGTCAAATGGTTCATCTTTTGAGAATCTTGAGGACTTCTGGACTTCCGCCTAATCAAAGATATTTATTCCTTGGCGATTATGTTGATCGTGGAGTTCAAGGAATTCTAGTCATCACTCTTCTTTTCTGCCTCAAAGCAAGATATCCTAACCATATTTTCTTACTTCGTGGAAATCATGAAGATGTTAATACAACATTGAATTATGGATTCTATGATGAATGTTTGAATCGTTGGCCGAGTGAAAATAATCAGAAAGGTGAAGATGTTTGGCTTCAATGTATTGAAGTATTCAATTCAATGCCATTAGCTGCAGTTGTTAATTCAAAAGTATTCTGTTGTCACGGCGGATTATCACCATTTATGAATAGCTTGGAAGATATTAACAAAATCCAACGTCCATTAATTGTCCCAGCTTTCGGAATCGCATGTGATCTTCTTTGGTCAGATCCATCTCAAGCAGATAGAGAAGGTTGGGCTTTGAGTCATCGTGGAATTTCGTTTACTTATGGACATGATGTTGTTGAAGAGTTTTGCAAGAAAAATAATATTTCATTGGTTATTCGAGGTCATCAACTTTTCCGCGAGTTTTATACTTCTGGTTATGTTGTAAGATTCGGAGGACTATTGATCTCATTATTTTCTGCATTGAACTATGAAAACCATCGAAATAATGCAGCGGTTATGAAATTGGAATTCAAAGGGATGAGAAAGAACTTGGAAGTGACTCCGATTGTTTTCAGATGTAGACATTATTATCCACAGAAATATACTGAAATGATTGGATTCAAGGATTGCGAAAAAATGCTGAAAAGAGAAGAAGTCAAATCATCTTTCAATTCTCTCTGATTAAAATAAAACAATACTATCAAAAACCAAGCACTTATGGTTGCCAAATAAGAATTCACCACAACCCTTGAGCAAAAATTAGACAAACAAAACGAATCAATACAACCGGAAAAACAGAAAAAAAATACATAAATAGCATAAGTCTGCCTTCTCTTCATTTCGCGAACTGTCTCTTTTTCATTTCTCACACTTTTTCAACGCCTGTCGAAAATTTTCGTGTGACTCAAATAGTATTATCATTTCTTTTTAGTTATAGTTATGAAATCTAACATTTCGCATGAAATATCTTATTACACAATGAAAAGTGAAAGTGCTTTAGACGATGAACGTTCACAAGATCAAAGTGTGTCAAAACTTGTTTTTGAAAGATTTCTCTTTTTATCTGACATTGATTTTGTTTTATTTTTCTATAACGTACTTACAAATAGAAATTTAATATAACTGTTTTTTATGAAATAAACAAATGACATGTTTACGTTAATATTAACATTTTCAAAATTTTTGACAACGTTTCTTGTTCTATTTTTAGTTTCTTGTCAACTTTTTCACAAAAATGCTGACTATTTAATTAATATTTACCTATATAGAACATCAGTTAGATAATAATGACAAGAAGTCTAAATTAATTCGTAAAATACTTCAAGATCCGTGATTTTTAAAATCAAAACTAGTTTTTACTTACCTTCCAGCTGTCCTTCCAATAATCAATACATTCCATTTTTCAAGGTTGTTGGTATTTGAACTTTCAAAAATTGCGCAACAATCAAGGTGAATTCTTTGGCAATGCAAATTCTAAGGTTGGTTCCATTTTCAAGGGATTTCTGTAAATTAAATTTTTCTAGAAAGGGTTAAATTAATTAAGCATCAAAATATCAAATTCAATTCAGTTTTTCTCATGAGAAAGTAAGTAGCAAAAAAAGTTGTTCCACGTTTGGCTGACAATAAAAATATATTTAGGGGTACTGTAACGTGAAGTGTTTGCATGCAAACACTTGATGCTCTGCACACATTGCATTTTAGTTGACGACAAAAACGTTTTTTGCAGAAATTTTCAGTGTTTTCTTTTGCGGCGAGTTAGGTTGCTTTTTGAAAACAGAATTCACAATTATATATTTTCTAGTTTTTAAACTCATTCAAAATTAGTTTTTCAAACATTTCTCATATTTTTCTAGATAGAATTCTCGCTGAAAATGCTCCGTATCTTTTCTATGAAACGAAAAAGTTTCAGGTATTGATATTTAGTTATAAAAATGATTAATTTGTTGTTTTATAGGAGTGGAGATGATGAAGATGAAAGTGTGGAATTGTTGCGACCGGAAGATGACGATGAATTAGTGACAGATGCTGAAAATGAAAATGAAAATGAAAATGAAGAATTGGAAACGAAAACAGCGAAGAAAGAAACGAATAAAGAATTTTGGGATCGTAAGTTTTCTTTTAATTTGAAAAACTTTTCATGAAAAATTTTTCAGGTCAATATAAAAATTTGATGCACTTTTTGGTGGAAGATTGGTTTATATCAGCGATGCTTGGAATAATCACTGCGATTTTATCAATTTCAATCGATGTTGGAATTGAGTTGCTAATTCATTGTGAGTTCTTTCGATTCAGATTTATTTTAAAAAAATTTCAATTCAGTGCGTAATCATTTGTTTGAAATATCGAAAAGTTATCACGAATCAATGGGTTTTGTTGTTTGGGTATCTTATATCACATTCTTCGTTTGGGCATCTGCTATTATTTGTTATGCATTTGGAAAACAAGCAGTTGGCTCAGGAATTCCAGAAGTTAAAGTCATTATTCATGGTTTCAAGATGAAAAATTATCTATCACTGAAAACCTTGATTGCAAAAGTATTAGGATTAACATTAGCAATGGGATCAGGATTGCCAATTGGTAAAGAAGGACCTTTTGTACATATTGGAGCAATTGTTGCATCTCTACTCAATAAAGCAACATCTGCTTGTCGATTCAATTCATTTTTCTCAAATGAAGGAAGATCAATGGAAATGTTGAGTATTGGATGTGCTGTTGGAATTGCTTGTACATTTTCTGCTCCAATGGGTGCTGTATTATATGGTATTGAATCGACTTCCAAATATTTCGCAGTCAAAAATTATTGGAGATCATTTTTTGCAACAACTTGTTCAGCTCTGATTTTTCGATTTGCTCTTTTATTTTTCGTTCCTCCTCACATTGCTGGTACAATTATGGCTTATTATCAAACCAATTTTCCAAACGAAGTATTTGTGATTGAAGAAATCGGATTTTTCGTTTTACTTGGAGTTGCTTTCGGTCTTCTTGGTGCTCTTTTCGTTTATTATCATCGAAGAATTTCACTTTTCAAAAAACGGAATCGTGCATTCAAATCAGTTTTTGGTAATAGGTAAGTGCAAAAATTTATTGCTTTTTTGAAAAAAATAAAAAAATTGTTACAGCCCCATAAGTTTCACAGTGATTTGTGCAGCTTTATTCGCAGTTCTTGCATTCCCAGATGGATTTGGAACATTTTTCGCAGGCAAAATGACATTCCATGAAACACTTGTTGATTTTATTGCAAATTGTACATTTACAATGTCAAATGTATCAAATAATGGATGTCCGCCTGAATTGGTTGAAAGATGGACTTCTATAAATGGTTTTCATCCGCTGATGACTCTTTCATTATATTTCACAATTTATGTGAGTTTTTTCAAAGTTTCGAATTGAGTTTCAAAAAAAAACATTTTTGCAGTTCCTTCTTGTCCCAATTTGTATTGGTTTATTCATCCCATCCGGTATATTTGTTCCATGTTTTGTGATTGGAGCTTGCGGTGGAAGAATTGCTGGTGAATTGATTGCAATGATATATCCTGATGGTTTCCACGATGAAACATTTATATATCCTGGATTATATGCTGTGGTTGGTGCTGCTGCTTTTACTGGTTCAGTTACTCATTCATTATCGATTGCTTTGATTGTTTGTGAAACTACTGGACAACTTTGCGCTTTATTGCCAGTTTTGGTGAGGTTTTTTGAAATAGCAGAAAAAAAGTGTTTAAAAAATTATTAATTAGAAAATGATTTTTGTCTTGCCACGTCGTATTTCACGTGAGAACATTTATTTAACAACGATTTTTTTTCAGATTTCATTAATGATTTCAAATGCAATCTGTTCCTTCCTTCAACCATCTATTTATGAATCAATAATCAAAACAAACGGCTATCCATATCTTGCTGATCTTCCACCAAGTCGTATAAGTGTTCATCAAATGAAAATCGAGCAAATTATGATAAAAGATATTGTTTATATCACACGAGACACGACATATTGGGAACTCCGCGAGATTCTTCTTCAGACACCAAATTTGCGATCTTATCCATTTGTCACCGATAAAAGTAAGTTGAATGATTATTTTTTCGAAAAAAAAACCAAAAAAAATTTGCAGCTTCAATGACATTATTGGGAAGTGTGGCACGAAAATATTTAGTGTATTTGATTCAGCAAAAATTGGGATCTGAAGCTGATATGTTTGCACAACGGAGAAATGATCAAACATCTTCAGAATTATTTATCAGTTTGAGACAAGGATCACAACCGATGTTGACAGATCGGAGTATTTCTGGAAGTACATTGTTGCCGCAATCACTTCTTCACGATGATCAGGTTTTGATAATTAATAAAAATACACATAATTCATCAAGAATTATTTTCAGGGAGAAAATGGTCCATTAGCATCTTTGTTATATTCACAAAATGAAGACACAACCCCAATTGTTCATTCTATGGCTCAAAAAGTTGAACTTCTTTCAAGCAAAGTTGATCTAATTGAAGTTGCCATAGATCCAGCTCCATTTCAACTTGTTCGAGGAACTTCTCTCTACAAAGTTCATACACTTTTCTCATTATTGGCTTTGAATCACGCTTATGTTACTGAAAAAGGCCGACTTGTTGGAGTTGTTTCGGTGAAAGAACTTCGTGAAACTTTGAACAATATTTATAGTCGAGGAGCTGTTGCACCAAGGCAAAGAGTGAGACCAATTAATGATGGTTAGTTATTTTTTAATAATTATAAAAATTCTGATCGGAGAAATTCATTTTCAGAGGAAAATGCGTTGTCTTCCTGAATTGAAACAAAACTAAACAAATATTATAATAAATTATTGCCATGTATATTTTCCCAAATAAACGAGGTATTTTTTAATTAACTTTATTCACGGTTTAGAACCCAGTCGAATTACGAACCTAATCCAGTGTATAGACATTTTCCGCCTACACACTTTACATCAGATAGTGTATCACAATCAGAGTTTCCTACACACTGAGCAGGCTGTTGACACAAGATTGTTGAAGATAATTGGAGAATCAAAAATATAATAAAAGCTCTGATAGACATGTTTTTTGATAGCACGAAACGCTTGCAACGGCTTTTAAACAGACCAGACATTTTATGAAGTCTAGGAACTGTTATGAATATTTTCGCTGGGAAAGACTAATATTTTGCAAAACTTCTAACGCTGATAATAAATGAATATTTATTTATGCACCGGTTTGACACAATTAAATTCAACATTTGCTCATAAACAAAACAAATTGTAACAATGTAATGGTATTTTGATTTTTAAAAAAATAAGTGAGATCAACAAGGTCAGGTCAAAATCTGATTAGTTTCAGATTAGAAATTTGATTTTTAATAGTTTTGTTTTCTATGGGGGATTGATTATATACATGACTATTTTTACAATACTTCAGCACTAATTGTGCTAATTGTATTTGGGCGACTTTTGACTGAATTAGCATGCGATTCCATATCAGCTACTGAACAAGCTCTGTGGAAGTTATCAGCTGTCCATTCACATGGTTCACCACGAACAAAAATGAAGAAAACAAAATTTGTGATAAACATAACTGCAGCTGTGATAATGAATACCCATTTCCATTCTTCTTGAGTATTGTGTGGTGTCAAAGCATTGACAAAGAATGGAACAATAAGCATAGTGATTGTGATTCCAAGTGAGATATTACCAGTTACAAAATGACTGTATTGTTTGGATAAAACTGGACCAGCTTTGAAGAATCCACCAGTTGTTGCTCCAAGCATTGCAGCTGATGCTCCCAAAACAATCATATTATAATCCTTGTGCGAATCTCCCATAAACGCAAGCACTGTCAAAAATGCTCCAGCTCCAATAAAAGCAAATGAATTGAAGAATCGGAATTTCCACACTTCTGGAATGAATTTGATACGATCCGAAATGGCTCCACAAATGAGTTTTGAGGCGAATTGAAGGAATGGTGGAATGGCAGCTGTGATTCCGGTACTATGAACTGGGAATCCGAGAACTTTTGAGAGATAAACTGGACTGAACAAGAACATCATATTGACACATGTGAAGTTTCCGATAGCAGCAATCCAGACAGCCCAAATTGCTGGAGTTCTCAAAATTGGTCCGTATGGAATCTTTTTGAGTGCGCGCTTACTGTAAAGAAATCATTGAATTCATGGAAAACAAACTGGCAAAACTTACTCGACAGCCGAAATCTTTCCAATTGAGATTTTCTTGAGTTCAACGTTTCCAACAAATGGATGTTTTTGTGGAGAATTACGGTAGAAAAGAGCATAAGTTACAAATAAGAGAAGTGAAACAGCTCCATGAGCATAGAAAATTGATGGCCAACGGAAAGCATCACAAAGTGCACCTGAAGCTGGCATTGTAATTGCTGGAGCAAGTTGAACATAGGCGACAAGAGATGAGACGAATAATCCATTTTGCTTGAAATATGACCATTTAGCACAGAATGCTCCGATAACTGGGAAATTTGCGGAGAATGCGAGACCTTGAAGGAAGCGGACAGCTAAGAAATATCCGAATCCCATTCGAATTGCCAATGGAACCAAAAGCGTTGCGATAGCTGATAGAATTCCGAAACTTGCAAAAACTGTTCGAATTCCAACCATTCCAACTAATTGAACAACTGGGAAATTACCAAGAAGAGCCGCAATCGCAACAATTGACATGGCCAATGAATTTTGAGCTGGAAGAAAAAAAAATGAATTTTGATTTATTTTTGACCAACTTTCAATTTCGTCATCTCTAAAATCTTCTTATTATTATCAATAACATTTTTGATTGATGATTTGAAAACAGGTTCTATTTCCCGATTTATTCAATATTATTCAATGATGTTGAAAATTAGAATTTTAAATAGTTTTTTTTTCGGAAGGATTAGTCGATGAAAGTTGACAAAACAAAAGTTATGGCGAAAAAAACTTACTGTTTGTGAAATGCGATTTTCTGCCGATTGTGGCATTTGAAATTGGAAGAGCTTCTGATTCATCATCATCCATACAAATAACTGCGAAATTGAAGGCAAGAATGTTAGACCTGAAATTAGATTTTCAAAATTTAATTTTCTAAGCTCGGCTACTTGAAACAGGGGTTTCGAGGCGCGGGTGCTTGTCAGATAGAATCTCTACATGTGGGTGCTAGAAAATTAGATTCTTTAGACTTGGCTACTTGGGAGCTAGACCTTCTAGGCGCTGATCCTTGACAATTAGGTTTTCTGCGTCAATTTTTTTCGAATTTCCCTGAAACACTCACCAAACTGATGTCAAACACAATAAAATCAAAAGCATAATCACAAATCTTGTCCTTGTTCCAAACAAACTAATATATCTGGTTTGGGCCTGAGCCTGAGTTGGAAAAACAGCGTCCGCCATTTTTTTCGACCAAACTGAATTGAACTGAACTGAAAACTCGGAATTCCGAATTGAAGTATATATAAGAAGAAAAGTAGACAAAATAGTGGGCGGAGTCTGGCTGACTGGTGATAACGGTCAAATATGGGGAGAAAATAACAAGTGAAAGTGAGAGATTATAGAGAAAATAGAGGGTGGGAAACAGAAAAGAGTTCTATTTAGCTCTGGGAAGAATTATGAGGAGATAAAAAAGGTGGAGCAAATCAGAAAACACAATTTTAGATTTTCGCGGAATTTTTTTTAGGTAACTGTAGTTTACATGGTTTTGTTGGATCAACTTTGTAATTCCTCGAATTCGCCAAAAAGATTAAACTACATCGATCTATGATCTGTTACCAAAATACAGTAACCTCCACCCCATCATGAAACAAACTACAAAGCAAATATTGGAATTGAAAAAATGTGCGAAAAAAAACGTCAAGGCCAACAGGTCATCCGTGGCAAAAATAGGTGAAAACATTTGGGAAACGGAGAGTTTGGATATGTATATATTGCAAAAAAAATGGAATCGTTGACCAAAGACGTCATTTTTGTATTTGTGAGATCTCTGGAAAAGAGATAATTATGAAAAGAGAGAGAGATGAGAAGAATAATATTATGTTTGATAATTTATTGTTTGTGTAACTTGAATATTATGGATTGGTGGTCGGATATTGATGTTGGAGAGGTAGATGTGCGGATTTTCGACTGAAAGAATACAGTTCTTTTTTGGAGAGGTTCGGAGGCCTATAATAATTTTAATTTGAAATTTGGTGATATAGGAAAGGTTTGAAGTTCGAACCAAAAAACATGAATTGTCAGGGATGTTCTGAATAGGACCTCGAACATTGGCGCATATTTAATTGATCTGAATTTTGAATCGGGAAAAGATTTTCCTGTTTTTGTATCAGAATTTTCTGGACTGGTTCTGAGTTCACCTAGAAATTTTGGTATATCAAAACGTTTTGAAACATGAAGTCTGATCAGAGAAAAATTATTTTCTTTTCAAATCTTATTTGTCGTAGATTTTATAGTAAAATGTGAAATTCAAAAACGTCCTGATTTCAGACTCAAACCATAAGTTTGAAATCAAATTTATCGAAATAATTTTCATTCAATTTTAATTTTCTATGTTGATTACCTGCAACTTGAAACTTTCGTAGTTTTTGTAGTTTTACGATATATCACATGATAAAAAGTACTTTCAAACTCATAAATCACTTAATTCCTCTCCCACATCAATACCAAAAAATCAGTCGAACATCTCGTTTCCGCAAAAAAAAACACATATTTGAATAAATCGGAATTTTAAAAATTGCGCCGGATTTTTCCACTAAAAATACATAGATGTTTGATTTTATGCAAATTTGAAAAAATGAAATGAAAAGGTCATTTTTTGAATCTTTGTTCTTCTGATAAAATTTTTGAAAATGTCCTAGCTCACTAAACAAAAAATATCCGAAGTTGAAAGGTGAACTTTTGAGTTTCCGGTATCATACATCATTTCTATGACACATATTTTCTCTACCTATCTTATTTTTTTTCTTATTCTTCCAAAAATAACAATTCACACAAAAGCGACAAAAGTATTGAATGTGGCCGTTCGAATGAAAATCTAAAAATAGAAATTTTCAGACAATTTGAATTTCAAATCAAAAGTTGATCGATCAGGTTCAGTTCAACGATGAAAAAAAATGAAATAAAATTGATGAAACAAAGTTCATTGACTAAATGCAACAATACTGGAATAACTTGTCTATGTGGAAAAAAACAAACAAAAATATTTGAACTTGGATTTTTTGGTGTTTGGAAAAATAATAAACACACACACACACACACACACACACACACCTACCTTTATGAATGACTGGAAAATTGTGTTTAATATTAAAAAGACGTAGGAATGGAAAATAAACAAGTTGTGATAGGAAGAAAAACAGAACTGTTGAAGCTGTAAAGTATTTTTCAGCGGGAGAAAGGTAAATCATTTTTGATCAGCTTCTGGGAGGTTTTAAACCTAAGAATATGGGACTAAGCCTCATATCAATAGAAAAAAACAGTTTACCCGGAATATTTTGAAATTATGAAAGCATGTTCGCTCTATCGAACATATGAATTAGTTTTGTAAGTAGCGCTGACAAATGAATATAATTACGGAATGTATACATGTGCAAACACCCAACGCTACGCGCAAAAACCTACAGTACTTATCGATAAAATTATAATTAAAATCTTTGGATACCCTAGGAATCAACTCTCGAATTTAATTTGAAATGAAAACCTCAAATGCCACGTCATAAGTACACGTTAGTTTTTTAAAAAATTATTTTCAGAAATTTTTTGGAGAAATGCACGGACTTCTCATTTTCCGTGGTCAATACTTGTTATTTCTGGCTACACTCTTGATTAGAGATAGGGTTCCAGCTGAAGTTAGGCTTGGCTTTTTTGAAAATTTCACCACGACTTACCTTTATCAACTTTTAAGAAGCATTTCCAAGTTTTGATGTTCCTGAAATTTTTCTGAAATTTGTATGAACACGAAAAATAATTTATTCATTTTCGATTTTCATTCCATTTCAATTCGATTCATTTTCATCATTTGAACCTGAAAACGTTTTCATTGTTATTTATTTAGTTTGGTTTTCTAAAAATAAACATGTGAAACGAGATTCTGGAGATTTCCATGATTTACGACTTTTTCTAAAAATACTCGCTCTAACCTTGAATAAGTTTTTATCACTATTTTTTTTTCAAAGACAATGAAGAAGCGATCAATGACCTTGTGAAATTCAAAATATTGACCAAAAAGATTTTCGTTTTCTTATACTTGTCACTGACAAAAACATCGAATACATAAATTGTTTGAATTGCTTTTTTTCTCGAAATTTCAAAATAGAATATATTTGTACAAAATGAAATTGAAGATATCACACATATTTTTTGCAACACGAGAAAAGAGTGTCCTTGAATAAGTGGCACGTGAATCGTCAGACTTCTTATACTACGTCGAAAGTTCGACTGTCGACCATCTCGACTTTGGGCTTCTATCAATCAAAATCTCTCGACTCTCTTAATTTACAATGTTATTTTACTGGAAATTTTTGAATCGCCTATCATTTCATTTTTGACCGAAATCGAAATGGTTTAGATTACATTTGATAACAATGTTTCACGAGGGATTTCAAATTGCAAAATTTTTGAACGAACTGATAAAATTGGGGATTTTTTCTCCAAAAATAGTAAGGATTAAAAGTTGTTATCTTCCCGGAGGAAAAAACAATGGACAAAAATAGGAGAACATGTGAAATACACGGAAAAATTATTTGGAGAGTTCGATTTTCAGGACTCTTCAATAACATGTCCGGTTTTAATTTTTAAAATTCAGGGTTGGATTCATAAAAATTTCCAAGAAAAATATTCTGAAGACAAATTTGTGATCAAATTTTTTGGTAGGAGAAAATATTTCATCAATAATTTCTAATTTATCCTTGTATAAAACCAGGCCCAGAGCTCTCCGATTTTCTCTGATGAGATCGCTTCAAATTAGAATTCATAAAATATTGTTGCTACATATTTTTTGGAGTCAGATTTCTCAGGACTTCTAGAATTGTCCATTGTCTCAAAACAAATTTTTTTCGAAAAAAAACCAATAAAATTGCTCTCGAGAGTTCAACTTGATCGGAGTTTTTTCGCATGCATTTTTGAACTCTGATATCATTTTTTGTTATCAGCTATTTCCAAAAATAGAACAATTTATGGTATTTTTGAACCTAGAAATATACTTTTTGGGTGAGGTTCTCAGATCTTAGGGGATTTGAGTTTTCAGATTAAAAATTAATTTCTAAAGTTTCAGAAACGATAACTTTTTTGAACAAAGTGTATTCAACATTTGTTTTTGGTTGAAGTTTGATGTAAAACTACAGTAACCTAACCTATCATCAATTCTTTCCGTTTTTTTCCATTTCTCTCTCGATTTTTTTCCGCGATTTTTCGAACTTCCAACGTTCATCAACAACCAGAAATTGTTCAAGGTCAATGTTTACATCAAAATGTGAAAAATAAAAAAAAGTATCAATAAATAATGAAATTCTCGAATCTTCTTTTTATTTCTTGTCATCATTTTATGTGAGAAAAAGAGTACGGTATTGGGAATTTCAAGCAAAAAAAAACATGAATCTATTTTTAAACTTTTAGTTTATCAGAAATTGATAAGAGGTATTATAATACATCGGGTCAACGTAGTTTTTTGTGAGAGAAGCCTAAAAATAGAAATGTTTTTTTTTTCTATTTTCGGTGACCATTTTTTTCATGTTAAATTTAGATTGATAAATATGTAATTATGACGCGAAAAGACAAAGTTTGAATTCAATTTTTGAATGAGGGATCGAAATAATTGACTTGACTTTGAAAGGATTCAAAAATGTGTTGTGTATATATTTATTTATTTTGTAAAGCATGAGCATATATACAGTCATAAAACTTATTTTTATTCTTATTGACAACGGAAATACTATATTGCAAAAAAATGGAAAAAAATATTCAGCATGGATCGTAAAATGAGAAAAAAGGCTATGGAACTTTTGGTGTGGTGAAACCCTCCAGATTTGAGATTTAAAAAATCGATCAAAAAACATTTGATAACTCAAAGAAAAGTTAGACTGACAATGAATTAAGAATTTGAAAAAAAAAATCTCGTTCATTGAATTTTCACCAACGTTTTTGAGAATAATATTTACGAAGTCCTATGTGATTTTACTATTTGCAAATTACCTCAACTTTTGAAATTTCACAAAGATATTCCCGCTCCCATTAAACACTCACCTTCACAATCAGATTTCACATGAATAGAAGAAGTGAAAAGTTTTATCTTTGAAAAAAATGGCAGTTAAAGATGCACCGAATCGCTCTCTCACTAATAAAATTATTTTTAGAACACATAAGATAAATAGTTGTTATTTTTAACTCACCCAAACATATTTTTGCCACTAAAATGCTTCTTTTTCTTCTTCGTCTTTTATTGTATGATTGTCTTTCGTTGTTCAAAGTTCAAGTTCATCGCAATCAAATTACAGTAATCCAATTGTTCATCTTTCATCAAATCAATCAAACTTCGAACTATCATTTTGAATAAGTAGTTATGTTTCATTTTTCATCAGAAGAAGAAGAACAAGCACATGAAGTTGTAAAAATTATTGGATTTCTAGAATTTAGGAATTGATGAGCTAAACTTGAACAAGTAAGAAAAAATAATAAATGATTTTTAAAATACAGTATAAAAGTTCAAGTCCTACTGTATCTAAGTTTCCAGTTTCCACACATTAAAATTCAAAAATCACAAGATTTGTTCAGCGAAACTTTTTCTCATCGTATACTCGTATAGACCTGCGTATATATATTTTCCTACTGTGAAAATTACATAAATACAATCAAAATGTCCCAGAATTCACAAATTGGTTTTCTAACTGCAACTACTTACCGTAGTCTTTTCTCTTGCGAATTTAAATTAGTGTGAAACGTGGGAAGTTCATATCAAGTACAGAATAAGAATGAAAAAAATAACCTTGAAAATCGAAAAAAAAAGAGGTTGATCTACCATAGACTAACCGGAAAGGGGAAGAACCCTAAAAATAGACACAAATGAAAAAAGATGAAACTAATTTTTGACAGTTTCTGAAACATATTTTATTCCATAATCTAGTGATTTTTGTGATAAAATCCCATATATAAATAGGTTGTTGTTGCTTATCATTTCATCCGATTCCCAATTAATTTACGAATTTTCTATCTTTCATTGATTATCGTTGAACTTTTGACGTCACGTTTGATTACTGTAGTGTATTTCTTCGAAGATGTTTATCAATTGTCTCCGGTTTGTAGATATTCTCGATTTCACTGATTCATTTATTATTATTATTATTTCTTATTGTTATTTATTCAAATCACTTTATTCCTTCATTCATTAAATATTTCAAGAAAAACTTTGTGTTAGTTTGTTTTGGCCTGAATTATGTTGAAATTTATTGAGACATAGTTCGGTGTGAAAACAAACTAATCAATGATTTTTCAGTTTCCGTGTGATTTATTTGTAAGTTCTAAAAAAATATTTATATAAGTGTACGTGCCATAAAACAATATAAAACATTAATATCGAATATCTGGACTAAATGAGATTTCCCGTCTTTTTCTATATTTTCCACTCTGGATTTCAGGCACCAGCGAATCGTTTTGATGTGATGTCCAGGAACAAGGTTCGCCTCTCACAAATATTAGGAAAATTATATTAGTGATTATCTGAAAATATATCTGATTGTGAATTGTGTTCCAACACTAAAAAAAAGAATGGGAATTATTTACGTACATCCAAAAATTTAAAACTTTATCCTGATTTTCAGTCAGTAAATTTTATTTGAATTGATACTGTGGGATATTTTATTTAACCCTACCCCTCAATTAAATCTCTATAACTTACCAAAACAGCTGCAGTTATGAAAAATACATGACTCCATTCTTCTTGTGTTTCATTCGGTGTCAAAGCATTCACAAAAAATGGCACAATTATCATTGTTATCGTAATACCCAATGAAATATTACCAGTTACAAAATGACTGTATTGTTTTGAAAGAAATGGTGCCGCTTTGAAGAATCCACCAGTTGTTGCACCCAACATTGCAGCCGATGCACCCAAAACAAACATATTATAATCTCTTTCTGAATCACCGATTACACCCAATGTTATGAGAAAAGCTGCAGATCCAAAGAAGGCAAAAGAATTGAAAATTCGGAATTTCCAACCTTCTGGAAAACATTTTAAGCGATCTGAGATCGCACCGCAAATAACTTTGGAGAAAAATTGGAGGAATGGTGGAAGAGCGGCTGTTATTCCAGTACTGTGGGCTGGGAAGCCAAGAACTTTCGAGAGATAAACTGGACTGAATAAGAATAACATATTGACACAGAAGAAATTTCCAATCGCAGCGATCCAAACAGCCCAAATTGCTCGAGTCTTCAGAATCTTACAGTACGGTATTGTTCTGCAATAAGTTTATGATAAATTTGAAAAAAAATTTTAAAGAAAAAATCAACTCACTGAACAGTCGCAACTTTTCCAACGCTAATTTTATCCAACTCTGTTTTCCCAACACATGGATGGTCTTGAGGGGAATTTCGGAAAAATATCGCGTAGATCAGGAAAAAGAAAATACAAACTGAGCCGTGAGCATAAAATATTGAAGGCCAACCAAAAGAATGACAAAGTCCTGCTGAAGCTGGCATTGTGATTGCTGGAGCAAGTTGGACATAAGCGACAAGAGATGAGACAAATAAACCGTTTTGTTTGAAATATGACCATTTAGCACAAAATGCTCCAATTACTGGGAAATTTGAAGCGAATGCGATGCCTTGAACAAATCGGACAGCGAGAAAATATGGAAATCCCAACTGAAAAATAATGTGGTGACGGGTTTTTAATGAAATGATTTCCAAATTGTTTTTCTCGAAAACTCACTTGAATCGCAAGAGGAATCAGGAGTGTAGCAATTCCTGACATCAAACCAAGACCAGCGAAAACAGTTCGAATTCCAATTTTTCCGACAAGTTGAACTATTGGAAAATTTGCAACGAGTGCACCAATCGCCACAATTGAAATCGCCCAAGAATTTTCATCTGATCAAGTTTTTTTTAGTTTCTAATTTTTCTTTGTTCAAAAAAATTCTTACTGTCAGTAAATTTTGGATTCTCTGATTCTGAATTTGTTTTGTTTTGTTCATTGTGATGATCTCCAACTTCTTCATCCATACAAATTATCGCAAAATTGAAAGTTAGAATATTAGACCTGAATGATATTTTTGAAAAATCTTGTTATCAATGTTTCAAAAACAAAAAAAACAAACCAAACAGATGTCAAACATAATAAGATGAGAACCATAATAATGAATCGAATTCGAGTTCCACATAAGCTATTAAACCTTTTTTCAGCTTGATCTTGAGTTGGAAAAATAGATGACGACATTATTCAAAACTCCAAAAATAAATAGAAATGACGTTTTCCAAATTTGGTCAAGAAGAGTTGAATGAAATTGTAATGTATAAGCACCATGTTTGTCGACTCTTTCACGGAAGTCTTATGTCCCTCCTCTTTCTCTTTGGTATCTTATTAATATTTAGTGCATAGTAGGTTTGTATTTATTTTGGTGTTCGGCTTTATTTGTTTTTCCAACGTCTGTGTTCGTTTTTTCCTACAAGGTCATATTTTGGAATGAACATATGATCGCAAAAGAAATTGATGATGATGTTGGGTCATTGTGAGATATAAACTTTCGGAGTAAATACGGTAAAAGGGTGAAAGGTTGAATATTATCATCTTGTTTATCTGTCTATCTATTTTCCATCCCGACAAACAGCAAAACATAGGGTAATTTGGCAAAAACGAAAAATAAGACCATTGAGATCACATGATTATTTTGAAATTCAAGTAAAAAAGTTGAGTTTCAACAAAAATTTCAGAAACCCAACTATTTATAATCATGTTTCAAATATATTTCATCAGAACAAGCATAGGCAACGAAGCTACAGTACTCCAAACACAATTGCATTTCCTTTTACACAAAAAAATTTCGATGGACGAAGTGCGCTCCATTGCACACACTTTTGGATTTCTCTCGGACAAATTATTTTTTTCGTTTTTTTGCCGTCCACCAAACATGTGTTCACGATTCCACGTTTTAAAATTTGCCTTTCGAATTCTTATTTCTTCATTTCTAAATTATAGTATTCTAGAATGTTAACGGTGTTGATACTTCTATCGTGTTTCGTGTTACAAGGTAGTTTTTAATGAGTTAAATTGAAAGTGTTCCTAAATATTTTTTTTCAGATGCAGCAATTATCAAATTCGTCAATTTCAATGATCATTTTCAAGTGAAAATTGAAAACGAAACATTGAATTCGAATATTCTACGGAAATTCAATGAGGGTTATTTTGGAGTTCGAGCGGTAGAATCTGAAAACGGTTCCGTTCTTTTCGATCGCCCTAATGTTCTTGTTTTGTGTAGTATTCAAGGACTCGAGAAGGTTAAATTTGAAGGGAAGGAATTTGAATTTAACGGTGACTTCGAAACACAAACCTTTCTCAATAACATGAATCAAGAACTTGATGATGGTCAATTCAAAGTTTTGACTATAAATGAACATGGAACAATTGAGGGAACTCCGAAAAATCTTGTTGGTTTAGCCAATAATCAATCGATAACCAAGAAAACAATAAATCCAGCATTGAATGAACAACTTGGTGCTTTATTTAAATTGGAAACCGCACTGAAGGATTACAAAAAAGAAGATGGAGTTGTTCAAATATATCAAATTCAATTGAAATTCCCTCCAATTCATTCGAAACTTGAAAATCGGACAGTAGCTCTCGAATTATTGCAAACTGAATTGGGAAATGTAATTGGCGCATTGAGAAAAGTTTATGAACATCAACTTCTTGTCGAAATTTATACCCACAAAAATTCGGAACATGTTCATCATCACGAAATTCGCGACCTCAGAGAGTTTTATAGCAAAACTTTTCAACTCGCAATTCGAAGAGGTGTTGATTATCCAGCTATGTTTCTCATTGTTTCGGGATTGATTGCCTTCTTCAGCTTTGTAAGTTTAATTATTAGGAAATTAGGAAATTTATAGTTTTTTTTCAGGCTGTAATTGCTGCTGTAATTTTTATGTGGGATACTCAAGATATGGGAAAGAACTCGATCATTTATCGACTTACGAGTAATTACAAGAAAAAAGTTTGATCTTCTTGTATTTGAATATAATTGCACACGTGTCATAAAGTTTCACAGATCTTCATTTTTATTTTCAATTTTATTGTCCATCTGAAACGTTAATATCGTTTTTGAATATCTGAGAATAAAGCAAGAGCGAAAATCGTAACTCCATTCTAATTTAATGTTGCAGATGCTGAAAATCGGTACATTTTTATCAAAAAGTTTACTTCAAACAGCTCCCCGAAGATTGTGCAGCATTGGAGCAACAACTAAAGAAGATGAGCCAATTGTTTTAGAAAAGAATCCGTACACAAAAGAGCCAAGAAAATGTTTATTATGTTCGACTGGAGTTGAATTGGATTATAAGAATTCGAGATTGTTGCAGGTTTGTCGTATAAAAATATGTTTTGTGATCTAGAAAAGGAACTTCGGGAGCCGAGTTGAAAAGCTCTTTGTTGCTCAAAAATGTGAAAAACGGTTCCGTAAAAATTCTCTGGTTTTCTTTTCAAAGTTCTACCTCACAACACAATTTTTCAGCAATTTGTTTCAACATTTTCTGGTCGAGTTTATGATCGACACATCACTGGTCTTTGCGATAAACAACAAGAGAAATTAATCGAAGCAATTGCGAAATCAAGAAGAGCTGGATATATGCCAATCTTTGTCAAAGACCCCAAATATACACGTGATCCAAAACTTTTCGATCCACTTCGCCCACTTCGATCACATTCTTTTGCCTAATTTTTTTGTTTTTTTTTATTTAGTTTGTAGGAAAAGTATCATGAATTGTTTTTTGTTTTGAATTTTCGATTTTATTTTCTGAGTTTTTCGAAAGTTGGAATTCTCCATCTACTTGTATTTTTACATCAAAGTCTGCTGCGATTTTTATTCCAAAAAGATTTTTCAGATGAACATCAGGAAGTTTTTACTGGAAAACGAGGGGAATTTGAAGGATGTTGAAATGGAAGAACTCGAAAAGGTTTTACCGGAAGTTTATGAAGTTGAAGAGGATTTGATAAACGAGTTGGGGAAGAGGAGAATTCTAGATTTATGTTTGCATATTTTGAAAAGTAAGACCTTCATATCAAAGTTTTATTGTTTCCAAAATCAAATTTTTTTTATTCAGGCGCTGATTCAAGTCGAACTGGTCGCCGATATGCTCTCGCATTTCTCAAAATCTTCTTTCCTTATAATTTTCTTCAAGATTTTCATGTTCTCGTCGAAGCTCTCGAAGAACCACAATTTCATATTATTCAACCGGTTCTTCCTAGAATGATATCTCTAATCAAAACAGTTGAAGCTGAAGTGATCGAATTTAGTTTTGTGCAAATTGTGATCTTCCGTGGAATTTGTCATACAAATGGATGGATTCGAACATGGGCAATTCGAACAGCTGTTAATTTGGATTCGAAATTATTATCGAAAGATATCGAGTATATTCCAAATGTTGTTTTGCATAATCTCAATAATAATGATATTTTCTGGAGATTTTTGGAAAAGTCTGAAATGGAATTGTTCACCGAAACATTGTCTCAGAAAATTGCGCAAGTTCAGGGAGATCGATACAAGTTTTTTGAAGCATTTTTGACGAAAGTTGTTGATGAAATATCTTGCCCAACTGCTTTATATTTCGCTTCGACAATTTTAGAAGAAGTTCAAAGATCTGAGATTTTCGATTTTGATGATATTCAATTATTCAAACGGGTTATTTGGAAATCGAAATATATTCCACACAAATCATTGAGAATTATAACAATTCGACAATTTATCTTGTTTTTTGTCAAAGTTACAAAACTATCCTCGAAGTTTCTTCACGAAATTTCCCAATTAATCGCGCTGATTTCATGTGAAGCAAAAAAAGAGCTGATTGAAGATATTTATTCGGAAATCACAAAAATCGTCGAAGAAGATGGATTTCTAACCGGTGAAGATGAAGATGAAAAAAGTTTCCTGGAAGATTTATGTTCAACGAATCATAAATTGGAGGCGGTGAAATTGTGGTGGATTTCGATGAGAAATGATATTCCGAAACAAGAAAAAATGGTTGCTCGACTTCAATTGATTTTAGCTGATCAATTGGAGGATATCCCACAAAATATTGAGAATGTATTGTTTTGTTTATACAATTATCCACCAACAGTTATAGTCAGTAAGTTACTTTTCTGAAAAAATTCATTTTAATTTGCCGCCTGAAAATACCAACAAAAAACCAAAAAATCGTATTTTCAGGTTCCCTGGAACGTCTGAAAAATCTAATTGGAGCATACATTGTGAAACGTGCAATAGGTCCAATTTCCACTGATTTCGAATGCTACGAAAAATGTTTCAATTTATTCTTCCTGGAATATAATTGTTATTTATTGGATCATGTTATTATGATGATGTTCGAAGTATTGAAAAATGAACCGATTTTGGAATCACATGTTATGGTTTTGGCATTTTTGGATGAAATTTTGGAATATGTCAAGAATAAAGAGAGTTCGACACCACAAGTTATTGAATATTTGAATTTGGAAGTTGAATTATTGGGCCTAAAAAGACAGAACAGGTGAGTTGAAAATGATGTTAGAGGAAAAACCGTCTTTAAATTTTAATTTTTTCAGATCAAATAATGATATGAGTATGAAAGAATTCAATCATTTGGTTGCAAAACTTCATTCTACAAAACTGAAACTTTTCCTGAGATATTACGAAGTTGAAAATGTCGACAAAAATATTGTTGGATTGTATTGAACAATTAGATATTGCTTCTGCATTTTCTGTCAAACAAAAACTTTGTGAAATTATGGCCAAATATATTTCAAAGGTTCGAAATTTCCAGAACTCTTACATTAATTTTAAAATCAATATAAATTTGCAGACATCGGATGAAAAATTGTCATTATCATGTATTCGAGCTGCTTTGAATATTGTCAACGAAGAGAAAAAGTCATTGAATAGTTTGCCAGCTTTGGAAGCTTTTGTTAATGTTGCATTGGAATCAAATGGAAATCAACAGGAAATAATTGCGATGTTTGAAGATCAAATGCTTATTGCAAATCAAAGTACACAAGTTGCACTTGTTATTTCAAATGGAATTTGTAGTCGATTTGATAAATTGCAATATGATTGGGCTGCTTTCATTGTGAAATTGTGTATTTTTGGACCAGTGCCTAAAAAGGATACAAAAGTCATCTCATTTTGCTATGAAAAGATATTTAGTTTGGATACGAATTCATTGGAAAATGATAAAATTGAAAGATTGGATCAAGTTGTTCAAATTGCAAGATTTCAAGCGATTGAAATGTCGATAAAATTGGCTGAAAAAGATGAGAAATGGGCGATAAAATTGGCTGAAAATGTGATAATTATGTCGAAATTAATGGATCAAAGTTCAAGTCGATCATTTGGATTATCATTGGCACATCGACAAAAAACACGAGCTGTTGAATTAGTTTTGCTTGTTACACAATTCATCAAAGATCAAAGTTTTATATCGGAATTATTCGATTATTTGGTTTCATGTATTATTGATCCGTGCCAACAATTTTCGATTAAACTTATTGTTGAATGGACAATTGTCAATATTGCAATCGCATTTGAAACAGAGTTTTTTGAAAAATTGGTTTCGCCAGAATTCGAAAAATATTTAGCGGAGAGTCGAATTGGAAGTATTTCATCATGGATCAATATTCTAACTTTGATCTCAAGGACAAATCCAAAACTTCAAGCTCGATGTTTAGAAAAAGTTGTTTCGTGGACAAGTGCACAGAATTTTCCAGTTAGATGTACTGCGATTGCTGCGTGTCGATTGATGTATTTTTCGATGAAAGATCAAGAGAAATATGGAATTATACGAAGTATTGTTGAATTTTCAGCAGAACCTTCTGGAAATTCAAAACGGGTTATTGAAAATCTTTGTGCCGATTTTTATTTCGCCAAACTTCATACAATTAATCACTTTGATCTTCAGGTAATTTTGGGTGAATTTTAACACTGTTAAAAATTTGATGAGTTCTTCTTGTATATTTTTAACAGTGTTAAAATTAAACGGAATATTTTTTATTGATAAAAACTCACAAAAATATTCAAATTTCAGACAATTCTTGTAATAATTGCGGAGAAAACTGGAATGCCACCAGAAGAAACAATTCCAGTTGAAATAATCAAATTATATAATAACACAAATATATTGTCTGAAAATACGGATGGAAAGTTTTTATCAGCACCTTCGGATGTTTATTCAGCTCTTATGAAAAATGCAACATCGGCTCCTTCAATGAAAGCAGAAAATGAAAACGAGGAAAATGATCGAGGAGAATTTGAATTGGTTCAACAAGAAAATACAGAAGAACCCGCCTCATTTCAACGAAAAATTGTGAAAGAAAAAGAGGAAAAAGATCCCGAAAAGAGTTTGATTGTTGTTGCAACTCTTGTCGATAAACCTACAAATCTTGGTGGAATTTGTCGAACTTGCGAGATTTTTGGAGTCGATTCACTAGTCATTTCCGATGTGCTTTTAGCTGGAGACAGTAATTTCCGAGCATTGAGTATGAGTTCCGAAAATTGGCAGAAAATCGAGGCTGTCAAACCGCAAAACTTGTTGGAATATCTTCAAAAATTACGAACTGATGGATATACTGTAATTGCGGTGGAGCAGACAACTGATAGTGTTATGATGCATGATTTTGTATTTCCGAAAAAAGTGAGTCATTTTCTTTTTGTTTCTTTTGGTTTTGCGTGGGTTTTTACTTATCAGTATATAATTTCTTGCAGTCTGTTATCGTGATGGGAGATGAAAAAGAAGGAGTTCCAGTGCATTTATTGAGAGCTGTTGATAAAACTGTCGAGATAAAACAGGTAATTTTTTGAAAATTTTGAATCGGGCCAGATCCGATTTTTCAAAAAAAAAATCTCAACTGAAAAACTTTTCCAAAAAAGCGGTCCCTTAAATTATAAACGAAGTAAAATGCAAGTTTTATTTCACTGGAAAAAATAATTTTCATGACGAGTTCTCTGGATCTTGTCCACCTGCTGAAGCCTTACTTCCACTTCGTTTTTTGGTGCGCTCTGAAAAAGGGAACTTTTTGAAAATTAAAATTTCCGGCAAGAATTTATCCGAAAAATTCGCCCAAACTCACTTCTCTTTTTTCTATCCTTCGATCCCTTTTTCTTTCTCGTATTCGAAGTTTCAGTCGATTCACTTTGAATCTCATGCGCAGTCGATACTCCACTTTCCGGTGCTGATTTCTCACTTATATCATGCGCTGTCTTCACTCCAGATTCCGGCGCATCTTGTCCAATTTCATTCGCAGTCTTCACACCAGATTCAGGAGTTTCAGAGATGTTTTGAGCGGTTTTCACATCTGATTCTGGTCTATCCATTCCGGCATCTGAAGCTGTCTTCACATCCGATTCTGGTTTGTCCATCCCTTTGTCAGTTGCAGTTTTGACATCAGATTCGGGTTTGTCTAATCCAGCATCTGAAGCAGTTTTGACATCGGATTCTGGCTTATCCATTCCCTGATCGTTTGCTGTTTTAACACCAGATTCGGGAGTATCTGTTGCCTCATTTGCAGTCTTGACATTAGCTTCTGGCTCATCGTGAACTGGAGTTTTGACCTTCTTCTTCTTCTTTTTCGACGCGGTTTTCTTAGACTTGGTTTTGCTCTTCTTGTTCTTCTGAAATTAGAAGAAAAAATTATTTTTGATCTGAATTTAAATAAATTAGCAACTTACACTCTTCTTGGTCTTTTTGCTCTTTTTGGCCGATTTTTCAGAAGCTGGTGGTGCAGCCGCTGAAGTCTCTGGTGTTGTGGCTGCTGCAACATCTTGAGGTGGTCGTGCAGCTTCTGCGGCACCTGCAGCAACAGCATCTGGAGTTGGTCCAAGAACTAACGAATCAGGTCCTCCTGGTTTTGGCGGTTGAGCTCCGTCATTTGTGGGTGGCGCCAAGGAGACAGAATCGACTTGTGGTGCTTGAACAGGTTCACGGATTGAAGGGGCTTTTGGTGGAGCCTGAACATTTTCGCGGATCGACGGAGCTTTTTGTTGAGGAGCAGCTTGAACTGGTTCACGAATCGATGGAACTTTTCCTGAGATTGCAGTTCGAGTTGATGGTGGAGCCTGGATATTTTCGCGGACTGAAGGTGTCTTTTGTTGAGAAGGTTGAACTGGTTCACGAACAGATGGTGCTTTTGGTGAAGCTTGCACATTTTCTCTAACTGATGGTGCTTTTGGAGCCTCTTCAACTGGTTTACGAACAGATGGAACTTTTCCTGATATCGCAGTTCTTGTTGATGGCGGAGGTTTCTCTGATGATTTTGGTGGTTCGCCACGAGATGAAGGCGCTTTTCGAACCGACACTTCTTTCTTTTTTGATCCACTTTTCTTGTCATCGCCAGCCTGATTTTGAGTCTGGAAATAATACAAGATCGCAGCTGCGCCAACCGCCAATACAACCAGAATGAACATTTTATTGTTTGGATCGGACGTTTTGCTCTGCAAAAAAGTAGTTTTGAATGCTTTTAGCTAGGTTACTGTAGACTCACCAAGTATATGCGCGTTTTTTTCTACTTGAAAAGCGCGCCAGAATCGAAAAAACTATGAAGTGACTTTGAGAATTTGTTTCAAAAACTGAATTTTGCCGAGAGGATTCGCCTTTTTATGTGGCATTTTTTGTGGAACACGTTTTCACGCAAGGGAATTTTTTCAAAAATCAATTTTTTTCAGCTTGGGCACACTCGAAGCTTGAATGTTCACGTGACAGCTGCATTGATGATTTCAAAATTTGCGGAACAAGTTTTGTATTCATAGACTATAAACTATGAATTATAGTTCTAAAAAGTCGTTGAAATTTAACGTGTTAACTGTTTTCTCACTTGTTGAATAATTTTTGTTTGTTATTTATTATGTTATGAATTTTTACACATTTATCTAGTTGTAATTTTAGTATTTAAAAATGGGTTGGGTTTTCGATTTGTCTCTTCTTATCAGTTGCATTTTTATTTAAATATTGACTTTTTCTCATGCAGCAAACACTTTTAAAATTATAATGAATCCACCAAAAAGAATAAGTCCATATGCAAATGCTCCGAAAATTTTTGGACTCAAGTTCAAAATCGCGTCAAGAGTTATGCTATATTTCGAGGCGATTTTAGGAAAGTTGCTTCTGGTTTTATCGATTTGCTCTATTATTTATTCGCCAACTTGGTGTGAGTTTTTGAAGGAGATTTTTTAGAGTCGATTACTAGATCTTCTGAAGATGTGAGAGTCCCTTAATTTTTAAATTCTTCTAGAAAAAAGTTATGACGTGGAAAAGTTGCCTTGGAAATACTGTAGTTTTTTTCAGAAAACATTCCGATATTTAAAATTTTTTAAAAATTCCGATTTGGACCACACCTAAGTATTTCCAAACGTTTAAAATCGAGAAATTTTGCCACGTCATAACTTCTCTAGAATGTCTAACGTCTAGAAAAATACAGTAACCCGAATATTTTTTTACAGACCCAGTTGCAATTAATTTCGCATTCTTGATTCTTTTCATAATTTCGACAATAACTTATAACAAATGTTTGAGTCAAAAACGATCGATTTTGGCGTATCCAATGATTTCATATGAAATTGTCACAATTTTCTGGCTCTCAATTTGGTTGTATGCTTCTTTGAATGCAATTGCGACTGGTTATATGTTTTCTTTGGAATGGTTGGGAGGTCCAAAGTAAGTTAGGGTAACTTTGAAAAATATGACTAGAACTTTTCTTAAGTTTTTGGGTTTTTTGTATAGTAAAACTCGATGGATTTTTTTCTCTTAAAACTACAACTTGAATTGAAAATATTCCATAAACTGGAAAATTATGGAAATTTTTTCCCAAGAAAAATCCCTTGAGGGTTTCCTTTACTTTATCGTTATTTATGATCTTATGGCTCCAATGTTTTTATTTCAGAACAAGCCGAGTTCCACCTTCCCGAGATTTCCGTGATATAAATTATGCGAATCCCAATGAAACTTTGCCCGAAACTATGAAATCAATCAAATATGGTGCAATTATTTCAGCTGTTTGTGCACTTTTGATTGTTTTGAAAATGTTGGCATTTGTTGTCGCTCGAAGAACATTTTTCCAAATTCAGAAGATGCAAAGGGAAATAGTTGAAGAAGAACAAAAGGCACGTTGTGATTCGATTGTTATCAGATTTTAAATTTACTTTTCTAAGAATCATAATTAATTAACTAGACATAATTGATATTTTTCATAATAATAAATAAAGTTTTTCTTATAGGCCAATTGGGAGACTGAAAGTGAAATTTCAAATATTGGCGGGTCTTCTCCTTCATTTCCGGTTGCATATAAAAATCGACCTCCAAAAGAAAGAATGGCGCCACTTCAGGAAGTTGAAAAAGAGGAATATACACCACAACCTTCACCAGCACCAAGAAGATTTGTTAAGAAACCAAGAGATAATAAATTATTGGCTAATGAAAATCCCTACGAGGAAACAATGTTTTAGAATAAATTTATTGATTTGTGCTTCCCTTTTATTTATATTATCCAGCAAAAATATCGAGTGTCTTCTTCCTAGAAAACGGACGGCTAAAAGCAAGAAAAACGCGGCCACCCATATAAAAAAATGCGGGAAATAGTGAGCGAGTGCGGCAAACGCGCTCCACCGAACAACAACCGTAGTTAGATGCGCATTGTTTCCTATATCAGAACAATTATTTATTTGCCAAAAAAAGTTGGCCGCAGCCCAAAAAAATCTATTTGAATTTTCTGCAATCGAAAAATTTCAGAAATATCGATTTTCTCATGCTTTTGGGTCATTTTTTCGAAAGTTTACACCATTTCCAGTTGTAATGGAGTCAGAAACAAGTTTTTCGATAGTTTTTATGGGTACCAGCTGTGTTTTTTGAGAAATATGCGGCTCGAAAAATCTATAAATTGAAAAAAGTCAAACTAATATGTCAAATAAAAAGAAATCCATAAGACACCAATCTTTCTGAACATTAAACTTCATAATATTTTCGTAATTAATCGATTTTTTCTCTTCAAAAACTCGTTTCAATTGATTTTGTATTACAGAATGTGTATAATTTGAGAAGAGCAATAAATGCGAAGAATTGTTTTGTGATTTATTGGCTCAATATTTTCTTCCTTCAAAAATTCATTCAAAATGGATCAGCATTTGGAGGTGAGTCTAATTTTTGTTTTGGGTCTCAAAACGACTATTGATTTTCCGCGGACGGCATATAAAATGGGAAATAAAAACATGAGATAACAAATCTCGAAAAACTACTTTCCTAGACATGTTCATCCAATTAGTTTGAACTTATCTAATTGTTGAATTAGCAAACTTCGATGAAGCATAAAAATATATATTTAGAACCGAAAAATTGTAGCAAAAGAAGCTCAAAAATCATCACATAAATGCACTTTCAAAATCACTAAATTTGTAGCTATACGATTGATCATAGTCATCAAACTCGTGATATTTTTTCCGAGAAAATTCTAGCAGATGATAATTAGGAATCTCATTGCGAGCTGGAATTGGAGTGAAATTCGGATAAAAATGTATGAAGCTTGGACTCTGAGTTCTGAAAATGAGAACTAACTGCTTAATATTTATAAAAATAATTAGATATGAAAGGCCAAGAGGCCGCCACGTTACACATTTCACGTTCTCTGGAATGTTTGAATGTTTATTTCTAATTTTTCAGAGCAGGTAATTTTCCCATCGTTTAGAAATACTCTATAGTAATGTTTATCGTTCAGAGTTTTTCAGTTTTGTAGAGTTATGTGAGTAGTTTCCAGGTTCTCACTCGAAACTTCCGAAATTCTACATTTTTTGACATCTGTTGTACAAGTGTTCAAAACAGGCAGGCATTTTGTCCAGCTGAACATCTGTGTTCTCGTTTTCTCTCACGCCACTGAAGGAATACCATTTTCAAAAAATGTCCTAAAATCATTTTTGTCGGTCGGCCGGTCATTATCTTTTCCTGGTTCCACCAACTGATGTTCCTGCAGTAATTTATTTTCTTAATTAGTTTTCTTATTTTTTTTTCGTTTCTCCGTTCAACCACAGAAAAGTTACAATTCATTTTTTCTTCTTCTTCTTCACAACGAGAACGGCTGGAATGTTATTTGTAAAAAAATAAACATTGATTGCCTTAAGACGACGAAAAGCACCATGACAGCGAATGCAGGACTCAGGAGCAACACAAAAAAAGAGAAGTGTTCGTTTTTGTGCACATATCGAAGTCGGCTTTTGGCTTGAAAAGAAGAAGAGTGCATTACTAACAAATTTCAGAGGAGCAGAAAGCAACAAGCATGAAAATACATAGAGGAAAGAAGAAGAAGAAGCGACCTCTTCCTAACCGTTGCTATGAACCTCGGTTCTTTTTGTTGCTTGCTGTTTTTTTTTGACGAGAGACGAGGTGTAGATATGTGCTGTGCATTTATTTGAATGCGTATTATCTTCATAACTCCGCCCACTTTTCTCGACTTTTCACTTTTATTATTTTTTTGCTTGATTCGGGTTTAGGTGGACTATTTTTCAAATATTTTCTTGACAAATATGATGTTCAATTTTCTAAATTTTTATCAACTACAACAACAACAGCTATATCTTCAGAGGTTAAATTTGGTTAGTTCGAAGTTGTTTTTGGAAAGTTCAATGAGGATTTCGAAAACCAGATTGATATGAGCAATGACGTGGCAAAGTCTGATCGAAAAATTGTAACTTTCCTAATATTCTGATTTTGCCACGTCATAGCTCATATTAGGAGTTGAGTTTAGCACTTTTGGACAACGGGGTCGTGATCAGCGTGAAATTCTGCCTAATAAAAAGATTACAAATAAGTCATTTGTGAATGACAATCTAAAAAAAACTAAAAAATGAATCAAAATGCAAAAAAAAATAGTTCTAAGAATGGAACTTTCCTATAATTTTGTCTGTTTCAGATTGATGTTAGTGTCCCACCATCGTCAAACGATGCAACATCAACTGTGGCTGAAAATCAAGATCAACATTCAATGCCACCACCATCAACAGATTGGAATAGTCAATACAGTCCAAGAGATTCGGTATGTCTCTTTTCATTTTCCATCTTTGTATTTTCAATCAAATCCTTTTTTTCTTTTCAGGACGAAATCCATCCATTTGTTGAAGAACTATTGCCATATGTGAGAAAGTTTTCGTATGTTTGGTTTCATTTGCAAGCGGCAAAACGGAAATATTTCAAAAGGCATGATAAACGAATGAGTTTGGAAGAGGAAAAGAAAAAGAAACTCGAGTTGATGGTAGGTTATGATTGCTGTATTTAGTTTTATTATTCATCACCTGGAATATTATTTTTTTATTTCAAAAACACCTGAAAAATCCAAAAAAAAATTTTTCAGAACGAACGCGATGATGTGAAACACAAATGGGCTGCTAGGTTATTGGGAAAACTTCGTAAAGATATTCAAACTGCGTATCGCGAAGATTTTGTTCTTTCAATAACAGGTCAAAGACCAGCAGTTTGTGCCGTTTCAAATCCAGATCAAAAAGGAAAAATGCGACGGATTGATTGTTTGAGACAAGCGGATAAAGTTTGGCGACTTGATTTGGTTATGGTTATTCTCTTCAAGGTGAGTTTTGTGAAGGGAATTTTGAGAAATCCAGAAATTGGGCTAGGCTTATCCGCCTGAAACACACTACTTTTTTTCAAAACATACATTTGGCACGTTGACTAATCTTTTATAAGTCCAAAAATTGTGAAAAGATTTGCCTAATCTCTGATATCATTTATTTATTTTTTTTCTCTCGAAACTCTGACGCTCGTTTCATGTTTCCTTTCAAAAAAAAAGAGTACGGTAATTGCACTTTCAAGAAATCAAATCACGGATACATTTATGCTTTTTTATAGTTTTACAGTATTTTTTTCTGACGATATTAGTCAAACTAGAAAAATAAGCAAAATTCGTAGTGCCGAACCCTAAAAAAATTGTAGAACTACCAAAAGCTATAATTAGAATCTAAATATTATGTAACATGTAATATATTCATTTTTAATTACAGGGAATTCCACTTGAAAGTACTGATGGTGAAAGACTGGAAAAGTGTAATGATTGTATATATCCGCAACTTTGTGTAAATCCATATCATGTTTCGATTTCTGTTCGTGAACTCGATCTTTTTCTCTCCAATTATATTCGAACAACCGATCCGAAATTGGAAAAATCAGAAGAAGATGAAGAGAATTCGATATCTGTTTTGGCTCCTTTCCCACCTCAACCGTTGACACCAAATGATCCAACTGCAGATGCGAAAAATGGTATTGCAACGACTCATTTTGTGAAATCGAGAGATGGTGAATCGATTTGGGGAACTGGTGTTTTTTCGGCTTTTGAGCTGAAAAATATTTGCACTTCCAATTTTGGACGTAAGATTTTATCTCGTTTTTTTCCTGTCTTTTTCAAAATATTCATTTTCAGTTGAAGCAAAATCACTTCTTCGTTCTGGAGCTGCTCGAAATACTGGATTTTTCGTGAAGCAGGAAGAAATCGATAATTCATGGCTGCAAGCTGAACGAAAATCAGCAGTTCTCGAAATTCCTCCTCCAGCTTCTGCTGTCGCTGCAATTCAAGCGATGGAAAACGAACACGAAGAAATGGAAACAACGTGTATTTCACCAACAGTTCACGATGTTGGTGCAATGGTAACAGTTGGAGATGATTCGAATGATGAGCCGATTGAAAAACGGGTTAGACAAGCATCGCATGATTCGGCAAATTCGAGTTTTTCGACAAATGAAGAAGTTCGACGAATTGTTGAAACTGCGGGAAGTGTTTTGATTGATGGTGGAGTTAATGGAAATGGGAATAGTGTTTGGACACCCACAAAGAATCATCACGATTTTGGAGATGGATTTGGAGTTAGAATTGCGACTACAAGTTCGCATTCGATACAAGATCCGTAAGTTTCGAGAACAAAATTTGATCTGGAGCTTTTCTCTAGTTCACGTTCACGTTTTTCTTATTTTTATTTTTTTGAAATCATTATTTTTCAGACGTAGATCGAATTCTGCAATAACTTCAAATCGAATTGTGAAACTAATAACTCCACAAATGAAACCACAACAACCACAACAACAACAGCAACAACCAACAACACTTTGTCGAATGATTGTTCCTGGAAATTATGGAGATGTTGGAGTTGTTGTATTAGATGCAAGAAATTCAAAAAACAACACAATATCATCAGCATTAAATACAATCGCAACAAAACCACCAACTCAACACGCAATCAATAGTTCACATGCTCCAATGGTTGCATCTCGAAAACGAATGCATCCAACACAATCGAATCTATCAGTTACCAATCAACAATTTATTCATGATGTTTCTATTTCTTCGGATGTTTCGCCACCACATTTGGCGGTTTCGAGTTTAAGAGGAAGAGATGGTGGAACATATATGGCGAGTCCGACGAAGTTCACGACTTCCAGAGGAGATACTACTAGTTTTAGGTTTGTTCTTTCTTATTCATTTTTTTTCTAAAATTTGATTTTTTCTAGTAAAATCTTGCATCAAGTTGAAGAACGTCATGGTTCACTTTTGAATCATTGTGGCATGAAATCGATTAATCAACCAGTTCGAACATTTATTAACAAACCGGAACCATCATCGAAACTTATTGTACCGAAACCGATTAAACCTATTCCAATTATGGGAAAAGCTGATTATCAGCATGTTTTATCAGCGAGTAGCTCGGCTGTCGCTTCGCCAATTACAACACCGCGAGTTACACCGTTGCCACGTCATTTGATCGAGGAAGATTCGTCGCAATCGATTTTTAGTTCGAATATTAATGGAAATAGTAATGATGGTATGTGAATTTTTATTAAATTCGGCACAAGATTTTTCCGGATCTTCAAATTTTCGGAATTTTTTACTAGTTCCTTTGATATTTGATTAGTTTTCAAACGAAGCTCTTAGAACAACCATTTTCTCACAAGTCAAAACCAATTTATTGCAGCAACATATGTGTCAACCGGATTTCTTCAATATTTCAATGATTCGAACTCGAGATCTCCATTAAATGTCTCTCAACACGGTGCAATTGGTGCTCCATCATTTGCAACTCTTGGAGCTGGAAATACTCTTCCCCCAGTGATTCCATCAACATCTCATGCAAATCGACCAGATAGTGTCGCCAGCAAGTCAGTTTATTCTTTCTTGAATTAAATAAGAAAAATTATAAATTTAAAAAATCTTTGCAGTAGTTCAAATTCGATGAGTAGCGCAATTGTTTTGTCGGCTCCAACGGTTCAAACTTTGACTGTTTCGCAAACACCAACAGCTACTTCTCAAACATCTAATAATACGGTTTATGATAATACGGTAGGTCAAAAAATGAAGGGAAACAATTTACAGTACGCCTGTGGTAGCCGCGAGTTCATGTTCCTTGAAAATTCACAGAATTACTTTAGATTAAAAAATTCTAATGCATTGCAATTTGAGTTTAATCTGAGCAATGTCCTCTAGAAATGGGCTAGATAAGAGTTCTTTCAGAAAAAACAAACCTACCGCATCTTTAATTGATTTACAGTATTCTTAGCTCAAGCTGTGTCCCTTTAAAATCTAACTGAATCACTGTAGATTTGTTCCGAATACCAAGATTAATATGAGCAATCTTTGACAAAAGAGCTATTTTTTTGAAATCTACAGTTAAAGCTCTAAAATATCAAAGAACAATAGTTCAGGAAACTTGAACAATTATTTCTCTCTATATTTTTCCCCCCAAAAACTCATCAACTTTGTGTATTTCGAGAAGTTCTGACAAAAATCAAAAATCAAAATTTAATTTCAGGTCCGTGATTCTCTTCCCGATTCGACAACATCAGATTCTCCACGTGTTATAATCCGCAATCTTCCAAGCGGTACAACATCCTCCTCATCGCCATCTTCTTCACTCGGTTCATCATCTTCAAATGGTGGTTCAGCAGCCAATCAGCCACCAACTCCACCAACGGCTGCTTCAGCTTCATCAAACAAGGCGCCAACTGATTTTTCACAAACTTTGAACAGACGTAATTCCTAATTTGCCTGCCCCGTTTCTCGTTTTTTTTTGGTAGTTTTTGAACTAGTCCCAATCTGGTTATGTACGATTTTACTCTTTTTTCAATTCATTTTTTTTCCAAATCCATTTTTATCGCCCTCCAAAACACCCAAAAAATCATAATTTTCTCTCGAAACACAGTTTTTTTTTGTAATTTATATTATATTGCCCGATTTTGGGGTTTTAATACGGATTCTCTCGCGAATTTGGAACACTTTTTCTTGTTTTTTCAAATCCACAAGCATTTTAGTTAATTTCTTCTTGTTTCTCCCCCTTTTTTTTGTACCATGCGTAGTTTTGTCAACTAGTAATTTGTGTACTTTGAATATATATTTTTCATTTGAAACGTGACCTATTTTTTTCGACGCACCAAAAAAAATCGCGGGAAAAAATGGATGTCGAAAAAATCCGGTCGGTCGGTCATTTCTCAATTTTGTATCATTTCAAAAAATGTCTTGGTATTCGAAAATTTATACAAGAGTTCGAGAAATTCGAGCAAATAATTGTTTTCTTGGAACAATACTTACATTCTGTCTAAACATTTTTCTTGTTATTCAAATTCTCGGACTTTTCTATTCGTAAGTTTTTTTGGGGAAAAATTAATAACAAACGTTTGAAACAGTGAATTTTCGCTTTCTCTCACAGTTTCTGAGCTTCTCAAAAATTATAAATTTCAAACTTCAAAGAAATTCTGTAATCAAGTTACAGTACTCCTGATTATAAATTACATTTCCTCTACGCATTTTTGCAAACAAGACTGTACATAGTTTGGAAGTAGATCACTTCTGAGTACTGAAAGTCTACTTCATAAATCCCCCTTTCCTCCGATATTTTTTTCTAATTTCAGAATGTATGTTTATGTTACAATAACAGTTGGTTATTATGTTCAATACAAAGCTCAAGCAATTGTTTATTTGATTATTTCCACTTATTTATTCTTAATGACACTTTGGAGTCTAATGAGAACAATATTCACACGACCTGCAAGAGTTCCTTCAAATTATCAACCATCCAAAGAATTGCAAGATCAATTGGCAGCTGTAACACCGTATATTAATAATCGATTTGAAGCGGACAAATCGACACCAGCGCAGGTGAGCATTTGTTGAAACTATTCTAGATTTTTCGAAAAATTCTGAAGATTTGCGATTCCTTTTTGTTCCAGATTCAAAGTCAAAACGTAATTCTCGAAGAAATGTGTCGAAGTTTGAACATCAAAGTAGCTGAATGTGATCAATTTGGACGAATTAAATATTGTTATGAATGCGGTCATATCAAACCAGATCGAACCAGACATTGTAGTTCTTGTGGTAAATGTTGTGTCAAATATGATCATCATTGTCCATGGATTAATACGTGTGTTACTCACGTAAGTGAAAAAAAAGAAGATGGAGGAACTGTTTTCAAATATCGGGAACAGGGCTGGTCGGAATCGGAATATCGAAATTCCGAAATTCCGAAAATCGACGTTTTTTCGGAAGTGTAGTTTAGTCGGAAGCACTTCCGAAAGAAAAACTCGGAATTGCTTGAATTCCGACTCTCGTTCCGACTTTTTATTCATTCCGACTTTTTTGTCGGAATCACTTTCGAAAAATTTCGGAATATCGGAATATATGCTTTTATAAAGAAAACTTTATTTTGAGGCTGAAATGATGGTGAAAAATTTCTTAATAATCGATAATAGACACAAATTTGTTGTCTTTCATAAACTAAAGAACAAGATTCACTTTTTCGCAACTATTTTCACTATAATTGTTCTGATAACTCATCGAAAAATGTCGTTTTCCAGTTTTTTCCTGCGCATTAGGACTTCCGAATTTCTTTCGAAATTCCGAAAAAAAAGTCGGAAGAAAAATCGGAATTCCGAACTATCGAAAAATTATTCGGAATAAGAAGTCGGAATGCCGAAATTCCGAAAACAAAATCGGGAGTGAAAATGGGACTTCCGAAATTCCGAAAGGTCAATTCCGACCAGCCCTGATCGGGAAAGGGTTTAAAAAATCAAAGTTTCTTATCAGAAATCTTTAAAACAGTAATCTGTGTTCCCTGAATTTTAGATGCCAATTCCTTAAGGTTACTGTAGGTTTTTGTAGAATACTCAATTCAAAGGAATTTTTTTACAACAAAATAGACTGGAGAAACTTTTGCCCATTTTTTCATTGGTTATCCTAGATTGTTTTTTGAATTGCGCAATTTCTCAATCATTATAATTTTAATTAAATTCTGAAATTTTAGAAAAAATTTGAAAAAAAAACCGAAACTAATTAATTTTTTTCAGAGTAATTACAAATATTTCCTCTGCTATGTTTGTTATACAACAATATTTGTTTATTGGTTTTTATTCACCTCAATCGAAGGAGTTGTTCGATATTTTATTTGGCAAAAATGGATGGAAGATTTGTCGAAAATCATAATCTACACAGTTCTAATGCTCTTTGGATGTGTTTTTGGCTATTTTCCACTTGGCGAATTGGTTATTTTCCATTGGAGTCTTGTTGGTTACAACGAAACAACTGTTGAACAAACAAAACCAGCTGTATTACGAAATGATAATATGGCTGATTATAATATGGGAAAATCTGCGAATTTTGAACATGCTCTTGGTTGGGGATTATGGGGTTGTCCAATTGAATCGAAAGTATCTGATGGAATGCATTTTGATATTCGATATGTTGTTTTGGAGAAAAATCATTTTATTCGAGTTTCGCAAGAGATTGGTGGACCTGAAAATAGTGCGAATGATACGCCAACTCCAACACCTAATGATACTAGATAAGTCGTTTTTTTTTGTAAAAAAAAATACCATAAAATGTTTCTTTGAAAACTTCCAGACTAATCTTTTTGGTACTAACTAGTAAGTAGGTTGTTTTTTTCTGTTTTTGATTAACTTGGTCACTCGCAACTAGTTTTTGCTTAGAATGATAAGATGAAGAGAGAGAATGTTTTTTTTGTTCGGATACTAGTTAATCAAATGACATACTTATCCAATTTGGAATATGATTGTTGTTATCAGGCATAAATAATAGATGAATTGATATTTGGAAAATGAGAAGATTCTGGAATTTGAAAAATGTTTTTGGAACTTGGAACTTTGGAGATAACTGGGAAGCTAGAGATTTTTGAAATTTCAGTACAACTTTTTATTTGGAAAAAATGGGGAAAGATCTGGGAAGCTGAAATAGTTTAAAAAAATTAGTGAAATCCTCTGTTTTGGACAATTTTAAGTGTGCTGTAGATTAGATTTTTGGGATTTTTTTCGAAAGTACTGTAGACTCTAAGGTATTGTAGACTACACTCTATATCAAAAATTTTGAGGATTAATTACTGTAGGAATGTCAAAGGATTACTGTAGGTAGATCAGAATTAAGTGATAAGTTAAAACTGTTGGAAAGTTTAAGAATTATACTCAAAAGCTTTTCATGTTTCTTCAGGGAAAACAGGTTTTAGAAAATCTTCTCAATACCTCTAAAAACTCAAACTTTCAAAGAACCTCTTCACATTTTTGTTAAATTTCCAAAAGGCTCTCGTTCATTTCAAAATTCGAAAGTCCCCCGCACAGGTATAGAGTGTATTCAATTCTCTGTTAGAAACACGGATCTTCAAACAGTTCCATCGGATATCGAATGTCTCGCAATCTCTCATTTCTCAATACTATCTGATTAGATAGGCGGGGCGGCGCTTATCCAGTTCACAACTAGCCACTACAAAAGGATGTTCGTATCATTGTTGAGCTTATCCATTTTTCGGTTTTTCATCGTTTCGGAAACAAAATGGACGTCAAAGAGACAGAAGAGCAGCGACAAATGCGACGAATTGCGTTTGTCGCAGTTGTTGTATCGACTGCGGCTGTTATTGCGTCAGTCGTAACACTTCCAATGTTATACAATTATGTGCAATCATTCCAGTCTCATTTGATGGTTGAAACCGATTATTGTAAGGTATGAACTTTTTTTTTTTTAGAATATTTTAAATTTTATATTTTAAAAAACTATGTGGACTTTTATATTTTCTTGTTGAAAACCAACCAAAAATATTATCATAACTCAAATATTTTTATATGTTCCAAAAAATCAAGAATTTTTGTAGGCTCGTTCTCGTGATATGTGGCTTGAGATGACTGCTCTTCAAGCTGGAAAAGGAATGGGACACCGTATGAAGAGAGCTTGGTTGTTCGGACAATGGATTCCAGAAACCTCAGCTGGAGGAGGTGGTTCACAATACGCCCAAGGAGGTGGCGGTGGAGCTGGAAGTTATGGAGCTGGAGCTTCGGGCGGTGGAAATTCTGCTGGATACGGTGGATATGGAGCTGCTGTCAACGCCGAACCAGCCGCTGTTTGCTGTACTTGTAATCAAGGAGCCGCTGGACCACCAGGACCAGAAGGACCACCAGGAAATGACGGAAAGGATGGAAAGAGCGGAGATGATGGAAAGAACGGTAAAGATGCTGAAGTATTGCCAGCACCAGCTAGCGAACCATGTGTTATCTGCCCACCAGGACCACAAGGACCAATGGGAGCTATGGGACCAAAGGGACCACCAGGACCAAAGGGATCACCAGGAGAGCCGCCACTCGACGGAAAATCTGGAGAAGACGGTATGGCTGGACAACCAGGACCAATCGGAAGACCAGGACGCGATGGAATGAAAGGAGCACCAGGAGCTGCTGGACGTCTTATTCCAGTTCCAGGGCCACAAGGACCACCAGGAAAACCAGGACCAGCTGGACCACCAGGACCAAAGGGAAATCCTGGACCAGACGGACAATCATACCAAGGGCCACCAGGACCACCAGGAGATTCTGGAACTCCAGGATCAGAAGGACGTCCAGGACCAAATGGACCAGCTGGACCACCAGGAGACGATGGAGACAAGGGAGATTGTGGACATTGCCCACGTAAGTTATGACAAAAAATTTCAGACAAATTTTGGAAAAAAAATTCTTCTGAAATTTGAAAACCAAAAATTTCAATTTTTACCTATATATAACTTACCTTATTTTCAGCACCACGTACCCCACCAGGCTATTAATTTGCCACGTCATCATCTTCAACAACATCTACCACAAAATCGCCCATTTTGCCGGGTGTTTTTCTTCATTTTTCTTATCCAATTTTGCAAATAAAGCATTTCGCGCACTAATTTTCTTTCGATTTTTCTCTCTGGCATTTCTTCTTCACGTTCCCAAGATCCGGAATCTGAACAAATCGAATCGCCGAAAAAAAAAACTGAAATACATTCCGCGCCCGCAAGTTTTCTTAAAAAGTTTTTTTTATCCTGGCGAGAAGAAGAGGACAATTAGAAGATAAAAAGAAGGAGATAAGGGGGGGGGGGAAATAAGGAAAAAAGCTTTTAAAAGGTCATCTGTTTTGAAAGCAGTTTTTATTGGGCTTGAAGGAAAAAAACATCTGGAAGTTTTTGAAGACAGATAGAGGCACGGCTACTTAATAACTAGGATTTCTAAGCTTAAAGGGTTGGTGTTCTCCTTGTGAAAAAATTGTCTGTAAAAAGGCGTCACGGTGTTGTCTGCAAACACACATACACACACACAAAAACTCAAAAAAACGAGTTGTGCGTTAGAGCGCAATTTCTTGTTTTATTTCGTAGGTTTTAAGTAACCCTTTTGTGTTTTTGAGGAAAAACGTGGGCTGAGTTGCTACTTCCACAAGAAACTACTTCAATTTTGGTTTCAAAACCCCATTCTTCATTGAAGTTTCAACAAAAAAATTCCTCACATCTGCTAAAAAACCAACCAGCCCGGGCAAAAGCGACACTCATTAATTTCCCACACTTTTTTCCCATTTTTCATCAAATGTATTTTCCCGCCAACGACAAAAAATGACGAAGAGATTCACACGGAAACCATGGTATCTTGGCTTCTTTCTCCACACACATCCAATTTATTATATTATTCAACAAACCAACCACAAAATCCGATATCCTTTTGCATAATTCAACAATCTTTCATTATTTCTTCTTCTCTCGGTTTTAGTCTTTTAGAATCAGTTTGTGCAAAAATGGCTTCGGCTATGAAATTTCAATATTATTCCAAAAAGTTACCGGCTACAAAATCAATGTCGAATAGTGTGTAAGTTAGCGAAACTGTTTTTGTTGATTCGAAAAAACATTTTTTTTTGAGAACTATAAATTCAATGTCAATTGATGAGCATCGTCTCGAAGATTTTAAACGGAGATTTAGAAGAAGTGGATCACTTGGAATCCCATTTGTTCCAGAAGAAGATGTGAAGCAGGTAAGTCTGTAAAACACCTAACAAAACTTACTACAACGTTGATCTACAGTTATTTGCATCGTCCCGAAAAAAGTCGACAATTCGTGAAGGCGAAGAAGAAGATGGTATTCAAATTCTAACAATTATCGTGAAATCAAGCCGGAATTCTGATGCTGTTTCAACAATGTTATCCAAACTTCCATCTGAAACTCGTGTCAAACATTTGGAAACAAGAGATAGTCAAGATGGAAGTTGTTCGAGTATTGAAGTGTTGGTTGAATTGGAACTTATTGAAATTTCGAAAAGTGAAGCGATGGAAATTATGGCGAATAATGGTTTGGAGGTAAATCAAAAAGTTACTTGAACTCGCTAAATTATTTCTGGGTATTCTTAGGTTCATGAAGTCTCTTATACTATTCAACCAAATGAAACTAGCGATCAATTCACGGAACCAGGTTCAACTGATGCAACAACTGGATCAGAATGGTTTCCAAAATCAATTTATGATCTAGATATTTGTGCAAAACGCGTAATTATGTATGGAGTTGGATTAGATGCTGATCATCCAAGTTTTAAAGATGAAGAATATCGAAAAAGAAGAATGATGTTTGCTGATGTTGCATTGAAATATAAACAGTATCTAAAAATTATCTATAAAAATTGAAAAAAAACACATTTTTCAGCGGCGAACAAATTCCTCGCATCGAATATACTGAAGAAGAACGTCGAACTTGGGGAGTGATTTATCGAAAACTTCGAGAGCTCCATAAAAAACATGCTTGCAAACAATTTCTGGATAATTTCGAATTGCTCGAAAGACACTGTGGATATTCGGAAAACAATATTCCACAACTCGAAGATATTTGCAAGTTTTTGAAAGCCAAGACTGGTTTTCGTGTTCGCCCAGTTGCTGGATATCTTTCAGCTCGTGATTTTCTTGCGGGTCTCGCGTTTCGTGTGTTTTTCTGTACACAATATGTTAGACATCACGCGGATCCACTTTACACGCCTGAACCGTTAGTCATTTGTGCTGATGATAAATTATAGTGTTTGAATTTTATAGGGACACTGTTCATGAATTGATGGGTCATATGGCTCTTTTTGCTGATCCTGATTTTGCACAATTCTCACAAGAGATTGGATTGGCTTCACTTGGAGCATCAGAGGAGGATTTGAAAAAATTGGCAACGGTAAGAGAAAAATAGATGTGTGGGTGGGTGGAAATTAGATACTTGAATGAATTATTCATCAGATTCTTTTTGAATTCTGCTATGAATCACGTCTTCTGGTAAATGTAGAATAGAGCTAAATTATCCCGTTTCGATTTCTGAAACGAATTAAAAATGAAGACTATTTCAGCTCTATTTCTTCTCAATCGAGTTTGGTTTATCATCTGATAACGCCGCCGTTTCACCGGATAAAGAAACGGCTGGACAGAAATTCAAAGTTTATGGAGCAGGTTTATTGAGCAGTGCAGGAGAACTTCAACATGCTGTTGAAGGAAGTGCAACAATTCTGAGATTTGATCCAGATCGAGTTGTTGAACAAGAATGTCTTATTACCACTTTTCAGATCGCCTATTTTTATACTAGAAATTTTGAGGAGGCACAACAGAAATTAAGGTGAGTTTAGATGGGCCTGAATTCTGTCGATGTTCAGTTCCACTTCTGAAATTCTGCCAAGTCTCAAATAATTTGCCACAATACTAAATCATACATTGTGATAAGTTACCATCTTGATTTTCAGAATGTTCACAAATAATATGAAACGTCCATTCATTGTTCGCTACAATCCATACACTGAAAGTGTCGAAGTTTTGAATAATCCAAGAGCAATTATGTTGGCTGTTAATAGTTTGAGAAGTGATATCAATCTTCTTGCTGGAGCTCTTCACTACATTCTCTAATAACTTGCCTCTTTTGAAAAATCATTTATTTATTTTTTAAAGCTTTATTTTATTCACAAAAATTAGTTAATTGCTTGGTCCAATACATAAACATGTTTTTCTGCAGAAAAGGAACATTGTCGGTTTATTCGTCATACACAATCCACTTTTAGCCCATAATTTGCAAACTTCTCCTTTTTCATCTTCTTCAGCCGAGCAATCCATCTCATATTTCTTCCCTAAAAATAGAAATTGTGTTCAAAATAAATCTACAGTAATCTTTTACTCACATTTCGCAGGTTCTTGATTCTCTCTCGTTTTTCTTTCAACAATTTCAGCTTCTCCTTGTTGTTCTTCCGAAGTTTCTTCAGATTTTTCAGCGGAGTCGAGCTTTTCGCCATCTTGAAGTTCCACTGAAACTTCGATTGTTCCAGTTTTCATATCTGTAAAAAAAAAGTTTATGATATGGATTTCAACTTTAAAGTTTCCAAAGAAAACTCACGTTTCGTATTATTGTCAATATTTTTAAGTTGTTCAATATGAATACAAGTTTTGGAATGTTTGTGTGGAACTTTTTTCTCAACAATCGTAGTTGATATTGGTTCAGAAGTAGAAGTTATAAATTCGGATGTAGAACTTTCTTGTGCTTGTGTAGAACTGATTATCGTCGATGATTCAACTTTTTTATCGAATAACTCATCAAAGTTAATCATCATATCATCATCAATTGAAGAATCGTTTAGAACACTTGTCGTGGCTGAAATCAAGAAAATATTAACTTTCAATTTTCAGGAGCAGAGCAAACTCACGAGGAATCGAAGATGTGATATAAAAATCAGCGGTTTTGTTGATTTCAGTTTTTTCGATCAATTCTTTAATGTCATTTTCATTAATTTGATCTTCTTGTTCAACATCAGCTTTTTGAATATCTGATATTTCATTGTCCAAATCATCTTCTACGATTACCTGCGAAATGGGATGTCTTCAAAAAACGTAATATTTTATGAAAATTAATATTGTTTTCGGCATTTTTTGTTGCTAAAAATGTTTTTTGAATTAAAAATGAATTCAAATTCAGAAACTTAGCTTTCAGGAAAAATTATTTCTCCGCAATTTCGAAATGTGAAAAAAAGTTTCAAAATTTCTGTTATCATTCTGTGATTTGTTGCTGCCTTTAACCCTTGCTCCTTACTTTTATGGTATGTTTTTCAACTTATGAATATTTGGAGTTTCTGACTTTATACCTCAATAGTTGTGGATGGCTCAATTGTAACCAAAAAAGTAGTCGTTGCTCCATCTGTTGAACTCGTTGAACTAATTGGAGGCGGAGTCAACGTCGAACTTTCCTCTACTGTAAAAATTATTGAATGTGATCTTTCAAATTTTAAATGTTAAATTCCTCTGAACTTTCCGTCGATAGGTTCAACAGCTGGCGGTTCGATCAAAGTTGATGGAGGTTGAGCTGGTGAACTTGCAATCTCTGATTTTTCAGGACTTATTGTTGTGCTTGGAAATGTTCCCGGTGGTCCAATTGTAATCAAATCTTGTGGTGGAGAAGGTAGTCGAATTGATGAGTCAAGGTCAATCAGTTTAATATCTGGAATTCATTTGATTGTAGAAAAAGCTTTCACTTTATTGAAGTGCACTTGAAAGAGTACAATAACTATGTTCGTGTGTGTTTTTAAACACCAAATTTCAAAAAAAGCTTCAAAGATCAAAACTCACCTCTAACTTTAATAGGCTCTTGAGCTTTTTCTGGAGCAGCATCTCCACTGATTTTTTTTGCTGAAAATTGTTGATTTTTCTGGAATTGCTATAAAAATCTATAAAAAATGTAGATTTCTACCTTGACACGTGGATAATAGTATTAAAATAGAACAGAAAAATATCCGGAAACGCATATCTTAACTAATGACTGAAAAGAATAAGAATGAGGTGAAGAATAAGAAAAGGAAGAAGATGAATAATGTTGGATTTGAGATGGTTTTAAGTGGACAATCGAAGCAGAAAAGAGTGAGTGAGTGAGTGGTATTACGCATAATTGGTCTATACTTCTTTTTCTAGTCTTTTTTTCATTCACAAGGTGTGATTTGTTTTATTAGTTTGGTTTAAGATGGGATTGGAGGAATGTGTAATTAATTGACTTGGAAAATATTTCAGAAAAGTGAAGTGTTTAATTTGGAATTACAGTAAGATTTTCTGAATTGAATTGGAGATAAGTCGGAACTTATTTTTTTTTGACTACCAGATAAACGGAAAACGCAGTCACCAGGCTTAGCCCCGAGAGCCCTGAACATCATAAGATGTTTTAATTTTCAGAATCATGCCACCTAAAAAAATCAGACCATTACTGAATTTTTTGAGAACACTTCCAAAAAATTAGCCTAATTGTTTTAAAAAAATAGTTCAACTCAGATTGCCAATAATTTTTCTTCTTCTAATTGTAAAGTTTCTTTTACCCTATAATTTTTTGTTATTTGGCTAACAGCAATTCCTTTTTTTTGTCTTCTATCGTATTTTGATTTGATGACGTGTCTTTCTTCTGTCCTCGTTTCGTACAAAAAACAATGAACGAAAACAATAAATAATAGAGACTATCGCGTCCTAAACAAAACATTTCTGTAGTTTCTGGTTTCTTCCAAAATTTTGTTGTCTTTCTTCAAAAAATAATACTTTATCACACAAAAAAACAAATAAATATGTTTATAGATACTTTTAAATTCCTACGAAACTATAGGAAAATAAGGGTCAGGGGGTTTGTCTAAAAAAACAAATATGAGAACCGTATAATGTATTTACAGAAAAATAAATGTTGAAAATGATGTGCTCAACTGAAAGTGACAGTTCTGTTAGATGGTGATGATGTGATTCTGGATGGTTGAACTTCTTCAGATTTATTTCGAATAAGATCCATTGATGTCATTGATCGCAGAGAAGATCCATGATAAACCAAATGAGATGTATTATCTTCATAAGATCTCAGAATTTCCTGGAATAAAAAATTAACATTATTTTTTTGAAATTCCAGAGATCTTCTAGACTTACCCGATATGGATCTTCATCCACAGATGTTTGAGTTGGCGAAGAAGCAGTTGTTGAAGGTGCCGAAACTTCTTGACTTTCCCGTTTGCGCAAAATTTTGTGTGAAATCGATCGCGACAATTTTTTCAAAGGGTTATGCATGTTTTGCTGAAAAATGAAATATGAGGGAATTGTTATCAGTTCAAGGAAAAGGAAAAGTTTGAGACCCGAAATAAAAAACTGATAAGAACAAATGGAAATAGAAAAAGAAGGCTAATGAAATAAGAAAAGAGAAAAAATGACGCGATCACATGGTTTATGGTTTTTGGGTTGGGGAGGAGTGGTGTGAAAAACTCAAGTTCAAAGAGAACGAAAAAAAAACAAAGTGTACAGAATATTGTTTTGATTAGAGATCACATAAAATTGAGAGAGTCTAGACTAGACAAAAATACAACAAAAAATTGATTGTGTTCAGTTTTTTAACCTACTGTAGAAAAGTTAGGCTAACTTTGTCCCTAAAGCTTTTGTTCGAATACTGTAGATCGCAAGTTTTCGCGAAAGTCAAACTACTAACTTTCTGAATATACAAAAAAAGCTCAGGAAACTTCGGCTGAATTATTTCATTTTTTTTTTGAAAAGCAGCTGAAAATAATATTGTTGAACACGTTTTTCAGCAAGCCGCTTTCAGAATGACTAATATGGGATTAGCCAAAGAAAAACTGAAAATTTGGAGAAAATTATGGGGCTTCAAAAAAGCGAAAATGTTGAAGTCTAATTGTAGCTTGGCTGAAATTTAAATTGTTGACTGGCTGGAAAGTTTGGAGAAAAAATTTTGAAAAGGAAAAACAATTCTCACGCATGTGCACATATTTGTATACATGTGACACGTAAAATATTCAGAGACAAGAAAAAACAAAAAAGTATCTCGCTTGTTGAAACACGATACTTCTCCATTCGCAAATGAACTTTTGCCTTTTTTGTTTTTTCTTCAAGAAAAAAAAAAAGAAAATGAATCTAAAATGACCGGAAGACAAAAGAGTCTTGTTTTTTTTGTTGGTTGGTAGAAATTTTAAAATTGCAATTTTTTGTTCTTTAGAAAAACATGTGTGGAACAATTTCAATTCATCATGGAAAACAGCTGGGAAAATATCAACCAAAAAGTTTTCAGACAAAACCCACACAAACTTTTTTTTGTTGATAAAAATAGCAGAAATGTATTTATTTTGATAGAAAAGAAACCCACACAAACTTTGAAACAAAAAAAATCTGACTTTCCAAATGTTCTTTTGAATCGAAATGTCTTCCAACCACACCCAGTTTTTTTGGTCACACAAAAAACACACAAACAATTTCTGCATTCCAAAAGAAATTGGCTTTTCAAAAATGTTATAATTGATTTTAAAAAAATGTTAGCGCGAATGAAAAATCGAACTTGGACCTAATCGACACCAGCAAAAGGCTCTACCACTAGACTACGCACACATTTTTCAAATTTCGTTGAATGTTGGTAAGAAGAAAACTGTTTTCCCTCATATTTTTTTCAGCTCTGATTTTTGATGACGAAAACATTGTTGTTAGAAAAATAACATTGTTTGGGAGGGAAATGCACTTTTCTTACTCACTCACAACAACAAAAATGACCAGAGAAGAAGAAAAAGAAAAAAAAATAAGAAATCAGAAATTATCAAATTAGCTGTGGTATACGTAGATTAGCTGTTCAAAAATGAAAAAAAAAACGGAAATTTTCTTTCAGAAACTTTTGAAAGTGAATGAAAAATTGAGAACGGAAAAAAATAAATCATGGAGAAAAAAGAAATAATTTTAGTTTTCCCGAAAATAGAGAAAAGTTTGAAAAATGACCATTTTATAAATAACTGACATGAATAATCGGATTATTCGAAGTTTCGAGGTAACATCATTTTTTTGACGTCCGAAAAGGTTGAAATTTGAATAATTCTATCGTCATTTTTAAATCGATATTCAAAAATAAAACAAAATTGAATATTCAAAATTTATCGATGAGAACTTTTGAAGAACCACAAAACAAAGTGAAAAAAAAAACTAACTAAACTACAGGGTGCGCGCGAAATATGTGTGCATGAACTTTTGGCCATAATAAAGCCAGAACGTGTCTGATCACACTGAGATTTGGTCTCAAAATAGCCAAACTGATCACAATACAAAATCCGAAGCCGATTCTGTATACCTAGACCAAGTCACATAATTTCCTTTGGGGTATGGTTTTAGAATGAGTGTGGTATGAACGCGGCTATTTTCAAGTTCACAAGACTGTTTCAAAGTCTTAATTTTGACTATTAATTGAAGTGATCAGCAAAAAACCTTTATTTTACCTTCCCTAATAGTGTTCATAACAGAAATCCATATCTGGTTCCACAAAACTTTCTGAAAATGGTGTTTAGTGCAACCTACAAAAGTGAAGTTTTCAAAAAAAATTTCCCAAAAAAGAGACAAAAATCAATTATTGTCGAAAGTAATGTTTGTATAACTAATATTTCTATCAAACTGCAGTAATATGAACATATTATCATAATTCAGTCATAATCACGATGAATTATTGACTTTTAAGTGCTCTAGAGCTTGTTTCTCAGATTGAATTCAGATTTCGCCGATTCCTTGAGAGGAATTTTGTAGTAGGCCTGCTCGTTCTTAAAACGGTATGATGAACTCTATGAATTTAAATAAAGTAAGCCAATGATGTCTAAAGACATCCTACAAAATCATATTTAAATAACTTTTACGAAACTCGAGTTCTAATTGGTCAAAATCATTATCCGAAAAATAGGAAGAGTCGCGTTCTTATTTTCTCATTTTCACAAATTCTCTTCTGACTTCATACAAACCGGATTATATTTTAAGTGAAGAGATTGACTTGAATTCTTGTAAATGGTGTTTCTCGGATACTTGTGACTTGTTTTGAACAATCCATACTCAAATTTACTACGTGTGCCAATATTACTAACACTGTATGTGAAATATTCGCATGCACACATATTTCGCGCGCACCCTGTAAAAACTTTCTTTTTTTTCATCTGCAGAAAAGATGAGGGGGTACTTGAAGAAAAAAACGACCGATGGAACCAACAGTTCAGAGTCCGGTCAATAATCCGAGGATAATCCGAAAATTGAAAGAAAACTTTGGATTTTTCGTGTTATTACGTTTTTGCATGTTTTTTTTTGAAGGATTTTGATTAGAGAAGTTTTCAACTGAATTTGTATGGTTTTTAAAGGTGAAAATTGTACTCTAAATTTCAAACTCGGAAAGAGAATAAGATATTGTGTCTTCGCAATTAGATCTTGCTTGACAAGTAGCCAAGCCTAGAGAACGTAGTTGCCTAGGAACCACGTCTAGAAATTCGATATGACAAATAGCGGTGTCTTGAGAGCTCCTATGCCAAGTAGCTTGAAATCGCTTCTTTTTGTGATCTACACAAAACTTATCACAAACTTTCGAACATTTCTCTCTCAAAAAACATCAGATTTTGAAGATAAGCAGGTAAATAATCTGAAGATTTCGTATATTTTTGTTTGCCTTCGTTATTTTTTTCGACAGAAAGGGTTTGAGCAATCATAAAAATCAGAAAACAAACAAATATTTGATAAGTTGGTACGGCCAGCGAGAAAAAATGCAATAAAATTTTGGTTATACGATCGGAAGTTTTATTTTCGAAAGAAATTCAAAAATAAAGAAAAAATAACCTTTGAAAAAGAAAACCGGTGGTTCTTTGAAGTGTCAATTTTTCTTCCGCAACGCGACAAAAAAGTTGACATGTTTGAATAAATAAAATAAAATATGTTGATATAATATTTATTCATTCAACATGACTTTTTCTGCAAAGATAAAGCGGGTTTTGAAAATTTTTGTTCTTAATATACCGGCAAAAATATTCTGCGTTTTTTGAGACCAAACAAAAAAAAGGGTTCGAAAAAATCATTTTTTGTTTCAAATTTTGGCGCTAAAAATACAGTAGTTCGGATTTTTCGAGTTTATACATATTTTAACAGAAAAAGAGGATGAACAACGAAAAAAAATTGATTTTTGGTGTTGAAGAGGATGTGTCTATAAAAAAGGCAATTTCAGCGAACAAGAAAACCCTGCCTGAATGGGTTTATTTATGTTTTTTTCCTTTTTTATGGAAAAAAAGATCAACACTACTAAAATGTGTGTAGTTTTCGTATAAATATACACATTTACTAGATTAGTCAAATTTCCTTATATGAGAATTAGACTAATTTATTTTTCGCGGAAAATATCTGAATACTTATTTATATACGTATAAAGATATAATTAAATTTGAGACAATAATTGTATTCACTTGAGAATAACAAGGATAGTTCTAGAATTCTGCTTATCACAAGAAAAGCGAAAACAAAAACAAAAGTTATTTTGAGAGAAACGAATTCAAAAAAAACCGAAAACCGGAGAGAGGATAAGTGAAAATATCTAAATGAGGGGAATGGAATGCCATTCTTCTTATTTTCATTTCATCAAAGATTTGAGACGATAAACTACGACAAAGACAGGTTTTGACTAAAGTTTTCGCCTTTGCCTTCGACAAAAATTGATGTCCTTTTCCTTCTGAAACAAAACAACAAAGATGGAAAAATGATAAAATTAAAGAACAATGTTTTGGTGGAACAGAGAAGAATCACATGAAGAAAAACATTGAGAATGATAAGTTCTTTTGAAAAAAAAAGTTCAAAAGAAAAGACTTTATTTGCTTTTTGTTGATGAGGCAAATAAAAGAAAGTATGTATTTCAAGAAAACGGGTAAACCAAGGAGACAAACCTGTTCCTAGGAAACATCTACATAAATCGTGTCAAAGTTTTTTGAAAGCTTGGATTAGTTTTTGGGATTTTTGCACAAAACTTGACAATAAGCTTATCTGACAATGAATAGATAATCTTGGGAAAAAAACAGAAAAATTAAAAATTGAGAATTTTGCCACGTGGATATTTGGCTCTAATTTTCTAATTGTAATTCAAGACTGTGACTGAAAAATCTGAAACTTTTCAAATTGTTATCGGCGAGTTTTAGAGTTTTGCAAAATTTCCACGTGGAAAAAATTATGTGCGCTTTTGATGAGGGCTACGGTAGAAGTATTCGTGTGTTTTTTTATTTATCGAAAAAAACAAAAAAAAAAATGAATTTTGAAAATGAAGAAACTGGTGCGAACAGTTCGATAGAGCGAATTTTTTTTTCTTGGTTTTTCTGCGCTCTCCAAAAAGAAAAACTTTCCCTTGTGTCATTTTTGTTCAGAATTGAAACGTTGTCTTTGATTTTTAGCTAATTAGGAATGAGTTTATTTTTTTCCACAAAGAAATTTCCAAACTTCTCAAAAATCAAGCTCAAACCTGATGTTTTAAATTCATAAATCTAGGAACCCGCAAATGTGAGAATTGTAGATCACGCGGTATTTCAACTTTTATATCGACTAGATTTTTGGGCCTAGATGTTGATGATATAGCCTAACTTTTTTCAATTTTTAAAGATTTATTTCATAATTTTCATATTTTTTCCAATTTTACAGAATTTTTTATCGTTTTTTTTCAATTTTTTCGAAATTCCTGCCCAAAAAACTCACCAATCGCCTATATTTCTCAATCCACATCGACATATCGAAAATCCCAATCAAAATCCGAAATCCTCCAAGTTTTCCACGTTATTGACATTGAAAGCCAATTGTCCATCAATATTTCGAGCTGAAAATCAGAAAATTTGAATTTTTCATGTACCATTGAGTTCTGCTAACTCCATTTCTGTTTCTATAGATTTCCTAGGGCTTTCTGAGTCTCACAACAAATTTCCAGCTATTTTTCAAATGTTCACGGCAAAATCTTACCCAAACCAATTTCATCTCCAGAACATGAATTTGACATAAAAATTATGCGAAAATCTCAACTTTCGTCAAATTCCCATCGAATATTGCCTCAAATTCAACCAACAATCGTTCTCCTCACATTTAAAATCATTTTTTACCCTGAAGACTCAAAAATTTCAATCGAAACAGTGTTTCTCTAGAAAAAACCCACCTTTCTTCGATAATCCCCGAATTTTCCATTAGAAGCGATCATTCCGGCCTTGTAGAAATCTAAAAATTCAATTTTTGACTGAAATCCACCGATTTTCCCCGTAAACCTGAAAACCCAGCGAAAAAAAACGAAAAATGAATATTCCCGTGTTGCGCTAAACAGCGGGTAAGCGGAGTGTCGTTGTAAAAGTGAATAAATTCAATAAATTATCTACACTGCTCCACAAAAGTATAGCCTCACCCTCAAAATTTTCAAAAAATCGAAAAAATTAAAGTTTTCAGAAAATGTTTGTTTTTGAAAAATATGGGCAAATGGGACACTAATTTATCCCAGAAATCAAATTTTGAGTTGATAAGCCACGAAAAGAATTTTTTGAATTTTTCAAAAAATTGAAAATTTCCAATCCACAAAAGTATAGCCTCACTTCAGAAAATCGCTCTGGAAATCGATTTTTGGGTTTGATAACTTCAGTTATTGTTGAGAAATGGTTAGAATAACTCATTTTAAGTTGATTCCAACAATTTCTGATCCATTTCATTGATTGTCATTGACTTTATCGGGTGTAGCGTGATGACTTCCAACTCCAACCAAATTTTTTTGTAAAAAAATTTTTTGTCATATTTTTTTTGGACCAAAGCTTAGGAATTGGTCTGAAAATGGTAAAACTTCACTTTTTCATGATAAAAACCAAATTTGGTTCGAAAATTCGGAGTTTAGACAAGAAAAATAACAATTTTTAGGTACAGTACTCTCATGAAATTGGGGTTTTCATTGGATTTTCAGACTTTTCAGCATAACAATGTTCTGGAACCGTGAGAAAAGCAAGAACCAAGTTTTTCAAAGCCTTTTGAAACTTCTTCTGACAAAAAAAACAACCTGTTGGTGGATTAAAGCCTTGAGAGGTTTAGAAGTTTATTTTGAAAAATTTGGAATTTAACAAAATTTGGTTTTGATTATGGAAATCGTTAATACTGGATCAATATCAATCTCAGCGATCTCTTTCAACGCTTTTAAGTGGATAAAAAGTGAAAAATGAATTGCGGAACCATTTTAAACCTTTTCAAACAAAAAGTTCTGAGATTCATGAAAGTTGGAGAATTTACAACTTGATTAGATGCCTAAAGCAGTAATATCGTAATTGAACATTGTTTAAATTAATGAAAACTTGAAATAATCTTACTCTCTGAGCAGTATTCTCACGGTTCCAGAACATTGTTATGCTGAAAAGTCTGAAAATCCAATGAAAACCCCAATTTCATGAGAGTACTGTACCTAAAAATTGTTATTTTTCTTGTCTAAACTCCGAATTTTCGAACCAAATTTGGTTTTTATCATGAAAAAGTGAAGTTTTACCATTTTCAGACCAATTCCTAAGCTTTGGTCCAAAAAAAATATGACAAAAAATTTTTTTACAAAAAAATTTGGTTGGAGTTGGAAGTCATCACGCTACACCCGATAAAGTCAATGACAATCAATGAAATGGATCAGAAATTGTTGGAATCAACTTAAAATGAGTTATTCTAACCATTTCTCAACAATAACTGAAGTTATCAAACCCAAAAATCGATTTCCAGAGCGATTTTCTGAAGTGAGGCTATACTTTTGTGGATTGGAAATTTTCAATTTTTTGAAAAATTCAAAAAATTCTTTTCGTGGCTTATCAACTCAAAATTTGATTTCTGGGATAAATTAGTGTCCCATTTGCCCATATTTTTCAAAAACAAACATTTTCTGAAAACTTTAATTTTTTCGATTTTTTGAAAATTTTGAGGGTGAGGCTATACTTTTGTGGAGCAGTGTATGTTTGTGTCCTTTTTTTATATATTCCCGTGTTGCGCTAAACAGCGGGTAAGCGGAGTGTCGTTGTAAAAGTGAATAAATTCAATAAATTATCTATGTTTGTGTCCTTTTTTTATTTTTTTCTTTTTATACTATCTTATATACTTTTTATATGATATT